CCCCCTCCCCCCTTCACTTCAACCATGGCCCGCGCGACGTTCGCGGACCCGCCCGTCTCCTCGACATCGTCGGGGAACGGGCAGCCCACTGAGACCTCGCGCCTCAAGGACCACGCGTACACGCCCGCTTACGCGTACGTCGAGGAGGACCTTGAGGCGCTGGCCGGCGCGGACGGCGACGACGGGCGCGAGGTCGAGGTGTGGAAGCCCGGCAAGAGTGGCTTTTACCAGACTGTGAGTTGGGCTTTAGACGGAAGGTGTAGAAGAAGTGATGGGACCGGGTAGCCGGATGACGGCGGCGATCGCGATCTACGCGTCGTGTGTGGAGCGGATCAGCGTGGCGTTTTCGGCGATCGGCGATCGGCGTGCGAGGACAGTGCTACCGGCCGTCCGCGAACCACGCACTTCCATGGCAAGGTGATGCACCGCTCTGGAGAGCTGCGGACACGCCGACGCGTCCCGCCGCATTTTTCCCAACTGTCACCGATGGGTCGGACTTTGCACGTGAAGGAGGCAATGGCGGCGCACGAGCCTCCCCCACCCTCGCGTATATAGCCACGCCACACGCCACACGCAGGCTGACACCAGCTCCTCAACGTCCTCGGCGACCTGATTGGCACGGGGTTGCTCGCGACCCCCATCGCGATCGCACATGCGGGATGGGTGTTTGGGCCGCTGATGCTCGCGTTCGTCGGAGGCATCACGCTGTGGACTCTCAAGATCCTGCTCCGCATTATCGCGCAGGACCGTCGCCTGCGCAACTTCACGGATGTTATCGGCTTTGCCCTCGGCAAGCGGGCAGAGCGATTTATCACCGTTCTCTTCGTCGCTGAAGTGGCGGCCTGGGTGTGAGTGCTTCGACCGACGGCTGCGCGGCTGACATCAGGATCACCCTCGTCGTCTTGTTCTCCGACTCGCTCGAGGCCGTCCTCCCCATGTACTCGTCAAACCAGTGGAAGATCATCGGGCTGGTCGTCATCATCCCCACCATGTTCCTCCCGCTGCACTACCTCGCCTACTCGTCCTTCTTGGGTATCTTGAGTACATGGGCGCTCGTTGCCATCCTGCTCTTCACGGGCGTTGTGACGCCCGAGGGTCCCGGCTCTATTCGCGACCCCGCGCCGACGGATCTCTGGCCCCCTCATGGGTGGATGAAGTTTGCAACCGTGTTCGGCCTGATGATTGGTGGGGTGAGTCACTCGGAGTACAGAAGGCGGAGCTAATTTCAGTTCGGAGGACACGGCCTCATCCCCAACCTCATTTACGACATGAAGAACCCGCACCAGGCCGAGCGCGTCTGCGAGGTCGCGTACGGCATCGCCATGGCCGTGTATGTCAGTGTCGGCGTCTTCGGATACCTGATGTACGGCCACGACGTCAGCGACGAGGTCAGCCGCGACCTGGCGCGCACGCCCGGCTTCAGCCCGCTACTCGCCAAATTCGCCGTGTGGATGGTCGCGCTCAACCCGCTCACTAAAATTGCGCTCGGCGTCCGCCCCCTTGCCGACGTCCTTTTCTCCTACTTCGGCCTGCACAAAACCGAGCTCGTGCCCGAGGAGGCGCCAACGCCGCGCTACGTCACCCGTCCCAGCTCGCCGACGAGCTCGCAGAACTCGGCGATTAGCCACAACGAACACCTATTCGCACGGCACGGCGCTGACCCGGCCGCGAGCCACTTCAGCGTTGTCGCTGAGGCGCGGCAACAGCGCTCCGAGAAGTGGAAGGATGTCGTGCGCCCCGCCATCCGCGTCATTCTCGGCGTCCTGTCTGTCCTCCTCGCACTCGTCTTCCCGAGTTTCGAGGCGCTGATGGCTCTCCTCGGAAGCGGATTTGCCAGCATCACGCTCATCATCGTACCTGTGTGGGCTGGGGCCGCTCTCTTCGGGTGGCACTGGTATGATTACGCAGCAATGGCCATTGCCACCGTCGCGGGCGTTGTAGGATCCGTTGCTGCGTTCTGGCCATGACACGATGAGAGATGGAAATTGCCATTAGACTCCATGATGCATATAGTGCTATTTGCTGAGATGATGTCAGACCTCGAAGCGGCAAGATGAAACCCCGGACTGCCCGTCGACGAAAGTATCCCATCAACCACCTCGCCGGGATTGACAAAGGTCAAAAACGTTCAGAGTGGACGAGTTAGGAATCGAACCAAAGACCTTGTCAATACCATATTACCAGCGCCTCCAGAGGAGAGGACGGGGATGCTAATGACACGCTCTACCAACTGAGCTACACGCCCTTGCTCTGGGAGCTGACATGAGGGATCGCTGTTGTGAAACTCAGGCTCGTGCTGGTGACGATGCTATTTGGCTCGGTGAGAGCAGTAGGTGGATTGTGATTTTCTGAGGCGGAGAAGCTGATGATAGAACTGTGACTCGTTGATCTCGGAGGTTAGTGGGCTCGGTCGGTAACCTACTTTTGCGGGTGCCGCTGATTAACGTCAGAAGGGCCTGAGTGAATTGAGATATTGCATCCGAGCTTGAATAGATAATCGTAGTGCCCAGTTGGCGGCGTTCGGCGAGTCGGACCTCGCCGACACTTCGGTCCAAGAATTACCGGTGACAGCCGCCCACTTCTTCACCCCACAACTTGGCTTGCTCGAACTCATCTATCCTCCTCTCGCGACTGCTGTCTACTCACGCTCCCTCCTCGACAATATACTCACTCCACCCAATGCCATCCCAGCAGCAGCACGACATGGCCCTCCGCGCACTCAAGCTCACCGAGGTGGTGCCGAGGCTCCACCGCTCGGGCATCCTTGAGCTGCAGCTGAACACTCCCTCAAACCTCAACGCCTTCGGCAGCCTGAAATGTACGTGATGGAAGAAGAGAAAGGAACAGGAAGGACTGCGTTCACACGATGCTGACGCAACTTTCCGACTTGTGATTGCCACGCCTGCTGCTTTGGATCACAGACTTGGTGAGTGTTTCGCATCGACCTGCATATGCGATGTCGACTGACCGCAGGAACTCATCAAGGGCTTCGACTACGCTCGCGACCAGGATGACATCAAGGCCGTCATGGTGTACGTGGCTTGCAGCGGACGCTTGCCGAGTTGCTAACCCCAGCACATCCACTGGGCGATTCTTCTCGGCTGGCGCTGCGCTCCAGCCCGGTGGCATGCAGACCGAGGGCAAGGGACAAGGCAAGGGCGCTTCCGAGCTCTACGTTAACATGCTCATCGACTTCCCTAAGCTCGCCGTCTGTGTTCTCAACGGTGTGTAATTGCCGCCTGGAGCAGGAGCGGCTGCTACCTCCCCGTGAGTGACGCTGACCGCAGGCCCGGCGTACGGCATCACTGTGACTACCCTCCCCCTCTTCGACCTTGTTTACGCCGCCCCCGAGGTCTCGATCACCACTCCGTTCTCGCGTCTCGGCATTTGTCTCGAGGGCGCGTCCTCTGTCCTGTTCCAGCCTCTCTTCGGCTCCTCGCTTACCTCGCGCCTTCTTTACATGGCCGAGACGATCCCGCTCAAAGACCTCCTTCCGACCGGTATGATCGCTGAGGTTCTTCCGAAGGAGGGCATCAACGAGGCTGTCGAGAAGAAGCTCGGGGCGCAGCTTGACGAGCTCGCCGTCAGCTCCATCAGTGAGTGCCTCCCTAGAGCCATCTAACCAAAGTCACCTCCAAGGGCCTCGTGCGCTCCGAGGAGTACCGCGCGAACCTTCGCAAGATCAACGAGAAGGAGATGGCTGCCGTAGCTGAGCGCATTGCATCGCAGGAGCACAAGGACCAGATTACGAAGTTCCAGGCAAGGCGTGCGGCCGAGAAGGCCAAGAAGGACGCCGCCAAGCTCTAAAACGAAGGGTGTACGGATGAGATGCAGTTCTTCACATGGGCTGGCTGTAGCCTGGCGCTCGCTATGTCATCTAACATCTGCTCACCTTCGGAGACTGTCACTGGACGTAAAATCTGTGAGCGAGTCACAGTCCCTCGACGGCAGGTGTGAAGGGGAGTGACTCAACGAATCATCATCTCTGATCGGAAAGTGGCTAGTATGCTCGCTTGTCATGATCTGATCGCGGGAGACCGGAGTTCAATTCTCCGTCAGAGAGTAACACAGCGCGCTCGCGCTTCGTTTTTGGGCCATTTGTCCATGGGTGTGGGGATGACGTGGCAGATAGCGCCCAAGTGTGGCCTGGAGAGCCACATTCAAGGCCATGTCGCGTTGTAGCGCAGCAGTCGCCTGTGCAAACGCAGTTGTGCTCACGGCGCTGCGGCCTGAAGTAGATGACATGGCAGGGAAGGCGGTGCTTGCTGTGCTGTGCTCTTCATGTGCGGATGGACGACGGATGGACGCACGACCTCTGCGTCCTTTGACCCTTCGAGGATACGGCCGCCTCAGCTGCCATCGAGAAGAGAGGATAATTCGCATGCGGAACTCTGACGTTTGCCAGCGCATGGCTGGTTCTCGTGGTGGAAGTTCCTCAGCGAGTTCATTTGAGCTGAGCACATATGGTCACTACCATGTGCTTACCACTAAAAAGGCTTTGTTGCGCGCACGCTGAGTCGAACAGCGGTTGGCTCAGAGCTGCGAATACAGATCCACAACGAACAGTGATAACCACCTACACTATACACGCCTACTGCGAAGGTTTAGTCCTTACCACTCTCTCTAGACCGGTGAAACGGTTGGCGGTAGGGATAGTGTGATAGGATATGACGGAGCCCAATAGGTCTTTAACACCCCTGCAGCTGCTTGCTGAAGACAAAGAAACAGTACGGCACACAACCTGATATGCACGGAGCTGAGATCTTCATAGTACACCCCGACGAGGTCCTGTGCCATGGTGCATCGGACACAAGTACTGTTGAGGTGGCAGAGTTGAATGGATCATCGCTTAGCGAGAAAGTTATCTCGGTCCCGATCCGGATCCGGATATCGCGATCGGAGGCAGGCGATCAGACGAGAAGAGCGGTGGTGATTGTTTGCAGACCTGTGCACAGCCTCACCGGATCGCACCTTCAGCGAGGAGCTCTTCTACCATTACTCCTCCTCGTCTTACTCAGACATGAGCTTAGCCCGCCGCGTTCAGACAAGCGTGCACGGGGCCCTCATCGGCCTAGCTATTCCTTACATATGGCTCAACATCACTCTTTGTGCGTTACCAAAGCTCGAAGCTGACGGAAGTGGCGTCGGACGCACCGTCCGGCAGATACTTGCCAGCTGCCCTCATGGTGATCGCTTGGGTCTTACTAGTGGCTGTCTTGGTTCTGTAGGTCACAGAGCTGGACAGGGCTGACAGAAGCATGAGCAAGCGTGATGGTCTCGACCCATTTCAGCTAAGCTTGCAGGATGGCGTCTCCCTTGCGTGCGCCTTCATGCATGGCGCTGTCTGTAATCTCGAGTTGCGGAGGGGGCATTCGCGTGCTCTGTGCGGTGGCTTCCTTCTAAGCTCACACCAGACACACCATCACCTCCCTCATCTCCACTGTGGTGTTCGGTACACTTGTGGGTTCTCACTGATCCCCTTAGCCGTCACTGATATCAAGTGCATGGGGGCCATAGTGATTCACCCCATGGTGTCGAGGGGTAGCGAGGAGGACGCTGCCATGGGACTGGTGATGGATGGCGGTGAGGAAGGAGCGCTCAGCCTCACCAACTCGCCGCGAATCGAGTGGCCACACTTCTACACCTCGTCGCGCCTCAAGGTGTACCGCCTCGCTGCAGCAGTGTGCCTTGTCTCGCTGGCCAGCGTCACAGAGAGGGCGATCCGCCGTGGCATTGGGTTTCTCCCTGGGCTGATGCTGATAACCTTCATGGCTGTTAGCGTCGCACTTTCGCTGTGAGGTTATATAGCTAGGGTACCGCTGACTACCTCCAGAATCGTCAACGGCCCCAGGGATGGCAAAAGCACCAATCCATACTACCGCCTGGCGAAAGGCACTCTAGTTGCGGCGAATACCCTCCTGATCGTCTTTGCGTACACCTTCGTGTTTGCTAGCTGGGCGGTGTAAGATTGTGTTCATGTTCACTCTGACTCCAGGCTTCTTCGACCATGGCCCATCGTGCTATTCTGTCTTTCATCCGTGTCGCTGCTGATTGCAGTTGTGCGGTACGACCAAGTTCACCCTAACGAGGACGCTGTGCGCCCGCCTAGCACCGACGTGGATGCCACCACCCTCTTTGACCCCGAGACCGAAGGGATTGAATCATAGGTAGAGATCATGTCACAGTAGTTAGCCAGTATCCTACGTCAATTGTTCGCTGCACACATTGACGAGAAGCGGGAAGAGATTGGATTGTGTGGCGCAGACATAGTGTCATTTGAGTGGGCGCTGTGCACCTCCACTCTCTCGACCTCCACTCTTGGCAACGTCACATGGTCAAGTGCTTCATGCCTTGCCACCATCATACCTGACTCCAGTTCCGCCTTTCAGTTCGACTTCCCGGTCACTGTACCTCTCCAAAGCCCCATGGACGCCCCTTCCGCCCGCCGTATCCTTTACAGGAGTCTACAGTTCTCCATTTTGCCGTACCTCTTCCTCAACGCGACTCTCTGCAACCCTAGCTATTGGAGTGGGTTGTCCGCTTTGAAGTCTCTAACTCCAGCTGAGTACCGCGGTTGGGCGGAGGGTTTGCAGGGCAGCGCGGCCGCTCTTATACTCTTTGCCTTCATTCTGTGCGCTTTGCGGTGGTCATGCTGACTGTAGGGTGTGCATCGACCGGCCGCGATGGGGAGAGTGGATGCTGGTTGTAGGCGCACTGGCATGCGGTATTGTCGAAAGCGTCTACCTCTGGATCCATCGCGAGCGTGACTCGATTCCATACGCTGGGTATCCATTATGGTGCGGCTCACTCGCAGCTACAACTGACAGCAGGGTAGTGATCGTCCATCTTATCATCACGACCATGTTTGGCTTCTCCGTGTGTAACCCCTAGACGAGGCTGACAACAGGCCTTGGCCTATCTTGTTCTCTCTCTTCTGAACAGTGATGACGAAGGGCTCACAGGAGATCGCGACATCGTGCTCCCAGAAACCGTCCTGACTCCGCCGCCACGCGACGTGATCGGCGGACATCGTACCATTCTCTACCGCTGGGCGGGGTACATCGCTGCGGTGCAGGCAACTGTCACCGCCGTTCCTCTAGTTGGACTTGCTGCAACAAGCTGGCCGTGGTCACTTGTGCGCACACCCGCTGGCGTCGCGAGTGTCGTTATCAGCATCTTGCTAGCATTCTTCATTGTAACATACGGCGCCTTCGCGTACGTGTTGTCCTGCTCGTTCACTAACGCAAGCGTGATGCGGGGCCCATGGTCAACTGCGACCCAGGACAAGTTCTACCTTCGCGCTAAGATCGCTCTGCTTCTCTCTGTCGCCTTCACAACTTGTTTCGCGCCATTGTCTTTCCCTCGCCCTCACGGGTACGGAGATGAGGTCACGCCCATCAAATACTTGTACGTAATCTGACCAGTACGTCGGTCGAGCTAACACCAGTGTGTGGGCACTGGGCGTCGCAGGTGCTATGGCAGTGCTAGTCATGGTGAGGACTCTCAGAGCGATCCCCAAAACTGCGATGCCATTGAACGGCGAGACACGACACTAACAACAGCTCGTGATTATCATCCGCTTCGAGAGGCACCGAGGTGTAGCTCTCATGGATGACAGCGATGACGCAACACTCGCCGACTAGGAGGGGCTTTGAAACTCAGCTAGGGCGATACACAATTCTGTGATGCAGGGCTAGGTGCAGTGCGTTTGGGAATGCAGCACCTGGTGGTAACTTCGAGGATTTATCTGACGCCGCTGAGCTGTCCTTGGCCGGAGCTTGTCTCCGTGCTGCTGTGCTGGAATACGCTGGTAAACTTCCTGTGATATGATATCACTCACTGTGCCATCATGATGGGCTCCTGCCGTTTCCGTCGACACTTTCGCCTTCGTCGCTGCTACCTTGGCATCGTACACCAGTGCGTGGGCGGCTAGTTGGAGCGTAGATGGTGAGCACGCTAATGGTGATCTCCACGGGGGTTTTATGATCACATTGATCGACGGCCACGGTCAACAACAATCAGGTCGAGCGGGCCACTAGCGCTCCTCCAAAGCGTTACCGTTTCTCAAGGGCGTTTGACACTCTTGTCCTTAACAAACCTGCATCCGGGGAAGCATGCCAGACTGCAGGGCCTCCCAACATGTTGTTCGCCGTGTGTATTTTTAGAGTTCGGTGCAGAGAGACATGCCTGCACCTTGGCCTATACCTTACTGATGTGCTGGACGACACTAAAGGTGCGACGTCAGGCAAGAGACTACTGTACAAAACTCCCACGCCTCTGAATGCTCCCGCGCGAACTAATCAACTCGGCAACTTCGCATCATCTAATGAGCGCAATGACTGGGAGTCAGGCATAGTTAAATGTGGAGCGCCACTCCAGACCGGAAGAATAGGCGGTCCGTGGCATTGTAGGGTGGGATCCCCGGTCATTGCAGTACCGCTTTCGTCCGACCCAGACATCGGCTTTACCGGCAGAGTCTCCAGACGAATCGGCCCTCTCGAATGGGCGCAGTCGCTGATTATGGTGTAACAAATTCTGTATGACGCGAGAGGCTTCCTCATGCGCCAGGCAACGGCAGAGACTGCGGTAGGAAGAAGCGGGTGTCTAGCGGGAAGCAGAAGCCGTTGTGCGGAAGATCAGTCACGTGCCGCAGACGCGTGCATCAGTGAGACACCCCATGCATCACATCACGTCATGCCCTGTCATCTACACCGCCCAGAAGTCAAACATGCTGCCGGAAAGCAGCATTATGAGACGCAGGAGGTGCGGGTTCTGAGGGTGAGATAGAGATCATTGGTTTTGGCCCGGCTACGCCTGGACTCCTTCGTCCCGACAGGTACCCGTTTGCACAGACACTTCACAGCCGCCTTTACGCAGCCCCTCTTCGATCCTTGTGGAACAGCAAACCTGATACGACCACAAAGTATCGCGGACTTAAGCTTCAGCCACGGCACCTCTGCAGTACCAAGCCAACAAGTAAAGAGACTCTTACGTGTCATAGGGTGTTATCACACCAGGAGGAATCAGGCAAGCATTCTCTCAGGCCTAGCGGAACAGCGCGAAACCGTTGCCTTCACAACGCAGGAAGCTGGAAGGATCGAGAACGGGACTAAGCACGAACGAACGCGTCGCAACATCTGGGATCGCACAGCGTACCTTCTCAAGGGCCGAAAAGTGCGGATTGTTAGAGTAGGCAGCCAGAACTTGAGAGCGTTATTAAAGTTACGGGAAAGTGTCTTGGACAGTAAGGTTGTTTGGGAGTCGTTTGAATGCCCCACAGCAGGACTTTGACAACATCCAGCAATTCTGTGCAGGGCTTTGCAGTGACTGTACCGCTTGTACTGTAAACTAAAATGCAAGACAGATAACACAGCGAAGTCGCACAAAGCAAGGTTTCCTTGGGAGAGCGTGCTCTGCTTGGCTCTCATGCATATTCTGTCAGACAAACTCATCGCTCTCCTGACCGCATTGGTGCACAAAGCGTTGTCCTCATTCACGAACCCTGAAAATCCAAACGCGTCGCACACCGTCGCGTCACAACGTTACCGTACTCCCGCAGCATCTTAGCGGGCGAGAGCAATAGAGGTCGGGAATGTGTGGAGAAGCTTGCACCTCAGGGTTCAGCATGCTTACGCGCTTGAGGCGAACACTTTGCTCGAGGGGGTGTTCCCCCTTGCAAGGCGGTACCTCGTCCTGTCAGACAGTTTCATCCATTCGTGAACTGCACCGCGTCGGGAAGACTAATATGGCTCGATATGAGTGCTGTGCTGATGTGGAGTGCTTGCACCGCCCGCCTTCCCGACGCGTGTACGCGTCTTATGCCACTTTGTGAAGATAAAAGGCGGCCACCTGCCCGTTGTATCTTCATTCGCATTGCCTTGACATTCTTCAACCCGTCCCCTTCCTCTTTCAAGCCCAACTCACCACACTCGTTATTCAACATCATGGCTTACAGCTGGCCCTCGATTGTGCAGCTTGTTGTTTTCGGGCTCGTCGCTCTTCTCAGCGTGATCCAAGCCATCTTAGGCATCGTTGTGATCGTGGCTGGCTACTGGCCTGGCATTGGCGGCCTCCTGTATGCCCTAATCACTCTTGGCTACTGCATCCTCATGTAAGTCTACCACGCGCCGCCGCTGACCTCAGCTTTGTGGCACACAAGCGTTCCCACGTTGCTCTCTTGACCACAAAGTCCGATATTATCATTGCCTCGGTCCTCTGCGTAGTCGGCCTCATCGTCGCCATATTCTGCGGCATTGTGTAAGTCACTCTCAGTCCTCTCCCTTCCTTTAAATCACTACTATGGGTCACGAATCAGTGGGTGCTGACCTCTCCAAGCGGCATCGGCACCTTTGTTCTTCTCCTCGGCATCACCATCTTCGAGTCCGTTTACGTTGGCACACGCAAGATCTCGGGCAAGTGGACGATGACACTGTACGACCTCGCCGACGTTGACGTGACCGGTGGCAGCGTCAAGCAGACCCACCAGGTGCACCAGCCCCAGCCCCAGCAGTTCGCATAAGCGGAGAGCTCCGTCCGAGAGGAGTGTAGTGTACTACGCAGGATGCCCCAAAATGTGACACATGATCCACCACCAGTTAGGCCATGTATGAGACGCCACGAAGCAGCTTTCTAGGGCCATGAATCATTAAGGTATGGCGGACAACAGGCCTACCGCTGGCCAAAGTTGACTGGAGCCTGCCAGACATCTGATTAGAAAGTGTGGTGTGCCACGAGTGGCGTTAACGATGACAACTGAGTTCTTCGGCGTGGGTAAGTTTGCGACAGGACGGTATTGACAAAGGAAATGTCCAATGGCCGGAGTCACGAACGATCGCAAGCGCAGTGATCTTGCAGGCGCTGTGACGATCATGTTATGCTGCCTCGCCACGCCGTCCCCCGTACTCGCAAGGTCCATTAGCGCGGCTTGTCAGCCACTGCGAGATCACCGCATCGAAGCAGACAAGGATGGGGGATACTCCCACACGCTCCACACGCTCCAAGCGACCATTGCTCGCATAGTGGATCAGTTTCTCGCTGGATTTTATCACAGAACGCGACCGTTTGATTCACTGTCGCAGTCTGAGAGCAGCACGTACAAAGCGCCCAGTTTTGGTGCCAAAGGATCTGACGGCACCGAGCGTTAGTAGGAACGCGGTGCAGCTCAAATTAACATACCTAAAACATGCAACGGACCGGGTGTGATTCGGCCCGCAATAATCGGCAGGTAGGAGTGTTCAGACTCATATGGGCCACATACGAAGGGACATCAGAAGTGCGCGGTCAGGCGGACGAAGAGGATGATTGCGACAGCGCCGGGCTACTCACATACATGTTCTCCATATTATGTTTGCTGCCGATAGTGGAGATGTTCCAGTTGCTGCTTTCGGGTCTCACATCGAGGGCACTGTGGTTGTGGCGGTGGCTTGCGCGGTGTGGCTTCGTGTACTTGACGCTGGGGCCTCCTGTAGGCTTTCGCTCGTCATCACTCGCGTTGGCAACCTCATGTACAGTACCTGCCCTGCACGACCGAGGCCGAGGTTGACGCCGCGTTCCCTGCGGTATCAGCCTCCGCCACGCTGAGGCGAAGGGTCAATGAGGGGTCCTCTACACGGGGTCAGGTTGCAGGGCGATACCACTATCTGGGGATCTATTGAGCAGGAGCGCTCCGTGTTTAGCATACTCTGAGGATCGGCTGCACATCAGCCGAGAAGGGAGCCAGGGAGCGACAGTGCGAACACATGGTGCGAAGAAGTGAGGGACGGGGTGCGGAATGAGGGTGGCATGTGCTGTTAAAGGGGTAATTTTCCAGAGCAGGGTCCGACTTCTTAGGTCTCGCGTGATGTGATGTGGGTGAGCACAAGCCCGAGCCGGCGCAGAGGAGAATGGGTGGCTGAGATAGCCGGTGATCACAGGAGACACGTGAACCATTCCTTGACCTTTGATGGTCCGACGGAGTGAAGAACGAGTGAAATATGTATCGTAACATCAGTATGCTTTGCGTGTGCTAGTGTACAATCCTGCATGCCCAAAATATATATCGTGGCGGTCATTATTTGCGCGACATGCTTGGTGCTCATAAAAGGGAGTGGTTCAAAACGGGGTGCCGCGGATCCGCGGCGACATCGCGCCGGGCGGAGACCGTGTCCCGGAACTGGATTGTCCAGCATTCGCAGAGGTCTCGCGCATTTCAATGGGGAGACTGGGACGGCGAGGCGGCGAGCGAGGTGATGTTGGGCCGTGAGACGAGTACCAACCACTGCTAGGGACGGAAGATGAAGACGAAGTGTGGGAGTGCCCCCCCGAGGCGATACTGGACGGGGGCATGTAGGATGACGGGGCGTATGACGGGGTGTATTGGTAGTGCGATGTGTTGTAGGACTGTCCGTACTGGGTATACGAGGTATGAGCGGGCACCGTCTGAACTTCCATTTGCCCAGGCGATGTCAGCTGGCCGAACGACGGCGAGTGCATACTCGGTAACGGATGCGCGTAAACGTGGGCCGAGGAGGTCGTACCAGGGGTATGCGGCGTCGAGCCTGGTGGTGTTGGTCCAGCACTGTTGCCTCCGCTGGAAGCACTGCTCGGAGTAGTGGCGCTTGAACGTCGGCGCGGTCGCGGCGGCGCGAGGCGAGACGCTCCGCTGTTCGTTCGCAAGCGCGTCAAGTCGTGTCCGCTCATATTGAAGCGGGGCAGGGTTTCAGTGGTATCGCGATCGTAGCTTGTTGAATAGGTGTACCCTCCTCTCGCATCCGAGCTTGCATTGCTCACAGTGCGCGTACGTGCGATGTTGAGAGGCGCTATCGTGCCCCCGGCGGTGCGCACCCGACCCGGTCCCGACGTACTGCGCGACGCGTTGCCCTCACGTGGCCAGATATTGAGGGGAGGGGTGTCCGGCACGCCCGGGAACATCGTTATTGTGGGGCTCACCCCTGGCGACACGACACTCGTTCCGCTATCCTTCCGCCCCACACGGCTCGCGGCTGTTGAGTACAGCGATCCAGAGGAAAGCCCGCTCGCTGCGCTATCCTTTCGGTAAGCTCGTTTGGCGTTGACGCCACCGGAAGACAACTCCGATGTGAACGACTGAGCGCTTGCCGCGCTGTCTAGCCGCGTCGAGCGCGCGAAGCTCTTCTCAAGCGGCATGCCTGGGAGTGTAGGTAGCTGCCCGAATGTCTGCCGGCGCACGGGCGGCTCAGACCCGCGCGGCGGCGAAAAGCTGGTGGAAGGAGGAGACGAACTCGGAACATCGATAACTAGTGGGTTTGGAGCGAGTGGGTCAACCAAGTCGGTCGGCTCGTAGTGCTCGAAGCGAGGCTTGACGGAAAGACTGCCTTGCTCGCTGCTCTCGTCGTTTGGCGGCAGCATAATACTCTCTGGACGCGCGGACTCGTTCTCAACAGCAAGACCGTTGCCGCCGGCTTCGCACTCGAAAATTGCCTGGCGTTCCCAAGGAGCGGTGAGGGTGGAAGCCCCCGGCTCAGGGGTGAGCAACGTCGGGCTGGCCGTTGTGCACTCGCTTGCAAGGGAGTGCTCCCGGTTATCGCGCTCGTGTACAAGCAGTTGACTCGAAGAGCGCACGTGTTCCGGGGGGCTTGGCGTGCTCACGAACGCCATGTACTCGTCGAGGAATGCCTCGCACGACTCACGCGGGTGCCCTCGCGACTCGTGCTCAGCTACGGCGGCCAGCTGTGCAACGAGTCGATCCGCTGAGCCAGGCCCAAGCTGCTTGTTTCCGTCAAGCTGCATGTCTGGGGGAGTCGGGAAGTTGCCGATGATGGAGAGGCACGGCGACTCGGCCACTGACCCACGACTCGGGCGGCGATACTCGCCGGGAAGTGCGAGCGAGCCCACCGAACCTTGGCGATCCACTGACGCAGCCGAGCCCTTCCGACCCGCAAGCGAGGCACGGCGCTGCGGCCCCGCGTTGTACCATCCGTTCGAGTAACGACGCGGGTCGGGAGTGCGATTGGATGTTGCGGTAGTCGGCGAGATGTCATACGAAGACACCAGCGGGGGGGAGGAGGTTTCATAAGCGGGGTGGGAGGGAGGAGACGCCGGGCGGTACGAAGAGAACGGGGGCGGGGAATGTGTGGCAGCCGACGAGTAGTGGAGAGCAGTTGTAAGAGTGAGAGGCTCCGGACGGGGTGGGTCCAGAACAGGCGGCGCAGGCGCTGGGCGGCTAGGACTCAGGTTGGGCGTACGCGGTGCGGGGTCCGGCAGCTGGGCTGGTGCCCTTTGAGGGCTGACACTGGGGCGAGTGTGGGAGGTCGAGGTTGTAGTGCTGGCGCCCGTGCCCAAAAATGCCATTGGCGGGAGCTGCGGAGCCACCTCAACAGTGGGAAGTGACAGTTGTGGTGGAGACGTTTTAGGCTTGAGCCTCGTCGTTGGATCACTTCCCGCTGTGTGCGCGCTGGTCGTGACGGTAGTGAGGGAAGTCATGGTATTGGTGGAGCGGGAGGAGAAGGACGAGCGAGAGCGAGAGCGCGTGAACGTGAATGACGAGCCCGATGAGCCGGAGGGCGAAAGCGACGCACGCGCAGTGGACGCCGTGTCAGAGGAGCGCGAGGAGCGACCAAGTGACGCTGAGCTTTTCAGGAGCTTGAGCTTCGACATACCGGCGTTGAGATTGCCGGTCTTGCGCTCCTTCTTCTTACTTTTCGACTTCGCCTTGGGGATGGATGAAGCCGTAGCTGTGTCAAGCGACGCGAGATCATCGAACAGCGATGGTCCCTCTGGTTCACTGTCGCTGCTGAGCGTAACCACAGGACCTGGCGGGAAGAGCGTAGTAGATCCAGGCGCTAGTGAAGGGGAGGGAGAGACGGGCCTTGAGGTCGACGTAAAGGAGATTTGAGAGGAGTGGGCGGTGGACATTGCAGGGTAAGGGGTGTGGGTTGACGAGGGAGGTCGGTATGGGATGAAAGCAAGGGGATGGTCTGCATCGCGCGAGTTGATGCTGGCCAGGCTACGCTTCGGGTTGACCTTGCTGACCACGGCGGGTGGCTTCGACTTGGGTCCGCTCTTGGTCGATGACTCGGCCTTGCGACGGGCTCCCCACTTCATGCGCGGCTTTTTAGCCTTCTCGGCCTCGACCACCTGATCCAGGTAAGCCATGTCGTCGTAGAATTGGTTGTTGTTGGACGAGCTACTACTACTGCTCGCTACGCTGATCGGGCGCTGGGCAGCGGGAGCTGCGAGCCCCGCGATGTTCGCGCTCATGACGGCCGGAGTAACAAACAGGGTGTGCCGGGAAAAGGAAGTGATGTACAGGTGCTGGAGATGATTGTCGTTAATGCAATGAGAACGGTGTTGTTGGATGATAGATGGCAACTAGTGCCCGCGTAGTGGCTTGTGGTCGCTGGTGATAGCCGGTCAGAAGTTTGCGTGATGAGGACTGCGATGCTGGTCACAGGCGACCTCACTGATGCAATGGCTGAGGCGCGATACCGTGCACCTTACTCGTCCGTGCTCGATCCCGTGCGGCGCCCCCCTTTTGATGTCGCTCACGGGGACTGCCGGTGCGTCGGGAGCGCTTGTACGCCAGAATGCTGGATCGCGCGGGACACCGGCGTCTCGGGCGGTGGCGTCCAGGAAAACCGATGAGGTGAATGTCGAGGAGAGCAGTGTACCAGACGTCCTTACTTTGATGGCACAGGTCGACCAGTTGATGTGCAGTAGAATTGTTAAACGCGAAATATGCTGCAGCGTGCAGCCGACAGTCTGGGACTGTGTACCTGTACCTGGTGGAAGGGTTGGATGTTCGATGCCAAGGTGGACTTCAAACACCGGCTGCAGAGCAGACCGAGGGCAGTGGTATTTGGGGGAGGGGGTTTATGGAGGATGCCGAGGCCGAGGCAGCAGCAACAGCAGTAGCAGCAGAGGACCCACGCAATGTTGCGCGAGGCGCTTTCACCCCTGGATCACGACGTGGGGGACGCGAAGTTGCAGCCATGAGCCATGCAGGGCAGTTCAGATATCAGGTCCCGGTCGCCGGTCGATGGCATGGCCGAATGATTCTGCTCGAGTATTGAGTGTTGTGGGTAAATTGTAACACGCTGCCCGCCCCCTGGTTTGGAAGATGTCGCCAGAGGGGAAAGCAGATTAACACCCCTTTGTGCCCACGATCTGGGTGGCCGTAAAACTCCAGAGACAGCAGAGCCAGGGCGATGCCACCGGGGAGTCCCTCAAACCAGGCACTAACGCCATCTTGCGTTCAAGGTGCAGTAATCCTCGGCGCATTTCCACTGCCCGAAAGCGGCGTCAGGAGGCATAAGTTGCTGGATTTGCTTGAGTCCAGGGTGCCAGAGGCAGCCTGCCCAGAAGCGGGAAGAGCCGTTCCGCGCTGCACTGCGCTTCCGCTTGAGCTCCTCGAATGGCGCAGGCGTCCCGTGATGACAATCTCCCACATCCGATATTGTACTACCAGGCAGACGCACATCTCCCGTCTCCGCCGGATTCAAAGCACGATTAGAGGGAAGTCCAAACGAAAGCTTTGGCAGGTGAGGCATGGTTCGGCTCCGAAACAGCGGAGGGGAGGCAGTAGGGCGAGCTTGCTGGAACCGACGAGGCAAGAGCATGCATGAATAGGTTCTGTTGAGCGGGTAGGTAATGGACGCAATGAGACTCGAGCAAAGCACGGTTGGGGCTTTAAAACTCGACCCGTGACCAGTCAATCCGGTCGGAGCCCGATCGCGGGCGGCTTGGACGCGAGAGCATTGATAGATGTCGCATTGTCGGCCTCCCGTGAGGGCAGTTCTACTGTCAGCGATGCCCGGTTGAGTGGCATACCCAAGGCTGATCGATGGTGCCCATGTTCCGGAGAAGCTAACGGTAAGCAACGTTCACGATGATCCGCCCCAACTCACTGCGACCATCTGGGCCTTGGTGAGAGCTTTGCCAATCATCACACTCTTCCGGCACGCTCGCATAGCAAACATAGCACGGGCCTTCGTGCAGCGCACAGTTTGCCCCTCGGGACGTGAGCTGTCCGACAGCATGTGAAGAAGTTGCTCAAGGTCTACAGTCAGCTCCGCAACCTGGTCCCGACCGAAAGGCCATACCTCGAAAGTCAAACGTGGTCTCCTTGCTGACCGGCATTGCCCGTAAGCTGACCCGTTGGCCACACCCCGGAGGCGCATCCTCATCCACCGTCACCTCGAAACCATTGGCTTTAAGGACATCCAAGTTCTCCATAGCGACAAGCTCATCTGCAGCAGTTAGCTGCATCGCACGGGGCCTGGAAGTAAGCGAGTCGTCAAGAGATGCCACCCACTTGATCAAAGCCTGAGCCTTGATAATGGTCGTGCGCTGCAGCGTCTCGAAGTTGTACTTCTCATCGCTGGCATGCTGGTCGATAATGAACAGATCGTCCGAGCCGCTGATCGCACCGACAGTATCATGCCCCCTGAGCCGCGCAATGATAAAGCCCTTGTTGAACTGGCCGAGTACTTCCATACGAGCAAAATCTTCCTTGCTGATGACGCGGGAGAGGGCGTCCTCAGCGGCCTCGGCATCGCGATTACCCAGACCGGCCGCCTCAGTCGCCGCGCCCTCACGCAGTGTTGTGAAGGCGCTTCGATTGATATTTGCGCAGTCAGCTCGCCTGCGTCGACGGGCGGTGGACCGCTCCCGCAACTTTTCCAGGTTGAAACGCAGAGTCGCGTGTCCGGCAGGGGCGATCGTTTTAATCTCATTGCGGTAGCCATCCAGTGCTGGTTCGTCATCGCCGTCGACATCCATTCGCACGGCTTCGCGTTGCTGGTCCGTCTGCTCGGTGGTTGGAGACGGTGATCGACTGGTGAGGGAGACGTCGCTTGTGGCACCGTCGAGAGCCTCATTGTCCGCATCTGTCCATTCTTGCCCTTCGATAGCAACTGCTTCTTGCAACCTAGTGGACACTCGTGCTTTGTCGAGTTGCTTTGGATCCGCTTCGGTGACCAGGTCATGGTACGAGAGCGTTGTTAGCACTGGCCTTGGTGTTGAAAAAGCACCAGCCGCGTCTCGGTGTGGGTAGGCAACCGCGGGTGGTGTCTCCTCCGCATCACTGATCTCCTGCCCGAGCTCCTCCTCACTAGTGACTCCCTGTTCCTCTAGTAACTCTGCGGATGACTCAGGCCGCCCCAAAGTACGCGTGGGCAGAATCTCAACCACTTCTTCGTCGCTGTCGTCGTCACGGACGCCTCGACGGCTTCCTTGGCTGGCAAATACGGCGAGGCGGTCACGCAATGTGCTTCGTGCTGCACGGCCCGTTACTGGCGTCCGGAGAAATGCCGATGATGGCCCATCCCTCCGGTTCGGACTCCATGCTGCAGTCGTGGTGTCCAAAGTCTGTTGCTTCAACCGATATCCAGGTGGTGAAGGCCGGCTCATCCCACCACGGCCAGACGACGCTCGCGTTGGCGGGCGTGACGTCGCACCGGGAGAGTCATCGAGCTCACCAAGCTCCTCCTCTTCGCTATCCAACTCAGCCAGGTCACCCGCGCACGATTGTTCTGAGTGCTGTGACTCTGCTGAGAGTTCCCCTTGTGCCTCCTCCACGGCCTCTTCGTTGTTCACCTCAGTGCCCTTTTGCGTTATCTTGATGGTGTGCGAGGCCCCGCCAACGGCAAAGGATGATCGCGTTGGCTGGAAAAGCTCGTCAAGACCTTTCTAAGAATTAGCGGCTGTAGCGTATATACGCTCACTCTCAGAGCCTCGATAAGGTTCGCCTCGCTGTGCACCATTATCGTTCGTTTGTCCGGGCTCACGTTGATGTCGACGCTCTCCGTGGGTATCTGGAAGTCCAGTATGGCCAACGGCAGTTGATTGGTGTTGAAGCTCTTATACACGTCGTTGACGGCGCGCATCACCTACTGTCAGCGGTGTGGTAGTGGCGGGGCCTACGGTGGGAAGTGAGCAGGGCCGGCCATTGATGTACGTGAACTGCCTGTCGGCGCTAGAGCGCCCCTGCCCCCATGTTGCAGATGAGATGAGCCCAGTCACGCGGACGGCCTCCGATCTATCATCAGCGTGAAGGCGGCCTTGTAATCGTACGTCTCTTCGATGCCCTCGCGGCGAGCCATAGCGCGATCGATCTCAACGTCCAACTCGAGATCTATCTCGACGACGCCTTCGAGAGCCTTGGGACCCCACACGGCGCTAACGGATGACTTAAGAGAGCCACGCCCATCGGTCGCCAGCACAATATTTCGCTTTCTATCATTAATAAGGTCCAGAGCGAACAACTTACCCTCCTTTTCCCGCACCAATCGACTCTACCTTGAGGCGCACTCCGGTTCGCCCATGGCCCTTGCTGGCCGGCACCAGCGCATACGCATTCAGGATGCCTAAGGCTTTCATGTATTCGCGCTTGGCAGTGCGCTCAAACTCCTTGCGCCGGACCGGGAGAGTCTTGAATAGACCGTTGAGAGTGATAGTTGTTCCGCGCTGGCGTAAGCCTGCAAGCTCAATGCGCGTGGAGTCGGTTCACCTGACGGGCGACGCGCCCACTGTCGTCCACCACCGCACCGTTGCGTCCGAGCTTGATCACCGCGCCCATCGGTGCCGTATCTTTGGTAGCTGTCACAACAGTGACACTCTCACAAAGAGCGCAGAGCGCCGCCAGCGCCTCTCCGCGGAAGCCAAAGGTCTGGACCTGACTGAGCCCCTCAAGCGACGGAAGCTTAGAGGTGTGGTGTTTAAGGCCAGCGATCAGCACCAGATCCACGCAGAGAACGACGCACCAATGGAAGCCCAGTCCGCCTGTTCAATCCCGCTTCCATTGTCCACCACCTCGACAGAGTCGAGCCCGTGGTCCTTGATCCGCACATCTAAAGTCAGCCAAGTAGGCCGCGGGTCACTCTCACCAACACTTGTTGCGCCGGAGTCGAACGCATTCTCCACCAGCTCCTTAACAACGCCTTGCAGGTCTAATACAACCTGCCCAGAGTGGATGCGGTGCACCGATTCCCGGTCGATAGCTAATGTCAGCGCATGCGCCTAGCTTAGACATCATCCAGGCACCTTTGATAGCGCCGACAGACATAGGAAAGTGGGAAGCGATGTTGTTGACCCAACATGTCAACATGTAATGAGACGCGTCGCGTTAGTCAACTCGTGGACACCTCCACCGGTGCCTGAATTGCCGCTCATGTCTCTTCAGGCGTCCATCATGTATCCACAGCTCCTCCTCCGTCTCAACAATCATGTCTACGACGCAACGCGTCACTCGGGCGGCTGCTAGACGTGCGGAGCAGGATGCTTCCCAACTCCCGCCATTACATACCTCCGCTGAGACGCAACCGACCCAACTGATCCCCCCCTCCACGTCAACCCCACCCCCAGATGATGCCTCAGCGCCCATGTCCCCGCTCGCTCCCATCTCGCCTTGGCCTCCCGAAGAGCCGGCGGCTCCCTATCCTGACCTTCCACTTGCAAAGGAGGTGTATGGCTTACTGGCCGTTCTGTTGACCTACCTGGCGTTTGCAGCGTACCTGATATGGGCGTTCGCACCCTCAAGATGGCTCGACGCGGTGGGCTGGACCTGGTACCCTTCGAGGTTCGTTAATCTGCAGACAGGCGGCTGAAGACAGGGAATGGGCGGTTATCGTGCCGTGTTGGCTCATGGTCGTTGTTCTCCTCACGTATTGGGGCTACACAGCGCTCACGGCTCTCCTCACTCCCGGTTTCGACAGCCGATACATCATCACCGGTGAGCGAGCGGCCAAACGCGGGGAGCTGAGGGCAGACGAGCGTTCCAACATTCCTATCGAAGGACAAGGTGCCGAGCCATACTATTGGAAGTTTGCAGAAGCGGACGCCGTGCCGGAGGTCGTCGACTTGCCAATCGACTTCGTCAATCGTGTGCTTTATCCCCCACGCTCGAGGCGCCGCCCGCGATATTGAAGGCTGGACGCTAAAGCAGAGGTGGACTTCAGTATACCTCCATGTTCGCGAAGGTACTCCAGGATGGATGGGATGAGGATGTTCGGCCGTCCCCCGTCAGGCTGCAATAGCAACCCCTTCGAATGCGCGAGCCCGTTACGAGCCCGGCCGGAGTGATGGAATATCATCAGTCGATCAGGATGTTCTGGGCTCCTGGTCAGATTCCTTCTTGGCGTTTGCCCAATTGCCCACAACAGTCACAACAGTGTCCTCTCAGATGACCGCAGATCAGCGGCCGACCACCTGAGTGATCGAGTGAGCTGCCCACCTCCCTCTGCCCACCACATTTTGCGGACCTCGACAAGGAATGTAGGCAACTGGCGCCGCGGCGCTCGCGTTCGCAGGTCCGTCTGTAACGATGGGCATGGAGCCGGGTGGGGTAGCCTCAAATGGGCATTCCGCATGACGGATGACAACAGGCACCTCTTTGGTACAGCACACCTGACTTTTCTCCCCACTCATAGACAATTCTCACAGATGGCACCTGACCTCACCCATTTCAGCCACAACTCATTCGAGATGGACCAGACTGGGAGGGCAGTATGATTGGAGAAGGGCCATCTGAGATAATCTCACTGAAGGCCAAGTGCCCATTGCCCAAAATATCAGCTAGCACTCGGTCCCGTTCCGCCTCGTGCATCGATAGTTGGCCGGTCCACCCTCGATGTGATCAGGTCCCAAACCTTCGTCATGCATGCCCATCGACGGACTGCCCACATGCGGGTCAGGCGATCAGGCGACTCACTACCCCACGCACTTACCGGGACCTGGAATGATCAGTGTCGTGAGGGAGAAGAAGTGAGATTCTCTCGCTCGTGTGGGGGCAGTGGACTTAAGACTCAGCTTCGTACAAGAGGATTATCTGCGCAAGAACCAGAGCAACATGTCGAGCAACATGTCGAAGAGATACTCCATCGAGAAGACCGACTCACGACACGGCGATATCACGATTCTGGACGCTGAGAAAGACGACTTCGCCAAGGATGAGACGATCACTAGGGTGCGCGAGGTCAATGGACAGCGCCAGCGGCGGATGTCCAGCTACGGCGGCGGACGTCGGAGCTCGCTCGGTGTGATCCAAGGACCCCCTGGCCGCCGGATGTCCCTCAACCCCACCGCCGGCATGACTGAGCTGGAGAAAGTCGAGTATCTTGCCGACGTAGCCGAGGACGGAGAGGTCAAATTCCACAAGCTCAGCTGGCTGCAGCTCACCATCGTCCTCATCGTCACTGCCGTGGCGCTGGGCACTCTCTCAATGCCGGTGTAGGTTTTCTTGTTGCGTATTTGCCAACTCCAGCGTGTTTGCGTCTCTCGGTATGGTTGGCGGAATTCTCATCACGATTTTCATGGGATTTGTGGCAATCTATACGTCCTATGTGAGTGCTGGAGTGCCTCTCACGCTCTCCCCCCGAGTGCTAATTGCAGGTCATCGGCCAAGTTAAGCTCAAGTATCCCCAGGTTTGCCACTACCCGGACATCGGACCTCTTCTCCTTCCCGGAGCGGCCGGCGTCGCTCTCCGCAAGTTCCTGCAGGTCTGCTTTGTGGTATTCCTGGTCCTTATCGTCGGCAGTCACTGCCTAACTGGCCAAATTGCCTTTAAGACCATCTCCGACAATGACACGCTCTGCAAGGTTGTTTGGAGTGTGGTGGCAATGATACTGCTGTTCGTCTGTGCTCTTCCGCCTTCGTTCTCCGAGATGTCGGTCCTCGGCTACATCGACTTTCTCTCCATCATGAGCGCCGTCTTCGTCACTCTCATCGCCACAGGTATCCAAGCACGTAAGAAAGACTGGGAGACTGGGTGGACTGCTGCTGCACCCGACATCCCCTTCGCGTACGGCATGCTCGCCGCCACAAATGTGAGAAGCCCAGGGTAACTTTGCTGACTTCAGGTGCTGTTTGCGTATTCGTTTGCTGTACGAGGCTATGATCGCATGAGCTGACCCCAGGTCTGCCAGTACGTAGTGTAAAGATGGCCGCGTGGGCCCATTAACACAAGCTAAACTACAGATTCTCCTTCATGGAAGAAATGCACACGCCAAGTGACTTCCCGAAATCCATCTACACCTTGGGCGCGGTTCAAATCACAATCTACACTACAGTCGGGGCCCTCGGCGTGAGTCCCTACATTTAGCTGAAGCCAACGCTATAGTATGCTTTCGTCGGACCCGAGGTCAAGTCCCCCTCTCTTCTCAGCGCGGGCCATACTGTCTCCAGGGTGGCGTTTGGCGTCGCGCTGCCCGTCATCTTCATCTCAGGCTCAATCTGTGCGGTTACAGCTGGTCGTTTCATCATGGACCACGCGTTCCAGCACAGTACCGTGCGCTACGTTAACACACCACGCGGCTGGATGACCTGGATCGGACTTATTGCCGCTTGCTGCCTCATCGCTTGGATCGTCGCGCAGGTCATTCCCGTGTTTTCCCCACTGTTGGGCATCATCTCCGCCCTCTTCAACTCGGCTTTCACACTTTACCTACCCGGAATCATGTGGTTCAAGTTGATTCGGGAGGGCGGCTGCTTCTCGAGCGCCAAGAACATCACGCTCACCATAATCAACATCATTGTCATCATATTTGGTCTCGTGATCTTTGGTGCTGGCACGTACGCTTCGGTGTTCGACATGGCTCAGTCGTATAAGGGCAAGAGCGTCGGCAAGCCGTTTGCCTGCAAGTAGCGGCTGTCGTACGGTTGTGAAGTCAGAAGAGATGTCTCGTAAACATAGTTCTGGTAAAGAATGAAAACCCTGGAGGCGCATTCATTGCGATGACACTGTGAGGATAACAGAGACCGTCTGTTCATGAAGCATGAGATCCAGCTGAGCCATCGGGAAGGTGGGCTTATTTGAGTTAGCAAGGCGCATTCGATACAAACCTACTTAAACAGGAAGAACAACCCATCACCAGTGATGTGCTGTCACACCTTCACAAGAACAACAGCGGTGCGGAGCAGGTAACATTGGACACAGGCCTGGAGGGCCCACACACTGGCAGGGCATTCCCTGTCCGTGAGCTCACTGCTGCCAAGTTTCTTTAAGATAGCCCTGCCAGCTCAAGCGGGAGGGGTGAACAATCCCGCCCAGTTTGAACCTCTTTGCTCATGCACGCAGCGTATCCGTCTGCTTCGTGGCGATTTCGTATCTCAACGTGAACGCGCGAGATACTTCGGAGAAATGATGGATATAGGACTGCCGACGTCATCGCCTCGCCCGCAGCGTTATTGACACGCAGCGATCTTGATATCATTCCTCCATCTACTCTTCTCACAAACAAAATGTTCTCGAATCTCAGCTGGCAGGGTTAGTGCCTCCTTTGTATCGCTAACACAAGACAAGCAGGCCTTCTTCGCGCTCCTCGACGAGTACTTTGAGTCGCGCCCACACCTGCGCCCCGGCGCGGGAGGCGCGGCCGACCACTCCTCCTCGGCGCCGCCCGTGTCGTTTTCCTCCAAGCCTTCTTCTCGCCCTACCCCTCCCGCACCCCTACGTGCAGTCTCGCACGCCTCGGGCATGTCGAGTCCCGACCGTCCCGGCTCCGCCGCCACCGGCACCTCCAGCACACACACAGGTAGTACCGGCGGCCGGCAGCTTGGGCAGGCCAAGGGTGCATTCAACGACAGCATGGCCAAGGTCACGAGCAACAGCACCATCAAGGCGGGCCTGGGCAAGGTGGGGGCTGGTGGCCTGGCGAACAAGTTCAGCGGCGGGAGCACCTTCAAGCCCACCGGCAACGTGCCCGGGCCTGGCGAGCGTCATCTCCCGCCCGCACCCGCCCGCAGCGTTGTGGGCCCCCCTCCGCAGCGCAATGTCGGAGGAGGCGCCAAAAGCGGAGGGACGGGCGCGTGGAACGACGCAACGCCCGCACAGCCTGTGCCGGCGTACAGCGGGGCAGGGCGCGCGCAGGCCGTGTATGACTTTGACGGAGGGGTGAGTCAGACCTTGGAAGTCAAGCTGACGGCAGGACGTCAATGATCTGCCGTTGCGCGCGGGCGAGGTCGTCACGATTGTAGCCAAGACATCGCCCGACTGGTGGACGTGTCGCAACGCTGAGGGACGCGAGGGTCTCGTGCCTGGCAACTACATGACCGAATTGTAAGCTGTACATAGCACGGATGCGACACTTCAGGCGGCGGCAAGGGCAGGCAAGTGAACATGGGATCTACATCTCTTCTACAAACTAGGCCGCAGCGCCGAGGACGCGCACGGTGCGGTCAAGACCAGCTAGCACAATCTCGCTGCCGAGCTTGCCGAAACGCGCAGCAGTGATATTGGCGTTGTTGTCGTCGAACTTGAGCAGCTCGTCCCAAGATTTGTTGGCATAGACGCGCAGGTCGGTGCCGGCGACGGAAAGGAACTGGGCCGATGGGTCGAAACGAACCTCGGTAACCACGTTCTCACTCGGCAACTGCCAGCTGGAGAAGAGTTTGAGCTTGCGCAGGTCAAACACGTTGACATTGTTGTCAGCCGCGGAGCCGGTCGCCAGATAGTAGCCATTTTCGGAGAAAGCAACACTCGACAGCGCCTTGCCCGGGTGCGAGTCGAGATTGGCCTGGGGCGCCGAGTTCGATCGTGCATCCCAGACGCGCACAATGCCATCCTTGGTACCGCCAGCGGCGAGGACGCCGTCGGGATGCGTCGCGAAAGAGGTGTAGGAGAACCCGCCCTCAACGCCCTCGGCGGGGCCGTACGTCGCAATAGTCTTGGCCGTGCCAATGTCGTGCAGCGCCCAAGTACCGTCCGTAGACGCCGACGACACATAGAGCCCACTCGGGTGTACTGCCAGGCCGGTCACGTCACCCTTGTGCGCAGTGATGCTGCCGTGCGCGGCCCACTTGCCATCCTTGTCGCCCCAGAACCGCACAGTCTTGTCCGCAGCACTCGAAACAGCGAGCAGCGACTCGCCCTCCTTCTCGCGGAACGCGACGTGTGTGACCGCCTTCGTGTGTCCCTTCAGCGTGCCGATGACCTTATCGCTCTCAAGGTCGTACACTTGCACAACCTTATCGTTGCCGCCCGTCACAATGGTCTTTCCGTCGCTCGCCAAGTCAAGGGCCGTCACTCCTGGCGGCTTAGTGCCGTGCATTGACCCCAAAGACTTGGTCTCGGTGTACCCTTTGACCGCCTCCGCATTGGCGTACCCTGGTGCGGGCTTGCGCTTCTTGCGCATTGCGAAGAGCCTAAGCGTCAGATGCGTCATGGATGGTTACTCACGCCGCGTTCGTCTCCATAATCTTCTCCTCCACGGATGGTGGAAGCGGCCCCGATGGCTCCGCCTCCATCTCAACGTCGTCACCCGCATTTGTCGTCGGCGCAACTCCAATCGTTGCTTGAATGGACTGCAGCGCGCTGATGTCAGCAGCTTTCGACGGAGGAAACAAACCTCCTCGCCTCGTCACGCTCAGCCATTAGACGCGCAATCACGCGTGTCGCCGCATCCTCGCGGTACAGAGCGTTGGCGAGTTCTGCCCGCTGAGCCTGGAACGCCTTCTTGATCTCGAGCGACTCCAGCATGATAGAATCGTACTCGCCCTGAAGGGCGGTCAGAAGGGCGGGGATAGACGTCTGCGTAGCCGCCCGAGGAGGAAGTGTCGAAGGCTCTGGATGTTAGCCCGCGCGGAGGCGCACCTTGAACGACTCACTAGCCTTGACCTCCACAAGATCATCCTTTGTCAAGGCCTCGCCTGAGATCGGGTCGGTGCCATTCTCCTCTGCTGGTAAGCTCATGCTACAATTCAATCAGCTCCTCACCAATGTACCGCTCGATTAGTGCCTTCTCGTAGACGGTCCCCGACGTCTTGGAGACGACTGGGTTCGTAGGGGGAGATCCAGAAACTGCGATGGCATCAGCGCAGCTGTCGTGGTGCGCATGTCATCAGACTCACTTGCACAGAAGAACATGATATCCCGTGCTGTTTCGGAGCGGATGGGATGCTCCAAGGTCGGCCGAGGTGAAAAGAGTAGTCGAGAACAACAGTTGCGTCAACATGAATCGAGGTGGTCACCGTTCTTTCAGCGGCGGCGGTGAGGTTGTGTTCAACGGAATCAAATGTATCAACTGAGTACACGTCATCATTGTTTGCAGCAGTTCGCCGCCCAGTGGTCCGGGCCTCGAGTCTTAAGTCGCCCCAATTCCTCCTCATCTCCGAGCTGTTGCTCAACGCGCCTGCGGCTTCGTTCCGCGACCTCTCACTGGTGATACTCCCTTGACAGTCGAAATGGCCATGGACCTCAAGCAGTACATTAACGACAATGTCGTGCGCGTGAGTGCTCCGCGACTGCACAGCCGCGAAACCAGCTCACTCCACTAGATGTTCGGGTCGTCTGACAGCGCAACTGTCGACTTTGTGCACTCTATGGGTAGGTCGCAGTCAGGGGAACGTGGAACTGTGTCTGACATTTTAGCGCTGTCTGCGAAGACGCCTGGGGATCTGTTCAATTCGCTTGTCGGGATCGGGCTGGACGCTTCTCCCGAGGCTCAACAGTTCGCCACCCAAGTTCACTCCCTTGTTCCGCGGAAGACCAAGACAAAGGCCTCCAAGGCCGAGTCCAAAGTGAAGCCGCAGAAGTTCTCCCTACTCATGGAGGACGAGGAACCGGCGTCGTCCAAAAAGAAGAAGAAAAGCAAGAAGGAGAAGGAGTCGGAAGGCGGTCGCGATCGGGACCGTGACGGCGGCGCTGTCAAGCAGGGCCGTTCATCGCGCAAGCGCGAAACCGAAGGCAACTGGGAGTCAGATCCCGAGGAAGAGGAGCCACCAAAACGCGCCCGCTTTGAGTCACCAACACGCGGTGACGAGCCTGAGGAGCCGCCACTTCCCGAGGAAACGGAAGAAGAGCGTCTCGAGCGCGAGCGGCTGGAGGACCTTGCAGAACGAGATGCCTTTGCTGAGCGTATGAAGAGCAAAGACAAGGATCGGACGCGCAAGATCACGATTGACCGCGGCGGCGATGAAGAGCAAGCGCGGCGGATGGCACTCGCCGACGATCCAGAAAGTCGTCCAGCCGTGATGGGCGACCTGCGTCTGCGCTCTCGTCAGGAGTATTTGAAGAAGCGCGAGGCCCAGCGGCTTGACCTGCTCAAGCTGGAGGTAGAGGACGAGAAGATCCTCTTCCGCGGGCAAAAGCTCTCGAAGCGCGAGATTGAAGAGCACGAGCGCAAAGTCGAGCTGATCCGAATCATGGAGGAGCGGCAAAAGATCGACGACGGGACCGACGGTTACATGCTGCCGGACGACTACATCACCGAGCAAGGGCGCATTGACTCAAAGAAGCGCAAAAACGCATTGTACCAGCGCTACGAGGAGCGCAAGGTCAAAGGCGCGGACGGAGAGTTTGTGACCGACGTCGATCAATGGGAGGAGAGCCAACGCGAGAAGACGAACCTCATCACGGGCGCGCTCGACAAGGAGGTAGTTGAAGATGGATACGACTATGTGTTCGACGAGTCGCAGGGCATTCAGTTCCTCCAAGAGGGAAAAATGGACGGGACACTCACTCTCGAGGCGCAGGCCCTTCTCAACCAGGTCGAGGAAGCCGAGAAGAAGGCGCAATCTATCGAGGAAACGCGCAAGTCACTACCAATCTACGAATTCCGTGACGAACTCCTTGACGCCATTCGCGACCACCAAGTACTCATTGTCGTCGCCGAAACCGGATCGGGCAAAACAACCCAGCTACCGCAATATCTTCACGAGGCCGGCTACACGCAGGGCGGGCTGAAGGTCGGGTGCACGCAGCCGCGTCGTGTAGCCGCCATGTCGGTTGCGGCACGTGTTGCAGAAGAAATGGGCGTCCGGTTGGGGCAAGAATGCGGTTATTCGGTCCGCTTCGAGGACATGACGAGCGATAAGACGGTGCTCAAGTACATGACCGACGGAATGCTGCTCCGCGAGTTCCTCACCGACCCAGAACTATCGACGTACTCCGCAATCATCATCGACGAGGCGCATGAGCGCACATTGTCGACTGACATCCTCTTCGGCCTCGTCAAGGATATTGCGCGCTTCCGCCCAGAACTCAAACTGCTCATCTCGAGTGCGACGATGAATGCCCAAAAGTTCTCGTCCTTTTTTGATGATGCGCCTATCTTCGACGTACCTGGCCGACGCTTCCCGGTCGACATGTTCTATACGCAGCAACCGGAGGCGAACTACATCCACGCCGCCGTAACGACTATTCTCCAAATCCACACGACGCAGCCCAAAGGGGACATCCTTCTCTTTCTGACGGGCCAGGACGAGATTGAGGCGTGTGAAGAAAATCTGAAGGAAACAATGTATACCCTCGGCGACAGGGTGCCCGAGCTGATTGTGGCACCAATTTACGCCAACCTCCCGACGGAGATGCAAACCAAGATCTTTGAGCCAACGCCTGAAGGGGCACGCAAGGTTGTCTTGGCTACCAACATCGCCGAGACGTCCATTACCATTGACGGCGTCGTATACGTCATCGATCCGGGCTTTGTCAAGCAGAACAACTACAATCCGAAGACGGGCATGTCGTCGCTCGTGGTGGAGCCTATTTCACGTGCGTCCGCGCAGCAGCGCGCGGGCCGTGCAGGGCGTGTCGGGCCCGGCAAGGCATTTCGTCTCTATACGAAGTGGGCGTTCCGCAACGAGTTGCCGCAGGATACGATCCCAGAAATTCAGCGGACCAACCTTGCCATGGTCGTGCTGATGCTCAAGTCGCTGGGTATCAATGACATTCTCAACTTCGACTTTTTGGACAAACCTCCGGCCGAGACGATCATCCGCTCATTCGAGATGCTCTATGCGCTCGGCGCACTCAATCACAAGGGCGAGTTGACTCGGCTTGGGCGGCGTATGGCCGAGTTTCCAGTTGATCCGATGTTGAGCAAGGCGATTATCGGCAGCGAGGTGTACAAGTGCACACATGAGGTGTTGATCATTGTGTCAATGGTACAGGAGAGCGGCTCACTGCTGTATCGGCCGAAGGACAAGCGGGTGCACGCGGACAAGGCTCACAAAAACTTCCAAAAGCCTGGCGGTGACCACTTCACGCTGCTTAACATTTTCAACCAGTGGGCCGACAGCAACTACAGTCAGCAGTTCTGCTACGAGAACTTTGTGCAATACAAGTCGCTCGTGCGGGTGCGCGACATCCGGGACCAGCTGGCGTCGCTCTGCGACCGCGTCGAGGTGGTGATTGAATCGCTGCCGAACGAGATTGTGCCTATTCAGAAGGCCATCACGGCGGGTTACTTCTACAACACGGCCCGCCTTGACAAGGGCGGCAGCTACCGTACGACGAAGAACAACCACACTGTCTACCTCCACCCGTCGTCCGGGCTGATCGGGATGCAGCCACCGCCCCGCTTCATCCTGTACTACGAGCTTGTGCTCACGAGCAAGGAGTACATGCGGCAGTGCATGCCCATCGAGGGTTCGTGGCTCGCGGAGCTGGCCCCGCACTACTTCAAGAAGCAGGAGATTGACCAGATGCTCGGGAGTGCAAGCAAGATCAAGATGCCGAAGCAGATTGCGCCGCCGACAGTTGGGCCGGTTGCGTCGTGAGATGGTCGAGGAGAAGCGTCGCGGGAGGTTGAGGGACGTTGTAGCATTAGAAGAAACTCACAACATTGCATTATTGATAGCATAGTACTTTACCGCGTTAAAAGTCGGTCGCGCAATGCGTGCCACGGACCGCATGAGATGGCGGTGCGAGCTTGTATTCGGCATCCAATCGCTGGAGTCGTCCGCTCGGGCACTCTCTCGGGGAGCAACTGCGCATGGGAATACTCTCACGGACCGCTGAGCGTGAAAGCGGACCACAATCATCATATCCGTAGCAACGGTCCACACGGTCCCCAGTAATCAAATCGCCATAATGACCTCATCCCGCTACCTGCGTGTGTTGGATGGTGCTGGAAAATGAATGACGTCATGTGTGAGTTTTTCGAGGGTCAAGGTGTTGATACGTTGATACGATTGATTGAGGCTTTGGATGCTCGTGCAGAGATGTGGCGGACGTGGCGGGTGAGCTGTGATGGCCGTGGTGAGATGAGATGAGGGATGAGGGGCGAAGGTATTATTTGTTTGTGGCGGCGAGATCGTCTGCTTGCTCATGTTTGAAGGCAAGAGGCGATTAGATCAGATCGGCAGGGCAAGATCTCGCCCGCCCACAGCGGTCGGCAGCAATCCTCGCTTGGCCAACAACGCTCCAAGCTCGAGAGGTCCTTCGATCCATCCAGTGCTCATATAGTGATGTACGACCTATGCAGCAGTCAGTAGCATGAGGTAGAGGAGCATAGAAGGGGCTCGAGGGTGGAGGATGCTGCCGGAGGGTGGGAGGAGACGGAAGCAAATGCCAAGGGGAAGACACGCGAGCTACGGTGACGGTTCCAGTATCTTCTATGTCGAGCTGGGCTGTGCGCGTACGCACCACCTTCCTTTCCAGCATATTCGACATTCAGGCCCATCCTTCACCCTCGTCTATACAAGAAGGGCTCTTCCTCCACCGTCCATCTCCCATCTTCCCACTTTCTCCACCACTCTCAACTCTCTCTTCCCCACTTCCACTCTTCATAATCATGTCCAAGGCTATCGGTATCGACCTCGGCACCACATACTCCTGTGTCGCCGTCTGGTAAGCACCCCCCCCCCCCCCCCCCCCATCTCTATAGAGCTGCGCTAACATAACAGGCAGCAGGACCGTGTCGAAATTATCGCCAACGACCAGGGCAACCGCACAACGCCCTCCTATGTCGCTTTCACCGACTCGGAGCGTCTCATCGGCGACGCTGCCAAGAACCAGGTCGCCATGAACCCCTACAACACCGTCTTCGACGCCAAGCGTCTCATCGGCCGCAAGTTCGAGGACGCCGAGGTGCAGTCCGACATGAAGCACTGGCCATTCAAGGTCATCTCCAAGGCTGGCAAGCCCTTCATCCAGGTCGAGTACCGCGGCGAGGAGAAGCAGTTCTCTCCCGAGGAGATCTCCTCCATGGTCCTCATCAAGATGAAGGAGACCGCTGAGGCTTACCTTGGTGGCACCGTCTCCAAGGCTGTCGTCACCGTCCCCGCCTACTTCAACGACTCGCAGCGTCAGGCCACCAAGGACGCCGGTACCATCGCTGGTCTCGAGGTCCTCCGTATCATCAACGAGCCCACCGCCGCCGCTATCGCTTACGGCCTCGACAAGAAGTCTGAGGGCGAGAAGAACGTCCTCATCTTCGACCTTGGTGGTGGTACCTTCGACGTGTCGCTCCTGACCATTGAGGAGGGCATCTTTGAGGTCAAGGCTACTGCCGGTGACACCCACCTTGGTGGTGAGGACTTTGACAACCGTCTCGTCAACCACTTTGTCCAGGAGTTCAAGCGCAAGAACAAGAAGGACATCACCTCGAACGCCCGTGCTCTCCGTCGTCTCCGCACCGCTTGCGAGCGTGCTAAGCGCACTCTCTCGTCGGCCGCTCAGACCTCGATCGAGATCGACTCGCTCTACGACGGCATTGACTTCTACACCTCGATCACCCGTGCTCGCTTCGAGGAGCTCTGCCAGGACCTCTTCCGCTCGACCATGGAGCCCGTGGAGAAGGTTCTCCGTGACTCCAAGATTGACAAGTCGTCGGTCAACGAGATTGTCCTTGTTGGTGGCTCGACCCGTATCCCCAAGATCCAGAAGCTCGTTTCCGACATGTTCTCTGGCCGTGAGCCCAACCGCTCGATCAACCCCGACGAGGCCGTCGCCTACGGTGCCGCCGTCCAGGCTTCGATCCTCAACGGTGAGACCTCGGAGGCTACCCAGGACCTCCTCCTCCTCGACGTTGCCCCTCTGTCGCTCGGTATCGAGACCGCCGGCGGCATCATGACTCCCCTCATCAAGCGCAACACCACCGTCCCCACCAAGAAGTCGGAGATCTTCTCGACTTACGCCGACAACCAGCCCGGTGTCCTTATCCAGGTCTACGAGGGTGAGCGTGCCAAGACCAAGGACTGCAACCTTCTCGGCAAGTTCGAGCTCTCTGGCATCCCTCCCGCCCCCCGCGGTGTTCCCCAGATCGAGGTTTCGTTCGACGTCGACGCCAACGGTATCCTCAACGTCAACGCTTCGGACAAGACCACCGGCAAGTCGAACCGCATCACCATCACCAACGACAAGGGTCGTCTGTCCAAGGAGGAGATTGAGCGCATGCTTGCCGAGGCCGAGAAGTACGCTGCCGAGGACAAGGAGGTCGCCGAGCGTGTTCAGGCCAAGAACGCCCTCGAGTCATACACCTACTCGCTCAAGTCGACTCTCTCGGAGAACGCCGACAAGTTCTCTGCCGAGGACAAGGAGACTCTCCAGAAGGCTGTCGACGACTGCATCAAGTTCCTCGACACCGCCGACTCTGCCTCCAAGGACGAGATCGAGTCGCACCAGAAGGAGCTCGAGGCTCTCTCCGGCCCCATCATGCAGCGCTTCTACGGCTCGACCGGCGGTGCTCCCGGCGGCGCTCCCGGTGGCGCTCCCGGCGGCTTCCCCGGTGCTGGTGGCCCCGGTGCGTCGCACGACGACGGGCCCTCGGTCGAGGAGGTCGACTAAGTGCACTCCCCGTCCTAGCAAGCTACGGCGGTCGCCTGTGCACCTAGATCGACCGGCCGTGGCCTCAAAACGAGCCGTAGTACGAGAACGAGCCTCATATGTACAGTGATTTAGTAGTAGTCGCATCCTTCCTGTTTCCAACATGCATTTAGAATCGCAATCCAATTGTCTTGTGCGAATGGTAGTACCACGTGGACTTGCTTCCGCTCACTAATTTCAGCAGCAGTGGAGGTGGGGGTGGAGGTGGAGGCGGGGTGTGCTTCATCTTCGCTCCTGGACTCACACCATTGCCTCACTCACGCAGATTCTTTGGCACTGAGCGCCGATACTTGCAATGCAGCGCCCAGGCCAGTGAGCTCCATTCATTTGCAGACTGCTGCGCGCCCTGCTGACAACTTTCAGCAAGCTCAACACCCGCGAGGCCAACCCTAACGAGTACGAGCCCACGAGAGGCAACTAACCCAGATACATCACATTCATCCGCTCGCTGCAGAATCGCCCGAACTCTGAGGATGCAGAGCACATCCTCAAGGCGATCGGTGAGGATTGCCGGCGACGCAGCTCACGTAGCCGCCCAAGTCCGCAAGATTATGGCTGCGCGATACATGCTAATCGGGACGCTGGAGGAGGCGGCGTACAATGGCGTCGTGGGTACCCGGACCGCTGGCCGCTGATGGAAGTTTGCAGGGCGGAATTGGAACCATGGGCAGGTGCGGTGGAGAAGCTCAACAAAAGGCTGACTGCAGACTGTCGAGCTCGTCCTCCGCCGCCCCAATGGCCAGTTCTATCCCTTGAGCTACATGCTCTCGGTTATGGCTCACGAGGTAGGGAAACTCATCAGTGCAGCTGACGCCAGATGGCCCATATTACTGTACGGCATCTCGAGGCAGCGTTAACGTCAGCATATGAATCACGGCCCCGAGTTTCAGAAGGTAGGTCGCGGAAGGGTCGTCGCTGATGGCTGCTTAATGCCGCGATTCGCAAGGACATCGCAGATCTGCGCGCGAGGGGACACTACGGTGATGGTGGGTCTTTGAATTTCTTCCGCTCATCCCAGGCTTCTGGTCACATGGACATCGCCTGCGCGACGGCGCCGAGCTCGGCGCAGCTGGACTCCGTGCGTATGTTCGCGAGTGGAGCTGACATTTAGAGGCCAGCGAGCTGCCGCAATACGTGTGCGGCGTAACCAAATCGTGAGTCCCACTCCATCATTTCTGACGCTAGCGACGCCCGACGCGCCGGCTCGCGCCGCAGACGGCCGGCTAGTAGCCGCGGACCGGGCATGGTGAAGGGCGTCGCCTCGCACCTGTCCGGCGCGCAGACGGAGAAGCGGAGCAAGCCGGGACAGCGCAACACCATCGACATGGGACTGGGTAGCGGGCGCGTAGACGGGCGCGAGGGTGTGTGAACTTCACGGCGCACCTGACTCCAGAACTTACGAAAGAGGACCACGAGCTCCGCAAGGCATGGATTGAGGCGCGAGTTGAAGCCCTCGTGCGTCAGGGTGTCGAGGTCAAGAAGGCTCGACGGCGGGCCGTCGACGCGTTTAATAAGGCGAACCCCAGATATAGGGCCGGGAGTACCCGTGGCAAGCAGTAAGTGCTCTACTTGCGCTCGCTGACGGCAGGGCAGGGTCCAAGGCGTGAGCGTCAAGGAGAGCGGTATTGACGACAGTGCGGCACAAGATCGGGCGGCGCTTTTCGAGCGGTTGTTGAGTCGCGGTGCTCCGTCAGTCAAGGAGGAAGGGCTCGCGGAGGTGCCAGTCAAACAGGAGCCAGTAAAGGAGGTAGACGACTCTGGAGAAGGAGAAGACAGCGACGAGGACGACATCGAAATCATCGAGGACCCACATCTCTCTTTGGAAGAACGACGGAAGGAGCTGGACGCGGATCGGGAGGAAGAGCCCGGTACTTCAGCCGGAGGACTGCGTCCAGAATGGAAGGAGTTCCTCGCTGAAGCTGCGCAGGCCTCAGCGAAGCGCGACGCAAGTGTCCGCCGTCGACATGTGCCGTCCTCGAGGAGCTCACGCTCTCCACAGGGTAATGCAAAGCCTACCACCCAGGAAGTCATCGAAGTCGCAGACAGCTCTGACGAGGAGCTACGCGAATATGACAGACCTCCAAAGCGCCTCCGCATGGTCAAGGACGAGGCGGGTTCATCAGAGCCTCTCCACACCTCGTCTCACTGCCCCACATCGTCTTCAATCGTCAAGCTTGACAGCGATCGAGATCGGATCCGGGAGCGGCGGCTCCGTGCGTTTGGTCAGGCTTCAAGTACGCCATCCGGTACATCTCAACGCGCCACCAGCCCGGAGGCAGCACATAAAGCCATCAAACTCGAGGACGGGTCGGAAGGATGGATCTGCGGTGTTTGCAGCCTCGAGAATTCGTTGTCGCAGACCCGATGTGGTGAGTAGTGCTGAGAGTCTTCTCAGACCCGGGTGCAGCTGCTTACGTTCATAGGCGTGTGTGAGGCTTGTCCGGATGGCACCGGGTCTATCGCGCAGTAGAACGTGAACATCGCGCTCGTGCCCAGTGTAACTAGAGGTGCTAGATACAGTTGTAAGAACATGAGCACTCATGTGCTCTGTGATCTGTGAAGCGTTAGGCGTTTATACGTAAGTTGTGCGATGTGAAGGCGTGGGGCAGGAATGACTGCGAGTCGGGCATTCGCGCGCGGCTGGATTAGACCGAATAGCTGTCCGGCCCGAGAGTGTTGGGCGGCATGGGCGGTGTGAGCGGGATCAAATGCGCGGTCGACGCACGCACCAGCGCATCGCTGAGCGGACACGATCCATCCACCCATCCCATCCATCCACAGGCCACCACTCGCCCCCTCCTCCCCACCTCCTCTCCACAGCACGCCGCCGCGCCTCTCCCGTGCAGCTTGCTCACTTCGCTCGCTCGCTCGCTCGCTCTCCCTCCCTCTGTGCTCGCTACCCACCCTCCTCCCAACCTCGCTCCTCCCTTTCTTACTTTGCATATCATCCCCCCCCCATCCTTCTCTTCTACTCCTCTCTCTCATCTCTCTCTTCCTCTCTTCTCTCTCTCTCCCTCCTCTCTTTCTCTCTCGCTCGCTCGCCGAGTCCCATCTTTACTCAGATCCCCTCTCTCGACCTGCCACTCGCGACTCTCCCTCCTCCCCTCCTGCCCCAATCGACCCATTTTACGCTTAAACAGGCTCATACCTGTCCCTCCCACCTGTCCCACCCTCCAGCCCTCACCCTCAAGAGCTGCCTCTTCAGCATCGGACTGCTCTCTCCTCCACGCACTTTGCTTTCGTCTATACACAACACGACGCAAGTCCTCATCCACTCCCATCCTTCCTTGCGGGTCATCGCACTGTGACATTCACCTCGCCTCATTGATCCGCGATCCAGCGCACTCCATTCTACCCCGACGTGGCATTCAAGGACGCGTCTCGCGTCGTTTCTAGCACACCATGGTGAGTTTGTATCCGGTATAACGCGCGGGCAGTGGACAATGGTCGAGGACGCGGCAGACGAGCGCATTCTGCCTCCTTTTCTTCTGATGCTCCTCGCAAGTCAAACACGACCAACCCTCGAGCCCTTGCTGTCTCCTCGTCCTCGCCTGTATATGGAGCCCTCTATCCGTCACTCTCTCATGCGCACTTGCTGACGTACTCCAGCCACCTCAATCGTCGGACCCCAAGATCAATACACTCCTGCACAAGATTGCGTCCGAGCGCCGCAACTTGGAGGGTGCCAAGGCCATCATCCGCACGGTCGAGGCATCAAGCCGCAATGAGCAAGTGATCCAGCAAGCACAGAATGAGATCCGTGCCGCGAACGAATCGATTCAATTCTTGGAGGCCGAGCTCTCCAGGTTGCGCCTCACGGACGGAAGCGGAGCAGGATCGTCTGATCCCGTGAGGCAGCCCGTGAGTCGAATCGGTTGGACCCGTGTTGACGGCCAGACAACTACGATGACCCATGACCGAAGGGCTTCCCCCCCTTCCCCCCCGCCCCCACCTCCGCCCAAGCCCAAGCCGTACTCGCAGCTCGACCTCTTGCGTTATGGCACGCCCTTGACAGGTCCCAAGATTGCGCGCATGCTCAAACAGCTCAAGTTTAAGCTCCAAGTAGAGGAGCAGTACAAACTCGGCATTGAGAAAATGATACACGCGTACGGGAATGACCGGCGGTTGCGCGCTGAGGCCGAGGCCAAACGCCTCGAGTCGGACGCCAAAATCCAGCTGCTTAGCGCGGCCAAGAAGCGCTACGAGGGGCTCGAGTTTGCAGCCGTTGATGACGACCCAGACTTCTTTATCCTCGATAACAAGCGCAAGGAGGCGCTCCGCAAGCCCATTCAAGGCCAACTCATCATTTCGGTTTTGTCCGCGACTGATCTCAATCACCGCGTCGCCCGCCGTTCATCCAAGCTTCACACTGAATCAGTCGTCGCTGTCAAGATCGAGGGTGTCGAACGTGGAGTGTCTAGCGGGTCCCGCAATGATCGGTGGAACGAGGACTTTGAGCTTCCAGTCGAGCGTGCCAACGAGGTGGAGATCACTATCTATGACTCGATCGGGCCAAGCGAGCATGTCCCCATCGGCATCTTGTGGCTGCGTGTGTCCGACTTGATGGAGGCACAGCGTCGCCAGAAGACGGCAGCTGAGGCGGCTGGACCCGGGTGGGTCACTGCCGACAAGGCGGCGTCCCTCGGCAGGGCTGGAGGTGCGGCCGACTCTACGTCTCTCCACCAGCCCCAGGGCAACCAGACTCTTGCCCCGCAGGGTGGTGCCCCCGGAGGGTTGGGCAGGAGCGAAGCGATCGATGGCTGGTTCGCCGTTGAACCAGCAGGTGCGCTCCACCTAAAGCTCGACTTTGTGAAGGACACCGTGGCTGGTGGCGGTCGCCGCCCCTACGAGGCTCTTGGGCGACAGGGCGCCGTGCGCAAGCGCAAGGGCGATGTGCACGAGATGAACGGGCATAAGTTTGTTCAGCGCCAGTTCTACCAGCCCATCATGTGCGCGCTGTGCCAGGAGTTCCTCCTCACGGGCGAAGGTTACCAGTGCGAGGACTGCCGTTACGCTTGCCACAAAAAGTGCTACCCCAAGGTGGTCACCAAGTGCATCTCCAAGACGAACGCAGACGGCGAGGATGAGGAGAAGATCAACCACCGCATCCCTCATCGCTTCCAACCGTTCACGAACATGTCCGCCAACTGGTGCTGCCACTGTGGCTATATGCTGCCGTTTGGCCGCACGAAGGCCGTCAAGTGCACTGAATGTGGGGTCAATTGTCACCAGAGCTGCTCCCACCTGGTCCCCAATTTCTGTGGCATGACCATGGAGATGGCCAACGAGCTCTTGTCAAAGCTGCAGTCGATCAAGTCGATGCAGGGCGCCAAGAAGGACCAGGCCATGTCTTCCTCAAGCAGGCTGCCTTTGCCCTCCACCCAGCCGCCCATACAAGTTACCCCACCCCCGACCCAGCAGCAGCAGCAGCAGACAGCCCCGAGCACGCCGCGCCCATCCTACACCCCGCCCGACCGCGTCAAGCCCTCCCCATCGCCCTCGCAACAGTCGTACAACAACTACCGTCCTCCGGTGCAGCAACAGGGGCAGCAGCAACAACCTCCGCCCCAGCCGAGGCCACTCCCGTCACCATCGGGCTCCCACCGCCTCAGCTACGATGGACGGTCATCCGCGTTGGAGCAGGGCCCGCTGTCGACGCCTTCCCAACAGCCTCCTCGCATCCCCTCACCTCAGCCATACAGCCAGACGCAGCCGCAGGCTTCACCGCAGAAGCCTATGAGTGGGTACCGGCCGCCCATACCTGCACCGCTGCCGACGGTCTCCATGCCATCAGCGCACCCATCACGACCGGAGCCCGACCGGCGGCAGCAGCAGCAGATGATCCCAGCACCGATGTCGCCCGCGAAGACCGTACAGCGCAAGAGAAAGATCGGCCTCGACGACTTTAACTTCCTCGCAGTGCTCGGCAAGGGCAACTTCGGAAAGGTCATGCTGGCAGAGGAGCGCATGACAAGCAACCTCTACGCCATCAAGGTGCTGAAGAAGGAGTTCATCATCGAGAACGACGAGGTGGAGAGCACACAGTCAGAGAAGCGAGTCTTCCTCGCCGCAGCCGAGGAGCGCCACCCCTTCCTGCTTGGCCTGCACTCATGTTTCCAGACCGAAACGCGTGTCTACTTTGTCATGGACTACATCTCGGGAGGCGACCTGATGCTGCACATTCAGCGCAAGCAGTTCACGCTCCGCCAGGCCAAGTTCTACGCGTGCGAGGTTCTGCTTGCGCTCCAATACTTCCACTCAAAGGGCATCATCTACCGCGACCTCAAGCTCGACAACATTCTGCTCACGCTCGACGGGCACGTCAAGGTCGCCGACTACGGTCTGTGCAAGGAGGACATGTGGCACGGACGAACCACGACCACATTCTGCGGCACGCCAGAGTTCATGGCTCCCGAGATTCTGCAGGAGCAACCCTATGGCCGTGCTGTGGACTGGTGGGCGTTTGGTGTGCTTACGTACGAAATGCTTCTCGGTCAGTCGCCGTTCCGCGGCGACGACGAGGACGAGATCTTCGACGCCATCATCGAGGACGAGCCGCTGTACCCGATCACGATGCCGCGCGACGCCGTCTCGCTTCTCCAGAGGGTAAGCTCTCCCCAATGGGCCCGCTAACATTAGCTCCTGACACGCGACCCCATGCGCCGCCTGGGCGCCGGCGAGAGCGACGCCGAGGAGATCAAGCGCCACCAGTTCTTCGCCGACGTCAACTTCGACGACGTGTACCACAAGCGCATCCCGCCCCCGTACTTCCCGACGATCGGCAACGCGACGGACACGTCCAACTTCGACCAGGAGTTCACGCGCGAGCAGCCGACCCTCACGCCCGTCCACACACAGCTCACGGCCAAGGACCAGGCTGAGTTCGCCGGCTTCAGCTGGATCGCGCCCTGGGCGACCGCGCCGTAAGCTGTGCCGCTCCATTCCTTTGGGGCACAGCAGATAACTGCCGTTCTGTTGCCCGGCGGGAGCCACGCCCCGGGTATGTGAAACGTTGGCAACGTAGAATTAGTTAACTTGCACGTACGAAGCATGCAAGATGCTGCGATAGAGCGTGCGCGTGTCGGCGCACCGCGCCTCTGTTATGATTTAATGTGATTCCTGGGCGTAATCCTTACACGTGGTTACCTCGAGCTTGTTAGCGGTGTCGCGTACATTTGGAGCAATGCAAGGGCCTCGTCCAGCTCGTCCTCCGCCTGAGCGGATCCCACATGCGTCCGCACGCAACAGACACGCCTGCAGCGCCCTCCATCAGGCCTTAAGGACCATAGAGAGTCGTCATCCCGGCCGGGCGTAGCCTGGCCAGCCGTTGAGTGCGCCCAAGAAGCAATGTTTAGCTACATGAACATCAGCTGTCTGCTCATTAGCCGACAAGTGCGGAGGAGAACAGTTGATAGTTTGGGAAAACCGCACGAGGCGGCGGACAGATGCATGATGACAATGAAGTCTATGTCACAGAGGTTACGGAAGCATTAAGGTCGCAGGTGGCACAGCGATCACAAGGGGAGGCCACAGACATCACAGTCGGTAGCTCCCTGCTCATTGATAAACGTGCAGTGAGGACACGCCTTGGGACCGCCCGCATCGCCGCCCGCTCCCGCGCCAGGAGTTCTACTTCCCGATCCCACAGCGGGCGAGCTGCGAGACGAGTCCAGACCCATGTCGGCGAACTGCTCCGCCGCAGAGTTGGATGCCGGCGGCGACATGGTGGCCGACGTCGCCTCTGCGAGCGTCAGGAGTGTCTGCCACCCGCCCGACGCGAAGAGATGCTCGCGCGCCGGCGACTGCTCCGGAGAGCGGTGCGCTGTCGCGACCTGACAAAGAAGCTTCTGCTCGTGGTCCGAGAAGGAGCCGTGCATGCACAGGAAGGTGACGAGGTGCCAGTCCGAGAGCCAGCGCTCGACCTCGTCCTTGATGCGTGCGGGCCAGGTGCCGGTGTCGGTTACGTCGAGGTCCGACCCTTTGAGGATCTCGAGGAGGCGGCGAATGACGATCTCCAGCGACTGATCTGAGAGACCTGGACGGTTCTCGACAGGGAAGTTTGACGAGAGGAAGAGGGGGTTTGGAGAAACGGGGAAGCCGTGGGTTATCTGGTGTCAGCAGTGTGTTGGGGTTTAGACGCTTACATTGACGAAGAGGTACTCGACGGGGAACGTGGGCTTGGCTGGCTTCTTCACTTGTGCTCCGTACTCGTTCTTGAAGCTAGGGTCAGTTCTGCCCCCGCCAAAGCAAGCTCACCTGTAAAACACCTCAGGAATGTACTCGCCCTGCCCGGGAGTCCGGACGCGGACAGTGCCTGGGTCGACCGACGCCTCAATCATGTTGGCCTTGACAAGAGCCTCGCACTGTTCGCTGGCCTGCCAGGCGATCACATCGACTTGTCCGTCCTCAGTGCCAGTGAGGCAGCAGGTTACCCATCGAGACGAGAAATACCCAGCAGACGACGCCTTGGTTGGCAAGGGGTGGGCAATCTGGTACTGCGCGCTCGTGATCATCTCCAACCCCGAGGCGGTGAAGCTATGCGCATGGCGCTTGTAGAGTGTCTTCGTGATGTCATCTGGGTCGCTGTTGTGAGCTCATGTCATGGCGGGGGAAGGCTCACGCTGTCAAGTCCGTGTAGATCATGCCGACCACCACCATGCCCTTATCGCAAAGCGCTGCGATTTTGGCCACGGTCTTCTCGTCCTCCCATGGAACCTCAACAGTGAGGCCATCGACTTCGCCCTCCTGCCTTGGCTCCCACACCGCCTCAACGACCGCCTTGACGCCCATAGGAACCTTCTCGTACGTCTCGTAGTGACCAATGAGGAAGCCAATGCGCTGCGTGCCGGTCCGGCGCCATCCAGTGAGTAGCGATTCGATGAGCGATGGGGTGGCAAACTCAACATGGTCAACCATGCGGTACGTCTGGGAGTTCAGTGTGAGAGCGGAGGGTTGGCATTTGGAGCAGATGCCCTCAGGGAAGGGTGGGTGTGTCCCAGACGGACACGGTGTAATGACGGAGAGGTCGAGCGGCGTGAGAGGAGGATACTGGTTCGTGGAAGATGGGGGGCGGCCGGCCAGCAGCTTGCGTAGGTACGCATTGAACGAGAGATGCTTGATCTGATTCTCTGCCTGATACTTCGCATCGTAGGGCTGATGTTAGTGGCTGACAAAGCGCGATCATCACCTCGAGTGGCATGCAATAGTCGCACATGCCCTTGGCACCATGGCGGCAAAACGCGGCGTCACGCTTGCGCTCAATCTTGCCGTCCTGTTGCGACCAGTAGACGTCGACGCCCTGCTCAACAACACGATTCAGATCAACAGAGGGAGCAGTGCCCGCAGTCGTCGGCGGGCGTGCCGTAGGCTCCTCGGTCTTCCGCCCGCTGGTAGAAGTAGCAGGAGGTGGCGGGGCAGAGGGAGGGGGCGACGACGAAAGCGTTTTGTAAGCCAGGAAAAGGAGATCGCCGTGGCTTTTGTCAGCAATGCCCAAAGACTGCTCCCACCTGAAGCCCATGTCGCCGACTTTCCTCCCCTGCAGCGCTGCGAGGGTAACCTTCTCCCCAGCGGCACCGGGCTGGTTGCTAAGCGTCACGGAGCTGGGATCGGGCTGTGCCTCGTTATTGGGCACTGTGTCGAGGATTAGCCTCGCAAGCTCTTCGCCTGGTGTCGAGGCGTCGACAGTGATGCGCGCCGTGCCCACGGGGGAGCGGACGCGGAGAAGCTGGAGTCAGCTTCAGTGGACGTGAAAGGAGCTCACCATGGCGCGAGTGTGCTGTTGGGAACTAGAAAGTAAAGAGGATGGCGCCGCAGTGGCAGTCTTCCAGATGTACGTGACGTCGATGAGGTTGAGATGAAGAGTGAGGATGGAAGAGCGAGTGATGAAGATGGTGGACGCTGTGGATGGTGTCCGAGGTGGAGGTCGACAAGCAAGCGTTGCACAGACGTCAGCGGAGCCTTTCAGCGGACATCTCCCCATCTCCACTCACGTGCTTTGCCACCCATCCATGTCAAGATCCCACACACACCGAGTTGACACCTCTCAACTTCAAGCGGCCTATCTTGACGTGCTCGAGAGGCAGATATCATGCCCCGGCTACAGATTCTACAGTACGACTACTGACTGCCTTGTGCGCGCTGACTATGCAGCCACAAGTCCTACCACCCGTACTCGGAGAAGAACAAGCAACGTGTCAGAGAGGATGAGGCCAAGGCTCGAGCCGAGGAGGAGCTGCGCCAGCAGGAGACGATCGAAGCAGTGAGTGTCACCATACCTTGCCGAAACTTGATTAGCTAACATTGCAGGAATCTGAAGCGCGTTTGAGTGCGCTGCGTAGACGCGCTGGTACACCCGAGGAGCATTTGACTATCTCCGGGGAGAGCTCGCTGCTGGAACGGCACCGCCGGGAGAAGGAGCAGCTGAAGCGGCGCGAAAGGAAGGACAAGGAAAGGGCACGCCTTGACTTTGACTGGCCACAGAAAGAGGCGCGCAAGCGCGCACGGGAGGACGACCGCTTCGTGTCTGGCGGGCAGTTGGACGACGACCGCTTCGTGACCGAAGGGCATGTGAATTTCTGGGCCGACCTCGAGAGCGTAAGTTTATAGCGCGGCAGGGCTGACGTTTGCAGGGGAAAGAGAGCGCGCTGGTGCAGCCGACGATTCGTGATGCGGCGTCTCGCAAGGCGGCTCAAGACGCCGACAAGCTGACAATGTATCTCGAGCGGCCGGACAGAGAGACACGTCCATGGTACGCGGACAAGGAGCTGCGGCACGTCGAGGAGACGGACGAGGAGGCGGAGCGGCGGCGTGCGCGTGACAAGTGAGCGCAAAGCACGTGGAATGATCTCTAACGAGCAGGAGGATAGACGCCAAATCCAAGGTCAGCCAGGACCCGCTCACAGCCATCAACAGGAAGTTGAGTTCGCAGCCACGACCGACTCCCACATCGACACGTGCCCCGGCTCGTGGGCCACCAAAAGCGCAAAGTGAGCGGGAGAGGGCGCTCGCGATGCTTGCGAAGCGCAAGGGCAGCTCGGGCAGGGCGGGGTGGGAGACGCCCGAGTCGACACATGGGTCGTGGGCCGAGGAATTCGAGCGGGAGAAGGATCGGGCAGGGCACCGCTATAATCCGAGCGCGTGGGAGCGGAATGCTCGGCGCTGACACGGGGCCGCGACATGTGATGGTGATAGCGTTGTACTGAAGGCGACAATGTGTAGCGTCGATCACGGTGATCAGTGTAATCGGGGCTGCACGTGTGGCGTAATGTGCGCGTGACTGTGGTGATCGTACACTTCTGATACGATGCATTCATTGCATAAGTAGAGGAACGACTGCTCGGCATCTCGGCATACTCGGGGAGGTGTCAGGCGGCCATGACAAGACATGTGAGACATGCTGGTCGGCGACGCCACTCGCTACGCTCGGACTAGATGAATGATATTTCGGACATCAGGATTTGATTCACACTGGCTTTGCTTCGCCTCGCTCGGCTGAAACCTTTGGTTGTCGTCCTATTTGCCTCCATTATTCGTGCGCGATACAATCGGCGCTTGGGTTGGCGTGGCCTCGGGTGAGTGCATGGCCCACCTACAGCACATTAAGCATCTGGATGTCAGTGATCGACGGCGACTTGACGCACCTCCTCGACGCCACCCTGGAACGAGCGGCGGCGGTCGTCGCCGTCCTTGTCCACGTCGCGGTTCTGCGCCATGTCCTCGACACGTGTCATAGACTCGCCTGGAGGCGTACAGCAGGTACAGATGTTGAGGTGTGGAATGTAACGCACGTGTCAGGTAGGGTGTGAATAGTCAGAGCGGAGGTGAGTACCGGCAGCGGAGACGGAGGAGGCTCACGGAGCAGAGACTCTGTGCGCATCGTGTCCTGGTTGCGATCCCGGTGCATTGGGAGCGCGTCGGGCGTGTCGAAGCCGTGGAGGTTCGAGTTGCAGTCCATACTGTTAGAGGTGTGACAGTGACAGTGACAAGTGGCAAGGTGTGGGAAGTCGAGAGGGGGACGGCGAGGGATGGGACTATAAGCGGTTCATGAGTCAGGTGGTCGAGAGCGGGGGGTGCATGATTCCTGGCATGTGACCGTGCTACTCGCTGCTGCGGGGGAATGCATAGGACATGGGACTGGGTATTGTGCATCTGATGAGTAAAGAGGTCAAATGACGGCGGCAGCAATGATGAGGAGGGGATCAATGAAGGTAGTTTGCGGTGGGACCCCAATCGGCGATCCGGGGTGGCGCAGGCGCAGTGCAATCTTATCTCCCCCACCCACCTCGTCACATGGATGTGGCACCACCAAGACACGATTGTGAGGCACAAGCGTTTCATCACGCCGTTTCGCATATTGAATTCGCAGCACGGCTGGTCTGGTGGGACGACAGCGGGGCGTCGAAACGCGGTGCTCCCGCGGCGTCTGAAGTTTTCACTGCGATTCAGGCTCTTCGCGCTGATCTCGCGATCTCGGCATTCTGCAGCGAGCAAGTGTGATCGAACGACAGATTTGTGCACAGCGTTTGGGCGCCAGAAGCCAGTTGCCTGGTTGTGCACCCGAAACCCACGGACTCCCGAAAGGGATGGGAGTATGTAACGCCGAAGCAAGCTGGGAGGACTGCGTCCCGCATACTTCTATCATGCACCAACTTCCGTCTTCCGGCGGACGAGATGCAAATAAAGGCCTGCTTGGCGAATATTGCCATGCGGGAGTGCTGCGCGGGCACACAGATGAAGTGGAGCGCGACACGCCCCTCCATGGATCCATGGAACCATGGAGCGGAAGATCTGAGGCGGCAGAGGAGGCTGACAGAGGGCGTGTCATGATGGTGTCGGCAAGATCGACGCGGGATCGACGGAGGCGGGAAAACTGATCAACGACCGTGCGGGCTGCCTCGATGCCACAGTGGCATGATCAGCACGATCTGTGAGGGATCAGCGAAGACAGGGGATCGGCAGAGGCAGTGCCACGATTCCCACGTTGGTCCGTACCCGGAGTGGCTGGAGCCGCCGATGCGCCGGGCAACCAAGCAATCAAATCATCCAGCAACTTGGGTGACACACTAGTTTCCTGTGATCCTGTGATCGTATGGAGTACAGGTGGCGAGCGCGTATGAAAAAAACAACACTGTTTTCAGGGTGGCCGCAGAGGGCAGGGCAGGTCGCAGATGTTGCAAAACCCTGGTTGCTGGACAGGGGAATTCCGGGTGGCCGGGTGCAAAAAGTCGTACATCGCCAGGTACTCGCTGCCATCATGCCACTTGTCGACGTGCAGTGCAGGACGCGTCTAGCTGGCGCGTGCGAAACTGCGCGTCTCGCTTAAGATTTCACCACGCAACATTTTCTGGGGAGACTCGGACGCTCGGCGCGTCCGCAGTCCAACGGCATGCAGACAAGAGCGGTAGGGCGCCGAGGTATGGGGCGGCGTGGCAGCGGCGGCTTGCGGCGGCGCCGCCCAATTTCTCAGGCCGACCCTTCGGGCGCCAGCCGGCCCTCTGGCGCTGGTACTGCGGCCCGCTGTCATGCCAACTAGTCCTGCACTCTGTCAGGCCTGCATGCCAGCATATTCGTGTGGCTTTTGTGAACCGGACATGTGCGAGTGCCGTCGCGACACTTGCGATCTCGCGACGGCACTCGCGTCGGGAGACGATGGCATAGTTCGGCGACGCCACAGCCGCACACATACCGCCAGGTGACTGAGCTGGATGTGGGGTTAGGGCTATTCAGTGTGCCTCCAAGACGTCAGGCTGCACGACGAAGCACATGTCATGCACAAGCATCATGTGCGTCGATGAGCAGATCGAGGAGCAGAACAGCAGAACAGCATGACGAGCCCGAGGAGGACGGAGATGAGGGGCCGCAGAAGAGTGATCGAGATAATTTCCAGCATGTGCAAGATGAGCGCGCAGGGTTCAGAATTGTCTGTGGGCATTAGCCATGACTAGCAAGTTCCCCCTGGCGTGCACATCCCGAACGCCCTTTCACCCTTTAATCTGCGATAATCCCCGGTCATCACGTCCTCTTGTCTTTCAGCCCCCCCCGCGGCCCAGCGGCCAGCGGCCAGCGGCCCAGCGCCCATCGTCGTCGAGCCATCTCCCGCGCGCAATCTCGCAGTACGCAGTAGATCATTAATAGATCGCTACATGAGAGAAGCCCGCGTCTTTACCCGTGCACCTCGTGGGCGGCGCTGGGCGGCGCAGATGCGGCGAGAGGAGACGCCTCCCTCGGATCCACGCCGCGCCTCCGCCCCCAAGCCATCTGCAAATGCTTCTGCTTTTACAACGCTCGCACAGACATGCCAAAGACGGCGCACCCCGCACCCTAGCTAGCTAAATGAACCTGTGTCATTGCCGGAGCTTGATTGGAGCCGGTTCCGGCGGGCTTGCAGTCACATTGAGAGGGAACAGGGATATTGATGCACATTGGGGCCCGAATTGAGATCAACGAAGCGCGAGCGCGGAGAGATGCAGAGAGCTGAGACAGCGAGAGGAGACGAGAGCAAGTACGAGAGGCAAAAGAAAATGCGTCATCGGCTTGGGCCAGAGCTTGAGCCGTGCATGGTCCTTTCCTTCCCTGATTGCCGCCTCAGGGTTAATCAAAATCCATTGACGTGGTGATCATGCCCCGACCGTTCCTGAGTTTCAGGGTTGTGAAGGGGGGAGGGGCGCAAGGGGGAAAGAGTTGTTTGGTGTACTAACCACAGATTCCGGCATCCACCTCGACAGGCCCTGCAAGCTTGCGCGCGCGCACTCTCTCTCTCTCGCTCTCTCGCTCTCTCTTCAGCTCTCGCAGCAGACGGGGCGTCATCCAGCTGATCCTTTGACTACTCGTTGTCCGGGTAGAGTTTGAAAGAGGGCGCGGGCACTGTGAGAACACGGAACGTGCCTCCCCGCCCCCCTTCCTACTCCGGCCCCCTCGGCCTGCCCCGCCCCGTCCTTGTTGTTCTCTCGTTGAGCTGCAGCTGCTCGCCTCGCTTGCTTCTCCTCGGCCGTCCCACTCTCCCATCCCCTCGTCTCGAGAATGAAAATTCACTCGGAGACACACGCCTGCGCCAGGGGCGGAATGAACCCAATCCCTCTGGGCCTCGACGGCGACCTCCACTCCACAAGCCCGGCGCCACCACTCACAACTCACCCCCGCCATGCCCCCGTCCCCCTCATGGCTCGATTAGCGCTCGAGTATCGCTCTCTCCTGCAAGCCGAGCCCCGACGCGTCTCGGTATAAAGACCCAACTTGCGTACGACTCTTCCTCCTCTTCTTCATTCTCGCCAGCCAGCTACTGTAGTTTTCCTTGTTAGATCTTGTTTTCCCAACCAGCGACTAGCTCCCTCACCATGTCGCCCATCCTCCCCTCCCACCACAACGAGCTTCACTCGTCGGCCTCTACTGCCTCGCCGCACGACGATGAGAAGGCTCGCCGTGAGCAGCCCTCCGTCATCGCCCCAGGCAACCTCGCCAGCCGCAACCGTGAGTGGTCACGTCACGCCTTCTAGAACCAGTGTCGGCGCCACTGTTCTAGGAGTGGCGTCCGTGCGGTGTGTCGGGAACACAACTCTGACTCTTCCAGACCTCATCGCCATGCTCGGCGAGTTTGTCGGCACCACCATGTTCCTCCTGTTCTCCCTCGGCGGCACTAGGTACGTAGCTCCACTCTCCAATCTTTCTACCCATAAGTCTGGAACTGGCTTGAGTGGCATGTTTGCCCTCCAAGAAGGCCCCTGATTCCGCTCAGTGTCGCACGTAGCACACACTCCATGGCAACCCCCGCTATTTGAATCGTCGACTGACCCCATCAGCGTCGCCCTCCAGGCCGCCAACTCGGTGACTGGCAAATTCAACGACGCTGGCGCCTCGCAAGCCAACTCTGACAACCTGTGAGTTTCCCGCCCCGCAAGCCAGCCCTACTGGGCGCCACGGGCGACGACTCCCCCGCCTGCGCGGCCCATGCTGACGTCTCCCAGTCTCTACATTGCCCTCGTCTTCGGTGTTTCGCTCGGCGCCTGCGTCTGGTGCTTCTTCCGTGTCTCGGGCGGTCTCTTCAACCCCGCCGTGACCCTTGCCTTCATGGCCATCCAGGGCATCACCCCCGTCCGCGGTGTTCTTCTCATCATCGCCCAGTTTGCCGGTGGTCTCGCGGGAGCTGGTCTCGCTGACGGCCTCACCCCGGGCCCCCTCTTCGCCGCGACCACTCTCGGTGGCGGCGCCTCGATTGTCCAGGGCCTCTTCATCGAGGTCTTCATGACGTCGATGCTCGTCTTCACCATTCTCATGACTGCCGTTGAGAAGAACCGCGCCACCTTTGTTGCGCCCATCGCCATCGGCATGTCCTTCTTCATCTGCGAGGCCTTCTCCGTCTACTACACCGGCGGCTCCCTCAACCCCGCCCGCTCCCTCGGCCCCGCCACCGTCAACAAGTCGTTCCCTGGCTACTTCTGGATCTACTTTGTCGGCCCCATCCTCGGCTCGCTCCTCGCCGTTGCCTTCTACAAGCTCCTCAAGTTCCTCAACTACCAGACCAACCTCGGCCCCGACTGCGACGACGACGGCCACACCTGGCACTACACCAACGACGTCCGCGGCCGTCTCGACCGCATCGAGGGCCTCCTTGCCCGCACCGCCGAGCACCGCACCGTCGTCTAAACACTCCACACCCGCTACGCATTCGCTTGCGCGGCCGGTCCGACCAAGCTCAACACATCACACGACTCTATCTGCACACATCATCATCATTGTGGTTTCTTGTGTCCGTCAAACACAGGCCCACGGACATTCTCGACGACTCTCTGCGCATTATAAACGTAGCGCTACGTATCCACATACAATATGCATCGGATCTAATCCAGTACGCATCTGTAGGCCTATGTGGGCAGGCAGCAGTGCTCGCTGTTGCCACTCACCTCATTGGCGACGTCGCAAAGCCTCTGCACTCGCATCGTTGTTCGCGCGTCCTCTCTCCGTTACGTGACGCCCCCGGGCTCTCCACGTCAGCGGGCATGCCTGGCACGTGAGTGGTGTGATCACACCCGAGACTAGGCGCTGCGGATTGTGGCACTGTTGGGCGCGAATAGCGCCCTGACCATTACGGAGGGCGAGCTTGTCTGGCGAGCTACGACTCAACCAGGACCAGCGTAAACTCTACCCTTCTGCACCAGGTCTGCCTTCGCCTGCGCCGCCCTCTTGGCCATGGCGATCAAGCTCTGCCAGTTGTACAGAAGCTGCGTCAGCCTCGCAGATCGAATTCCTCAGATCTCGGCCCAGGCCTGCGCAGCTTTCGGGCAGTGGAGCCTTCCATCGCCTCCCTGCATGTTCTGCGTACGAGCACAGCGCGGCATGCAACTCGAGCTTGGGAGGATCGAGGACGGGCAAGCTGCCGCCTCCCGATGTGCCGCGGTGTGAATGCCAAGTGCGAGCCGAAACCGAGGCACCACTGGAATCACACACACACACGTCACACCGTGTCGGTCACACCGTGTCACTTTGCCGCCGAGGACTGCACGATCGTGCGAGCTGCCGAGTTACCGACCTCCTCGATGCCAAAAAATTATTGCGTTGACGGCAGCCCCGCTGCGATTACATCGTCCCGGAACCCGGTGGACCGTGTGCCGAACATCCCAGGCACTGATGAAGCGCGCCTGTAACCTGGCTTTTGCTGGCTTTGGGTCTGTGGCATGCCACGGGAAGATCTGCGACACCAAACATTCACTTGCTCCTGCGGATGTAGAGCAGAATAGAGTGTGGCGGTGCGGGTGCGCACAAAGGAGAGTGTGGGAGTGCTTCGAAACGATGACTCACATCTGTACGAGGCACATGTGAGCTCGCTTGGTCGCTTGCTCATGCTTTGCGACAAGGTTGATTCCCACGCCAAAACGTGTGCGCCACGAGCCCGCCCAAGATTCTCACAACAAGGTTGGCCTCCGCTCGAGCTGCTTTGGATGGACGGGCTGGGCGGGCCGAGCCAGAGCTAGAACGGCGAGCTGGATGGCGCGCTGCGTCGCGAGCTCGCAAAACGCTGCGTCATCGCTTGGCCCCAATCGCTCATGCATACTGGCGCAAAGCGATTCCGGCGCGCGGGCAAGTATGCGATCGTGACGCGGGTCTGCGGATGTGTCCTGGCGACGGGTGGAGAGCTCCACTCCGACTCCGGCCCCGTCCCCCTCGGCCTTGTTCCGCAAAACCCGCTCCATTATGGGGCAAGGTACGACGTCCATGCCGCAGCTGCCGTGGTCGGCCCAGAAGAACACTCGTCATCTTCGAGATCGACGGTGATCCATTGGCCGGAGGTCGTGTGCAGCTTTGCCGTCTGCAACCGCTTGGCAGTGGAGCTAGACCGGGTCCGCGCGGGAGGGCAGTGGTAAATGTCACCGAATCGTGATGCCGTAAACGTCGACGAAATTCTGGGTTCGATTTGGCGCAGGCGCGCAAGGCATGTGCAGACCAGATCATTCCATGTGTCCGTCGTGAAGCGATCGAGGCAAAATTATTCTTGATCGCAACCCTTGCGTTGGCGACTCACTGATCGCCAGACAACCCGCTGAGCACAAGTAGGAATGCGGGTGGTCTGGTGAGTGTGGCACCCATGATGTGGCACAACGATCCCACACGTGTGAAACGCCTGAACGCCACATTTTGCACTGAGGTTACTTTCCAGTATTTATGTGACAAAATCGACTCAATTACGAATCTCCCCAGGGCCGCAGGATAAGGGGCAGTCTGAATGATGGTACCAAGTGTGTCCAGGGAGATGATTGTCTGCCTTGTCGCACACGGCATCGTTGACTGCGACGGTGTGTATTCTAGGCAGCGCTGCATCTCATGAGTACGGCACAGTGCCCTGACCAAAATCCTTGACGACGTGGGCGAGTGATTAGCGTGAGGAATGAGTCTGGTAACAGACTGGTCGCGACCGGAGCGTAGCGCTCTCAGCAACTATCTCGCAGTCCGCTTTTGGCATGCAAATGAAGACGTATTTCGCCTACGCGGGCACCTGGCGTTGTCCATTGCAACTGTTCGTGGCAAAAGGCTATAGTATCAAAAACTATGACCTCTGGCGGGATCGAACCGCCGACCTCATGCGTAATCGGATAACTCCGTGTTAAGCATGCGCTCTAACCAGCTGAGCTAAGTGGCCTTGGATAATGTCTGAGGCCGCCATATAGTCAGACGTGCGCCGCATCTAGCTGTAGCGGTATTGGCTGGTGCATTCAGTTAGCTCTGGCCAGCAGAGACTTGCCCCTTGCCATGATCAGCGCTACAGCTTCCGAGACGGTATCTTCATAAGGCTTGAATATTTTAAATGACATCGCGAATGCCGAGCTCTTGGCTATTGAGTGGTGGCAGCCTCCCGCGCACGGCCCTTGACCCAGCAAGACGTGGAAACGTAGCGGGTTTCATTAATGCGGTTCCACTCTCAGCGCATGCTGACGTTCCAAGATTGACGAGATCGGCACTTTGTGGCGGGAATCATGGTAGGAGTCGTCACGTATATATGCGACCACATTCCGCTGCCAAACCCAACACCCACCATTGGGTGTAGATAGCCACATCTACCCTGGGCGAATTCTCTCCCAATACTCACCTCGAGTCTGTGCCGTGTACAGACGGCACTGACGTCGAGCATGGCGGTGAATGCCAGCTTCATGACGCCGCCAGCGCCAGAACGTCGGCTGAACACTCTACGCGGGCACTTCAGCGCTCGTCGGCGGACATACCGCCCACCTGTAATTGGCTACTGATACGTCATCACATCTCCATCTCAGTCTCCCATTCACTCATGCGCAGCCAGCTTGTTACACGCTCACTCCCAGTGTATAGATTCAGTGTCTTTTCTGCTCGACCCGTCCTTCCCCTCCCACTCCTCTCTCTCCGTTTTCCTACACGCGCCATGTCCGAGATGAAAACTGGGCCGGTGCTAGACACCTCTGAGCTCCCCGACGGCGCGATGAAGGCCGTCCCCTTCGAGGGCGGCGAAGTTCTCCTCTCCCGCGTCAACGGCAAAGTCCATGCCACCAGTGCGCACTGCACACACGTGAGCTCCCCTCCTTCTCTTCTAACCGCAGTACGGCGCTCCCCTAGCCAAAGGCAACCTCGGCATCGGCGGGCGCGTTACATGCCCGTGGCACGGAGCGTGCTTCAACGTCTGCACGGGCGACATTGAGGACGCGCCCGGCCTCGACTCGCTGTTCAAGTACGTCGCCGAAGAGCGGGACGGCAAGATCTACGTCTCGGCGCCCGAGAAGGAGCTGCAGGCCAAGGTGGGCCGTAAGATTGCGCGGGCGCGCAACCCGCTTGCGCACAGCAAGGGGCACACAGTCGTGATTGTTGGCGGGGGTTCGGGCGGGATTCACACGATCGAGGGGCTCCGCGCCAACGACTATGCCGGTGACATAGTGCTGTTGAGTCGGGAGACGTACGCGCCCATCGACCGCACCAAGCTTTCCAAGGGGCTCGTGGATGATGCGACCAAAGTTCAGTGGCGCACACCCGAAGAGCTGCGGGACGACTTCGGCGTCGACGTCCGTCTCGGCACCACGGTCACGGGTGTGGACACGGCCAAGCGGACCGTGATTACGGAGAACGGTGAGGTCAAGTACGACAGCCTCGTTCTGTCACCAGGCGCAGTGCCCCGCAAGATCCCAATTGAAGGCAAGGACCTTGACGGCGTAGTGACCTTGCGTCACGTGCAGGACGTCCAGGCTATCACGTCTGCGCTCGGGCCCGACGCCGACATTGTGATTATCGGCACGTCGTTTATCGGACTTGAGGCAGCGGGCGCCATTGCGAAAAAGCCACACCGCAGCCTGACGGTCGTAGGTGTGGACGAGGTGCCCTTCGAGGCCATGCTGGGGCGGGACCTGGGTCTTGCGCTTGTGCGGCACTTTGAGGGACAGGGTGTGACGTTCCACCGCGGGGCGACGGTGGAGAAGATTGCCGGCGAGAACGGCAAAGTCTCGGCACTGCACGTCAAAGGCATGCCGCCGATTCCGGCCTCGCTAGTGATCATGGGCACGGGTGTTGCGCCGGCCACATCGTTCCTCAAGGACACGTTCGAGCTCGAGAAGGATGGCGGCGTCGCTGTCGATACCTATCTCCGCGTCAAGGGGCAGGAGAACGTGTACGCGATCGGCGACATTGCGCACTACCCGCAGTTCCCGCGGGGCAACGTCCGCCGCGTGGAGCACTGGAACGTCGCGGGCAACCATGGGCGGAGCGTGGCCGCCACAATCGCCGGCAAGCCCACGGCGTACGCGCAGGTGCCCGTGTTCTGGTCTAGTGTCGGCAAGGGCCTGCGGTACATCGGCTCGGGGGAGGAGGTGGCGCGGAGCTGGCTCGATGGATCTGTGGATGAGCTCAAGTTTGTCCTGTACCAGGCTAACAAGAATGGCGAGATTGTGACGGTTACGTCGATGGGGCGCGATCCCATCGTCGCCAAGACCAACGAGCTTCTCCGCACCGGCCGGATGCCATCGCTAGACGAGATCAAGGCTGGCAGGGTGAGCTGACCTACTGGCCAAAGACTTACGGCAGAACGTTCTCGAGATGCAGTGATGAATGTGGCAGTGTTATGGGCTGCGGAGAAGTTCGTGGTTATGCAGTGTTGTCCGCTCACGAGCCTCTGTGACTCTTCGTCGCCATCTGAAGATCCTTGATACCCAACCGCGCGTCCAGGGCGCATCAAGCATAGCATAAGCTGGCCACTTAGCTCAGCTGGTTAGAGCGCATGCTTAACACGAGCAACCGGTCCTCGAGGTCTACAAGGGGATACAATCGAGTTACGCATGAGGTCGGCGGTTCGATCCCGCCAGAGGTCATACGTTTTGCATTCCAGGTTGTTGCTGCTTTCTCTTGAGGATGGTCAGCGACATTGGAGGTCTGGGAAGCGACGATATGGGATAATTGGATTGCAGAATGGAGGTCACATGACTTGTGTAACGGATCGCCTTGGAATCTTGTGAGAATCTTGTGATTGCGCCTAGACTTAGTATGATAAGCATATGTTATTCGGGCGTTGCGTGATTCAAGACGACAATGCCTTGTGGCATGGCATCAAACCGGGGCCTCTGGTAGAGAAGGAGTCAGGCAAACAGCGGGCCTGTCTCAGATGATGGCTGTCGGTGAGCAGGCATGGACATCGGCATGGCTAGCTACGCCCATTAACATCCTCAGTTATGTCCAATCAGTGTGTTGAAATAATACGCTGCTCCAGTGACAGTACAAATCAGTCGCAGTGGCATTATGGACACAACATGCGCGACTGCTACTACAGGCCAACTACTACCAGGCCTTGCCGGCGCGTGGCGCTCTATGCTGTCCACACCACCCGCGCGGCCATCGCTTCCCATTTACTAACATGCGGCAAACAACGCTTACTTGAGGAGCTTGCCGTCGACGAACTCCTTGCCGTCGATCTTGAGGTCCCAGGCGAGGGCACCCTCGAAGAACTCCTTGTCCTCAGGCTTGCCGCGGACGTCGAGCTTGGTGAACGAGTACGACTCGTAGTCAGGGGCGGCCTCGACAATGGGCATGGCGTCCTGGCCACGGCACACGAGGGCACCGGTGATGATCGAGTTGTTGTTCTCGCCGAGAACACCGGCCGAGCCAAAGACGTACTTGCGGGTAGCCTCGAGACGGGTGAAGAAGCCGCCGATCTGGTTGTTCGACATGAAGGTCATGGTGAGCTCGTCGTTGTACTTGAAGTCCATGCGCCAGATCGAGAAGCCCTCCCAGTCGAAGTTCTTGTAGAACCACTCGAGCGAGCCGCCGGCACCGCGCGTGTCGAGGTTCGAGTACTGGCGCTTCCAGTCCTCAAGGTTGAACGACGACTTCGGGAGGTCATCGAGAGGGTTGCGCTCCTTCTTGGGCTCGGGGGGCGCAAGGTCAATGTCGGCGTCCTCCTCCTCCTTGGCCTTGGGCTTCTTCTCAGCCTTGGGCTTGTCAGCCTTAGGCTTCTCCTCCTTGGGAGCCTTCTCCTTCTTGGCCTTGGTGGGGGCCTGGAAGGCGGGCATCTTCTCAATGTACTCGACCTTGCCGAAGACCTTGGCGATCTTGGGGTGGCGGACGACGGTGTTGGCGTAGCGCACGGTGTTGGGGACCTTGGCGCGGAGCGAAGCGTCGATGAGAGAGGTGAAGGCGTTGGTCAGGGCGGTGGCGAGGAAGATGTCGGCAATGGTGAGGCGCTCGCCAACAATGAAGGTCTTCTTCAGGAGGATCTTGTCAAGAGTCTCGAGGCGGCCCATGACCTCGCCAAGAACACCCTCGAAGACGGGCTTGTTGTAGGGGAGACGGTTGTTCAGCATGCGCATGGCGACACCAGTCTTGATGAAGATCTCCTGGTCGGCAAAGTACTGCCACTCGCGAACCTCAGCGGCAACCTCCTTGTCGGCGGGGACGAGGTCCGAGTTGGGGGCGAGCGAGGCGACTGCATGTTAGCGGGGCGCGTCCTCGCGAATCAAACGAGAGGAGGAGTGTAGCGCGACGGCGTGCGGATCAGATAATGCGGTACCACCCGCGGAAATTATCGACACAGTGTCATTGAGACAGGGATAACTGAATAAAAAGTCTCGTCATGAAAGCCGGCCGGAGCACGGTGCACGCCGTCGCGCCTCGAAGGCAGATTGGGGGAGGAAGAGTGGGAAGACGAAATGGAAAACGGGAAGAGAAAAGACGCGAGAAAGTGGTGCAGAGCAGAGGATCCGGGACGAAGAGTGCACGAGCACCCATGACCTCAGCCACCTCTCTGCAACCTACTGCATGTTCTCTCGCCTTCCTTTCCAAACCCCGGGACCACAGACGCAAGACTCACAGTAGTCCGCAATGGCACCCGACTCCTGGAGGTTGAGGCCGTCGGCACCCTCAAAGGCGGGGAGGTAACCAAGGGGGAACTTCTTGAGGAACTCCTTGGTCTTCCAGGCGCCGTCCTTCATGGTGAAGTTGGGGTCGGTCTCGACCTCGAGGCCGGCGTAGGTGGCGACCGCGAGGGCGCGGCGGAAACGCGAGTTTCCAGAGAAGCCGTGGAGCTTGCCGATGGGAGCCATCTTGGTGGTCAGCGTCGCAGAAGGAGAAGCTGCAGCAACGATGTTGCATGAGACTCACTTTTGAGGTTTTGATGAAAGAGAAAGTGAATGCTGGTGTCTTCCAAGCCTCCAACAATTTTCCTCACCCCTCCGCGCCCTCCGCCCATGAGCCCAGGATGTGTCCTTGACAGGCTAGCCAGGCTCAGTCAAGCCCTACTCTGAGGCAACTGCCACGCGGGCATCAGCCAGTCAGACTCCTCCATCCAGGCACCGGCAACCTATATCTCCGCCTGCGGTGGCACCTCTCCTCTGCTTCCGTTCTTGCTGGGGTGGAGGTCGTCCACTTTGCACTTTGACGTCACCCCAACCAACACTTCGCCACTGCTAGCTCTTCTGTTCCTCAAACATCGCGAATCCTAGCTTCTATTATCAGGACACAAGTCTTGATTTCTTGATACACCTCAACTGCGAGTTCTGTAAACATCTCAACCAAGTCGGCGCTTCTTCATTACGCCCTTGAAGACCTGTTTTGGTCAGCTCTATCCATCAGCACTGCTCACAACGTCTTCACCGTCGTCCTCCACCAGCAGCTTGCGGCGCGCAGACGCCCGGGTTGAGCCTGCAGTCGCCCGCGTGCTACTTGGAACGTCGTCGTCAAAGTCAATCGTGGAGAGCCCGCTTGCTTGGGCAGTGCTCGGCATAGCACCGCTGCGGGCGCCCCGGGTGCGAGTGGATGATCGAGCGGTTGCGAACACGGGCTCATCGTCGGAGTCACTGTCCATTACAACACGTGATGTCTGGGAGCGCGCGGCCTGAGTTACACGACGTGAACGGGGCTGTGCCGGAGGGGGAGCAGGAGTGCTCGAGTTCGAACGTGCAGATGTCGCGGCGCTCCCAGCACGGGTGCCGCGACGGCGTGGCGCAGGTTCTGCCTGCGACTGGCTAAGTGGCGTCACGCCACGACGCCGTGTATTGACCACCGGTGTGAAATCTTCCTCGGCGTCCTCCTCTTCTGGGACTTGAGTGAGAGGACGGCGCCTAGACCGCGGGAGGAGCGGTGCTTCGTCTTCATCTTCAAGCATCGCCACCCGCGACTGCGACTTCGACTGCGAGCCTTGTGACGGCTTTTGGGTTCCGCGCTGCGTAGCGCGCTGGGTTTCCGCTGCCTCTGTCTCCCAATATGCTGGTGTAAGTCTTTCAAGCCGGGTCTAGGACTCACGTTGTTCTCCCATCTCGGCCGTTTCCATCGATACCGCCAACATCACCTTCATGGGCTCTCGGCGCGTAACACTTTTCTGTCGTCAGAAGCATCGTCGACGGGCCTCACCTTCTTAAACTTCTTAAAGTTTGGGCGACCGTCGTTAGTCAGTGGCGGCAGAACACGAGGCGGGTCCGTGCGGAAGAGATCCTTGCGGACAATCTCGATGAAGTTGCCACGCATATCATCTGTGAAATCGCGCACAATTGCGTAGTCCACGTCCTTCTTCTGCTGCGCCGCTTTGCGGATGTGCATGGCATTGAACTCGCGGTCCATCTCATCCAGAGCCGCCTTCTTCGACTTCTTGATCGCCTGCAGGAAGGCTTCATCTTTGTCGACCCGGCGACCCTCCTCGAGCACGGCGTCTGCGCTGCTGCTCTTGGATGCGGCCTGACTGGTGGATTTGCCCTGGCTCTTGGTTACATTATTCACTGAGCTTGGATCTGGTATTGGCGGGGCCTCAATTTCTTCAGGCGTCTCCTCTCGGATGGTCTCGGGTGCGCGTGGAGGCCGTGGAGCAGGTTTGGCGGCAGCGCCGCGCTTGGGACGAGTGCGGATCGCTTTAGTAACAAAGTCCTCCTCGTCGACTTCCATGATTTCTTCAGCTGATTCTTGGGGAGGTCCTCGTGTCCGCTGACGCTTTGCAGGCTGCGTGTTAAGGGTCTCCGTCTCGCGCTTCGTCTCCTCATAGAGATCACGAATCTCTCGGGCAGTTTCTTGTTTCTTGACCTCCTCCTCATAGTGGACTGTCGTATCAAAGTCATCTAAGACGGAGGACTGCTGTGCAGTGCCCGCACGGCGCTTGAGCTTGCGGACTCCCGAACGACTCGTCGTCGGCGGTGCCATAGAGCCGGCCTACGGGTGTCAGCTAGTCGGGATGGTTAGGGGCTGACCTGAGTGTCGAGAGCCATAGAGTCTGGGATCCGCTGCGTCTGGTTCATCTCCGGGAACAACTGAGTGCCAGCATCACCGGACGAGAACTGCGTCTCCGCGGCGAAGGATTGCGAGGATTGTGATGGCCCTGCCTGCGACCCCTCATCCATGTCCATGTCGTCATCGACGTCAAGCCTTGGACGGCCTGCGCGACGACGGAGAGGCTTGGACGTTAGCTGCAAGGCATGATAAGGAGCATACCCTTTTGACCACGGACTTCGGAGGAGGGGCAGTCTCGTGCACTGATGGGTGTGGTCCCTTCTCGGGGATTCCAGACTCTGGGTCGGGATAAGTTGAGGGAACGACATCGGGCTGCACGGAGGGGGCACGAGAGGCTGAACGCGAAGCCGTGCCAGCGCGGCGAGTTAATCTCCGCGTCGTCGGTCCGGGCTGGTTCAGTGCTGGTTCCGGCGCGGGTTCTGCCGGAACACGGTTCACGGAGGCAGGCTTCGAACTTGAACTCGTGGTGAGTACAGTCGCCGTTTCCCCGGCTGCGGTTGCTGGCCATCAGTTCCGCCTTGTCAGCCACTCACGTCCTGGCCGACGACCTGTCCTTTCCTCGAAGTACTCGTGTACGCTGCCATCTCTCACAGCACCCCACACCATTGGTCCCACTCCAGCAAGGTAGATGCCGGCTCTGGTGTTAGTAGGAATCGAATGTCCACGCACCTGTGGCAAGGCGTGGAGACGATGTCGTCAAAGATGGCATTCTTAGCCTCCAAATCCTTCTTCAGCGAGGGGAGGTAAGCGATGATAATCTCGCAACCTTCCGCCTCTGCCTCTGCACGAATCGGCGCGATGCGGTCCAAAAAGTCCTGCGCCGATGCGGGAGGGCGAGTAAGCACGTCCAACTCCTTGTAAGTGGCGCCCATAGTGGTGAGGTAGACACTGTCCTTGAGTTGCTGCGGTTAATTGTCGGCGCCGACGAATGCTCACCTTCCTCGGCCCCATGAGCCCGATCACCCAGTATTTCTCAAACAGCGTGCGGTTCATGGGGTCAATACGCCATGAGCCCGGGTCGGCACGATGCGTTGGAAGTCCCTCCTTGATCTTGGGCAGGTACTCGTCAACTTCGGGCAAGCTGAACGAGTCCTCGTAGTCGGCGTTTTTCTTCCAGCAGACCTTGAGACGATGGTGGAGGATTTGAAGCCATGGGGGGGTAACGACTGGCACGCCATAGCACACCGCAAGAGAGGGATTAGAGGCAATACTGTATTCCTCGGCCACTACGATGTCAGTGTCGGCATCCGTCTTTATCGTCCACGATACGCCTGCTGTCAGCCATCTCACAGCCCACGAACGTCGCAGCTCACAGTGCTTCCGAAGACCATCCTTGAACTCCTCTGACTCATTTTTGAATCCGTCGTACGCGATATGCAGATCCTGCCATTGTACACTAGGATCAGCCATGAGGCTTATTTGGCCGGTCAACGGCACGAATAAGGCGGCGAGCTTACTAGAAGTCGACCCCGGGACCGATGCTGATCCCGTTCCCGATGGGGGCAAAGTCGTAATTGGCTCCCCCGTCAACTTCTTCCATATCATAGTCGTCTCGCTGGTACGTTGCGGAAGGCAGGCGTTGGCTGAGCGCCTTGATTGGGGGAAAGGTGCCATTCTTCTTAGGCTCTGAGCGCCAGCTAAGCGTCGGCGGTGTTTTGAACTACGGTTAGCCTTATGTTCTCCGCTCAGCTTACGTCCGCGGGATTCCAATTGCCAACTTCGAGAACACCTTCCCTTGGCCGGACCGCCCGGTCGCCGAAGCGGATGTCGGCGGCCTTGTCTCGTCCGACGAGGTAGCTCCGGCACTGCTCAAGCACGAATGTAAACTCTGCGGTTAGCTTACGCGAATCACAAAGACGCACCAGATTGCCCGTTGACAGAGCCGCGGGCGACAACGAGCCACATGCTTAAGGTGTGATGGGCGATCGGGCGAGTGGATGAGGCATTGCTCACGCGTCAACAACATCAGGAACGAGCGCATGATTCAACCGCCACCGTCCACGGACACTACCGTATGTCCGCTCGGCACCACACGGAGGTCACAGAGTGTCCGTCACCTTAACCTCAACTGCTTCAATCGATCATAAGCTGCGCATCAGAGCGATGCATGCATCGACGACAGCCGCATAAAGCTGCTCCTGACGGCCTCGCACGATCTCACACTTTACCTCCTACTCTTCACTCATGAACACTCTCGCATCTGACACTTGTGCACCCTTCCATGCCTCATACGCTCACCCATCTCGCTCACTCGCGACTCACAATCGATGACCACACTGCCTGCCACCGCGCACTGCACTTGCGTACTAAATACCCTGAAACACCTAGCGGGCAGGCCGCTGGGCGTGGAACCAAGCTGCTGTCGGCGGCCACTGGTGGAAGTGAGGGCCGGATTGAGGAGCGCAACTAACACCGGGAGTTCAGGGATGTAACAGTCCGCTCGTCGGCCGCCGGCGCAGGTGAAGTTAGTCGTTGCGTTGCTTCTGCAACGTAGGATGCACACGCTCAAGGACAGACGGCCGCGGAGAAGGCTGATTCAGCTTGAGGTTCTTTAACATGCACAGCAGATAGCGATGCCAAAGTCGGACTCTGGTGGGGAGCGCTCTACGTTGGCGCAGGTAGCCTGCCCGCACGTCATCCGTGGTTTGACTGTTCTGGAGGCCAGTTGCCCAGCCATACGCACCACCCCGCGAAAGGCTTGCTCGCCGTGCCCTGTTAGGGACGGATGTGCCGTCCTCCCACCCCGCAACAACTTCGTCCTGGCCTTCACCGAGCAGCTTGTTCCGGTTGCGGTGCCGACGAACAAGGAATATTACTTGTCCGACCGGAAGAACTCCTCCAGACGTAGTGCAACTGGCCCCTTCACCTACTCTATGTCACCGTACATTGTATCTTGGCAGCGCCTTTGCGCTGCTCGCCGTTCCGACCACCAACATCAAATCTTTACGCACACTCTGCATCAACATGCATGCATTCATGCCAATGCAGATACAGAAATCCCTACTGAGTTTTGGGTATCCCCTCTTATGTAGCAGTGCAATGAGGTAGCAGCATAATGCGCAGATCAGAATTGCGGCGTGGTGGATCCTCTGTTCTCTTGCAGTTAGTCTTATTTGGAACAATGTGGGTCACTCATGGCCAGCCTGAGTGCACGGGCTCGTACGAGGTGATTGACATGAGGCGAGGCCGCCAGCAGCTTGAATGATGCGGCATTGGGTGCTGGCCGTGGCAGCATCGGCGTTGGCTTACGCTCGTGTTGCTGGATGCATCGTCACTCCGGGCTTCACAAGCCCTTCTGCCACTCTCCGGCATGGCCTGCACCACCCCACTAGTCAACACAGCGCGTGCGGCGACAACACCGGTGAGGGCGATGGGAGGATGGAGTTGGTCTGAGACGTCGATCCAGCTTGCAGTTCTGCCGCGGGCCGCGGGGAGGTTGAAGAGTAGTGAACAGTGTACTCGACTATGAGAGGACGGCTGGCAACATACAGGGGGCAATGTCTTGAATCAATATATTGCGCAGTGCGTGCTACTACTTGCAACACGGTGATATCTCCGCTTTGAACTACTCGGCCTGACCAAATGATGGGTTCCTCACCATCATCCGAGGTAGACATTGCTCGTTCTCCATTCCCCATCTCCAACACACTTTCTTCATCATTTATTCCCCATCCTTCATCCGTCCACTGGCACATCCAGCTCTCATTACTAGAAGGACATTTACTGGAGGCTCCGCCAGGAATTCAATATCGCTTGGTCGCTGTTCCCCTCAGGAGGAGACATGCCGCCGCCCATCGACCCCCAATACAACAAAGCCTACCTCCATTCCTACCTCCCCTGTGCGAGTGAGCCGGGGTGAGGGCGCAGAGCCATCCAAAGCGGCCATCGGATACTCCTGGGCAAACAGGCGCAGGTTTCGGTGTCCACACATTTCACCCGGCTTGTCATGCAAGGCGATGAACGCCGGTGAGGGTCGTTTCGCTCAAGGGGCTCTGTGACATGAATGAGGCTGGTGCTGGTGCGCGTATCACTCGTTCGGAAACATTATGAGAGGGCCGTGGGCCGGATGAGGTTGCCTAACAACTGGCCTCATTATCCCACTATTTTTTTTGCACGGCGGCGGTCTATCGGCGTGCTCGCTGTCCGCACAAATTGGTAGCTTCTGACCATACATACACATTCCAAGTTGTATATGACCGTTCCAAACCTTTCACCTCTGCCGAGTCCAACGAAGACGGAAACTTGATCACGTCGCCGTTCTTGGCGAGCCTGTGGGGGATCGCCAGGGCATAAGCTCAGGACCCCGAGTCTAGCGCCAACGAGATCTCGACCTCGCCTCATACACAGCCCGGCAAAAGTCCTCCCAGCGGCATGTCGGCTTGTTCGGGACCGTTCCCACCTTGCGCGCAGTGATCTTGAAACCATGGCCGAGGCAGGGGATGTCAACCACGGCGGTGAAAGTGGCATGGTTGGCCGGGAACGACATCCAGCCCTTGGTTGGTTCGGGATAAACCTGGCCTGTGCCCGTGTCCTCCGAGCGCATGACCAGATAGTACTTGGTCTGGTCAGTCTTCTTAACCTTGGTTGTCTTTCCCCGCTTCGCGACCTTGGTCTTGGAGCCTCGACCCCCTTTGGCCTTGCGTTTGGTCCCCGCTGCGGCACTGGTGCGGTTTTGGTCATCGCCATGGTCGGCATCGGGCTGATCGCTTTCATCTTCGCCGTCCTCGTGAAACAGCGCAGACCTGCCGCCGCCATCACTGTCACTGTGGAATGGCTCGTCTAGAAGCCATGCGAGTTTGTCCTCCTCGGCACTGAGCATCATGATGCCCTTCATCACGCCAAAATCAAAGTCGGCCTGGTAAAGTCCGCGTGATTTGGTGGCGTTGATCGACATGGTCAATTCGCCACGAGTGTTCCACCTCTCCGTGATTTGTGGGCAGTCCAACACGTACTGTCCAACCAATGTTGGGGGTCCACTGGCCTTTGCAGCATGCGCCGCTTGCTCGGCAATGCGCTTCTCACGGGCAATGGCCGCAGCCTGCTGTTTGGCCTTCTCTCCGGCCGCGTGTCCGTCCGCCGCCTGCTGGACCTCGTCTTTATCCCAGCCGAGGTAGACAGTCCGTGTCAACTCGCCTTGCGCTTTGGCCTGGTAAAGGCCAGAGACGGCAGAAGCAGCGTCACATAGCTGGCTGACACGGTACGCGCTATTCCCCGGAAGCGGAAACCCCACCACGTAGGTCGTCCTCTCTCTGTCGGGTTTACCGTCGAGGTCGGTGAAGTACCGCTCCATCGCCCATGTGGGTTGCCTGGCCAGGTCTTCAGGAGAACAAGTAGCAAGCCATTCGGTGTGCATCTCCGCCTGAAGTTTGACGATGTGGGCGGGAACCTCGTCGCACTGGGCGTTAGCGACTCAATATGATTGTCTGCTGGCTCGACACCGGCCAAAGTACTTGCCTTGCCTGCTTGAAGAGCCTTCTTGAGGACATTCGTTCCGCGGCCCTTGAACTCACTCGGCGCATACGTGACACCATAGTGCTGAAGCTGGGCTTGCACGAAATAGCTGTTCTCATAGAGAAGTTTATTTGCCTCGGGCGTGAGCGTAGGGAGAAAGAGTTCCCGTAAGCGCGATCCATCAACGCGTTCCGTTTTGAGGGTGGTGAAGCGGCCGTGGGCGCTCTTGAAGCCGTCGCGGGTAACGCACCCGTCCTTGAGGACGGTTGTTGACGATGACATAGATCCGCGGAAAGTGGAGATGATGTGAAGGAAGGATCAAGACTATTGATGAACGTTTGGCTGTTTGCATGCCAGTCACCATGCATCGGTTGAGTCAACCACGGTCAACCAGGACCGGGGGCCAGAGCGTGAAGGCCCGTGCACGTGACTGCCCTCTGGACGTGGTGGGCATGGTGGGGCGCCTGCAAACAATGCATTTTGTGTCATGCTGTGTGCATATATCTGGCTGCTGTCTGCTTCTTGTTCGGGCGTAACGGCCTTGTTCTAGTTAATAAAGAACGAGAAGATCACTCGAACTCAAAGGAGAGATGACCACACAGTGACGCGACGGAAGCAAAGTCGGCGGATGCCAACAACAAAAGTCATTCGCGTTCCGTGCGGCGGAATGGCGGAGAATCATGCCATCTCCGCTATCTGTTTTCTGACGTCTGAGATTTTAGACCGCCAACTTGCGTTTTACCGCCTTGCGGTTGCCGCGGGCTTGCGTGCTGTGACCACCATGCTTGCTGTCGCCGTTTTGCTCACTCTCGCTGCCATCGCTATCCTGCCTTTTGGAGCCACTTTGCTTGGTGCTATGGCCGTTTTGAAAAGACTGGTCTGCCTGGGTCTGCCAATCGCCACATTCACCATTTCAAGCCTCAATTGAAATTGTTGAAGGTGCTCTTGGGCAGAGAAGGAGGCTTAACCAAGCGGCCTTCCTGTAGTTTGGTTTGGAAACACCCAGTGGATCAAGCTGGAGCAGTTGACAAAGGCTGCTTCGTTCGTTGGCGTGGCCAAGATGTTGTGCTGACCAGAGTTTCCACTTGGTGTCCGATAAACCAGCGCGCAGGCAACTCCTAACCGTCGTGTCTTTAGTCACGTCAACGGTGAAAGCCTTGACCACATTGTAGTGCTTCTTCTTGGCCGCACGGAAGGTAGCGCCCCGTGTACAGAATGATATCCTCTGGCGCGTGTCTTCGGATCGTCAGTCAGCTGGAAGTGAGCTTTCCCGAGCAATGCGGGTTACATGCTTGCTGGCTGCTGGCTGCATGGATGCTGGATCGCGGGAGTCGTGAATGGTAGCTCTGGGATAAAGGGGAGCCAAAGGAAGGAAAGGCTCGACAGAATATCTGATTCAAAAGGCAGGATCTGCTCTGATCATCTGAAAGCTGAAAGAATGTGCGGTTCATCCGTCGAGGATCAACGGACCCGATTGCATCGCTGCGACAAGCTACCTTATACCATAATGCTCTTTTCACTCAACCGCACTGCAAGCTGCCGGCAAGCTTGGCGCCAGATGGCAAGGCGAGCACATGGTGATTGACCAGCACAGAAGCATGGGCAGCTAGCTGGGTTGGGCAGCATGGGCAGGCTGCATCCTACAGCCGATTAGTCCACGAGACCATTAGGAGTTGGGTGACGGGAAGACAACGTTTTGCTTCCGTCCTATTTGCCACCCACCATACCGGTTCGTCATTCAACAACACGGTCCCCAACTACGCACCACTTTCCAGATCATCATCTTAGCATCCGTCATCGCCACCTCGCAGCAACATCCTCGTGTGTCTAACCACGTTCACGCTGGAATATTCTTCTCGATCTCATCTGGCCTTCGATAAGCGTCTCTCACACTCCTTCGTTCATTCAATCACACCTCATCCCTCGCCTCGTCGCCCCACGTTTTGGCCAGATGAAGAGTATCAATCGGTGGTTGTACGGCCCAACTCCGGACGAGCGTGTGCGCGAGTGGCGGCGGAAACTGCGCCAGAACCAGCGTGAAGTGGACCGCGAGATTGCGAATGTACGTGGCTCAAGATGAATCCAAGAGGGAAGGGATGTTTTATCTCATGTCGTCACAGCACCGCTTACACCAGCTCGACCGTGCAACACTCAAGTCGCGCACTGAGCTCAAGACTCTCGCGAAAAAGAACGATGTGAAGAGTGCCCGTATCCTCGCAAAGGAAATTGTGCGCGCGAACAAACAGCGCGACCGGCTGCACTCGACCAAGGCCCGCATCAACTCGGTCGACATGCAGCTGCAGCACCAGCTTGGTGAGTGGCTTTCGGGGCATGCACGGAACTTGAGCTGACAGCAGCAATGGTCAAGGTGACGGGTGCGTTCCAGAAGTCGACCGAGATCATGAAGGCGACGAACCAGCTCGTCAAGCTGCCGCAGCTGAGCGCGACCATGCGGGAAATGAGCATGGAGATGATGAAGGTATGTCGCTGCGCGAGCGCCCTGACAATAGTCTGGGATTATGGAGGAGATGATGGAGGAGACGATGGACGGGCTCGACGACGAAGAGCTCGAGGAAGAGGCGGACGAGGAGGTCGAGAAGGTCCTCTTCGAGCTGACGGACGGCAAGCTCGGCCAGGCGGGGCGCGTGGGCGCCGAGCTGCCGGCCGAAGAGGAGGTGGAGAACGAGGCCGAGATGGAGCGCATGAGGCGCGAGATGAACGATCTGCTCAACGCCTAGTTTTAGAGTACTCTGTGCATGTACCACCATTGTCTATCTCTACATACAGTCGGCGCGGCGTCTAATGGATCCCGAGATCGGTTGGGCTCAGTCAACGGTGACACCCTGGTCGCGGAGCTCGTTCTTGGCCTGCGTAATCTCGGCGAGGAGGGACTCGTACGCTTCAGGCGTGTCGTTGAAGCGGAGCAGGCCGAGGCCGAGGGACATGAGCGAGTATGACCCGAAGCAGACGAGGAGCCACCAAGGGAGCTGATGTGAGCGAGCGCCTCGCGAGGAGATGTCAGAGGGACAAGGCAGCAGGAATCCGCAAAGAATCTCTGTCGGCCGCCCCAATGCCCAAGGGTTCCGCCAACCCCGGGTGACTCACGACTGGCAAGATGAGGCTGGCCGTGTCGCGATCGACAAATGGCACGGGTAGGACCGCGAAGAGCATGAGGAAGTAGACGATCGCGAGCGGCACCGCGGCGGTGAGGAAGCGTTTTCCCTTGGACATGGTGAGCGACAAGTAAGGAGTGTGGAGACAGAAGCTGGACGAGTGGTGAGATTGATGGCGAGGTGCGGTTCACGTCGCGTTGAGCGTGGAGGGAAAGCGGAGACTGATGCCATGTCCGTGTCGGTGGAGGTGGTGAAGTCTGACGTTGGATTGCTTTGGTTCCAACCCTCACGCGACGAATAATCTGGCGAGATCTTGCGAAGCTTGCGACCCGGCCAGAAGCACCAAATACGTCCACTACTACAGCGGTCACGGAGAGTCGTATTCAGAGAGCGCCGCTTTCGAGAGTTCTCGACGTTGCACCTACGATGTTGGACCGCGGCCTGTTATCGGCCCGCCGTGCACTGAGGCCATCAGTCGCGGGGCGTACGCTCACACAGTGGGCACCCTTCAACCGCATGGTCAAGGACGATCCTGGTGCGCCATTCACTACTCCAGACTGCGCTGACGACAGAGTGGGCGAGCAGGAGCGTGTACCTTCGTACGGTGCTGGACCGGCTGCGCGACCATGAGCTGTCCCGACAATGGCGCAGGGATGATAGGTGTGCGTCATCTCCTTGATCGAGGAAGGTGTGGCTCAGCTGCAATTCCTCTGTTCACAACTTGGAATGGTCTCTCCCTCCTTAACCTTGCTCGCTTCTCTCAGGTCGCAGGCAGCTGCTGACCGCAGGGGAGTATTACGCTGAAGCTTTCGACACTCTGTCTCTGCTACAGCCGCGCAAGAAGAAGGCTACGCTCAGTGAAATTGAGCGCGTGCTGCCTCAGGCTGTACGTTTAACGGAGTCAATGCTCGAAATCAGTGCTCACTTCAGAACTCTCCTGCCTGGAATGTCATCCGCAACATCGTTGCGAAAGAGGAAGATGCCTACCTCGAGCAGAGGTCGGAGGAGGAGGTCGCTGGCGTGCTGTTTCGCCGCATATACACCGTTGGGAGGGCGACCGCTGCTCGACTGTGAGTGTCCAGAGGAAGGTCTGCTGACCCAAGAGCGAAGAACGGGCTACGCACTCTGGAAGACTTCGTAGCGCGGCCACGGGTCACGGCGAGCCAGAAGGTGCGAGATGAAAGAAGCTCGAGCTGACAGCAGCTGTCTATTGAGCATCTCTCGGACATGGACATCATGATTCCGAGGAAGGAGATGGACTCGTTCAAGGCGCGCCTTGAAGATGTGTTTCGTCCCAATCCAGACGCAATCCAGGATGGTGCGCCTCAAGACGAGTCACGCTGAACACAGCCACCTTTGAACTCGTGGGATCGTATCGCTGCGGGCAGGAGTACTCCCCCAACATCAAAGCGCTTGTGTACAGCGAGTGAGTCACGCTTGCTCGCACAAGGTCGGCTGACATCTAGCGCGTATACGGACTTCAACAGCGCAACGAGCATTCTGGACGAGGTGTACCGTCGAGTAATGGTCAATGGGCTCATTGAGAATGGCCAAATGCTCTCTATCGGTGAGTTGGGAAGGTTTTGGGAGGAGCGCCACTGACAGATAGCAAGCCGCTCGGATCGGCGACACATTATCGGTTTCACACGAGCCAACGCGCGCAGCCCCTGGCGAATGTTGAGTCTGAAGCTGGTGCCCCGCGACCAACTGCCATTAACGCTGGTCCAAGAGACGGGTGACGGGTTCTTGTGGCGTGTGCTGCGCAGCCAGGCGAAACGAAAGTACGTTGCGGGCCATTGGTGGTTGCAACTCCAAGGCTGATCACAGTGGATACCGCTTCTACCGCAACAATGTGGAGTGGATCCGCCGGACGCCCCGTGCAGAGGAGGGAGGCGTGAATCGTTCTCGCCCTCCGCAACCGAAGACAGAGAAGGAGGTGTTTGACCTGGTGAGTGACCACTTGAGTGCTTGAGCGATCGAGCGATTTCCATGGTCCTGGTTGATACTGACGTCAGGCTAAACTCCCTTATCTTGAGGTTTGTCCGCGGAATACCGCTCCCATCGGATAGATTGCAATGCTGACTGCCAGCCACACCAACGTGTGTACAACGTGTACAGGGATATTCTGCCTACCGAGATCTTGGAGGAGCGATCTGAACCGTGGGAAAATGCCTTTCTCAAATCGCGCAAGCAGCAGGTGGCCGCCAAAGAGTGAGCAGAGTATATCGGCAGACGGCACACTTCGTCGACAGAGGGTTCGACAGGTACGATCATGACTGCACTTGGGTACATATGTCATTGCATGCTGGAAAGCTGCACACCTGTGGGAGCAGGGCAACGACAGATAAACGTGTGCAAGAGAGGAGAGGAGAGGAGGACAGCTGGAGAGCACATAGCCGAGTAGTTGAAGAGCTCAGCGTTGGTCGCGAGTGTCAGGGCAAGCGACACGCGGTTGTGTGCGTGGAATGATGGGAGTGGCCGAAGCCGAAGGGACGGAGGATGTCGAGGGGCTCGAGGGGTTCGAGGCACACCGAAGTGATCTTTGAGGGTGGGTACGGAGCCACGGAGATTACGAGCACTGGAAGAGGCGGGTTCCTTGTCGGGCATAGTCGGGGGGTTGGGGTTGATATAGAGACCGGAAAATTTGATCCCGCTTTCCAGCCGCAGACTGTAAAAGGCATGAGCAAAGATTCGTCCTGGTTATGTATGGCGTGCTGTGTTGGTCGTTGGTCGTAATCGACCACTAGTAGTCCCTGTACGTGCCACGCGACAAGAGCCATCGGCCCATGCACCGTGATCATGGCGTGTAATGGCCGTAATGGGGCACTCGACGACAAGAGGTGGGGCGCTCTGACTGGGCATGCTCAGGCAGCCAGGCGGAGACACACGCCGTTGGTCCCTGGCCAAGCTGGCACTCTTTAGACGCGCCATTCTCATCTTGGCCTCTCTTTTCTTTCCCTCTCCTCTCTTTCCTCATCACCTCTAATCCTCACCTCACCCCCTCTCCTCACCACCCTCACCACCACCTCCTTCATCAAAATGACCTCCGGTGTTAACGGCAACGGCCCCGCCCACCAGCTCGCCCCTGGCCAGTGAGTCTCTTCCCCCCCCCCACGACGTCTTGCATCCTCTCGGCCGGAAAAAAAAATATGGGCCCACAACGCACGTTTGCCCACCACTACCGGCTGCCACGTCGCCTCCATGTTGCTTGCCTAATGGAACTGTATATGGTGCATGTTACATGGCCTGGAGCGTCTCGAAGCTCTTCCTGCATGCTCGCATGTACTCCGCCGTGCTGTGCTCGTCAGCTCTGTCCGCGGGCCCCTTGCCATTGTCATCATTGCAGTCGGCCTCCACACCCCTTCCTCACCTTCCACCCCGGCACCGCCGCTTACACCAAGCTTCCTCTTCACCTCCGAGTCGGTCGGTGAGGGCCACCCCGACAAGATCTGTGACCAGGTCTCGGACGCCATCCTCGACGCCTGCCTCGAGCAGGACCCCCACTCCAAGGTCGCCTGTGAGACTGCCTCCAAGACCGGTATGATCATGGTCTTCGGCGAGATCACCACCAAGGCCAAGCTCGACTACCAGCAGATCATCCGTGAGACCATCAAGAAGATTGGCTACGACCACTCGGACAAGGGCTTCGACTACAAGACCTGCAACGTCCTCGTCGCCATTGAGCAGCAGTCGCCCGACATTGCCCAGGGCCTTGACCACGGTTCGCTCGAGAACCACGGTGCCGGTGACCAGGGCATTATGTGAGTTTCTGGTTGCTTGATATGGCAGAGTGAGAGCGGCGAACCAAATTCCGAACACGAGGACGTGCTGTGGTGTCACCCAGTCGTCTTTGGTTTAGGAGGACCGAGCGATACGGTCGTCTCCGGCCGCGGGAGGGGCGTGCCCCCCCCGGATCGACTCATTTCCTCCCTTTCTTTCCGCTCGCGCCACTGCCTTGATAGATCGAGACCCCCACGCACGGACAATGAGCTGACTTTGCAAGGTTCGGCTACGCCACCGACGAGACCCCCGAGTACATGCCCCTGACCATCATGCTTGCCCACAAGCTCAACGCCGCCATGGCTGAGGCCCGTCGCGACGGCTCGCTCGGCTGGCTCCGCCCCGACTCGAAGACCCAGGTCACCGTCGAGTACAAGAAGGAGGCTTCGGGCGCCGTCGTCCCCCTTCGTGTCGACACCATTGTTATTTCGACCCAGCACGCTGAGGAGATCTCCACCGAGGACCTCCGCTCCGAGATCATGGAGAAGATCATCAAGAAGGTCATCCCCAAGAACCTCCTTGACGACAAGGTCATCTACCACATCCAGCCCTCGGGCCGTTTCGTCATTGGTGGCCCCCAGGGTGACGCTGGTCTCACTGGTCGCAAGATCATTGTCGACACCTACGGTGGCTGGGGTGCCCACGGTGGTGGTGCCTTCTCGGGCAAGGACTTCTCCAAGGTCGACCGCTCGGCTGCCTACACCGCGCGCTGGATCGCCAAGTCGCTCGTTGCCGCCGGCCTCGCCAAGCGTGCCCTCGTCCAGCTCTCGTACGCCATCGGTGTCGCTGAGCCCCTCTCCATCTTCGTCGACACCTACGGCACCGGCAAGAAGTCTGACGACGAGCTCGTTGCCATCATCCGCAACAACTGGGACCTCCGCCCGGGTGTCATCGTCAAGGAGCTTGACCTCCAGAAGCCCATCTACCGCCAGACCGCTGCCTACGGCCACTTCGGCAACCCCGCTTACACGTGGGAGAAGCCCAAGCAGCTCAAGTTCTAAGCGCCTTTTCGGGCGTGCCAGCCCCGTTCTCTTGATGGGTCTAGCATAGATCTTGGTTGTGTCTCTGTCTCTTCGCCAGCGCGCAGCGCCCCGCCCCCGGGGCTGCTGCTCGGGTCTGCCGCCGCGTCTCCGTGCGCTGGGCGTGTCGTCGTTCCCGTGCTCCCTCTTGTATCTCTAACCTCATCATCATCATTGGGAAGCCCCAAACGGGCCCCACGCGCGAGTTCCACCTCCCACGCCCCTCCCCGCACATCAATACCCCCACAGCATATCACATTCCCTTGGTAGACCCATACCCCCCGTCCGGGCGCCAGGCCACGCGGCGCCCGCAGAGTACCCCCAGCACAGGCTGTAACCGGATTACATATGAATGGCGTCAACCGCCACCAGGCATGGGTGTAGGGTGTTTTTTTCGGGAGTGTTGTGCTGCAAACTAACGACCGGATGAATGGCTGCCGACTGATCTGATTGCGGTCGGTGTCAGCACAGTCCAGGCGGTAGAGGCCTATTCTTTACCAGGCGGCGTGGAAAGCGCAGAGTCTATGTTATCGGTGTCACTCCACGTGCACACGTATCCTCACTGATTGATCATAGCTACAGAACATACAACATGGCGCCACCCGTCTCCTAAGGCCTACGTCTAACCAGCCAAGGCCCACAACTTGTTGGCCGTAGCGACGCGGTCGTCAGCAGCCGCGACGACATGGATATCAGGCGCCGAGTTGTTAGACACGAGAATCTTGCCACCCTCGAGCGCGCGGAAGCCGAGCTGCGCGAAGAGCTGAAGGCGGAGGCTGGTATTAGCTCTGGGGGGGTTAATGAAGTGGGGCTCGTGGTGGCGCGGAGCCTCAACACAGCCAAATCCTCCTGCACGCGTCATCTCCCTGCTCAACTCCTTGCCCCTCTCCTTGCTCAATCCCCGCCACCCATATGCTCGCCCATCTCCTCGCCCTTCTCCTACCCCAATCTTCCCGCCCGCCCATCCCCCGCCCGCCTTACTCCACACACAACACTCACACCTTGCTCGCGTCCGTCGCGCCCGCCGTCGGGTCCCACTTGCGCACATCGTCCCGCTCCCCTCGTGCGCGCGTGAGTTCGGCCTCACGCTGCGCGACCCCGTTCGCTTCTTCATTCACCGCCTTGCCGCTCGCATACTGGTCCTTCTCGAGGTCGAGCACACGCGCCTCATACGCCTCAGCGGTGAGTGCGCCCGCAGGGCGCTCAGCGGCGCGGGCAGCCGCCTCGTACCGGTCCGTCAGAACTGGCGTTAGTCGACGGCGCTAGCACAACGCACTGTCCAGCTCGTCCTGCAGCTTGCCGGTTATCGCGCTCCGCTCCATCTCCTTCGCGAGCACCACTTTCTCGGCTTGCGAGATCGAGGCGAACTCCTTCTCCGTGTCCAGCATGCCGCGGAAGTCACGCATGGTCGAGCTGGAGTCAGATCGTTCCGTCCGGGCTTACATCATGTTATCGATCTCGCCCGTGTCGCCACGGATGGGCGCGTATTCTTCGCTGTCGCTGTCCATGTTTGTGTGAGTCAAGCAATAGGGTGACTGAACTAGTTGGAGGGGAAAGTACTCGAAGTCAGTCGCGCATTGCGTTTGTGTACACAAACAAACAAGTCCCGTGGTTTGCACGCCTAACAACGCGGAGAAATTAGGGTGCACAGTTCTCTGGTGCCTTAATTTTCTTCACACATAGGCGCGCTGAATGTCGTCATAGGCCCCGGCCGCCCCACAAGGCGAATGAGGCTGGCACATCACCCTTCTCCACCCTCGCCTCCGTCGCCGCTCGCCCCGCTCCGCACAGCGCCGAGACATCCTCCACACCTCCCTGGCAAGCACCGAGCGCTCGGCTCCACCCTCGACAACTCATTGTCTGAAAGATCGACGTCGCCAACACTAACTGAACCCCCATTAACCCGCCGCCATCCTCTGTGCAGATCCTACAGATCGAACCCCCCCACTGTAGCTCTGTCGCTCAATCTCGGCCACGCCACTTTGCCCTTTCACCCACTCCATCCTCTCCCCCGTCAGCACTCGACCTCCGACCATGGCCGCTCCCGCCCCACGACGCCACAAGCCTGGGCGCGTTGCCGAGGGCCGCCGCATCTCCCGCGACAACGGCTCGTCCCAAGACGCAAGTGAGGAAGGTATGCATCCGCGCTGTTGGCCCCGTCGCGTTGCCATGTCGTGCTGACACGATGCCACGCCGTCCCCGCCTGCGATTCGTCGTCTCCACCGGCTACCCGACGTCACGCACCCCACGCACCACCGTCTTAACCCTCAACCTCAACCCGCGCCGCAACTCCCACCTTGACTTTTCCTTTATTTTACAGACAACGACGTGTCCGACGTCGGCAGCCTCATCTCCGTCACTGCGCCCAGCCTCACCCCCTCCGCGGCCAGCTCCCCACGCCTCGGTCAGCCGCGCCACCCCCCGACCCTGCCACTCAACGCGATCCTCCGCCGCTCCGGCGACAAGCGCACTCAGCTGAGCGAGAGCGAAGGCGTCGAGTCTCCGACGTGAGTGTGTCCGTCGTCGAGGCGCGACGTGGCGTCGTAGGCCTTGTTGTGGCACCTGTGGCACCTGTCTGCACTGAAGGAAGGACCTCATTAGCCTCGCCAAGGGTTGGCTGATCTTGCTGTGCATGCTTTTAGCCCAAATCACTAACCTCCCTTGCTTAGCTTCTCGCCCGCTGACGCGCAGATACGACGGCGACATCGAATCCTCGTCGACTATCGGGACGCCCATTACGTCCCACTACCCGCACGACAGCTACCGTCGACCCGTGTCTCCCACGCCGGGGTCCACCACTGCAAACCACCTCGGGAGAGCGCCCACGCCCCGCGCCATGGCGAACCACGCGGATGAAGGCCGGTGCCACTGCCACCGTGCGCCGGACGACGTGCCCGTCGCCGAGAGCCAGGCCCTCAAGAATCCCTACAAGCACCGCGACACGCCGGGCATGAATGCCGGCCCGATGCGCATGTACGAGCTCCCGCACGAGCTGGAGGAAGAGGACATCCGCGCGTTCGTGCAGCGCGCGATCGACGGTCAGGGGCTCGAGGACGGCGTCGACCGCTGGTGGCGCACGTCCCCGCCGCCCTCGGACCGCCCTGTTCGCATCTACGCCGACGGCGTGTACGACCTCTTCCACTTCGGGCACGCGCTGCAGCTGCGCCAGGCCAAGCTCTCCTTCCCCAACGTGCACTTGCTCGCGGGCGTATGCTCGGACGCGCTTTGTGCCGAGAACAAGAGCCCGCCCGCTATGACCCACGCCGAGCGCGTCGCCGCCGTCCGCCAGTGCCGCTGGGTCGACGAGGTTGTCCCCGACGCCCCGTGGGCCCCGGACCAGGCGTGGATCGACAAGCACCGCATCGACTACATCGCCCACGACGAAATCGTCTACCCGTCCAAGGATCACGATGATGTGTACGCATTCATCAAGGGACAGGGTGAGTAGTTGGGCGAGTCGGATTGATGGCGCGATGTGTGATCGCCGCTGGAGTCTCCGAGAGGCTTCTTGTCTGTCGGCGGCCGGTTTGCATGGTGATTGCCACTTTTTGTGAAGCCATCACCCCATCTTCCTCGGCAGGCTCGCGCTTGACCGCTCAATAATCCACATCTCCAAGCTGACCTCAGGCAAGTTCCTCCCGACGCGCCGTACGCCGGCCATCTCCACCTCGGACCTCTTGGAGCGCATCGTGCGCGGATACCGCGAGTCGTTCTTCGACACCAAGCTCGAGAAGAACGGACAAATCGACCTGCTGGCATGCGACGTCGAGTGGGACAGCGACTTCTCCTCGAACCGGCGGCAGCAGCGGCGGCTGCGTGCGCGCGGCCTCGACAGCGCGGACATAAGCCAGAGCAACAGCGCGGCGCCGAGCGCGCCGAACTCGGAGCCCGGCACGCCCGTCAAGCCGTTGACGTCGTTGTCGATCGTCGAGAATGCGCAGTAGGAAACGGGCACGACAGGGTAGAGAGAGCGATATACCCGCGAGCGCTAGATGATATCTATGATTATTGCGATGCTGATGTGATCACTGACGAGACGCCACGAGGTGCGAGGTGGCGAGCGACGGCTGCACCAGTTTTCGCACACTTTGTCTTCAGTTTGTTGGCGATGCGAGGATGGGATGGGGAGAGGGCACAAACGGTGGACGGGGTTAGCATGGAACACATGAGTGCGAAGCCGACCAGGAGCGACAAGGCGAGGACGCGCGGGGAGCGACGACTCAGCGAAGATGGCCTCGCTCCCCAGCATCACTGACACGCGCGACGTGATACCACCCTCGCTCCTGCATCACTGACCGTCCACTGACGCATATAGACGCGCCCCATGTCCTCACACCAGCACACACAATGAACGACGAATACACGCCCGCGTCGGACGAGTCTGGTGAGTCCCTCCTGCCGTCTCCCCTCATCCTCTCCTCCTCCTCCCCTCCTCCCCTCCTCTCTTGCGCCTCCCAAGACACCGCTCACACAGACTCGTCCGGCTCGCACACAATCGAGCGCTGCCCCGCATGCAACGACCTGCTGTGGGCCGACGCCGCGCACTGGTGTCCCGCGCGGCGCCACGAGACGTGGGAGGACGAGGGGGAATGGGAGGACGTGTCGCAGTCCGACGGAGGGGGGGAGGGTGAGGGAGAGAGGGGCGAGGACGGGAGCCCGTGGGAGAGCGAGAGCGAGAGTGATAGCTACAGCGACAGCGACACCGAGGCCGAGGCCGAGGACGAGGGCGCGAGCGACAGCGAAAGTGACAGCGACAGCGACAGTGACAGCTACGACGATCACCCGATGATGTTCGTCCTCGAGCTCAACTAGCCTCGTGACATGTCTCCTCTCACACGAGCAGCCCCAAGCCCATATGTTGTACTCTTATGCATGCTACATGATACAGCGATATCACGCGCCGTTCGCCTCCATGGCCGCCAGGCCCGCTTCGGCCTCGAGCACCTGCTTGTCCGTCTCGAGGCTTTCGACGGCCTCGAGCGCCGCGCGCCGCCGGTCATTCAGCTCCGCGTAGCGCGCCTGCAAGTCGCGCTCGCGGCGCTCGAGCGCGTCGACCTCGGCGCGCAGCTTCTCCACGCGCCCCGGCGCAGCCGCCTTCTCCATGCCGAGCAGCATCGTGAACGTGTCGTGGTCGCGCTTGGTGGCGTGGATCTCGTCGATGCCGCTCACAATCGCGGCGCGGTGCTTGGCGTTCAGCGCGACATATCCGCCAAACTGTTTGCCGAGCTTCTTCTCCGCCTTGGCGGCCCGCGTCGCCTCCGCCACCATGCGCTCGCGGCTCGCTGCGATGACCTGCGCGTACTCGGCCGGCGTAAGGGACGAGCGCTCCACCCACCCGCTGCCAGGCAGATAGACCATACCCTTGCTCGCGGCAGACCACGAGCCGTCGAAGGCCTCGTCATCCTCCTTCGCCGCGGAGCCGATCACCACGGCAGTCTGTGTCTCGCTTGCGCCCGGGAGGCCGAGGGCGCCAGCCACTTCGGCATGGATTGCCGCTTTGGCCGCAGCCACGAACTCGTCCTCAGGCATGTCGTAGTTGCTCGCAACGTTGCCAGGGGTGCGCGTCCCGGGAAGCGGGTGGGCAATCGCGTCGTGCGCCATGAGCGCGGCCATCTCCTCGTTAATGAGGCGCAGAGCCGCCGCAAGGCTCGCCTCGGCGTCGGCCGTCGCGGCGTTCAGCTGCCGCAGCACCGCGCGGGCATCCACGTTGGCGGGGCGGGGAAGACCCTTCTTGACTACTTGGGAGCGCCGCTCAAGTTCGAGGCGCTCCTCCTCCTCGCGCGCAGCCTTGAGGCGCGCGTCGCGGTCGGCAGCGTCCTCCTCAGTCATGGGCACATCCTCGACATCTTCCTCCTCGTCCTCGGGGTCCTCAAGTTCAAAGTTGTTTTCGGGACGCGGGAGCGACGCGAAACCAGCCTGCAGAGCGCGTTTGGCGTCCTTGAGACGCCGCCGCTCGTCAGCCGGAGTCTCGCCCCACTCCCCGCGGTTGTTGATTGTCAGGTTGTCGCGGAACGGCGTAGCGCCTGGTCCTCGAGGGGTGCTCATCACTCCGCCAACGGTGCGAGGAGTAGCTAGCGGGTTCACCGTCACGGGGGCCGAGTGGCGCGGCGTCGCGGACTCATTGCCGGTCCCGAGGTCGCGCGAGAGGAGAGGCGTGTTTTCATCACCAAGCAGAGGGGTCTGCACGTTCGTCAGCCGACGCAAGTTGCGCGCCTCCTGCATGATGTTGTCGTGCTCGGCGTCGACGCGTGGCGTGCGCGCCATCCGCGCTTGGCTGAGGTTCTCGTACTCTCCGACGAGCTGGTCGGTCGCACCGCCCTCACCCGCTACAAGCCCACGAGCGGCCTCGCCTGCCTGCCCGATCTTGACAATCTCCTCGAGCTCGCGCTCGCCAACCTGGGGCGTGGGGAGGTTGAGTTTGCGGCGGCGAATAGTCTGCTCCTGCTCTTTGAGCTTCTTGATCTGCGCCTCGCGCGCCTTGACAAACTCAGTGGCCGACTGCTTCTCGCTCTTTTGCCGCTTGTTCTTGCCCGCCTCCTCGTCTAGTTCCTGCTTGCGCTTGCCTTCGAGGGCGCGCAGCGACGAGCCCACCACTGGCTCATACTTCTTGGCGCGCTCCTCGGCCGTGTCGTAGAATCCTGGCGCAGGCTGCTTCTCGAAGGGGATGTCGGCATTATAGTCCATCCCCTTCTTCTTCTTGGTCTCGCGCAAATTGATGCCCGCAGCCTTGAGCTCACGCTTCTTCTGCAGGAACGCGACGCGACGCGCCTCCTCCAGCTGCCGCTCACGCGCCTTGCGCTTTGCCTTCTTGCCCTGCGTGTTGGCGAGACGCGCGCGCGCCTCGGACAGCATCTCCTTCTCGTCATCGTCCATGTCGACCGGGTCAGGGCGTGCGGGACGAGACTCGGGCTGCGTGTCGATCTCGCCGGTGCGCAAACCGAACGCAGGCTTGGACGCCTCGTTGTCGCCGTCACCCATCCCGAGCTCCTCGTTCTCTGCCTTCTCTGCGTCGTCTAGTAGTTTCTGGTACCGCTCGAGACACTGCGTCGCTGTTCGCCCGACCAACGGCGCAATCGTGCGCCATTGTGTCGGCATCAGCTTGGCGAGATGTAGTAGCTTCTCATCTTCAGTCTGGCGTCAGTCGTATGCCACGCAGCTGAAGAAACTCACCTTTGACCATTCGACCTTCTTGATGGATGGATCAAGCCATTCGTACCAGCGCGCCTTGCACTGCTTCGGCGACTTGCGCACCAGAAGCGATGAGATACGCGCCCACTGGTTTTTGCCGTATTTTGCGATGGCCGCTTTGAGAATCTCATCCTCGGTGTTGCGCCACACACCGCCCTTGATGATGATGCGGACCTGGAGTCAGCTCGGATCTGGTCATGTAGCGCACCATGCTGGATCACGCAGGTCCCAGGCAGCTGCTTAAGCGGTCCGGAAGTCGTGAGAGGGGTTAAGATGGACGTTGCCGACGTTGTTGTTGCCGACAATGGGACTGGGTGCTCAACAAGCATCGAGTTGAACTGACATTAGGTGGCAACTTCAAGGCTCCGGGCGGAGATACCGGGTGTATTGTTTGTGGCGTCCTCCTGGTGGCGGTTCGATCCCCGCACGGACCATTGAATTGTTTGTGCCTCGTAGATCTGCTCTCCTCATGTCACCGTGCATGTGATGGAGTGATGGTTTCATACCAAACGCACCGGCGGGCCAGTCTATCTTTCTTATTCCGTGTTCACTTTCTCATCGTTCTCTGTTTCTTTGAATCAGTCCATCGTACTTCCGAGACATGCGAGACAGCGGCTCGGGTGGCGCGAGGGGTGGAGGTGTGTCGTCATGCTGCTCCGCATGACCCGGGTATGCCGCCCACCGGCACGACGCGGCCATGAGTCCACAGCATCTCTTATCGCTCACCACTACCTCTTGACCTCTTGACAGCTCGAATCAATATGACCAGCAAACCTCTCCTCTCCGACCGCGGGCCGACTTACAACTCGACCGCGCCGCCACAGGCGGCGTTCTCCGCAGCGGCGAACTCCGTTCCCGCGGCTCGCAATGGCGCCAGCGGCAATGGGGGTGCCGTCGACCTGCTCCCAACACATATGGGACGTAAAAGCGGCTGGCTCGCCACGCAGTTGCGCGGGAGCGTCGATCCGAACAAGTGCGACTTGATCGGCGTGTACGGCTGCCTGCTCACGGGCTTCACGTCAGCCGTCTCATTCACCGTAAGTTCGAGGGACGAGATGTGCTGACATCAGGCATGTTACGTCTGGTGCGTTACAAGTGCCTCGCTGTGCTCGATGCTGACGTTGTCTTTCCTGTTCATGCTCACACGCCGCTCCTTGTTGACAAACACTAACATGCCTCATTCCCTGCTCAACAACTCGCATCCCTGCCCGACGTCAACGCCCTGTTCGCTGTACTCGTCTTACCCGTACCCGGGATTATCACCCTCAAACCTGCAGGCCAGGGTTTCAGACAGGCAACGTCGCGCAGCTCGCCATTGCCATGGCGCGCAACTTCGACCCGCCCGCCACACGCACGCGAGGCTTCCAAAAGGGCGACCAGCAGGCGCTCACAGCGCTCGCGACGTTCTGGCTCGGGACGAGCCTGGGCCGCATCGGCGCCAGGGTCGGCAACACGCGGCGCGCATGGCTTGTCACCTCGTCCATCCTGCAGATGTTGATGGCCGCGATTGCCGCCCTGCTAGCCCACTATTCCGGCGAGAGCCCTTACGCAGCGTAAGTCACGTTCCAGGGCGAGCGAGAGTTATCGGGAAATCAGAGTTCAGTGCTATCACTCGTATACGGCGCTCAACGAGCTCGATGCGCCACGCCACACGATGCACGGCCCCCCGACATCGAAAGTGATAGCGCTTGTCCGAGCGCTCACCGGGTTCCGATCTGTCGGGGGCAGGCACGCCCTCCCTGCGCCGCGGAATGAGTTGGCAGCGCACAAAGCTGACCCCAGCGACCGCGCGCACCCGTCGTGGGCATCGCCGATGGGCATGGGCGCGCTCGCGTTCCTCTCGGCCAGCCTGGGCTTGCAGGGCATCGTGGGCAAGCGAATCGGGAGCGCGATGAACACGACCGTGGTGCTCACGACGACGTGGGTCGAGATCTTCAACGACCCGAACCTGTTCAAGCTGCGCGCCGTGCCGAGCCGCGACATGCGCATCGCGGGCGTTCTCGCCGTTCTGGTAGGCGCGTTTAGTGCACGTGCGCTCCTCGGCGTCATCGGGCAGGGCGGGACCGTCGGCGTCCTCTGCGCCCTGCGCGTGCTGCAGGGCATGTGGTGGGTCGTCGTCCCGTCGCCCTAGCGCTATCGGGCTATCGAGCGCTGGTCGCCGCGGGATGGGGCGCTCGCCGACGAGGAGATACGCTTGTCCGTCTCACGGCTATTCATCCGTCAGGTCGCGTGCGGCGTGACATGTGGCCATGAGTAATCGTACGGCACCCCGCCCATTTCATCTGCCCGAAATCCGCTCTAAATAGCGGAACGAGGATGCCTTTCCCTTATCGAGGCGCTATTCTGCGCTTGTATCGCGGCTATCCTGATGTATCTGCTTGTTTTGCACGGCCACGCTCTAGCCATTGCAGTGTGTGATGTGCTCCATTGTGTGCTCCATTCGTAATCATCATTAAATCTCCGTGTGCGGGAGGGTACTCGGGTGCGGGCGTATGCGCCATGCGTCACCGTCAGGAGTTGCACAAAGAAACTGATCCGGACCACGTCGATCCAGGGCCGTGCTCGGAGGTCCCGATCTCGGCGCAGACAACAAGTGTCAGGACGCACAGTGATGGGTCCCCTCCCAGTTCTTCCGACAAGGAAATATGCACATGGCACAGGATGCGCATCCGTCACACGACCCCGCGCCGCATGGCAAGAGGTGGCGCGAGGAAATAAGGTTAGGAGGGCACTGAGGGCTTGTTGTTTCGAATAGGAGCACCTGGATGGTGCATGACGGCGACACACGCTTGTGGTGTCGAGTGTCAGCTTCACAGGTGCTTGTGGCGGCGATGAACGGCGGTGGTAACGGCGTCACGTGCTGAACTGTCCGATTCCGGGATCGCAGTGCACGTGTGTGGATTCCGTGCACCGACAGTGATTGGCTCACGTCATCAGAAGTCGGTCTTAAGAGGGTGCTTCATTGACGTCGATTCGGTGATCAAAAGGCTTTCGCAGTGACGCTCACATGCTCATATGACGGCGACTTGCCGTACATGTGACCTGTGTAGGTGCCTCGCCCTTGTGCCGTATCTAGGATGCTGCGCGTCTGGTGTTCGATGTCATGCTGCCAGGCCGAGAACAGTGTCGGGCGACCTGTGCGGCGGGGGCGGCGTCAGTATGTCAGTTGGCTTGGCCAGATCATGGAGATGAGACTGATATTGAAGGGCCGCTCGACAAATCCACCAGAAAAGCTGGCCACTTGCTGAAGGCCCGTACTGCCAAGCTTGGATTATCCGTGCTTGCACGTCTTTGCACGGGGCTAATAAGACGCTCGCTACTACTGAGTGCATGGTGGGGGAGGTGGGGAGAGAGGACAATCAAGCTCTGTTCCTTGATGGCGCGAAATAGAGTTCGGAGGTGAGTTGTGCAACAGGGATGGAGGCGACCGGAAAAGTCGGTGCCGTAATACCTGCCGCACCTGGTCGCAGACTCAGGAGGAGGTGAGTAACGCTTTTGTTTGCGGTGTGCGTGGATAATCGAGCATGTGGGCGCCTGGAGTTGTCGTCAGCAAAGTGGCACTTCCGCTCATGCGGGCATGCGGGCATTGCTACGCTCCACCGCGCTCGGCGGCGGTCGTTAGAAGGTCCAGAAGGTCTTGGCATCGATACGCGCAGCGCCATGACTGACAGGCCTTCATCTATCTTCATTTAATGGCAAGATGTGAAGCGAGGACGGTGATTTTGGACGGGAATGATCCTGATAGATCGATGGAGGCTTCACGCGGGGATTGATGTTGTGCAGACGAGGCGGGTATCGCGGGGACGGATCCAGATGCTCCCGCGTGGCCGAAGCGGTGTTGGCGGAGAGGCGAGGGGAATGGTGAACTTAATGTGGCGATGTCACTCGCCACGTTACGACCCGACGGCGGATGGGAGGCATGGATCGGCGCGATCGCCGCTCCGCCCTCGCTACATGGAACGCCGATCATGGCTCGGCGAGGCGGCATGGGAGCTCGGGAATACCTTTTCGACGCCCGGCGTCGGGAAGTGTGCTTGGCATTGCGCGTGCGTGTTCGTTGCGGCCTCGCTTGTCAGTGCTTCGGCGAGCTCCGAAACACCAGGCAACAGGCAAGGTGTACGAGCAGCAAGCGCTCGCAAGCGCCCGTCTTGACAGATACGGGGTTACGAAGACGGCGCGAGGCACACCGCGTAAGACATGTTCAAGGTGGTAAGCGAGAGCACACTCATGGGCAGGGTGGGGGAAGCTGGAGCAAACGAAGTCGCTCGCTCGCTGTGCCGTTGTCTGTACTCCGCAGGGCTCGAGCCTCGGTGGAGTTGAAGACTACAGTGGCCATCTACTTCCAGTGACGCGCAAGGCCGTCGCACGAACTCTGTAAACCCCCGGTCCACCTTCTCGTCCGTCAGCCCCGCCCGTCTGTAGCCAGTGACGAGCCACAATACGCCGTCCAAGCCTGCAGTCCTGCCGGCGGGAATGGAAGTTTCGGTGCGCAAAGGTGCGCAAGGCCCGGGGCCTGAGCCGTACGGTCGTCGGACCCCCTGATTTCCAGCTCTCAGCCTCTTGCTTTGTGCGTCGAGCTCTCGACAGCAGGTCCGGGGATCCGAATAGGCGCAGCCTAGAGCGTCGTACGTGCGCTCGAGTGCAGCAGAGTGGTTGAAGCGATGGAGGAGTGGGGCTGGTCGGGGATAAGCATTTATGCTCTGCTTGCCCCTGCTAAGTATTGGTTCCTGGGGCAGGGTGCAGTTGGGGGAGCCTCCTGACATACTGCCACTCTTCTTGGGCGTCTTGTCCACGGTCCACGAGCCATCAGTTCTAGACGTGTTCAAGGCAGGCCCCAAACCGACCCGAGAGCCTGGTCGACAAGGTTTTACCGCCTCTCCGCGGCCCAGACGTGACCGGAATGAATGCAGCAATGTGTTTGGCGGGTGTCACGTCTCGACGTCAGCACGTTTGGGACCCTCGCCCTCTCCAACGCTCGTGGGCGAGGCGCTTGCAGACCCGATGCACCGCGCGACTTTTGTTCTTGCCGTCCTGCTCTGGCCCCCCCGTCCCCCTCCTTTCTCTTTGGCGGTCATCCGTAGCCGCATGACCCGCAGCAGCTCCTCTCCTCTTCGTGAGCCCGCCGCCAAAAATAGTTGCTGGCTGGACGTGGACATTGTCTTGCCCGTTCCCCTCGCTAATCGCCAAACTTGGCCAGACGCACAAGAGCGGCTTTGTTCCACCTCGCCAGAGCAGTGAGTTTACGACGTTGTTTCACCGCGCGTCCACGACGGCCCTTCACGGCGTTTTGCCAAGCCTCAGGAACGGTTCAAGACCGACGCCCCCTCCGCACTCGTGTCTGGGTGAGCTTGTGAGTTTAGCGTCGATCGATCGTGTCTGGGTCATGGCGTTTCGGGAGATCGGCACGTCCGTCAACTGTCAACTGGCTGGAGGAGGTTCGGGAGGGGCGCGGCGCGAAAGTGAGCTGGGCGTGCAGGGCCTCTTCCGGGGTCAAGCCCACGAGTCCGGGGATCCATGGACCTGGATGGGAACGGTGGCTTCGAATGCAGAGGCTGGGTCGTGAGGCTGGGCTGCAGAGCGATTGAGCGGAAGAGATTTAGCATCAGCAAGTTGACCCGAGCAGCTGGCTGCCAGTATAAAGAGCGCAGCAGTCGGCAGTCACCCGTCTTCAGTTTCCCTGGCCACCCCCGCTTTGCTGTCTCCATCACGACTGGTCAAGTTCTTTGCACGTTCCCACTTGTGAGTGTTGTTGATGGTGGATGGTGGATGGTGGATGGTGGGTAGATGAGACATGTGGACGGAGGATGGGGTGGCTTGGTTGGGTGGGATGTTGGCAGAGTAGAGTGGCTTGGGCGAGGACAGCCAGGGTGGAGTGCCTTGGGTGGTTTGGGTGGGCGAAACGGTCACTGCTGCCACCCTCGCCGTCTCCATCGCCACTGTCCCTCAAGCTGCATACATCCTCCCCTCTCCGCTCGTTGAACAGACGCTAACATGTACAGCCTGTATACGCACCTGCCCCGCTCCCACGCAATCAAAACTACGCCTCTGCCCACAACCAGTCTAACGTTTCCTCTAACAATTCAAGTGATCACCACGCGATTTCCACCTGCTCCGCTACTTTGAAGAATACTCCACGCGACGGCCACGCTGTCGCCGTCCTCCACCACGCCGTCACCAACGCCAGACGCGTCTTGAACATCAGTGGCACTGCCAACATCCATCGTGAGTTTGATCAAACTTGGATGCATAGCGACGACGAAGAGCAAAGACGAGTCTGTAGACGTGCATGAGCGTCGGGAGAGCCAATCCAAGGGCCCCAAAAGCTGCCACATTGGCTAAACCCGAGGGAGCCCGCTCCCACTCCCACCTACTCCTCTCCCGTCTTCTTCTTCCCTTCCTCTTCCTCTCCCCACATCATTGATAACCACGTTGTCACCATCCACCCACCCATCCACTCCATCCATCCATCCTCCATCTCATCTCTCATCACCGTGGGCCTAACGCCCACAGTCAATGCATAGCTCCTACTCGACGCGCCTCAACAGGCCGCTCTCCCCTCCGCCCCATACACTCCACGACTACCCTCGCCATCACCACTACGACGACGACGACCACTACCACCACCACCACCACCACCACCATCACCCTTACCATCACCGCCCAAGTCCGCAGCCACACCTCCATCCCTCTTCCGCCTCTTCATCCTCCTCTAGGCGTAACCATCGCGTAGACCCCGATCATCGGCCACCCCATCACTCTCACAACTACCACCCCTATTCTAGGTAAGCACACGTGCTAACCCCCGACGCGCCTGCTCTTGCTCTTTCTCTTGCTTTTGCTGGTGCTTACTTTACCAGGCCCCGATCAGCCAACGAGCCCTACATCCCGCGCTCACCACCTCCTCATCGGCCACCTCTGAAGCGACACAACTCGCACATCCTCCCACCCATCACCGCAGTCGCCTCCTCCCTCACCGCAGCGCCGCCTCCCCTCCATCGCCCGGAGTCTCGCTCGCACACACGGTATCCACCTCACTCCGCTCACTATCAATACACCTCGACTCACAAAAGTCGTGACCCATCTCCGCCTCCAAGGTACCGCCCTTACGGACTCCGCACTCCACCTCCCTCGCGAGCCCGTCCCTGTACCGCATCCAGGCCAGACCTAGTCCGCGACTACTATCATCACCGACACCCCAGTGACGACGACGACTTTCCCATCACACCACGTACTGCCAAGTTTGAATCGCCCAATATGGCCCCCGTCGACCCTCGTGACGCTCTTGACCGCCTCCCGATGCTCAACATCTCCGAGAGCGAGGACATCAAGCCGCAGCTCTCGCCCCTTCGCCGCGCTCTAAGCCCCGCCGAGCGCCGCTTCTTCCAGACCATGCCCATCCCGCAGCGCCCCGTGTCGGCCTACCCCCTCGACGCGTCTGCCGCCTACACGTGGGCTCAGCAGCAGAGCGCCGCCGACCCCAACGCCGCTTCGGTCGCCGAGGCCAAGAGAGAAAACCTTGCGATCGATCCCGCGCTCTCTGCGGTTAGATCGTCTAACGACGCGGTCAGTGGCAGCACAGATGTGACCATGGCGTCGGCACCAGAGATCAGACTCCAGCCGGAGACCCTAGGATCCGTGCCTGCATCCCCTGCAATCGACAATGCCGAGGCGGCCGCTGCCGTTGCTGCGGTCCAGGCTCTCCAAGCGCCCGACCACGGCATGAAGAAGGAAACTCCTTTCTCTCGCTCTCCGGAGCTCCGCATCAGCCACAAGCTGGCCGAACGCAAGCGTCGCAAGGAGATGCGCGACCTCTTCGACGAGCTCCGGGAACAGCTCCCTGCTGACCGTGGCATGAAGGCTTCCAAGTGGGAGATACTCTCCAAGGCTGTCGACTACATCCAGCACCTTAAGAACCAGGTCACTGAGAGCCACCGTCTGCTGGAGACCACCGTTCGCGAGCTCGCCATCGCTCGTGGCCAGACACCCGAGACCGCTTCGACCGCGAACACGACGTGGCCTTCTTCGTACCACACTTTCAATATCCCATACGTTCCGCAAGCAACCACTTCGGCGGCACCCGCGGCCGCCCCTGCTCCCCAGCCTCAGGTTTCGGCTCCTGCACCGCAGCCTCAGGCCCAGCCCCAGGCCGCCGCCGTCGCTGTTCCTCAGGCTCAGCCCCAGGCCGCCGCGCCAAGTCAGCCCGCACCTCAGCCCCAGGCTGCTGCCGCCGCTGTCCCCACGCCCACTCCCGCGCCGGCCGCCCAGCCTGCAGCCCAGCCCGCTACACAGGCCGCCGCGCCTCAACCCGTTGCAACGCAGCCCGCGCAGCCCGTTGCCACCCAGCCCCAGGCTCAGGCGCAAACTCAGGCGCCCAAGTCTGGCTAAATTTGACATAAGGACCATAGTTTCCAGACCAGTAAAGTCCATGTACCGAATATGCATACGAAGAGGACCAACTGGCGAGATGTTTTGACTTGGTTCTACAACTGACGCACATGCAGATTCCTTGCACTGTCATAGAGAACTCCCGGACCTCAGCTGCATGTCCAAGTGACCCGTGTTGGGACTACTGTACGGTTGGAGGCGAAATGGCCTGACAGCTGACAGGCGCACAAAGTCAGTGAACTCGGAGACATGCACCCGACAGCCAACCGTCGGTGGAGGTCGATTTGTCACTCAACGCCACCGAATCAATGTTTTGATTTCATCCACTTCGCTTCGCAATGCTCAACACCGGCCTCTGACGATGATGCTCCACCACGGTCTTTTGCAGGACCAGCCTCCGCCCTCGATCGAGGTCCTCATCTCATGGCTCCGAGAGCGCGGTGTCCAGCTATCGGATGGCGTGGCCATCACGCCCATGCACGACGGGACAGGCTGGCGTCTAGTCGCGACAAGGGACCTCGCGCCCGTCGAATCTAGTCCGCTAAGCGAGGGACCCGCTGACTCCAGTCGTCAAGATTCCAAAGACTGCGCTCCTTTCCACGCGCACATCCTCGCTTCCCCCACTCCCATCCACAACCGAGAGCGTCGCGACCACCTCCCATACGATCCTCGGCCTTGCGCTCGCCCTACTCCACGAGCTGCGCCTTGGCCCTGACTCCATGTTCTGGGGGTATACGCAGTCGCTTCCACGCGCCACCGTCCCCGTGCCTCCACTGTGGCCACTCCATGCCGGGCCATCCGCGGCGGCAGCCTCGGCTTGGCTCCAGGGCACCGAGGCGGAGAGGGACTTGCGCCGCCGGCAGCTTGAGGGTATCGGACTCGTGAGTTTGTATGCCTTCCCGCTCCCACTCCACAATTAATCGTCGGAAGCTTGTTGTCAAGTCTCCATTGTGCACGCATGCGGTTCACTACTACTACTCAGCACGACTTGGTCAGCGGGCCATCACGGCGGCCGGCAGGCCGAGGCGCCGCGCTCGATGATTCTAGACAGAGTGCCTTCATGCCGACGTGCCGACGTGCCGATGTGCCGAGCTCGGCGCTCGCCTTCACCATTCCATGTCCCTCACTATGTAACGCGATCCATCGATCGCTGAGAGGAAGTCGTGCGCCACCGGCGTCTGTCTACCTGCCCTTCTTGGCTGCATCTTGACGTCCTCCGCACTTCCGACGCTGACCACAGGACTCGATGCGCCAGTTCTACGCTGCAACCGCAGCGCACCTCCCTCCGACCAGTCTACATCCTGAGCCGTCGAGCTTCGAGGCGTTTGCGCACGCCTACTCCCTCGTGTCGACCCGCGCCTTTCTCATCGACCTGTACCACCTTGTCGCGTTATGCCCATTTGCAGACATCCTCAACCACAGCGCGGCGAACCACACCTCGCTGGCGGTCGACGACTTTGTGTGTCATCGCTGCGGGAGTCTTCCGGTGTGCGAGCACGGCGGGTCCAACCCGGAGCGCCTCGCGCACTTGGGTGAGCGCGAGCGCGCGCGACTCTCAGATCCGGACACGGTGGACATGTACGTCGAGATGCCCGCCGCCGCGGGGGAGGAAGTGATGAACACGTACGGCGACAACCTGACCGAGTCGCGCCTGCTGGTCGAGTGGGGCTTTGTGCCGTCCGAAGACGACGCAGCGGACGCGCTCGCTGCCGAAGCCGCGACATGGGAGGTGGAGGAGCTCCTCTCCCCTGAGGTGCCCGGGGTGACGGAGGTCGAGGTTGTAGCTGCGGCCGAGGCCGCCACGCGCAACCTCTCGCAAAGCGACGACGCGCTCCTTTGCGCCCCCTCGCGCGGCGTCTACCACCTCAACCAGGCGGGGCAGGTGAGCCTGCGCCTCTTCGCGGCGCTATATGCGCGCCACGCGCCGCTCCGCTTCCTCCCCGGCGATGTCTCGTGTCTCGAAGAAGCATGGGAGCAGGTCCAAGACGGCGCGGAACACGTCCCTCTGCCAACACATGTCGCTGCCGTTGCGGAGTACTTGTGCGGCCTCGTCCGCGCCCGGCTGCGCGGCATGCATCGCCCCGAGATGGAGGTGGGCGAGATGTTCGACCTCCGAGATGTGAGCACCAAGCGCCAGAAGGAGCTGACCCCAGACGCTGGAGGGGCTGGAGTACATGGCCTTGACGGTGGCGATTAATGAGCGCGCGCTGCTGCGGTCCGTTGTTGGGCGGTGGGAGGCGTTGTTAGCCGCGGGGATACAGGCGTAGAGGGGTGGGGTGAGGAAGGTTGATTAGACAGCATCCACTCGGCACTCATGTTCTTATAATGTCACACGACTCTCAATCATTCTTACTCCACCATCGTCTTCAGAAGGGTGTAGTCGAAGAACAGCGCCGAACACTCCGTGTTCACGGGCATGGGGCCATGAGCCGGCGGCCGCAGCAGGCCTGCCGCCGGCCTTCCGCTCGGGCCCCGGAGGCAGGTCCTTGATTGGGCGCAGGTCCGTCGTTCGATAGCCGCGAGGCATACGCGGAGCGTCAAGTTGTCGCCGAACTAGCGGACGAGTTGTACAAGGCAAGCTCGTCGCCGTACTGCATGGCGGCAACGAGGCGATGCGTCGCGTGATCGAGATGTGCTGCGCGTTGTCGATGGGTGGCAAAGGGGAGATGACGTTGATCTGATATGGTGCCTGAGATTTCAAGGTGGAAATGCCTGCGTCTGCATCGACCGTTCATCTAATCTCTCCATTCCCCCTCCTCTTGTTCTCTTCTTCTCCTTCGCGTCATAGCATCAGCAGCCCGCACAGTTGATCACGCCCACGACGACCGGACAGCACGATAGCACGCAGGCCATGGCGGAAGATCTGGTCGACACCCTCACGGACACGCTCGTCGCCGTGGCTACCGCGACGGCCACCCTTATCGCCGAGGCTACCGCGACGGGCGCTGCGGATGACTGGCTCCCGAGCGATAACTCGAGCTTGCCTTTGGGTATGGACGGGAGCGATGTGACGCCCGCACCGGATGGGGGGTCGTACTTCCTTGTGAGTGAAGGAAGGCCGCGCTGGAGACGGGCGGAACCGAAGAGGGCGTGAGCGCCGGGGCCGCACCCGGACCATGGCGGGCGTGGCTCGTTGCAAGCGGAACGAGAGATGGGAACGGTGGGACGCGATTCGCAACTCGCGAGAGAATGCATCGACCCAGCGCTGTGTCCCGAGGGCGCTGTACTCGGCACCACAGCTGACGCCAGAACACACTCCTCGGCCTTCTCATCGTCCTTCTTGCGTCTGTGCTCAACGCACTCGGCCTCAACCTCACCAAGCTGGACCACCAGAAACAGCAAGCTATCCCGAAGCGCCAGCGCTCGAAGGAGTACATGCGCCCGCTGTGGCTAGCCGGCATGGGAATCTACATGTGAGCATCCAAGCTCGGAGGTCCGGCCATGGCTCGAGCCGAGGAAGTGGCTCGGACTCGCACACACAGGCTGACGCCAGCGCATCGCAGCTGTGTTAGCCTGCATCTCGCTGGGTCGCTAACTACAGTCGGCTCGCCTCTGGCTCTGCGATACCTCCGGCCAGATTGGGTCGCGCCACTCGGCGCATCGAGTCTCGTGTTCAACTTCCTGTTCGCGTACTGGCTCGTCGGGACGCGTGCGTTGTGAAGCGATGGCGCTGACGCCAGCCGTGACACAATCGGATATCCGCGGCACCGGGTTCATCGTGCTTGGCGTCATTCTTATCGTCATCTTTTCGAGCATTAACCACGGGCTGAAACAGGAGCTGAGCGTGGACGAGTGAGGATTCCGCCATAAAGCATACTAACGTAGACTCTCTGAGCTCTGGCGCCGCGGCTCCTGGCTGTCCTACTTCTTTGTGCTCATCTTCGCAACATGGGTGGTATACCTCGTCGGCGATCTGCTGCACAAGGTCGCCAAACAGCGCGCATCCTTCAGCCCCCTTCCCTCCCCGACAATGGGGCGAGGATCACGCCCGCCGCCGGCACTCAATACCTTCCAGCGCTCGCTCGCCCAGTGGCGGGCATGGGAGAACACGATCCTCGGCCACCTTGAGCGCCTGTTGCAGCGTACTCCGGACACCCGCGTCCAGTGGCTCGAAGGCATTTTCTTCGCTTCATGTGGCGGCAGTCTCGCGGGTCTGTGTCTGGTGTTCACCAAAGCCATCGTCAAGATCATGTGGGGAGAGGGGCATCCAGTGAGCTAACGATGGTCGTTGTTCACGCTTACAACTAGCTCGTACACTTCTCGGCGATCATGACGCTCCTCCTTCTCATTGGTACCGCGGTGCTCCAAATTGTTTGCTTGAACAGCGCACTCCGCTGCGCAGACACTGTGGTAGTCGTCCCACTGTTCTACGCTGGCTACACCGTATTTGGGTGAGTGATCGATATCTTTCAGTGCAACCATGCGAGCGAGCTAACACAAGTTTTATCAACGCGCTGATCTTCTATGACCAGGCCGGATCGTACGCGCGCTGGATCCTTGTCATGGTCTTCCTCTCGATTGGCGTGCTCATCGGCGGAGTCATCCTTCTTTCCACCAAGCCGGAGGAGCCAGAAACTGCCGAGGCGGGCAACGACGACCCCGCAATCCGCATGCGGCCAGGAACCGCGCGCAGTCCGCTGGCGCGTAACGGTGCGGCGATGGGCTCTGGTGGTGTCATATCATTAGACGACACGCCGAAGCCGTCGGAAGATCGGCCGCAGGAGGTAGTGTGGGACATTGGCGAGGATAGCGACGAGGACGAGGATGCGCACGGCAGGCTCGTAAAGAACGCCGAGGAGCGGAAAGACGAGCCCGAGAGCGACGAGGAGGAGGGCCGGGGCGTCGGTGGGACCAAGGAGAGTCGAGGAGAGCGTGGCGGCCTGCTGCTCCAGGAGGACGAGGACGACTTGGAGGACAGGTCTAGTCCCCGTCCTGCGCCGCGACGCCTGCCATCCAAGGTTGAGGAGGACGAGGCCGAGACATTTGGCCCATGGACCAGCGGGCGCTAGTGGGGTACCTCGGACCACAGACGGAGAGGGCTCATGCGCCAACCCAGGCCATTTAATTGGGGGACGTCTAGTTGACCTACGAGGTCATCGACAAAGTATACAGCAATATCTAATGCGTGGATAGATGTAACACTATTGGGCATGGATACAGCCGGAGCGCACGCGCACGCGTAGTGGTACAGCATCGACTCGTCACTGGTACGAGCAGTGCGGGAATGTTGGCGCACTTGCATTCCACGTCGACTGGACCAGACAGAGTACTGCCTCAAGAGATGACATCGAGACATTTTGAGGCATCGAGGTTGAGCCCCGGCTATACTCCATGGGGAGGAGCGGCTAAACCTGATTGAAGCGTTCATGTCCCCGCTCTAACCCCAGCGGAACACCCAGCCGCTTGGCTTCCGCCACAGCATGTTCTTCGTTGTCGTGCGCCTGTGCCATGAGAGGGAGCACCGCCTGCCCCCGCGGCCGCACGGCCCACCCGCATACGCAGAGACCAGTGAGAGGCATTCCAATGCCATGCCGCAGTGCATGCCGAGTGCTGTTGAGAGCGGCGGGAGCGGAGACCCCACTGGGCCTCCACCCACAGAGCCGAGCGTCACACCGGCCCAAGTTCCGGTCCGAGGTCGGCTACTCTTCGAGGTCATCAGTTCATCAACCCGGTGCTGTTCTGTTCTCTCCGTTCTCCACTTTCTCAACCTCTCCTCTTTCCTCTCCCATTCCCTCTCTCACCCACTCACCACTCACCATGCTCCGCACCGCCCTCCGCCCCGCCGCCCGCGCACAGCGCGTCTTCGCCCTCCGCACCTTCACCTCGTACAACCTCCCCGTCGCTGGCCTCACGCCCGAGCAGGAGGAGTTCCGCGAGAACGTGTACAACTTTGCGCAGAAGGAGATCGCGCCCCGCGCCGCCGAGATCGACCGCAAGAACAAGCTCCCAGAGGACATCTTCCCCAAGATGGGCGACATGGGTCTGCTCGGCGTCACGGTGCCCGAGGAGTTTGGCGGCCTCGGGTTGGGGTACACTGAGCACACGATCGCGATGGAGGAGATTTCGCGCGCGAGCGCGTCCGTTGGTCTCTCGTACGGCGTGAGTTATAAGCTAGGATGGTTCGAGAGGTGGTGGTGGGACGATGACAGCTCGGCACCGAACTACACCTACCTCCGCCCTCTGACCCCATGACGTACGGACGCGCTGACCCCAGGCCCACTCCAACCTCATGGTCAACCAGCTTACGCGCAACGGCACGCGCGAGCAGAAGGAGAAGTACCTCCCCAAGCTCTTGTCGGGTGAGCACGTCGGCTCCCTCGCCATGTCCGAGCCTGGGGCCGGTTCCGACGTCGTGAGCATGCGCACCAAGGCGACCCTCCAGGGCGACAAGTACGTCTTCAACGGCTCCAAGGCGTGGATCACCAACTCGCCTGTAGCTTCGACTTTCCTCATCTACGCCAAGAGCGACACCGAGGTCAAGCCCTCCAAGGGCATCACGGCGTTCCTCGTCGAGCGCGGGTACAAGGGCTTCTCGGTCGGCGAGCCTCTTGACAAGTTCGGCGTGAGTACCAGAATGCGGCAGTGCGAGCAACGAATGCGGAGCGAGGAAATCGTCTCTGCGCTCCTGCACGCGCCCAACTTGCCGCATCGTCTCCTCAGCCTAAGCAGATCTTGCTAACCTCAGATGCGCGGCTCCCCCACCGCCGAGCTCTTTTTCGACAACATGGAGGTGCCCGCCGAGAACGTGATCGGCGGCGTCGGCCGCGGTGCCGCCGTCCTCATGAGCGGCCTCGACTACGAGCGCCTCGTCCTCTCCGGCGGCCCCCTGGGCATCATGCAGGCTGCGCTGGACATGTCGCTCGAGTACTCGCACGAGCGCAAGCAGTTCGGGCAGCCCATCGCCCACTTCCAGCTTATGCAGGGCAAGATTGCCGGTGAGTTTCTCTCTGGCTGCGCGTACTGACTTCAGACATGTACACCAAGCTCTCGGCCTCGCGCGCGTACGTGTACGCCGTCGCGCGCGCCGCCGACGCCGGTAAGGTGTCGCGTGAGGACTGCGCGGGCGCTATCCTCTTCTCTTCCGACCGCGCTGTCGAGGTCACCAACGACGCGCAGCAGATCTTCGGCGGAAACGGGTACATTAACGAGTACGAGGTCGGGCGCCTGCTGCGTGACGCGCGCCTGTACACCGTCGGCGCGGGCACACAGGAGATTCGCCGCGGGCTGATCGGGCGCATGTTCAACGAGGCATTCGCCAAGGGGCTCGACCACCTTTAAGCGGCAGCAGTGATCGTGGGATAGAGGCGTTGTACGCATGCATATTGGGTCATAACGCAGCGTGGTGTGTGGGAGCGGTTGAGGGGTACAAACGAGGGGGACGGCAAGTGGAAGCCCCGCGTCGTGAAAAGGTGGGTGCACGAGGAGTTGCGTGCGCCAAGGCTCCAGAGACTTTGTCAAGTCAGACTCCCTTCTGTTGCTCGACGTGTTATAGCTCACAACTGGACAATGCTACCCCTTTCCAGAATGGAAGACTCACTGTCGGCGTGTGGCAACAGTTATCACGTGATAGGGCAGAGACAATCCATAACCCTGCCATGTGCGTGTGCCAACCATGCGTTGTGTATAAGCGCGGTATAAACGTGTTTCTCAGAGGCAGAACGAATCACAAGCCCCAGGCTGAATAGCATAAACCGGTTGATCCAGCTCTCGCTGAAGCTGTGGCTGTGGCTGCTCTTGTCAAGGTGGTCCACAAGCCATAACATGCCTTTATGCAGCGGCAAGAATTCCGAAATTGTCCAGATCTCATCTGGTCTCGTGACACGACTCAGTGACAGACGGCCAGATGACTGCTGAAACTCACGTCATTTCCCGCTCCGCTCCGCAGTGTCTTAGGAGATACGGCTCGTGGCTCGATCAGAGATCGTGGAGTGTGCAGCTGATATGCTGGTGTCGGCCGGCCAGCCGCTCGGCTTGCAGTTTGCCTGGCTCCTAGCCTGCTGTCAGGCACGCATTCCATACGGCCAACTGTTGCACAACTCCGGTCATCGACACGAGCAAGACAGAGACGCTCAACGTCCTCCGCTCAGCCCAGACGCAGAAGTCCCAGGCCGAGGTCTATTCCTGGCCGGAGAATTCGCGGATGCGGGACTGCGCGTGCGGTGCCCTCCTGCCGCCCGCCGGCTTACTTAATTTTTGCTTCGAGCTTCCAGCGGTACATTTTACAATTGTTTGGTTCGCTCGCCATCGGCCTTTGCTTCACCTCCCCAGGGCGTAGCTATTCCCGGACGGCCCGAACGGCGGCCTCCCAAGAGCACAAGGACACAGGCGTCGGCGCAACGCCGGCGCCAAGTCGCCGGCACCCTGCCGCACGGCATCCGGCACCTCCTATCAAAATCCTTCCGACCATGCGCGGGACTGCCAACCAGTACCCTCTCCAAACTGACTGACGATCCCTCCTTGGGCATGGACTTGTACACCGACGATCGCGATCGTCGCCTGCTGGCCCTTCGGCGGTGCCAGTCTCACGGCCGATCTTCAGTGCCTGCGATGAGAGGATAGAGATTTGCCAGGATGTGGAGGACGTAGAGGGTTGGGTCATGGCAGTTTGGGTGTGGCGCAGGGCGGGCTTGTGGAATATCTGCAGCCTCGCACTACTATTGCATGACGTGGACTGGCGATTCAGCTCGGACCGCCCCCACCCCGTGCCTCTAGGGTGGACAGAGCGCCAAGCTGCCGTGGAAGCGAGAGCTGTTCATGGGGATGGGGGGTAGGACTCGCCTTTCGCGTTTGCGATCCTCTGTCCTCCAAGGGCGGGCGTTGCACAGGCAACCAGCTGCCACACTCTTATTCAGCTCGACGGGTGCCGTCCCGCAGCTGGTGAGGCGAGGGCGACAACTCGGAAACTGTGAGACTGAAGGGCGCTCTGTGTCGCCGAGTTCGGACTCAGACCAACCCTGTGCGCAGCGACAATAACTCAGGCACGTTCCGATATCAACTGTCGAAGCGACATTGTAGAGAGCGGTTCCGGCCTGCAGTGCTGTAGCCTGATCTACTGAAGTCATCGTTTGCACAAAAAAAAAAAAAATGACCTGATGCCAAGCCACAACAACGTCCGGATTGCCGGGGTGTCTAACCTTGACGCAGGCGGTGGTGTCCGTGCCAAGGGTGCCTCGCTGCTGCAACGTCATGTCGATCAGGCGTGTTGAGGATTAACACTGGCTTCGGGCGCATGTCGGCCATTTCTGTCTCACGTTCCGTAATTTTGGTTGGCCGCTATCATGTTTCGGCCGCAATCAGCCGTCTCCTCCTCGCTTCGCCTCAGGCCCGGCCCGCCACCAGATCTGTCCTTGGCGCGTGCATCTTCTAAAATTCCTGACGCAATGGTCCATGATGGGGTCGAGAGCGGCATGGCGCACCCATTCACGCGCCCATTCTAGCCCTCCGGTCTTGCTTCCATGCCTCCCACGCCTCCACCCGCCTCAAATTATGGCAAGCCAGCCAGCTGCAGCTAGGCTCATGGCGCAGATCCGGCTCAGGGGTCTCGGCCATCTCGACCATGTGTTACGCTCCCAACGGATCCCGCACAGCGTGCACGGCGCAAGGCCAGCTGCTGTAATCTGATAAGGGTATGAGACGAAGTTTTCGCCCAAGGCGCCTCGCTACCCTCGCCGCTACGGTCATGTGCCCTCACCGGCCCATTGACGGGCCACAACTCCACAGGCTCGGTTGCGGCTTCACCTGCGATCTATGCCGAGAACGGACAAAATGCTCCTCTCGATCCGCCCTGGTGTCTAGTAGTATATAAGACGGGGCCGTCCCACGCCCCCTTTCCGCACATTGCTTTTGTATCTAACACACACCCACCATGAACCCTTCCGACAAGGAGGCCGGCCTCTCGGGCACCTATCCCGAGGGCAAGAGCTACGGCGAGAACGAGTACCCGGCAGGAACAAGCACGTTCCCAGATGCACACAAGGACACGATGAGCGACACGGACACGGTCGTGAGCGACTCGCACCTCAAGCCCATCGGTGTCCTCAAGGTCGAGGCGGCTGAGGCGTTCTGGAGCCCAAAGACAAAGTGGATCCTCTTCATCTCGTAAGTCCTTGGAATTCACTATGCAGCTGAGCGCTCACACTGCAGCCTCCTCCTCGCTGCCTACGTCTACTCGCTCGACGGCATGACGACCTACCTGTACAACGCCGCTGCCTGGTCCGAATTCGGCCTCCACTCGAGCCTGGGAACAGTCCAGACTGCAAACTCAATCATCATCGCCGTCGGCAAACCGTTCTGGGCCAAGCTTTCGGACGCTTACGGTCGTGGCGAGTCCTTCCTCGCCCTCGCTCTCCTCTACGGTGTCGGCTACGCCATCATCGCTGGTGCCCAGGGCTCCGGCGCCATGTACGCCGGCTCGGTCATCTACACCCTCGGCTACACGGGTCTCCAGATCCTGCTCCAGATTATCGTCGCCGACTTGACCACCCTGCGCTGGCGTGCCCTCGTTAACGGCATCCTCACCATGTGGTTCATCATGAACGCCTTTGTTGCTGCCGAGATCTCGGCCCGCGTCACCAATTGGCGCTGGGGCTACGGCATGTTCGCCATTCTGATGCCTGCCACTCTCCTCCCCGTCATCATCTCGCTTCTCTGGGCCCAGTGGAAGGGCAAGAAGATCCTTAAGGAGCGTGGCGTCCGCGCCCTCAAGGAGCCTCGTATGGCGCGCCTCAAGCGCGCTCTCATCGAGATGGACTTCATCGGTCTCATCTTGCTCGCCACTTCGCTCGCTCTCATTCTTCTCACCTTTGCCCTCGTGTACAAGGCCAAGGGCGCATGGAAGAACGCCAGCATGATCGCCATGCTCGTCGTCGGCTGTCTGCTCTTCCCCGTCTTCCTGGCCTACGAGTGGAAGATCCCCGCCCGCCCCGTCTTCCCCATGCGCTGGTTCCGCCGCCTCCCCATCTTCGGCGCCTGCCTCATCGGTTTCCTTGACTTCGTTTCCTTCTATCTCCAGTTCACTTTCCTCTACTCGTGAGTATTTTTAGCATCCCGCGCTCAGCCACACATGCTAACAGCAGCTTCGCCACCGTCACTGTCACCTGGGACAACCCCCGGCACCTCACCTACTTCACCTACACTCAGATGCTCTGTCTTACATTCTTTGGCATTTGCGCCGGTGCCTTCATGGCTTGGACCCGTCGCTTCAAGTGGATGATCGTCGTTGGCCTCTGCATCCGCCTCATCGGCTGTGGCCTCATGCTCTACGCCCGCGGCCCCAACGGCAACATGGCCTCGCTCGTCATGTGCCAGGTCCTCCAGGGCATTGGCGGTGGTATCGCGCACACGGCCATGATGGTCGCTGCCCAGGCCTCCGTCTCGCACATCGACGTCGCCACCGTCACTGCCGTCGTCCTCCTCCTCACTGAGATCGGCAACTCGGTCGGCTCGGCCGCCGCCACCGGCCTCTGGCAGCAGTACATGCCCGGCGAGCTCGCGACCTACGTCCCGACCAACAACCAGACCCTCCTCGTCGAGCTCTTCGGCGACATGACCAAGATCGCGCTCCTCCCCACAGGCGACCCGATCAAGGAGGGCGCCATCACCGCTTACGAGCACATGATGCACCGCCTTGTTCTCGGCGCCACCGTCGTCGCCATCTTCCCCATCATCGTCGCCATCTTCATGATCAAGGACATCCGTCTTACGGATGCCCAGAACGCGCACGACGGCAAGGACCTCAAGGGTAAGCCCATCGAGGAGGCCGACGAGCTTTACCAGATCGAGAAGGAGGAGATTGCCCAGCGCACTCGCCGCCTCAGCACCGCCGCTGCCTAAACTACTTAATACATGTACGATAGACTTCCATGCACCTTGGTAATACGGTATCTGCGTGAAACGGTTGCGACATGATAACTGCGAGATGTGGTGCCCTGTGAAACCAAATAATGCACGCAAACTGTCATTCCGGAATGCCACCATGCCACAATGCCACGCGCAGACATGCGACATTCGTGTTTTCGTGGGTTCCAATGCCGGTGCCGGTGGTCGGATGTTGCCATGTGTGCTAGTCCTCGCCATAGACGGCTCGAGGACGTCGTTTGCTGATAGAGGACCGCATAGAGTGTGCTGAAGAGGAGGTGAGTCTGACAAAAACAGAGCAGGGTCCTCCTGTTTACGTAAAACACCAGGCCACTTAGCTCAGCTGGTTAGAGCGCATGCTTAACACGGAGTATCCGATTACGCATGAGGTCGGCGGTTCGATCCCGCCAGAGGTCATACCTTTTGGAAGGCAAATTTGTGCGATTTGATTTGATGTTTTTGGTGCTTTCAGCGGGCTGATGTTTGCAATCACGGTTGTGCGACCTTTGTTATCTTTCATGTGATGTCTGCGCCAGTGTCCGCTGCCGTGGACTCTTTGTCCGAACATCGGGATCCTTCATGACAGACCACGCGAGGCTTGCTATCGAGACAGCCGAACCACCCGCGGTGTTGCAACCCCAATCTACCTTTCGTTATGGTTCGCAGTACGAAACACTGTCACCCCGGCTTGAAATAATTTCTTTCGGTTCATTATCAAAAGTAGATTTTCTCACAAGCAGCGCACTTGTGCATAAGATAAAAGAAAACCTATATAAAATTTCAAAAAATGCAAGCTCAAACAAGCCCGAGAGGGAGGTACAGAAGAGCAATTTCCGGAAAGCAAGCATGCGGGGTGGAGGGTGGAAGACTTGGGGTTTTGTTTATGGGGTTTGGTTCATGATGAAGTGACGGGCTAGATATATTCTAAAAGGCGGGGTTGGGACCCGTGAGTGTACTGACAACGGCGGTCATCAGGATACTACAGCCGCAGGCCGCGCGGAGCTGTGTTGGAACGGCCACCCCTGTGCAAGACCGCGGTCTCCTCGTTACCTCCGCGGACCATGTCCATGGAGACGGGAAGAGACGCGCGGCGGTTGGGGTAAGGGCTCACACGGACTGGGCGTGTGGGCGTCAAGGACCCACGGCGGCGGTGAGTGGCGGAGGCGACACCGAGGGGACCATAATGGCGGGGCGCGGGCGGGGGGGTGTTAGGTCGGTCGAACAGCACACCCTGCTCGGCAGGTGTCATCGGTGTGTCGTGGACATGGGTCCAGAGATTAACCTCGTCAATAACCTCGACGGCGCGGAAAGCTTTAGGGGTAGTCGGTCCAGAGGGGATCTCGTGCACCTTGAGGATAAAGGACTTGCTCGGGGAGGGAGAGAGGGAGGGCGAGCGCCATCGAGGAGTGAGGATGACCGTGTGCGTCGAGTCGGGTGCGGTGTCGACGGTGAGGACGGGGCGGCCGGACAAGACACGGCGGCGGCTCGCGAGAGGCGTGCGGGGGTGCGGGAGGTCGCGTTGCCGCTTCTCCGATGTGGGGTAGGGGTTGACGTTCTCGTTGACGAGGTCGAACTCGTGGTTCTTCCCAATGTCTGCTGTGAAGTGGTCGCGGCCTGAGTTTAGCGACGCGACGATATCAGACTCACCGTTGTGATAGACGTCGATCCCTTTGGCGTTGAGGCCACCCAGGCGGTAGAAGCCAGCGGGGAGGGAGAGGTCGAGCGTGGGCATGGCGGGGACTTGGATAGGAATATGAGTAGAGGGGGTGAGAAGCAGAGATCCTACGGCGACGTGTGTGGCAATGGTTGTGGTCTAGAAGATGTTGACTGTTCGAGAGGTCGGTGGTGGACCCGGAGAGATGGGAGCGATGGGGTGGCAGGGCGTTGCTGGCGGGGAAAGATGATCAAAAGTGACTGCACAGGCTGTCGATGCGGCCACAGAGGGAAATGGTGTAAGAGTGAGGAGATCAAAGGCGAGTATAGGGCAAGGAGGAGACCAAGAAGGAGGAGGAGGGGGGGGGGGGGGGGGGGGGGGGGGGGGGGGGGGGGGGGGGGAGCGCGGTTGGCACTGTTGCTGTGGGCCGTAGGCGGAGGAGAGATTGTTGAAGGATGGGGAAAGCGGACAGCATACCATCGAGCTTTTAAACACTGGCCATTGCACCAGCGCGGCAGCCCGCGTAGACCTTCTTTGGGCTGAGGAGGGGAGGCTGTTGTCCTGCGCCGCGGCCGTGGACTGGCTGGTGGCCAGTGCGCCTGTTCGCGCGGCCACACGAATTCCTCGCACTCCGTCAACCTTAAGATTGGGGCCGAAAGGCCAGCGGTGTGTGTAGGTGTTCCTATCAGTCTCCTCGTCTTCTCTGGCCACGAGTCATCCTCCCAAACGCAAGGAGAGTTCACATCATCCCTGTGCATATTCCACTCCTTTCTGTGCATCGCAGCGGCCATGCAGAATCTCGCAGTGACAGACAAGGCTTAGACGCAATTTTGCGGTGGAATGGCTTATCTAATCTCGATCATCTGAAGTGCAGGTCTCAGGTGGGTGGCTCATGCCTTCCGGAAGGTTAGGACGAACCTGTGGCGTGCGTTACTGTAGATGCCAGCCATCGCAGTGTAACGAGGAGCTCACGTTCCCACCGCTTCATCTCTGTCGTCGGGGTTCCTGCGCACAGGTGCTGGGCTGGCGGGAGAACAGGGCTTCGAGGCACTTACCAACAGCGCCGGCAGCAAACAAAGGAGGGCGTCTGGCTCGAGGCCTGCGTGTGCCGGTGGCATGGGATCGACATTCCGCAACGAGATGAGAGGGACGTGAAGGCATCCGCTGAAGTGCTACAAATACACTCACCGAGAGAACGTCTCATGAGGTAAGTTCGATGCATGCAAGCAAACTGTGTGATCATGTGAAGTGTCAGTCCCATCGCATGTTGTTTGCCACCGACATCCAAAGCCCCAAACCTCCCCTCCGCGCGAACGACAGCTGGAGTGTCAGCGGCCCTCCTGTTCTGTGCGGGAGGCCCAATCTCCCTCTCGTGCCTCACTCTCAGTCTCAGGCTCGTCCGGTCATGTCGCGAGGCTCGGCTCAGGGTGCAGAAGCATCCGATAAAGCGCGGTGGCATCGATAGAGAGTGACTGAGAAGGCCGATGAACTCGGAGGTAAGGCCCGTGATTACAACGTCCTTTGTTCCCTGCAGCAGAGGAGCAGAGAGAGCCGAGCGGACAGTAGCGGAGAGTATGGCCCGCCCATCGGTGCTACTCCGGAAGGGAAGAGCGACGATGACGAGCCTGGAGAGAATGGCGGCGGTCCACTAATCCGCACTGCTTACAAGTGATTTCAGTCCTCACACTTGGTCGACCTCAGCTCTCATCGCCCAAACTGCAGACCTTCTTTCCTCCGCACGGGCTAGCAGTAAGCTACATGTCGCGAGTGCACACTTTGCAAAAGTCCAGGCCCCGGTTCCATCTCAATAGAAGCATGGGGTGTATTTTCGAATCGGAACGCCTGCTGTCGGGCCCGACCCAATATTATTACAGTGAGAGCGTTGCTGGCAGATTGCCATGACCAGCCGTCCGGTCAATCCTACTCCACAAGCCAGAGGTCACAAGCGTGCATGCCCTCGACTGACAGCGCCGGGGAGCAGCTGCATGACTGCTTTCAGGCTCAGCTGCCCATTTGGTTACGCGTTCACGCCGGCTGCTATGCCGGTTAGAGTAATCCATCGGAAGCTGACCATGCTCCGTTGGTAGTGAGTGAATTGGATGGGCGTGAGAGTGGTAAGCTTTGAACGGGGTCAGCGGGGGCAGCACACCCGTCCGATAAGCGATGCGGGAGGCGTGCGTGTGAGGCGTAACATAGCATGCAAGCGACAGATGCCCCGCGGCAGTCGGAGATGGTGCCGAATCGGGTGCGAGCGGAGTAATTGAGCTGGTGATGGGCTCACAAGCCCACTCTGTGGCTGACGTTGATGCGGTGAAGAAATCGAAAGAAGCGCATAACAAGGACCATTTTGACGCCTATATGGCAGAGGATAACGCGACGATGAAGCGATGAAGCCGCTGAATGATCGCTGCGTAAAGCCCTGCCGACCTAGCCCTGCTGATGAGCTGAGTCGGGAGGGGGGCGGGGGGCAACCCACGCAAAAGGTTAGCCTCGTGTGGGGCTCGAACCCACGACCGAATGATCAACCGGAATCCAAAGATCCGCATTAAGAGTCATTTAATCTACCGACTGATATAACGAGGCCTTGATGTGAGACCGTGCAGGACCGAACTAGTCTGCGCTCTCCGCTCAATGGACTGGAGAGGGACAGTGCTAATCTCAATCTCGTGGCGACGCCTAAGGCGCACGCAGATATCCTGTGCTCTACCAAACAATCTGAGACGGGCATCCCCTTGAGCTTCGCCTTGAGCTCGTGACTCTTGACAGCTGCTCATGCACCCGGTGTGCTGGGCTGCTCAACGTGGGTGAACTTTGCCACTTTCCCACGTTGTACGACGTCAGTCTATAGGTTGCCCCCGTGTTGTGTACTCAGTGCCTCATTTGCGGTATGCTTGGCACTTGGATCTCCGAACTAGTGGCACTTCTATCGATCATCACGATTTACCCAAAAGAGCTGCCGTCAGCTGTCTACTGGCAGCTGCTTGTGTTTGCACACGTCTCTCCACGATCTCCACTCCTCTCATCCCAACATCGTAGAGTTTTGCATAAACGTTCACACAACCGCCTTCTGCTGTATCGGGCGCGCTGGCCTATGCCCAGCGAGCGAGGGGATCGACCTGATGCGCTTAGAAGCACTTGCGGTGGACGATCGAGGGGCCGGCCTCGTCGTACTCGCTCTTCGAGATCCACATCTGCTGGAAAGTCGAGAGCGAAGCAAGAATCTAAAGTTAGCAGAGATCGGATCTTGTAACGCACAGATCCACCAATCCAGACACTGTACTTGCGCTCCGGAGGCGAAACAATCTTGACCTTCATCGACGAGGGGGCGAGGGCGGTGATCTCCTTCTGCATACGGTCGGCGATACCGTTGTACATGGTGGTGCCGCCCGACATGACAATGTTGCCGTAGAGGTCCTGCCGGTCAGTTCTGAAGAATCGTCGTAGCTAGCTCACCTTACGGATGTCCAGGTCACACTTCATGATCGAGTTGTAAGTGGTCTCGTGGATACCAGCCGACTCGAGGCCGAGGAACGAGGGCTGGAAGAGGGCCTCAGGGCAGCGGAAGCGCTCGTTGCCGATGGTGATGACCTGGCCGTCCGGAAGCTCGTACGACTTCTCGAGCTGCGACGACTGGGCGGCGGTCTGGAGCTCCTGCTCAAAGTCAAGGGCGACGTAGCAGAGCTTTTCCTTGATGTCACGGACAATTTCACGCTCGGCCGAGGTAGTGAAGGGGTAGCCGCGCTCCATAAGGATCTTGATGAGGTAGTCGGTGAGGTCACGGCCGGCAAGGTCAAGACGGAGGATGGCGTGGGGGAGCGAGAAACCCTCGTAGATGGGGACAGTGTGGGTAACACCGTCACCCGAGTCAAGCACGATACCGGTGGTACGGCCCGAAGCGTAGAGGGAGAGGACGGCCTGGATCGAGACGTAGAACGCGGGGGCGTTGAAGGTCTCAAACATAATCTGGGTCATCTTCTCACGGTTCTGCTTGGGGTTGAGGGGAGCCTCAGTAAGAAGCACGGGGTGCTCCTCGGGGGCGACACGGAGCTCGTTGTAGAAGGTGTGGTGCCAGATCTTCTCCATGTCGTCCCAGTTGGTCACGATACCGTGCTCAATGGGGTACTTGAGCGTGAGAATACCACGCTTCGACTGGGCCTCGTCGCCAACGTAAGAGTCCTTCTGGCCCATGCCGACCATAACGCCCTGGTGACGGGGGCGACCGACAATGGAAGGGAAGACGGCGCGGGGAGCATCGTCACCGGCGAAACCGGCCTTGCACATGCCGGAACCGTTGTCAATAACCTGGACGTTAGCAAGGGCACTCTTGGACCTGGCGGATGAGGCGCCTCCGAGTCATCCAAACTCACGAGGGCAGCGACTGCAAAGGCGCAGCGTCAGCATCATCGTCATCGCGGCATTCCAATCGGGGAACGCAGATTAAATGACATACCTTCGTCCTCCCTGTTGATGTCAGCACACAGCCCCGAGTTCTCATCGACGCCTGGGTCCTAGGCGCCGTGGCGTCACTCACATGATGGGCGATTGGGGTGGGGGGTGGGGGGTAGGTCTACCTAGAATGGTCAGCGGTGAGCTTTAATATGTTTCATATGAGGCACAGGTCGCCATTGCGTTGGCAGCCAAGGGGTTCGGGTGGTAGCGGCGCTGGATGAGTCCCGCTCAACGCCACCGCCATTGGGTTGCGGGGAGCAGTGCCTGTGGGCCGAAAGGACGACGTGGCATGATGGTGGGCCGTGTCTGGCACCGCCGAGAACTGCGGCGATAGTGCCAAGCCTCCACGCGCAGCAAGCTGCGGAGTCGGACGTTGGTACGAAGTTCTGTTTGCATGCGGAAGGCTGTTCTTTGGACGTCGCATAACGTTGAAGCGAGATGGAACGGATCGCTCTTGACAATGACGCGGTGCAGGCGATTGCGGCCGGGTTCTCATGCGCATCCAGCGCCGCCGGAGGGACAGTGCGGTGGAGATGAAGACTTACAGGTAAGGAGGGTCTAGAGAGACGTTAGTGCAAGCTGATGGATGCTTGCTGTTTGATGTTGGAGAACGGAGGGGAGATGAAGAGAGAGAGAAGAGAGGAGATGAGGTCGAGAAGTAGTGTGAAGAGAGGGGGAGGGGGGACGGGGGGGACGGGGGGGACGGGGCGACGGGGGGCCTGGGGGGTGGCAGGGTTGGAGGGGCAAGTGCCAGCTCAGCAGCAGCACTTGGGCGGGTGGTGCGGTGCAGTGCGTGAGGGCTTGTGTCCCTGGATGACCTGGCTCATTCTGCGTATTCCTCACCCAGCAGTGACGCTTGGACTTTGCATATTCAGGGTCATCCCTCCCATGCAATCCCACTCCAGCAATCCTAATTAGTTCTGTATCCACTCGCACATTAACATTACGTCGCCCGATTACATTTCTCCGCGTACATACAACCGGCGTTATTCCTTGTGGCATACTACCACGATGACGCCACGAGGAACTCGACTGCGCGTCGTCGTCCACCCCCGCGACCGTGGATGGTATTGTGATACTGAGACTGATCCATCGATATCGCATCGCCTCTCGTCGCAACAACAACACCAACCCCGTCCACTTTTATCACCATGCCGCTAGAGTCGTGCATGCTCGTGTAAGTCGCTTGGTCGCATCTGACCCCTGATCTTGCTGACACGCAGCCTCGACAACTCCGAGTATATGAGGTGCGCTGGTTGCACGTCTCGCCCGCAACAAGAGTCGCTGTGTTGACGACAGGAATGGTGATTACACGCCCACCCGCTTTCAGGCGCAAGCGCAGGCGGTGTCGACTGTCTTCTCGTCCAAGACTGACTCGAATCCCGAGTCCGCCGTTGGCCTCATGACCATGGCTGGCAAGTCGTGAGCTTACTGTCCCGTGCAAGGCAATTAACAGTAGACCTTCCTTGCTCATCACTCCAACCAACGACATCGGCAGGCTTCTTTCCGCTCTCAACAAGGCCAATATCGGTGGTGTATCTGACCTTACTACCGCGATTCAGGTAGCCCAGCTGGCCCTCAAGCATCGCGAGAACAAGAAGCAGCAACAGCGTGTTGTGGTGTTCGTCGGCTCTCCGCTCGAGGACTCGCAGGATGAGCTAGTCAAACTCGGAAAGCGCCTGCGCAAGAACAACGTTCTCATTGACGTTGTGACATTTGGCGAGGAAGGCATGAGCAACGATGAGAAGCTCGGCGCGTTGGTCGAGGCAGCGGGAGGTGGCGAGTCGTGAGTAGAACGCAGTCGTGCGCAGGGACAGCTGCGGGTCTGTTCAAAGGACCTATTGCCGTGCCCCACACACGTTGATCAACCGACGGCCCGCTGACCGCAGTCATCTTGTGTCTGTGCCCCCAGGGCCGCACCTGCTTTCCGACGTCTTGATGCAGTCGCCCATCCTCTTTGACTCCGAGCGCGGAGGAATGGCCGGTGGAGACGGCGAGGACGACATGATGGGCATGGGTGACTTTGAAACGAATGACCCCGAGCTCGCAATGGCCATTCGCTTGTCGATGCAGGAAGCACAGGAGCGTGCCGAGCGAGAGCGTGCCGCCACCACCACCACAGCCACAGATGTCGCGGCGATTCCTGAAGAGCCACCTGCGCCGGCCAACCCAGAGCAGGGGAAGCAGGCCGGCTTGCAGGCGGGGATTACGGCGCCTCTGTCGAATGCCAACGACAAGACTATTCCTGAAGCACCAGGAGACGCGCACGACGACGACGAGTACATGGACGATGACGACGAGGACGCCATGCTGGCGCGAGCCATGGCATTGTCTCGCGGAGAAGACCCAGACGCCGACATCTCCATGGACTACGACGAGGAAGACGAAGACGAGGATGCGGAGATCGCGCGCGCCATCGCGATGAGCTTGGAGGAGGATGCGGAGGCCAAGAAGGACAAGGACAAGCCATCCAAGTAGGCACGCAGGCTTGTAGGCGGGTTCAGATGTGTAAGAGGTCAGATGTCACATTGCATCAGTATGGACGATCTGAGAGCTCAAAGCAGGTGTCACCAATCGCCCGACTTTACTTTGCATCCCTGACTATAAGATCGTCTACACGCTGTCATCCTCGCTTCCTTCCAACTGACCAGAGCTCACCAGAAGAGGATTCGCATGCTGCGGCTGGCACTGCTCGTCGCTGTCAGGGACCGGCCGTCGCGGCGCGCGAAGAACGCGGTCTTCATAATGTCGGCAGCATTCTCGGCAACACCGTACAGCGTGGCGGAGAGGTGCGCGCTAACCTGCATAGGGAGCACGGAAGCGTCGACTACACGCAGGTTGCTTGTCCCATACACAGTGAGATTGGCGTCAACCACACCGCCCCACTCTCGGCGCATCATGGCGCATGTGCCGAGCGGATGGCTAACTGTGCCAAAGTTGTACTGGATCCATGGGATGAGCGCCTCGTCGCCATCGCCAACGCCTGGGCCCGGCATGGTCTCGTTACGCACGAGCGAGCGGAGCGGTTCGGTGGCGAAGGCGCGGCGGGCGAGGCGCACACCGGCCGCCTGCATGAGCATGTCGGCGGAGGCGGAGAAGAAGTTTGGTTGGATCGTAGGGAAGCGCGCGCCCATCGAGGGCGTGGATACGCGGCCGCGAGAGAAGGGCAGGAGGGTCCACATGTTGATCCCGAGGCCTCCGTTGGGCCAGCCGCCGTCGAGGAAGAGCTCGACAACAGCCGCGCCGCGCTTAACCACGTCCGCTTGAATCTGGAGCGTGCTTAGCGCGCCTTCAGCGGTGACGGCGCCGCCGTTCTTGAAAGCCGCCTCGGCGAACGTCGAGAGATTGGCGACGATACCCGCTTCGAACTGGGCCGAGAAATTGCCAAAGAGCGCCGTCGCGTTCGGGTACGCAATCATGTTGCTGGGTCCGGCGCCGTTGACAACGTACTCCTCCGTGCGGGGCCACGCGATCGTGTTCATCGTCTGCTCCTGCAGATTGCGGCCAACGCCGGGCAAGTCGAGAACGGACGGAATGCCTGCGGCCTCGAGGTCCGCCGCGGCGCCGATGCCAGACACCTGTAGGAGATGGGGGGACATGATTGCGCCCGCGGCGAGGACGACCTCTTGCGCGGCGTAAGCCGTGCCATTTCCGCTGGGACCCGAGAAGCTCACGCCCTTGGCGCGGACGAGGGTGCCGCCCTCGGTCTCGATCTTCGTCGCCTCGTGGCCGACGAGCACGGCAATGTTCGGCCGGCCCTCAATGGGCGTCCAGTACGCCGCGGCGCTCGAGGAGCGGCGGTTGTCGCCGTCGAGCGAGCTCGCGTGCCACCCCACGCCGGCGGCGACACCGCCCGCGCTGTCGCTGATGTTCTGCACGCCTGCCGCCGAGAGCACCTGCGCGAACGCGGCCTGGTGTCCGCCGCGATACATGCCCGCGGTGAAGCGCGCCTGCACTGGCCCCTCCGTGCCGTGGAACGCCGCATCGTATCCTGCCCCCAGCTCGACCTGCCACGTCTCGGGCGCCCGGAACGTCTCGCTCTTCTTCATGTACTCGAACATGCTGGCCCACGCCCAGCGCCCCTCGCCTTGCATGCCGCCCATGAAGCGCGGGAGGGCGTCGTATGCCTCTTTGCCTGCGCGCGTCCACGTGGCGCCGTTGATCGACGTCGATCCGCCGAGAGTTTTGCCGCTGGTCTTAGCATCAAGCGGAGAGACCTAGCATGCTCGCAGCACTCACCCCATGATCGACTTGCCATCGGCCGTAGGCCAGTGCCAGTCGAGGTCCGACCCAAACGCAGCGCCGTACTTGCCAATATCGTACACGCGCTCGTCTTGGCGGTCGTCATTTCCCGCCTCAATTACACTGCGTGAGCCCAATCTTAGTCGCAGCTTACAGGACGGTGGCATTCAGCTCGCTGAGGCGGTTCGCGACTGTCAGACCAGCGAGACCGCCACCAACGACGATGTAGTCGAACGTCTGGCGGTGCGTGAGCTGCCCGTTTGTCGTTGTGCCCTGCAGCGGGGCGGACTGGGCGTGGGCGAGGCCCACAAGAGCGAGGGAGAGGAGGAGCATGGTGGTGGTGAGACAAAGCTAGCGCCTGCGTTCAAGTATTCGCTCGAGAGACGGGCGACGCGGGCCGAGCATCGGCCCCACCCCATGTGCCGCGCACGTCGGGCGTCGCGGTGAGATGGACGAGGTTGCGGAGACGGCGTGGTGGACCCGTAAGCACAGACCCACCCTCATACCGGTGGCGTCGCCAGTCACTTCGGAGGACGGCACGGGCCATCCTTGTTTCGGGGTGACATCATGTCAGTGCGAAATGCGGTCAGCTGCCGGTCGTGGCTAAGGTTAGATTTGGTGCTTGACCACGGTGATCACGCTGGGGTATGTGGCTGTTTCGCCATTTGGATGATGTGTAGAGTTTTGTGAAGGTTTCGAGAAGAGAAGTGAGAATTGAGGTTGGTTTGTGTAGCGTGCCAATCTCGGATGGAATGGAATGCAGTTACGGACAAGGGTGCCGCCGATTACTCCTGCAGGCAGCCGCTGGTCAATCCAGTCCTGCCAGCCTGTCAATCCCATTAGCACCTGTGCCCTGTGGCTAGTCTGCGCGATATGCTTTTCATGCCTACAATCTAGCCTTGGTCTCCTGTTCATAGCTCGCACGGATTTCTTCTGGGCTGCTACCCCATCTGCCACTCGCCAGGGTGGCGAGGAAGCGCTTCGCCGCCTCCGCCGTCCCCACCGGGTCCTCCTGCACGAGCAGGTGTCCGGCACTCATGCTGCGCTCATTGCGTGCAAGCGGCGCGCGCCACACAATCTCGCGCGTCATCTTGTCGCCCATCGTACGGTCGTTCTCGCGTGCCATATAGAACGCAATCGGCACCCGCAGCCCGGGCATTTTATCCCACCCGCGCGCGTGCGCCACGCCCTCGCAGAACACGGCGGCCTCGCACCACGCCGGTGTGGCGAGCGTCACCTCCTCGCTACCGGGCTTGCGCACGAGCCCGTGCGAGACAACAAGATCAAACGCCTCGGGGTGGAACGCGGCGTAGAACGGACTCTGGAGGAGGCTCTGCCGCGCCTCGTCCCGAGACCGCCACGCGTCGCGGCGCTTGAGCGCCTGCCGCACTCGCAGGAGCATGACCTCAGGCTCTGCCAGCACGCCCTCCCACGTCCGCGTGCGAGGCGGGAGCATGGGGTCCGCCAGGAAGATGCCGGCGTACCGATCTGGCGCGGCGGCCGCCGCACGCACCTGCGCCATGCCGCCGAAGCTCGCGCCAAACCCGATCACCTTGACGGGCGGGTACTCGCCGTCGCGCCGCCACTGGAGCTGCCATGGCTGGTTCCAGGGCATGCAAGCGCTGGACATGGAGTCGTCGGCCTTGACGCCCGGAAGGACGTGCACGATAAAGTTGAGGAGGTCGCGCGCCGTGTCGTCCCAGATCTGGGCGGGGCCCAGGAGGCCGGCATTGAGGTCGACACTCGCGCCGTGATTCGCATCGTCAAGCATCCAGATGTCGTCCAGAACCATGGGTGTTGCGGGGAGCGGGCGGTCCGTGCCAAAGATATAACCTGGCTCGCCGGCCTCAGCCGCAATAATCCGCCGCATCACTGGCTGCCAATGCTGCGATTAGCTGCGCCCCTGCCTCGATTGGCATGCGCTCACCTCTTTCTGCATTCCGTTCGCGTGCGAGCACACGACTGTGTGTCCTCCCCTCGGCTTGTCGCGGCGCCACCGCTCAGCAGCCACAAACAGGCCCTTCGGTGCGGCAGCTAGTGCCTCTTCCATGTCCCACTCAGTGCCCCCCCATCTCGAGTGTGCAGCGGAGAACGCCTCCTTTTCTGCGCGCTCCCTGCGCTCCGCACTCGTTGTAGGCTCTGGCCCATCGTCACGGAACGGGTGCGAGTCGCGCGAGTGTGATCCGTGCGCCTCCTTCAGCTGCCGCGGATATGCTGCTGGCACCGCGTGGAAGGTCCGCGTCCACCCCTCTGGCGGAGAGGGCAGCGCTGGGCGGACCGGGGCTCGTGGAGCGGGGTTGCCTGGGTGCGGTGCGAGGGGAAGCCAGTGTGGTGGCGTGAGAGGCGATGGAACGTCCGAGGGGCCGTCAAAGGGCACGTAGTAAGCCTCGCGGGGTGGCATTGTGAGTTGGGAGTAAGCTCGACAAGCGTGAGTGAGTACAGATAGATGAGCGCAGTCGTGGACGATCTTGAGTTAATCCAGTCGGTTATCACCGACAGCCGGTTATCGGCATCGTCTTGTCAACACCGAAAGTAGGGCCGTCGGGAATCGCGAACAGGGCTACGACTGGAGGGCGCGCATGTGCAAGAAGCAAGACAAAGATATTCGGTCAAGCAGATGCTGCTCGAGAACGACAAGCCACTGAGCTGTTCCATCACAGCATAAGCAAAAGATTTAGGTCGGACTGGGAATCGAACCCAGGCTACAAGAATCAGAATCTTGGGTACTAACCACTATACGATCCAACCGATTCGATTCGGGTATTATGCAGTTTAGCCGTTCATCACCTGAACTGCCGTGTTTCCGATGTGCATGAATCTCGTCGCCTGGCACGCGCTTGAGAATAAGGAGACGCTGCCCGCTCGTGTGACGACATGGTTCCTCTGGTGCAGTGGACACCCCTCCTGTGCCTCCATTAGACCCGCACATGATGTGAAATGGCTCAACACGAAGGCTGTGTGCGATGAAGAGCTCGTTAGCTTGAGAACTGAGGAGCTGAGGAGAGGTCAGAAGGACGTGGCACGTGGTAGGCGGCTCTGCGGTTCTGCTCACTATCGCGGAGTATTCCCGGATACGTTTTCGCAGACGTGTTTTCGCAGATACGTTTTCGCAGATACGGTTTCGCAGATATTGTACGGCGAAGTAGGTCATCAACAGGAACAGTGTTCGAGCTCTGAACCATGAGCGGAAGGCAGAGCGAAGGAACATGGGCCTCGCATGCAACATGCCTTATTGAAGCAATTGACGACTGACCAGAGCATGGAGAGGTGCGTTCTGGCTCGCGTTGCAACTCAGCATCCCTGGAGAGGAACTCAGCATCCCATGTCGCGAAGCCTCCCTTGGCTCTTTCCGCACTGACTCAAATACCCGTAACAAAGCGTTGATAACCACATTGTCTCGTTTCGCTAGCGACAAACGTGGTGTCGTCCTCATAGCGAGCGGACGCAGGCCCCGCCTGTATCGCCAACGCCCATATCACTGGCAGCTCGGAATGCACGCCGAACCCCATGCCTAATGTTGAAAGCCGGGGCCTGCGGAGAACCCCGGCAGCCTGGCGTCGAAACGCGTATCCAATGGGGGGTGGGCAAACGCCTCCACTGCCGGCGGATAACGCCAAGGCCATGATGTGAGATGCGCAATCCCGTTGGCCATCGCAAGTTGCCCCTCGTTCCCCACAGTCAGGTACAGTGCTCACCACGCGCCCACCCGGCTTCGCAGCTGCCACTGCCCATTCCTCGTATCGTCGTGCGAGCGGCACGAGCCGTTGCCGTTTCTTCCTCTCGTCTCATGCCTGTCCATTCTCCAGGCCTCAACACCATCGAGATCTCGCCCCGCGGCATTCGCTTGTCGGTTCTCTCGCCCATGCGCGCATGCCCAGGCCCCTTGTCATGCCAGGTGCCAGGTGCCCCGTGCCCTCGCCTCGCGTGCACTGATCGTCGCTTTCCTCTATCTCTTTGCCTGCAGCAGCCGTCTATTCTGGTTTGCTTCGTATCATGACATTTCTCGCATCTACTTTTACTCTTTAGTTCGTCGCACGACCTCTCACGACCGCGTTTCTTTCCGTTCACGTCCTCTACGATCCAAGCTCGATCGCCACAACACAGACCAGATCTTAGCTCTCGCCTTCGACGCCCCGCTTCGCTCCGTACAGTATTCTTCGTTGGGATGACGGAAGCCTTCGTCCTCCCCAGTACGGGGTCCCCTCCACCCTACTCGCCCCTCCTCGCGCTCCCCGATGCTGTGCTGGCACGCATCGACGACTTTCTCGAGCTCCTGGATAGCGACTCATTGCGTTGCACCTGCACGCACATGCATGCGCTGCTGGTGAGTTGCCCACTCTCCCCCAAACGCGGCCTGCTGTTGGGAAATTCCCGGGCGGCTGGCTTGAGGGCCTGGATCCCGCTTCAGCCAGCAACCGAATTTCCCGGTTATTATTATGTGATACTGACCGAACAGAGCCCACCACCGTCTCCAGCCGGGTCACCACTGTTTGAACAGCCACCGAGTTATGATGCGCGCGTTCGCCTTCTGTTCTGGGGCGCACGGTGGCATGAGGGTGTGCCCGAAGTCGAAGATGTGACCGCAAAATTCGACCTTGCGGGCCGTTTGGAAGGCGTGGGCACGGCAGACATTCTCGATATGGTGCCGTCCCCGAGCCTCGCAGGGATGCGCTTCCGATACAACTCAGACGGCGGATTGGCCAGCTGGGGTGAGTGCAAAATGAGGGGAGAGCGTGTTGCGACCCAATGCGACCGCTTGGGTGCGTGGCGGGAAAGCCACAGAGAGAGCAGCGCACAAGGTGATAATGCCAAGACAATTGTCTTCGTTTCGCCTGAACCCTCAATCCGGGGACTCCCCAGGGGGCTCAACGGGGGCCGGATGGGGCTCATGCACCAGCTCGACAGCTCAAGATTGCTCTGTCATCGCTACACAGCGCTTGAATGCATGCGCTGACTGTCCCAGGTGACGACCCATATGCTCAAAAGGCCTCACGCAAGCGTTTCAACCAGCAAATTGCGCTTCAGCTTCCGATTTCCCTCCATCACCTCCCACCCCGAATCGAGGTAGCTCGTCGCTGGCACGACATTGCACTCGATAAGCAAGGACGGCTGTGGGAACGTGGTCTTGCTGAGGTGAGTACCCTCGCTTGAGATTTCCGGCAACCGGTCGGGCGGGGCCTGGCGATCGAAACTCGCTTGGCACCGCGCGCCCGCCCGCCTCTGTCCATACGCACAAACGCCACGTGAAGCGAGATGCTTTGCGCCGTCTGCATTGTTCTATCCACAAGCATTGTTGTGCATGGAACGCAAGCGCAGGCCCCAGATCTGTGCCCCGCTGCACCCTTCTGCCACCCCTGTGTGATCTGTGCGTTGCGATGGCGTCCATGAGCCTGGCTTATTGCCGAGGCAGCGATAGAGGGCCGTTTTGCGGGGGTAGCATTCCGGCCGCCAGCTGCGAGGCGTTACCCGACACGCGGGCGGGTCGTCGCCGGAGCCATGTGCCGACATGGACCCACAGGCTGACACGCAGGGCGAACAATGGGGCATGCACACAAACCCGCTCCTCGCCAACGTCGTGCATGTGGTCGGGGCGAAGTCACGAGCAGCAGTGACTGCGACGGGGCGGATCGTGGCATGGCGAATTAACGAGGACTCTGAGCGCATTTCTGTTCTTCCGCGCCTGCCCCAACGCAGTTTGCCACGCCCGGAGCGCACAAGCTGGATCGAGTGGTACCCTCCGCAGGGTAAGGCAGACTCGACCGACGACCGCACGCTCAAACTCGTGTGCGGGCGCTGCTTTGTCGTGGCAATGCGGGATAATGGCGAGGTGTGGCTTGCAACCCGGCAAAACCACCACGAGTGGCACTGGCACCTCGTGAGTTTCCGCGTCCAATGAACGAGAACGCCACTAACAGCAGGTGGCGCGCGTCTCCCACCCGACGCAGGTCGAGCTTACAGCCGCCGATCACAGTTTTGCCATTTACTGCACGGCGTCGGATTCGGCGGGCGGCACGCCTACGCCAACCGCGTGGGTGGTGCTCGCATCGCGCAGCGGCCACAGCACTGCATGGAGTGTGTCGTCGCTCGACACGCCGCCCATCGCCCAGCTGAGTCTGCACGATGTGCAGGGTATGAACCACGGCGTGGCGCGCTCCCGCTCCGAGGTCTTTACGTGGTGCACCCGGCGCGATACGGGCCAGGTCTGTGCGCGCAGGCTTGATCTGCCGTACATTGGGCGCGGGCGTCGTCTGATGCCCGTCGAGGTGTGTGCGGCCGGTTGCGTTGCGGTAGAGGTCGCCGACGAGAGCATTGACGAGCCCGTGCTACTGGGGCTGCGCCGATTCTTCTCGGGCGGCTCGGGCGGACGCAAGGGCAAGGGGCGTGTTTGGTAGGCGGCGTAAGCCAGGCCTTGGGAGGCGGAGCTACGGAGCTGGAGCGATGGACACTGCAGTAGATTCTGAACCCACATACCGTCCGGAACGATACGGGATACCATGGGTAGCATAGACGATGCGGCAGCCAACGGAATGTTGTATGAGCATGCAGCAGATTGACAGTGTGGACGGCTACACGGGTCGCATCCCGAGGTCGGAAAGCGGAATTGGCGCGCCGTCCGTATCTGTCAGCCAGCGAGCGACCTGCGCCGCTGCGGCATGACGCCGCCTTCCGATCCATCAAAGAAGATGCACTACTTGCCGAAACCACTTCATGAAGCATCCGATGGCCGTTACGGCAGAACGACCGCACAATGGAGTCCTTGCGCTGGAGATGTGGCCGTTGTCGACGAGGAATTTCGACTCGGCAACGCCTCCGGCGCGCGCCCTCCGTCAAGAAGGAATGCGGAACGTTGTGCCGCCATGGTATCTGTTTACCGCTTGTAGATACACTCCCGCCCACCAACACAAGCCACCGCACCACACGCCGCTCATTTCAAGTGCCTTTGGATGGTAACATCGACACTGGGTATCGTACCACCCCAAGCTGCCGGAACTTGCAGATTCAACTGTAGGTGCCCGTAGCTATGTTGTGTAAAGACTGTGTCCATGCCGGACGGGCGACACAGCATATCTGAACCCTCCTTAAAACCGGAGATCCGATTTTGTTCGGTCGTTGAACATGAATCTTACAGGCCGAAATTGCAGTGCCTCCGTACTAGGCCGTGGTGGAATATAGGCTGTGCGTTTTATTCCTCGCAAGCTGGCCTGTGTGACGCCCGCCAGATACCCACATAACAGGCTTGTGTCTAACCTTCCATGCTCACAGAAGGACCAGCAAGGTCGCTGAGTTTAGTCGGTTAGAGCGCATATCCTGATATCAAAAGTTGGGGGTATGCAGCCTCGCAATCTACGGAACATGCCTCGATTAAAAAACCAGTCGCGCACAACCCATGCCTTCCACCTGTGCCCCGGCGCCTGGCGGATCCGCCCCGTCGCCCATTTGGTGTGGATCCGTCGACTGATCCTCTTATGTAGCTAGCAGCGGCGACGCCGACAACTTTCCTGTTTGCATCATGCAAAGCGCAGCGCAAGCCGATAATGACGTCATGTCGTCGCTAGCCCAAGACAGTGGTTCGCCACCGACTGTGTGGGTTTCATGCCTTTCCTTCACGCGATCGCATCCTCCCGATCTCGGCAGAGCACCATATGTACACGCTTTACCGCATATATCGGCAGCGTCCCGCTCTGTCGAGACGGACGACGAACGATGCATGGCCAAGCCTGAGCACGGGTGTTGTTCTGGCCAACTACGTCATGTCACCATGACGACATGTGGAGTTGCTAGGCTCCTAGCTGCTAGCCCACTTGCCTGCTTTGCCTGCTTGCCTGCTTGCCTGTTTGCCTGCCTTGCCTCTGCCTTGCCTTTGGTGGCGGCACCGTCCCCATATACATAATCTTCTGAGGCAAGAGACCTGTTGACACCCCCACACCCATCATGTACATCCCCTTCCAGAACATCCTCGCCGGCTCGCTCGCGCTCACCCAGTCGCTCCTCGGCAGTGCGTGTGTGCGCCATCATCGCTGATCCCAGGCGACCGTATCGTGCACGGCAGCGTCATGGACTATGCCGTCGAGAAGTGTGTTGACAAGGACCACAATGTGCGCTGCACCAAGCCGTTCGTCGTGAAGAAGAGCACGTGCTACGAGATCAAGTGGAGCACGGACGGCGCGATCAGCCACACCACTGCCGAGGTGCGCGACGCCGGCTCGAACGAGATCGTATACTACCGCGACACGAATGGCAAGTGGACCCCGGACAAGGGCGAGCTCGTTTACCTCGACTTCAAGCCCAAGGTGCCCACCCAGGGAAACAAGACCGTCGACTACGAGGTGCGCACTTGCAAGTAGGCGTGGTGTATGAATGGTCAGCAGTAGCTTGTTTACAGTGGTCCTGTGAGGGCAAGGAGGCGTAAGAGGGCGGTGGCGTGAAGCTACTGGAGGTCAGAGTGGTGCGCGACGACCAACGCAACGGCGCCACGCCCATTTGAGCCATGCGGTCGTTCATCCGTCTCGCTGCCTCGGTTCGTGTGCGAAGGATAGTGCGGCAGTGATATGCTAACGACGCGTATGCGTCGGCACGATCGCTTGGGCCCACGCGAAGCGCAAAAGACTGGCCTAAGCAGACTTGCTCGCACGCTGAGTCGAACAGCGGTTAGCTCAGATGAGGAAACTCCACAACGAACTGTGATAACCACCTACACTATACGAGCCGGTGGTATACACTTACATCTCACACGTGTCAGAGCCTCGTCCGAGCTCTGCAGAAGGTCTCGTGTCGTAAAACAGAGTTCAGAAGAACCACCCTCGACGCCGAGTGTGAGCACTGTGTCACCACAGCTGGGAGGGACACGACGCCAGCGAGTGACGAGTGACAGGTCTCCAAGGTTAATGTCCAGTCAGTCTACCCTATTCCTGCCATATACACCGCGCATCGGAATACAACCCATGTACAACTCCTAGGAGAACGGGAATGTCGACAGGTCAAAGTCGAAGCCGAACGCGTACGGCCAGCCGTCAACCTGAGGGTCTGCCACCACCTCATCAACAGCATGGAACGGCACCGAGTGTTCAGGCCCGACCTTGAGATCTGTGGTTAGCGGCGTCGCCCTCCCAAACTCACCGAATACATGTGTGACTCCCTTGAACCCGATGATGAGCTCAGCGCAAATCGGCCATGTGTCTTGGTGCTTGAGGAGTAGATCGTGCAGGAGCTGGAAAAGGGTTTGCGCCTCTCGCCGATGTAGCTCACCGGCGTCGTGTGCGAGGATTAGCAACTGTCCGCAGACCACCAGACGCTGGACCTGCGGCCATGAGGGGTTGAGCTGGTTGACGCTGATCAGGTCCGAGTACGAGTACATGATCTGCTCCACGGCGCGCGTAATTGTCGCCCAAGCCTGCGGGGCAAGGCGCTCGTGCCCGATATGAGGGAGATAGAGGAGGATACGGAGCCTTGTGTCAGCGGGAAATGCGCGATGGCGCACCAATTGTACCGAAACTGCGCCCAGGCCAGTTTTGCACGTTGACCGCTCTCGCGGTACGAGATATGCCGCATCTCACGGAGGTGTGGCATCCACGCGGCCTCAGTAGCGGTGATGTACGCAAGGCTGCTGGTGTCTACGTGCGGATCTCCGTAGTCAGCCAGCAGCTTGGCGGTGTAGAAGGATGATCGGGCGAGGCATTCGGGAAACATGGTAACGGGAGGTGTCGGATCCACATCAATCTCATTGAAGGGTATCGCAGGGCGCAGATCCACCAGTGAACTACGGAACCTGTCGTTAGCAGAGTCTTGAGCCGACCCACATCTCGGTGTAGAAAAAGGCCGAGAACAGGGCGCCGACTTGGTCGTGGGGCTGGTACAGACTGGCTGTCTCGCGGCGATGCAGGCCGAGCTCCTTGACTTGCCAAGCCATCTGCTGTAGAAGATCCTTAGTTTCGGCGGGTCCACCCATGCCGATCGAGAAGGGAATGAGATAGAATAGAGCCCCTGTGGTGTTAGCTCACGCAGCAGCCCAGCGACACTCACACAAAGCAACTAGGCTGGGCCTACTCCAGCTAGCGAGCGCATTGTACGCTTTGTGGTAGTAGGTGATATCCTCACGGCTCTCATCCGTAAGCGTGAGATTCTCACCCTCGCTGATGGCGACACGGATCTGAGCGAAGCGACTCGTACACAATGCGGCGTACACAAGCGCCATCTGATCGTCGGTGAGGCTGTTCGGCATAGCCCGATACCGCCCATATAGCGATCGCAGAAGGGTGCGGTCACTCGGTGCATCGCGGGTGTCAAAATCACCACCTTGCACATGCAGAAGCTGCTCCATGAGCATGTCCTCGTAGTCGGTGAGCAGGGGTTGTTGGGGTAGCGGGGTAGGTGGAATGCCTGCAAGGCGCGTGTCCACCTTGAACACGAGCTGGGAAAAGGGCAGCCCCTTATCGCGGCACCATCCTGCCAGCGCTGCCTCAAGCTCGTCGAGCGGATTGCGGCGGTCAAGGAAGATTGGTTCGGAAAACGACGCGCCGGCCAGTGGATCGCGCGGGTCGCGTGGCGCGTCTAGCGCTTCGTGAGTTGTTTGGCGGAGGAACAGCTTCGCGCTCGGAGCGCTAAGGTCAGCCAGTAGTACGCATCCAAGAGTGGTGTTGCACGCGATCACACGATGGGAGCGGTGACGGGGAAGGCATGACGAGGAGAGAGCGCGCGTTCTCAGATATACGTACCGCTTCGGGCGCGCCTTGAGACGCACAGTACAACTTCACGTCAGCTCACGATCCCACATCGCTAGCTTACCTGCTGCCTATGCCCGCGGTGCGGCAAGGCGTGCAAGGTGGGGGGCCGACGCATTTGATCCGACGAGCGCGGCAAGCTTCACAGGCCTTAGAGGAGCGCTTGCGAGGGAGCTCATGCTCTACCACAGTCACTGCCTCACGATGCTCGCTCATGCTTTTGACAGTCTTGCGGCTCGTAGAAGAAGGAAGTCTGAAGGAAAGACGAGATGGGCGGAAGTCAGTGATGGGGATGTTGCCCGGAATGGGAATGGGCGGGGGCGGAGCAACCGAGGCGGGGGGTAAAGCGGGGCCAAGTACCCCGACATTACTCTGCCAAATGCTTTTCAGCCGTGACACAGTCCTATTCGAACTCTCCGTCCACAACGCGTCCACCTCTGCCCACCCTTTTAGCGCTTCCTCGCTGCGCCATGCGCACCGGAAAGACTGTATGTTGAGTGATCACTGCATACTGGGTAACAGTCGCTGGGGTAGCTCCGGCCGCCTGGGCCAACTGCCGGTATCGGTCCGGGCCGTCAACTATATCCGCCAACATCCTTATCCGCAGGCGTGGATTCGGCTACATTCTCGCCAACGCTACTGCCTGTACATCCCATAAATCACTCGTCCACGATGGATCCCGCATATCGTTCCCAATATCCCAACATTAGCGACCTGATCCTTGCTCATGCTTCGCCTGCATCGCTGGCCGTGTCATTAGTTATCTCCTGCGATGTGCGTGAGGACGCGCCATACGCCCGCCTCCTGGAGCCCCACGAGTCCTCCATTTCTCTTTCCGTGGCGGCATACGTGATCCTTTAGAGGCTACTATACGGTACCGAATGGGGGACGGCAGCTGCGTACCAGTGATGGCGTCGCGGAACTCGTCCACATAGTGCAAGTAATCCTTGGCGTACTGGAGAGTTTCGTCCGCGCTCTGAGCGCTACGCAGCAAGCGCTACTCGCCGCTACCGGGCCTGACGCCACTCTTCGCATTCACAGTCACTACTTCTCCGTTCCGCAGAGTGCAGCAGTTCGGTGGAGCGGTGCACAGCGCCGCGGCTCAATGACCGGGCGTCGTTCTGCTTGCGCCTGACTACGCCTACCTTTCATACATCGCCCGTGGCGTGTTTTGCGCATACAGCGACTGGAATTCACCGCACTCTGCGCCAGGATTCTTCATCCTCCATCACGTCCTTGACTTGAATCCCCTCTCCCCCCCCACCGCCCCGGCCGTGCCGTCGCTGGCATAAGAATCCACGCCTTGTCCATGTGAAGGCACACTTTCCATAGTAGCTGGCAGGGGGCGAGTTGCACGCATGATTGAACCCCCCTCGCCTCGTTAGGCCTGGTGCATGGTCACACCTGGCGCCGGAAGGCTGCTCGCAGCCCCGCCGGCAGGGGGCAAACATCGTCCTTGACGTCCCCAGGCGCCTTGCCCGTACGGGCGTGAGTGAGCCACATCGCCGTGCAGCACTCGTAGAGGTCTTTGACAGCAACGGTGCACTTGGCTTGGTCCTTCTCGGCCGAGAGGCAGGCTTGGATGGCGTTGGCTCTCGTCAGTGAGACAGCCGTGTCGCTTACCCTCGGCGTGGCAGTCACGGTCGGCGGCGCCGCCTTGGTCGGGGTGGAGGAAGTTGCCCATTGTAATGAGGATGTGAGGGGTGGGAGGACAACACTTTCCCACACCATGTCCTATATGTGTAGTCTCAAGGTGTGAGACCTCGGCTACAAGGCACATGACGAATGAAGCGGTGGGCCAGGCTATCCATGACGCAGCGGGACGTAATCCGGAGTTGCTCTGCCTCGACTCGCCGTATGGCATGTTGAATCCCCTCATGGACCTCCAATGCCACGGGCTACTGAGGGTTCACTGCCTGTCCAGTCCGGCTGTCGTTGAAGACAAGGAACCAAAAGAGATTTACTGGACGAGTTAGGAATCGAACCAAAGACCTTGTCAATACCAGCGGAGTCGCAATGCTAATGACACGCTCTACCAACTGAGCTACACGCCCTGTACTTTCTGGAAAAACATTTTTCTCACCTCGCATGTTACAGGCAAGAAGGTCTGTGGTAGCAGCTGATCGCTGCAATACCAACCTAGCTCCCCGGGGTGGCCAAGGGAGGTGGACAGCCCTTGAGATCAGTCTGTCAACTCTGTCCCCACTTCCTGTCTGGGAGCTGTTCTGCTTGAGAGAACGGTGGAATCAGTAGAGCGCCGATCCCATGGTGAGTGAGGGTGGAGGTGGGCGGTCCCACATACGGGTGATCTCCATATGTACGGTAACGGAGATGCAGGGATTTCCATGGAAGGTCATGGGTCGGGCGGACCGGGCCATGACGGATCGTCACACAACAGTTCACTCCCCTGGAAGTCCAAGTTGATGTCGAGATGGAATGGCTGACGCAGAGGAAGGAGAGGGGCTGCAAGCTAGTCTACCAGGGGTGTGTGATGGTTAGCAGTGAGTGTGCGAAGGTGAGTAAGAGCGCGAGCGACGACCGACAACAATTTGAAAGTGTGGATAGTCTGGCGTCTCCAAATCCAGCGTCAGCAAGTCTGGCCTCTGCAAGACTGGCAAGATCAAAGCTCCATGGTGAGTATGTGGATGTGACTGCGGATCACACCTGTGGGGACCTGTGACTGTTGTCCCTCTCATATGGCATAGCATGCACAAAGTGCCTGGACATAAGAACTCTAGCATATTCATTTTGGACTCAATCCCCGAAGCTCTGAGTTATTGTGGACTCCGACAGCTAATTGTAGAGCAGAGTTCAGTTGCATTTCGTTGATACGCATATTCCGCAAAGGTGGTGTACGCATAAGCCGCGTTCGTCCGCCTTTGAGGACTACAACAAGGTGGAGGGGAGGTGCGCACACGGCTTGCAACAGCATGCAGCCTGGTACTGGAGCTACAGAGTCATGACGGGTTCAGTACAGAGCTCGTTGTCATCAGGCGACATGTACATCTGGAACGGAGATATACCACAACTAGGTATGGATCGACGCGATGAGGGTCACATGTTGGTTTTCTGTCAGCATTCTCCGGTCAGCGGTTGCCTGAATTTGCTGCCTCACTGCCTAATCGTCGATACGGCAACCCATCAACTCCTCCTCCGGCTCCATACGTCCCACCATTTCTCCCTCTCCTTGTTTTTCTACAATTAGCAGACTGTTCCTCCTTGGCTCCCTACTCAACGCACAAGGTGGCTAAGGTCGATTCCGCTTTTTTCGGCTGTTCCCAATACGCTCACGCGACCTCCCTTTGTTCGGACTGTCTTTCCGCTCTTCCGGGGTTCAACTTGTCCCATGCTGTCCTTGCGGCATCGCTCCTCGCGGAGCCGCAGTCTGCGCAGGAGGGGCATGCTCTTCGATGGCCGCAACTCTGGCTGGAGGCGTACTTGCAGTTCTCTGACCTGAGCCTCGAGCTCCGCTATTCGCGCATCGACCCCGCTCACCGCGGTGGTGCCGGAGAAGGTGCTCATTGTCGGCGAATATAGCGTTTCGGTGTCATCGACACGTGCAAAAGGATGCAGGTTTGCGGGGTGCTCCGTCACATCCTCGTCCTCGTGGAATCTGGTAGGTAAGAGGGCGAGATTATCTTGCAAAACACCCCAGCTTGGTCGCCGCGAGATGGTCGCCCGCTGCTGGCCATCCGGGGCAGAGTGCGGGCCGAGGTAAGCTGGCGACCAGCCCCGCGGGGAAAGAGATGAGGCAGCGGACGTGCGCGACGGACAACGGTCTGCGGGGAGGCGGCGGGCCAGTGGGGAGCACGGAGTAGGCGGTGGTGTTAGGACGGGGAGTGCTGGGAGAGGACCCCATGGTGGCGGCGTAGGAGGCGGGAGGCCTGCAGAGCGGAAAACTGGATGTGGCCGCGGATGCTGTCGGAGGTCTAGCGGCGCAGGTGGTGGACGACGATTGCTTTGCTGCATGAGGGCGTGGTGAGGTTGAGGTTAGATCGAATGTGAAGAAGAGTTGTGGAGAGGAGGATTTGCTCGTCTGAAACACCTGCATGGCGAGTAGTGAGCGACCAATGCTTAGAAGTGATGTTGGCCTCACTGACTACAGGCAAACCCATCTGGGGAATTCTCTTCGCATCGTGGCCCTCCTGTCAAAGCCCTCCTTTGTCACACAGGTGTCTACCAGTTTATTACCACTACGTCGGTTCAGATTCCTGAATGACGATGGGGAGGGTCGGAAGTAGAGGACTAGAGTGATGTTGGAGCGAGCGCAACCCCTCGCGCACGGCCGAAGGCGACTGCCTGGTGAGTCTTCTATCAGTGCACAAGCCAGCCTTGCGGTCACTTGGCCTCTTTGCTTTCCTGAACCCCGTTCTGTTGCTCTGCGGCTTCGCATGACCTCAGCTCCCTGCAACATGCTCGAAATACTCGAAGCGCTTGGGCGCACCGATCGCAGGTGCACCGACTCTTTCAGCATGCCTGTCCTTGTTGCGGCACAGCCCTCGGCCTGGCAGGGCTCTGAGCCCAAAGATATCAATCCTGAAAAGTGAGTAACGCAATGGACAGGTGCTGTGAGTGAATAATAGTTTGCTCCGGAAACATCATCGCAATACATTACAAGCGCACGTGTGCGTCCACACACCGCAGAGGCTGCCGACCTCGCCTTGTTATTCGTCCGAGTCCATATTCCGTCTACAGGTTCTCCTTCTGACATTCCGCCGTTCTGCCGTCTACTCGATTCACTCCATAGCGGCAATGACGACGCGTAGCGCGGCGAGGGTTGCCTCGTCCTGCCCGACATAACCGACCAGCTGAAGGGAAATCGGAGCACCCTCAGCTGTTGCGGGGTCGTACGTGTCCCAAATCTCCTTCTCCTTATCATTGCGCGGTGAGCCCTCGTGTACATCACCGGACTCCACCACAAGGCCTGTGGGAAACACGGCGGCGGGGTAGTTTGCCAGGTTCCAGTACGCGGTGTAGTTCCAGTATGTGCTGGTAAAATGGGGTGGCGCAGGCGTCGCGTACGCCGGCGAAAGGACAACATCGACACCCGACTCCTGCCAGTGCTTCGCGAGTGCGAGGCGGAATGCATCGCGCGCCGCCACCGCCTGGCATCAGCCACATCACCGCCAGCACTCACGGATAGAAGATCACTCGCGGTTGGGGCTTTTTCGCCTCCCTGGTCGATAATCCACGCGCTGAGGGGGTGCATCGGCTCCCCTGCCTCATCGAGGCACTGGCGGACAGCCTGGCCCGCATCGGGCCAGTACAGCTTGCGGAGGACCTCCCACGCCTCCTCGCTCTTGTAGGGCTTGTACGTGACGACCTCGTGACCCGCGGCCCGCAGCTTGTCCACTGTCATCTCGAGGCCGCGGCGCATGGGCACGACCGGGGCCACAACTCCGTCGTCCCAGAGCACGCCCACGCGGAGCTTGGCTGACCGCACGGGAGTCCACGGCTTCACCACCAGGCTCGGGTCGCGGCGCCACGGCTCCGAGTCGGCGATGAGCTTCATGTACATCTCGAGGTCCTCGGCAGAGCGTGCCATTGGGCCGTGCGTACACAGGATGCCCTCCCATCCTGGAGGGAGCATGGGTGCGTTGCATCCGCCGTACGGCACGCGCCCCGCTGTCGGCTTGAAGCCGTAGATTCCGCAATGCGCCGCGGGGCATCGGATACTCCCGCCTACGTCTGTGCCGATGCCGAGCGGGCTGCCTTTGAAGCCGATTAGCGCCCCCTCCCCACCACTGCTCCCGCCAGGGGTGAGGCGTGTGTTGTGCGGATTCGTCGTCGTGCCGAGATAGGACGTGCACTCGAGCTGCATGAGAGCTTGAGGATTGGTGGTTTCTGGATCAGCGCTAGGCGACCAAAATGCCTTACTGCAGTAGAAGACGGCGCCGGCGTCACGCATCACCGAGACCATGTGGGCGTCCTCCGTTGCCACACACTTGCCAACTCGGCTCAGGAAGCCGCTCGGGCTGTCGTGGCCTCGCACATCGACGTGATCCTTGATGCTGACTGGTACACCGTGCAATGGTCCTCGCGGGCCTTTGACCGCGAGCTCTTGATCGAGCGCCGTCGCCTGGGCGAGCGCCTCGTTCGCGAATAGTTCTACAAGGCAGTTTGTGCCCTGCTGAGCGAGCGACGCAGCCTTGACATACGCCGTGGTAACCTGTACGCAGGAGACGTCCTTCCGGGCAATAGTCGCCGCCAACGCGGTCGCCGAAAGGTCGAGTATCGCGAGCTCGGCGGTTGAGAGGAGCCCACTGGTCTTGAGCAGCGAGACAGCGTTGGTAGGAATTTGGCCGTGAATGAGATACTTGGACGGGATGGTTGCGTCGCGTGCGGCCACGGCAGCATCGCGCGCACTCTCGTAGGCCGAGTTCGTCATGGCGTGTGGTGTACAGCAGCTCGACCTGTTTCACGACCATCGTCTTAAGCTGATGCGTCGTTATCAGCTTACCCGGACCTGATCATGACCGCTTGGCGGTTATCGCTTGTCGGCTCGCGTCTCGGCGACTAGAAAGCGTGCCTGGCGCTTGACAGCCATGCTGCCGAGGCGCCGACCATACCATGCGTGATGGCACACAGCTCGAACTCGTGCGCGAGCCACGGGAGAATCGCCAGCCTGAGCTTGGGGGGTAGTCACTCGGCGCCGTTCAGGTCGTGATGATCATTGTGAGGCCATGGCCTCAGCGGCATCCCTCCGCCTTGGTTTATAACCACCAAGTGTCGGCTGGTAGCTAGCTAGCTACGCAGGGGCCCAAGCCAGGCCACATCACACGAGGGAGAGCAGGTGGGAGAGATGGCAGCCTTGAGGCCGCGGTTCTTTGCCATGATCCCACCGAGCAATAGGAGACCGTTGCTCTCGGAAGTGCAGCACCACTTCACTTGTTGTGTGGCAAAAAGAGGCCAACGAGCGGCGATCCCAAGATTGCATCTCATGCCTTGTCGAGGTGCCGTCACCCATGTAGCAGCATTCTCGGTGTGCGGCGTTCGGCGTGCGGCATCGTTTCGGTGCCACCGCCGCCGTGGTGCTGCCGCACGGGCCCACTACTCCGCTGCAGAAGCGAGTTGGGCTCATGCCTCCGCTCCAACGACATGCGGGCACGAGGGCGAGAGGAGTTGGGGCAGCGCGGCAGCGCCTCTGAGTGGGGGGACCGCGTGGGATTCATCTCAGGATTTTGGTCTCAGATAGTGCTGAGATGCAGCAGTTGCGTCACACAGGCTCCTCGCCGATTTGCTAAAATCAGTGCGAGACATGGGTGACGGCCCATTCTGTCTCGCTTCTTCTGTATACCTCACCATCAGACCCGCACGTCCAGATCTCGATCGTGGTGAGAGGTCATGCGTTAGATCATAAGGCGCCCTCTTCCTCTCCCCCCTCCCCTCCACCTTGCACGACTAACCAACGGCCAACGCCGAGGACGGCGCACTATCGCATAACGTCGGATATGGCCGTCAAATGCATGTACAATCCGACTGTCACTCTCTCGTTAGATTCCTCGGCATCGACGCCCGTTGCGCCTTGCTGGAACTGCTGGCCAACTGCCGCAGCCTTGGCGCACAAGTTCAGGATAATCTTCCACGACGCCTGGTGGCGCAGAGCTTCCGAAGATACTAAGCCCCATATCGCCCCCCACCCTCCGGTCTCCCATACGCTGGAACCTCAATTTCGGGCCCCACGGCGACCGCGGCGGGCGAGCGTAGCGAGTAACATACAACGAGGTAGAAGTTCCGGGCGTTGTCAGGATGAACTCTACCGGGCCGGCATCGAGGAACAAGGCCCGGGGCCTGTTGAGAGGTTGGGAGGAGGCACGCACCGGGAATATCGCCGTGTCCGCCGTCCATGTTGTCGTCTGAGACAACAATGACATTCTGACTGCGCACGTCGATGCACCTTCTGTTACCCCTTCTGGCGCACTCCGCTGCACCCGTGACTCCGGCGACGTGCCCGACCGACCCCGGCCCCACATCTCCGACCTCTGGCACCCGCCTCTCCTGTGTCCTCTCCCCTATCCCCTCTCCTTGTGGCCTCTATGCCAGACTTGCGCCACCTCCGCGGATACTTGTTACCCCCGCTCTCTACCCCACATTCAAGCCAAGAGTCCTCCCTGCTGCTCGAGGTGTCCGCCCACCCTATCTCTCTCTCCGCTATCTCAGAATTCACTTCCGCACCATCACACTTGGACACCCGCACTCTACTCTGCTCTTCATGGAGGAACGGCGCACATCGACCTCGACCATCTCGTCGTCGCCTGGCGACGACGCCACACCGCTTCTTCCTTACGTCCCCATCCCCTCCCTTGACCGCCAAGCCGCTCCAGCCCGCAAGCGCAAGCCACATACACGCACCAAAACCGGCTGCCGCCGGTGTCGACAGCAGCGCGTCAAGTGCCCCGAGGGACCTGTCGGGCCGAGCGGGCGGCAAGTGATCTGCCGGCGATGCTGGGAGACGGATCGCCCGTGCTATTACCCTGCCAAAGGGGTGAAGCGGGACCGCAACTCGGAGGAGGCGTGGGAGCGGGCAGAGGATGTCGATGAGTGGAGATGGGGCAATGGTGTGCCGTCAGGTGGCGGCGGCCGCGAAGTGGGTGGTGGTGACGGTGGTTATGTCCCACAACTGCAGCCCGCGCAGCCAGTCGGCGGAGACCTCGGCGCTCTGAGTTTTGGCCTCGGGCAAGCGCTTATCGACACAGCGCCGCCCGAGGGTTTTGACTGGTCAGTCCTATTTGCGCCTGCCCCGCCCGCGCCGCCTCAACATCAACAGCAGCAGGCGTCGATTTTGCCGCTGGAGGACGATGAGGAACGGCAGCACCAACAGGAAGAACAACAGCGGCAACACCAGCAACAACACCATCAGCAGACATCGCATGCGCGCCAAAACCAGAATCTCCTCCAGCTGGTCGGCACCGGGGCCTACTCTCCGTCTTCGGCGCGTGTCGCCCTCCCTTCTGCCCCGGAGCCGGCCGCAGCGTCGCTCCCGCAAAGCTTCATTAACTCGCTGCTCGGCCCGTCCCCGCTGAACGGCATGGTCGCACCGATAACGCTGGCGGGCTTGTCGACTTCGCAGAATGACCGCCTCATTGTTAACTACTTTGAGGTTGAGGGCTGTAACGAGATCGTCTCAACACCCAAGTCGAAGCATAACTGGATCTTTATGGAATTGTTTCCGCGCCTCCTCGCTTCGCTGGCGGCGCAGCCGGCGGGATCGCCATCGGACGATGCTGACGGCGCTGTTCGCCAATGGCTCCACCTTTGCCTCCTGCAGATCGCGTATGTCCACCGCGCCAATATTGAGCTGGACGAGGCCAAGTCGTGGCACTTCCGCTCCGAGGCCGCTCGTTTCCGACAGAAGGCGAGCTACGCGATCCTCCGTGCCAAGGTTAAGTGGCCTGGCGGGCAGTGGAAGACGGAGGAGTATCTGTAAGTGAGCTTGTGGAAATGTCTGACGTCAGCATGGGCTTCTTCATCCGCTGCATGGCAGACATGCTCGACTCGGGGAATCTAGCGCTTGACAGACACACGGCGTTCGAGCTGCCCCTCGAGCGGGCGACGCCCTTCTACAGCAGCCTGCGCGACATGATTGCGCTCTACTCCACGCTGCAGTTCGCATGCACCTCAATCGACATGCAGCTGGGAAGCGCCGCACCGCTGATCGACATGCAGCTTGGGAGCGTCGCGCCACTCTTTGAAATGCCTCCCAGGGGCGAGGAGTGGGTCGAGCGCTTCGTCGGATTCAGCCGCCGCATCGTGCGCATCATTGGCCGCATCAACGGCATGGTGGTGTATCGCGCCGGTCTGATCCGCGCCGGCACACACAACGGGGCACCAGGTAAACTCCTGCGCGCCGAGGCGGAGCGGCTGGCTAGCGAGCTCGGCCAGAGCTGGGACTGGGACGAGAACGCCCAGGAGATCGGGCAAAGTGAGCGCGTCCAGCGTGGCGACGAGGTCATGCGCCAGGCCCTCCTGGTCCTGCTCCTCTGCGAGGTCCTGCACGTGCCGCTGGACGACCCGAGAATCGCGACTGCAGCTGACCGCGCCGTCGAGCTCGTCGTCGACTGCGAGCCTGCGAGCGTCGGCGGCTTCCAGTGGGCACTCACGATCTTCGCCATTTACTGTCGGGACAACGAGCGGCGCGAGCGCATCCAAATCCTCATCCGCCAAATCCTCGCCCTCTCCTTTGGCAGCGGGTATCGGGGCCCGGACGACATCCTGCGCCTCTGTTGGGAGGCACTGGACCGGAACGGCTCGTACGAGAATGGTATTGCGCCGTGGCGCGAGGCCCTGGGCGCGCTGGGGCGCAACCTGTTCATCTAATTGCTGTCCGGGACGTTGGAGAATCTGACCGTAGTTGTACAACGACGTGGATAGAGTCACATTGCCCTTCATGGTGTGGAATGCGCGGTCTCATTTGTAGCCTATTGTGATATGGAAGTTGGGGTGTGCCACCCGCTAGCCGTTCGCGCCGGTCCCCAGGCTCCTAACGGCGGTTTCGCACACAGGGGGTTTTCATTAGCCCAAAGAACCCAATAAAGCGGCCCATGGCGGCTGCCGCCGCGCAACGCTCAAATAATTCTGCCACCCTAGTCGGCGCGCCAGTCCTGTCCAAGAAGCATCATCGCCTCACTCGCCACCAGGGCTGGCTCGTGCACATTGACATTGTGTGGGCTCTTTTCGGCGTGCACGAAACGGCCCTTGACCCGCTCAACACGTTGTTTGTGTGCGGCCGTGAGTGCATCGCGCATCTCCTGCCCCATCTCGCCCCCACCCGCCGAGATAAGCGTGACACGTACGCCACTAAGATCGGCCGTCTCGCAGGAGCGCAGCTTTGACCCGATGTTCGCGACCTCCATCGAGCTCGCACGCGCCGCCGCCTTAGTGCATCCGGCCAGCGCGGCGGACATGTATGGCTCTGGGAGAGGATCGAGCATGCCGCGCGCCATCTTGGGCAGCATGCCCAGGTAGTAGTAGACGATGTAGAGGTAGGTGCCGAGCCACAATAGGAAGGTCATCTTGCGGGTGAAGTAGAAGGGGCAGAGCTCGTCGGACGGGTCAACGAGAAGGAGGCCGACGAGACGGCTCTGGTCGAGCTTGGATGCGGCGACACGGAGAATCGGCCCACCCCAGCTGTGTCCGACGAGTAGGATGCGGCGCGCGTCAAGCGTCGCGACAAGAGCGAGGAGGTCGTTCGCGAGATCCTCCACCCGCCGTGCGTCGGTCGCGGGCGACGAACCGCCGTACCCGGCCCTGTCGTAGGCGACAACTCGTACGGGGTGCGCGACCAGTTCGTCGACCACAAGACCCCAGTACGCTCCGCCCGTTCCCATGCCGGACTCGAGCACGATTACATCGTCTCCTTTTCCGGCCGTGTAGGTCTGCAGCGTGCGGCCGTCGGGTAGAGTGACGTGGTTGATGTCGGTGAGAAAGGAGGCGCCGGGGTGCGCAAGCGCCGCGACTGGAGTCTCAGCGCGCGGCTCAGAATCGTTGGCCATGGCTGCGTGTCAGCAGCTGAAGAGCAGTTGCTGTATCCCAGACACTCACCTTGAATGAGTCGAGGTGAGTTGTTGAAGAATGGGAGAGCGGGGAGGCGGGAGATGAAATTGAGTTTCGGTGCCAAGAAGCCGGGGTACCGGCCGATCGGGAGCGAGACGGATGTGGTCCTGAACTGATAAGCGCCGCCGGCGCTTGTGGGACTTTTGCTCGCTCGTTCATTCTTCACGCCCACTGCGCACAACTTCGTTGTAAGATTCCCTCAGCGTGGTCTGCAGCTGCAGTTGCTCATGTCCCTCACTTGAGCTCCGCACGGATATGACTCCGGTTCCGCGTCAACATTCGACCGTCGCGTGCCAGCCGTTCAGCCACGTACATATGGCCACAGGCGTACATGTCGCGATCCGGACGCAGCGTATCGCAAGCAGACGCTGCCGAAACCAAGCGTATCTCACAGTCAGATAGCCGACTGGGGTGCGGCGATCGCCACGAAAAAATCCTTGCCAAACTCGTTGCGAACAGTAAGTGGCCACCGACCAGACGCCCAGACTTCCCCATTCTAAGCGCCTTTAGCCGACCGTTCTTCCAGCGAGGCAGCAGTACCACGATAACAAGCTGTACTCCACTACAAGCTGTTCATGTGAAGGTGGCACATACGGTGCCGCTGTCGGGAGATCTCGCTCGGTCATTGAATTGTCCATGGAGTTATCGGCCTGCAACCCGCATCTGCGGACGATCACGGACCCGTATCTTTCCAAGCGATGTTGCCAGTCGCAGTTACTGGAATGCGGCCAGGGAAGCCAACATACGCCGCGTGCGATGCTTGATCATGCACAGCGAAGTCATCCCGCACTCGACCAAAGATAGCTTCCATGGAGCTCGAGGTACTGTGCCGCTTCGGCATGCAAGACAGTTGTGCTATTTATCGCACCACCGTGCCTGAACTTCGCACTATTTTTCCAACTGAATATCATTCTGCTGCCTGGTAACCCGACCTTGGTCAGCTTGCCTCGGTATCCGGCGGCAAACGTCAAGCGAACCCTTGCGCACACAGCTAACAATAGCGCTGATAACTCCGGGGCAAGACATCATGAGCCTCTCGACGACGCAGCACCCTCTACATCCCGTTACTCATATCTCGGTCTGAGGAACTACTGTAGGATGGGGCACGGCAGTCACGGTAATAGGCGGTCCCTCATTCGCCTCAGAGATGCTAGCTCTGGATGCGGGGCATTCAAGGCCCCGCGGCAGCTGACACATGCTGTCCGGGCTGCTGCAAAGACGGGGATGACATTACTTATAAGCTGGTACACACTGCCCCCGTCGTTCTCCACAATTGCATTTGACTACCATGGCCACAGCAGCACAACCCCTATCCGGTGCGGCCGAAGGCAAGCCTCACGCCGACTCGATCTCGTCACACGACCTCGAGCACGATGAGGAGCGTATCCATGGCTACAGCATCCGTGCCCAGCTCGAGGGCTGGCACGCAAACCGTGGCTCGAAAAGCATCGCTCGCGCCATCATACCCCCTTGGTGCCCCGAGAAAAGCGAGCCCACGGAGCTCAACCCTCTCAAGTTTCTCAAGGAGCTCACCTGGCTTAACTGGGCCTTGTTCTGTACGTCCCTGCGCCTGGGGAGCTGACGCAGTGTGCGGATGGTGGGCGTGGACATGCGACGGCTTCGACTACTTCGCCGTATCCGTTACTCTCACCGAACTCGGCAAGGTCTTCGGCAAGAGCGACTCACAGATGAGCTTCGCTATCACGCTCACGCTGCTCTTCCGCTCGCTCGGCGCCCTCATCTTCGGCGTCCTCGCGGACCGCTTCGGGCGCAAGTGGACGCTCACGGCGAACATGCTTATCATCGCTGCCCTGCAGCTCGGCTCGGGCTTCGTCACCAATTACTCCCAGTTTCTTGGTGTTCGCTCTGCCTTCGGTATCGCGATGGGTGGCGTCTGGGGACAGGCTGCAGCCACGTCGCTGGAGAATGTCCCCGCCGCCTCGCGTGGCTTCTTCTCCGGCATTGTCCAGCAAGGCTACACTATCGGGTACCTTCTCGCGGCTGTTATCAACATGACGGTCGGTACGTACTCCGCACCAAAGTGGCGCTCGCTATACTTCATCGGCGCGGGCTTCTCGGCAGCGGCAGCCATCTTCAGGATGTGCCTCCCTGAATCGCAGCAGTTCCTGCGCGCGCGCGAGGAGCAGAAGGCTTCCGGGGTCAGCCTCAGCGGCAAGGAAGCGGCACGCCAGTTCTTCCGTGAAGTTGGGCACATGCTTCGCTCCAACTGGATCCGTTGCATCTGGGCGATCTGCGTGAGTCCGCCGTGTTGGTGTTGCTGACATCAGATCATGACCGGAATGAACTTCTTCTCGCACGGCTCACAGGATCTCTACCCGACGTACCTCACCAAAACCAAGGGTCTGAACAAACACAACGAGAGCGTCGCGGTCATCATCGCCAACTGCGGCGCCATCGCCGGCGGCCTCTTTGGCGGCTACATCTCCCAGATCATTGGTCGCCGTTGGGCCCTCATCTTACTTTGCCTCTGGACGGCCCCCTGGATCCCTCTGTGGATCATTCCCGACTCGTTTGGCGGCCTGGCTGCCGGAGGGTTCTTTGTTCAGTCCGGTGTGCAGGGCGCTTGGGGGGTCATCGTGAGTCCAATCCCACTCATCTGCCCCTCCGTCATCAAATACAGCTGACATTAGCCGATCTACCTCTCTGAGGTCTCGCCGCCCGCGTTCCGCGCATCCTTCGCGGGCCTCGCATACCAGCTCGGCAACATGGCTTCGGCGGGTGCCGCGCAGATCGAGGCCGACGCCGGTCACCACCTCCGCACCATCGTCAAAGGAAAGGAACTGCCCGACTATGCCACCATCTTTGGCATTCTCCTCGGTGTCATCATCGCCTACTTGCTTATCACGACCCTTCTTGGTCCCGATGCCGACGCTTCGAACTTTGAGGAGGCCAAGGTCGCAACGCAGGCTGGCGCTGGCAACACTGTTGCGGGTGAGCGCGCCCTAAGACGCCACAGCTCAGCGCACGGGGCGGCGGTGGGACACGCCAAGGAGACGGGCCAGCATATTGAAAAGCGTGCTGAGGTAGTGTAGACATATGTGAGATCAGATGACAACGAATTGAGGAGGAAAGGCGAGCGCCGTCGAAGAAGCCCGCATAGTGACTCCGCGCATGGCGGCAAGGGGAGCCTGACAGCTAGAATTGCAGGTATAAGCGAGAGTGGCCCATGTGTATATTTAGTTAGGCTACATTCCGCCGTCTCGACATTTTACTTGCGATCCTGTGAGCTTTCGCCTGGGGCCCATGTCGTTTCCAGAAGCTTGGGTCGCTACGACATACGGCAACAACGAGGGGCTGGTCCTGCACACTTTGGCATGGAATGATAACTGCGTCGTCGCACGTCAGCATGTCAGCTACACTGCGCCAGTCTACCATACAGGGGTTGTTGAGTCGGCGAATCCTCGCATCATTCGGCTCCGTGCCACAATGCCCCCGTCTTCACGGCCTCTGGCTGGGCGAGTGATGCGGACGCCAAGGATAAAGAGTTACGAGTTTAGGAGCCGGCCAAGCTCTGGAGACGCCGAGACAAGGGGCGACGCAGGAACGATAACGGCTGACCTCTCGGCCCGCGGCAGACTGATAAAGGCTTTCCGCCTTGCCTCAACACACTCCTCCCCGCCCCCTCCTTTCTCCTTCTCAACATGCCCCCATACGCTCCGTCAAGATATTTCAACGCATTCTCACTCCGTTCAAGGTGTGTTAGTGTCGGACGAGTGCCCAGAATGCGTTTGTGGGGATGTGGAGCGGCCTGAGGGCCATGGGTGAAAGTTGACTCGGGCCATTTCGCGGGCCATTCCGAACTGTGAGGGTGAGGCAATCGGCTACTGAGGCGACGCGGTCGACGACCATCCGGCCGCCGCCCATCGTCCATTCCGCCCATCCTCGAGCTCATTTCCATTATCAACCATCCTCTATCTCTCTCTCGCCACTGGGCTCCGCCTCCGCATTGGAGACCCCCGCTTGGCCCCGCATGTCGCCAGAACCAGAATCAGATAACAGCAAGCCGCTCTCGCGCTCCAAGCTTGCGTGCGTCCTCTATCCCTCAGCTTTGGCTTTGCTGACATCAGGTGCACAACTTGCCGAGCGATCAAGGTAAGCCCGGCCTCGACGACGCGGGTCGGCTCAGCCTAACAGCAGGTGCGATGCATCCGGACCGCCGATGGTAGTGTTTGTGCACGTTGTAGTGAGTCGACATCCGCTGAGGCTTCATAATCAGGCTTGGTAAGCTTTGCCTTACCCACGCCAAACAACAATGTCGTCGCGAAGCAGCTGACACCAGGTCGATATGGGCTGCAGTGCGCGGACCCGCCAGTCATCAAGCGCAAAGGGCGTCCGCCGAACTCTGCTCGCCGACAGCTGGAAGCCCAAAACAACGCGAATGCGGATGCGCCTTCCTACATGCAGACCCAAGCGATGTTCCCTCAGGCATACCAGCCGCCATCCTCGTCGCCGGGTAAACACGACCTTTATCCAATGTCCTTTCCATACGCGGGCATCTCACCGCCCATTCCTACAGCCATGGCGCAAGCTCAAAGCCTGGTGGATCTGAGTCGGTCGGGGCCGCACAGCGCGTCGACCACCACCGTGTCGCCCACCAGCGGCAACTACACCAGCTCGAGCCGGAACCAGAATCTCAACATGGCGGAATTCCTCGACCCCGCCGAAGGGAGCAGCGCCAAGGCGCCGTTCTACTCGAGCGCCCCAGCACGACGTGGGTATGCACCCGAGCCGGACGATGAGGGCATGAACGAGACGGACGACCCAGTGTCGCTGCACGCGCTCAGCGAGGTCGAGGCCAACCAGCTCGTGCAACTGTGCGTGTTTTCGTGGACTGAGGCTGACAAAGATTCATGGAGCGCCTCAACCCTCTGGTTGCTGTGCTTGACGCCCAGCTCCACACTCTCGAGTATCTGCGCCGTACATCCAGCGTCCTGTTTTCGACCGTTCTCGCCTCCTCGGCTAGGTTCTTCCGGCAAGACCTGCACCCGGCTCTCATCAGCCACGCGCGCACTGTGCTCGATCGCGCATTGCTCAGCGGCCTATCCGAGATCGGCGTGATCCAGTCGCTCATGATCATGACATACTGGAAGGATCCGGAGGACACGAGTGGATGGATGAAAGTTGGAATGGCCATCCGTCTAGGGTACAGCCGATTTTGGCACATTCCTCGGCACGACCCATTACCGGACGACGAGCGTGAGGCTCGCAAGCTGCTCGTGAGTGTTCTGGGGGCGACGCTGACGATAGAACGCCGAGAGGACCTGGTTCTGTGAGTGTCGTGTCTGCGGGAGGGAGAGAACGAAGCTGACCTCAGGTTTGTTTTGTAAGCCGCTGCCCTGGTATACTGCATGATGCTAACTCCTCGCTACAGCTTTCGACCGAGGGTAGGCCTGCGCTGCGATCATGCTGACAAAAGACAATCATACATCCACGGCCTGCCGACGACTATCCGGTTGAATGATCACTCCGACGTAAGTCGCGTAGGTCTTCAAGCACGCTCACACCAGCCTGAGATCTGGGCGCGAGGCCACCTGCACCTTGGCCCGAGTGTCGATATGCACATTGCGGCAAGTATTCAGTGAGCTATCACACCGCACGCAGCGCTCACTCATTAGATTGTGCAAGCTCAAAGACCACTGGGGGACACTTCACAAGTCGGCTCACCACGCTTATCTCGATGTCGCGATCGAAACGCTCACCGCGCAGAGCGAGGCGATGATCAACAAGTGGTTCAGCAAGGAATGTGAGTGTCGGTTACACCTGCTTTCACTAAGCCTCGCCCTCCCGCCGGCCTGAATATTGATGCTAGCCCCACCACCACGCTTTAACCACGAAGTCGAGCATGTGCTCCTCTGGTCGATCCTGGACTTCATGTTCGTCATGAAGCGCTACCAACAGGACCTCGTGCGCAGCGATCCTCTGCGCCTCGACTCGTGCCTTGAGCTGGTCTCGCGCATCGCAGACGAGATCGACATCCTCGCACGCAACGGTATGCTCATCATCATGCAGGACAGCGCGAGCTGCATGACATCAGGTCTGGCAGAGTTTGCCGGCAAGGTATTCCGCTACTCGACACGCCAGCAGAAGACGTTCATCCTGACGGTGCTGCACCGGATTTTGCTGGCGCACGCCAGTGTCACGAGCGAGGAAAGCAAGACGGCCCCGGCGTATGTCGCCCGCCACATCCGGCGCGTGCTCAGCTCGCTGAGCGTTGAGTCGCGCGCAGGGTCGCCCGGCGTTGCTGAGGCCATGGTCAACGGTACGACCGAGGGAGAGCTCGGAGTAGGCTTCGACTTTTTCGCTGAGCTCGGTTTGGTGAGTCCACATGCGTCCACGACTGACTGGCAGGAGGAGTTTATGCAGGTTCCGGAATACGTGGCTCAAACTGAGGCGGACGACGGCCGATACTGGTGAGTCTAAGTACTGGGCGATTGTGTGGGCGAGGTCGCGATCGTGGCGTTCCATACGTTCCAGGCGAAGAAGAGTCGGGAACATTTTATATGTCCCGGAACATCTCGGCGCGGCACGCCTCGCTTGCTCTTCGCTTAGTTTCGCATACTTCATCTCGGTAACTAATACCAGGTCCAACATGCTTCTTTCGGAGTATGCTCCAACCCAGTGAGGGCGTGGACGGTTCGTAGCGCGGGATAATCAGATCTGAGGTATCACCAGGCGACAATTGTCTGTAGGGCTTGTTGCTATGAGTTGTAGTCGCGCTGTGCGCATGTCATAATTTCTTGTCTCAACTTGCGCGAGTGAGTGGCGATGAGACCATCCAATGCGCCTGTGTGAGCTTCCTCACTCCAGTACACTCTTTCGATTCTTTCATTTCCAGGTTGATCCTACGGCTTTTCTTGCTATCTGAGGACCTCAGAGTTCGGCTGCATGACGAAATGTTCGGGAGATAAATGTCGCAATCAACTGGTTCTAAAATAAATCCCGCTCGGCCTCCACTTCGGCATCCCACGCCCACCAACGTCATATCGTGCCCAATCTTCACCGCCTCTCTTCCCCGTCCTCATCTTCTCGACCACCGCCCGCGACATGTGCTCCGAAAAGCCCACCAACGAGCTCTACCAGTGGTCGGTAGTCAGTGCGCTCGTGGACGGGGTCGCGTCCAACGGCCTTCCAATGTCTCAGCTCCTCGAGCACGGGGATCACGGCCTCGGCACCTTCCGCGGCATGCAAGGCGAGCTCATCGTGCTTGACGGCAAGGGATTCCAGATGCGGCATGATGGCACCACGCGCCCGATTGACCTTTCTCCCACAGGCGACGTGACTCCATTCGGCATGGTGACGCGCTTCGCGCCCACCTCGACTTCCTCCGCCTCCGTCTCCGAAAAGAGCGGAGTCGAGCCCGTGCTATCCAAGCTGTGTCCAGACGCGCGCAACACGCACATTGCATTCCGCCTCGACGGTGCTTTTAAGAGCATCACGTGTCGCACGGCTGAGGGCCAGTGCTTTCCCGGCGAGGGGCTCAAAGACGTGGTGGGGCGTCAGGTGTCGATCACGCTCGGGCCGGCACGGGGCACGGTCGTGGGCTTCCGCTCGCCCGAGTTTCTGCAGGGCGTCGCGGTTGCGGGTGTGCACATGCACTTCATCGACGAGAAGCGGAGCGCGGGCGGACACGTTCTCGCGCTCGAGACGGACGGCGAGGTGCGCGTCCAGGTTGCCGAATTATGGCGCACCGTCATGGACTTGCCCCGCGGGGATACGCAGTTCAACGAGGCGACGATGAAGCTCGATGCGGAGGGGATCAGGAATGCCGAGGGGTAGCGGGGAAGCGGCTCGGATATGGCGGCCCGGCCGTCTTGTACGTATTGGATTACCGCGTCATCTCGGACCGCCCATGAAACAGGAAGTGCTTGACGGGATGGGCGCAGCGAAGTCGGGCGCTGAGAACACAGCTCGGGAATCTTAACTTCTCCAACTTATCTTGTAGTCGTTGTCTTCGTCAACTCACACATCAGACGATGACGCTCTGTCTGACAATTCGACGCCCCAGCAGCCCTCACCTGCAACGGCTGTCATGATACCAGCGATGACAGGCATCTTGACTTGGCCATCTCAATCTCCAACACCGTCCGGCAGGATACGCCGCAGAGGGTGAACTGCTGAAGACGACACAACGTCCGAAGATCCGCGAGCAAAGATCATCGGCACCATGCTGGCCTCTTCGCGCTCCAGAGACACCAGCTCCGGCTTCACCATCGTAGATGACCCCACATGGATATCCGGCGACTTTGAAGTGATCACAACAGATCAGGTGCGATTTCGGGTGAACACGCATTTGCTATTCGGGGCGAGGTGAGCCAGCAGGGGTCCACTGACGCCCAGCAAGGCCCTCATGGCAGCCGCAGAATGCAGAACTGGCGCGAAGACGATCGAGTTTGTCGGGGAAACCGACACGGCGCCCGTCTTACGCGCGTTCCTCGCTCTTGTCTCCAACGGCCAGGTAGATTTGAACCCCTCTCTCGCCGGCGTCCGCGACCTCGCCCTCTTTCTTCACAAATGGGACTGCCCAGCCCACATAGCGCATCTCCTGCGCGCCGTACAAATCGGCGTCCTACGCGGCTCGGTGCGAGGCCTAGCGGCCTTCCTCCTTGCCGGGGCGGTAGATGACGCGGACACGGCTACGGTGGCCCTCGCCGCCCCGCCGCAACGCTGGGGCGACGACGGCCGCGTTGGCGGCGTGCTCGGCCGCGACTGCCTCGATCCCCGGGGGTGGCCGCCGGCGGTGCAGCGAGAGTGGCACGATTTTGGGAGTCCGACATTCGGCCGAGCGCTCATCTGTGCGTTTGAGGATACGGGTGGCGACAGGCCCAGGCTCGCCTCCAAGTTTGCGGAGTACCTCGCTGCTAATCGGGCGTTAGACGAGTGTTGGGGCGATCGAGGGGGTGTCTAGGAAGGTCCTGTAGCCAGCATGTGAGAGTCTCTGTTTTATACAATCACCCGTGTATATAAGGCATGCAAGAAGCAAGAAGAGCATTGTTAGGCAATGGAACCGTTCGTTGTCGGGTGTTGAGGGCTCGCAACGCCAATACTCGTCATAGGGAAGAGTAGGGTTGCGTGAACGAAGACACGAGCGGGTGCTTGTGGCCTCTGCATATGCACATGGGCCTCGGGTGCACGAGCCGCGTGCATCGTGGGACGACATGAGTATTTACTACACCTATCGCTCAATAGTCCTCCTACCTGGGACTTCGTGCTTCACATATGAACACAGCCAGTCTACGTGTGCCACTGCGTCCTCGTCGTAGGACTACACATGATTGCGCCTACCGGACAAGGTTCGATGGTAGTGGCTCCGTCTCATGGACCCCATTCCACCACGCCTAACACTTCGCTCATCTGTCTCACGTTGACCATAGGTTGGTAGAAGTTCTGGCCTGGTCCCTTGCGTCCCGCCGTCCGCAGACCCAGGTCGACCTTTGCCACGAAAGTCTACTTCTCCGTGCTCGTGCAAGCGTAGTCCTGTCGTGTGCTGTGACGTGAACGACGAGTACCGCACAACCTGCAAGTCATCATACGCCTGCCTTGCCCGCCCTCTCGAGATGGAGAGTGGGAGCCACCAAAAATGCTACGCCGTAACTCAAATCACCGCCTGGGGGGGCTTAAGATGGCGGCGGACCGCCCCTGTACTTGTGCTCCGTGATAGCCTCTGTAGTGTCCGAATGTGTCCTGGCACCGACGTCATCGACTGGCCGCTTACGTGGACAAGACTATGTGTGAAGGCGAAGGTGTGGATGTTCACTGTCGAGGTGGTAATGATATGTCAGTGTCTTGGGCGAATGAAGGCTCGTTGGCGCATAACAGGTGCAAACTGCATTTTTATGCTGGACGCACGGAGGCGAGCGGAGGCGGACACCTCGTTCGTTGTCGAGTGGGCCGATACATCTGAGGCGATCAGGCTACCTGCTTGCGACCTCAGAGAGACTAGTCCGAAGCTCGCAGGCGGTTCATGGGTAGCTGCAGATGCGGAACCGCGGGGTACGAGGGCAGAAATCTGTCGAGGCCCCCCCCCCCCCCCCAAATTGGGGCCACCCTGCTTCGGCGCATTGGCCTTAATGATCTGGCGGCCCCGCAAGGCCCCTCTGATCACCACGATACCTTGATGTAAATGTTGCGCAACTTCTCCTCGGCGATTGGCGACGCTGAGCCAATGAACAGAACAGAAGCTCGTTGTCGGGACGGAATTCTCTTCAGGCTGGTCGCGCACCGAGCGGCAATGACGCAGCGTGATACTAGTGGCTTTGATCGCCGGAGCGGGAGGGTGAGGAGGTGTTGCGTAAGCCCCACGGAGGGCGCAAGGGTGAGGACGATGGAAGAGGACAAGTGGGGCCGAAACCATGCCCGAGGCCCGAGGTCTGCGGGGAGTTGGGCCCGCGATGGGGCTCAGCACGCGTGCGGCGTACGTGCACGGAGTCCCCACCTCATCTTAGAGCAACGGCTCGCGGGGTGTGTTGATCAGCAGCGGACTCGTCGATGATAGATCATGATAGATCATTCGGGGCGTATAGGCGAAAATCTGCGGTCTCTCAGCTTCTTGTGGTCCGCGATGATCCGATCCACCGATCCGCAGTCCACGCTTCTCGCACGCAATGGAGATAAATTAGTCAGCGACGTCCATATGCGTCCATTTGATGTAGTTAGTATCGCAGTATCAGCGCCGCAATGAACCCCGAGCGGCAACTTGACGTGCGGAGTGCTTGGGGCGCGTGGTGTGCGATCGTTTTACTGGCCGCTGGCTGTCAACATGCCAATTCATGTGACCGAAAATGAATTGAACGTCAAACAGAGTTCGTTATGGGTGGTCGCTTGGAAACTCCGAAATATGCCCCACGCCCCTTGGTGCGGGGACCTCGAGGCTCCAGAATCAAGGAGGCGTGTGTGGTCGGGCTCCAACCGGAAGTTGGCTGAATGAGCTGCTCGTCATGTCTTTAGTTTTTATGAGTAGTCGTAAGAAGCGAGTGCAGTGTGGAGGGCGGTGGAGGTCGGTGGAGGGGTGGAGTGGAGCTGGGTGGAGGCATGTGGAGGTGGTGTGGAGACATGTGCTGATCATGCTGATTGTCATGCTGAAGTATGTGAACACGACCAGAGAGCATTATTCACACCCATACCGCGTTTGTGATACCCGAACTTGACCGTGCAGCGGGCTTCACATGCTCCAGCTCTCCAGCGCATGCACTCTCCATCTCCCTCTGAGGCATAGTCAATTGACCCCAGACGGAGGCGGAAGAACCGAGGTCTGCAGTTGGTTCTCCCCGGAGTTCGGCAAGTCACGGTGATCGCCGACCCACCCAAGGCCCCTCACGTGTGATGCCCACTTTCACTCTGGCGCTAATCTCTCTCTCTCGCACCGTACCCTCCATGCCACCAACGATTCACGGATCCGTGGGCGAGGCCCGGCCAAGCGATCAAGCGAGACCAGCGGCCAGCGGCCCCGCGCGTCAGCAGCAAGTAATCCAACATCGCTGCGCATGCGCGACCCGTGGCATGTGACTGTGAGCCTCCTTACTAAGAGCTGCCCACGACTGCCGGCGGCCGGGCCGTCCAACCACAACCCCCCTGCTCCCAGCCCTTATAACCTCATCGCGCACCGGTTACTCCCCGTTTCCCCAGCTTCCACATCCTCCCCATCCCCCACCACATCGCAAACATGTCCAAGACCCTCGAGGCTGCCACCTTCAAGCTCGGCAACGGCAAGGATGTCAAGATCCCCATCGGCCAGTTCATCAACAATGAGTTCGTCGACTCGGCCTCGGGCAAGCGCATGGACGTCTACAACCCTGCGACCGGCAAGGTGATCGGCCAGGTCTCCGAGGCCGACGCTGAGGACGTCGACCGCGCCGTCAAGGCCGCGCGTGCTGCTTACGAGAAGAACAACCGCGCCTGGGGCTTCATGATGCACGCCCAGCGCGGTGCCATGCTCAACAAGCTCGCCGACATCATCACCGCCAACCAGGAGGAGCTAGCCGCCATCGAGGCCACCGACACCGGCAAGCTCTACAAGGACGCTTACTCCAAGGACATTGCCGGCGTCATCGCCACCATCCGCTACTTCGCTGGCTGGGCTGACAAGGTCACCGGAAAGTGAGTTCCTCACCACCTACCGGCCGCCGTGTTGAGCTGAGCTAATCCTCAGGACTTACAACGTCATCCCCGGCATCCACGCGTACTCGAAGTACGAGCCTATCGGCGTGTGCGGCCAGATCATCCCCTGGAACTTCCCCGCCGCCATGTTCTCGTGGAAGATCGGCCCCGCTCTCGCGACCGGCAACGCTATCGTCATCAAGTCGGCCGAGACCACGCCGCTCTCGGCCCTCAAGATGTGCGAGTACATCAAGGAGGCCGGCTTCCCTCCTGGTATTGTCAACCTGATCACTGGCCGTGGCCCCACTGCTGGCCAGGCCATCGCCGAGCACATGGACGTCGACAAGGTTGCGTTCACCGGCTCGGGCCCCGTCGGCCGCAAGATCATGGAGACTGCCGCCAAGACCAACCTCAAGCGTGTCACTCTCGAGCTCGGCGGCAAGTCGCCCAACATCATCTTTGACGACGCCAAGAGCGCCAAGGATGCCGCCGAGTGGGCATTCTTCGGCATCCAGATGAACATGGGCCAGGTGTGCACGGCCGGCTCGCGTATCCTTGTTCAGGAGGGCATCGCCGACGAGTTTACCAAGGAGTTTGTCAAGCTCATGGAGGGCGTCAAGGTCGGCGACCCGTTCGACGACAGCTCCACCCAGGGCCCCCTCAACTCGAGCATGCACTTCGACCGCGTGCACGGCTGGGTCCAGGCCGGGTGCAAGGAGGGTGCTGAGACCCCCGTCTGCGGCCAGGACCTGCGTGAGAAGCTCGGCGGCGGCTACTACATCTCGCCCACCGTTTTCACCAACCTCAAGAAGGACTCTCAGATCCTCGCCAACGAGGTCTTCGGCCCCGTTGTCTCCATCCAGACCTTCAAGACGGAGGAGGAGGCCATCGCCGAGGCCAACCGCACCACTTACGGTCTCGCTTCCGCTGTCTTTTCGTCCAACCACGAGCGCCTGCTCCGCATGAACGAGGCCATCCGTGCCGGCACCGTCTGGAACAACCTCTACAACTTCTCCCACTTCGGCGTTCCCTTCGGCGGCTTCAAGCAGTCTGGTATCGGCCGCGAGAACTCGGAGGCGGCCCTCTACAACTACCTCGAGACCAAGTCGGTCATCTCCAACATGGGCTACGTTCGTTCGCCCATGGCCAACCTGTAAGCTTGGCCGCAAGATCGAGTGCTTAGACTTCAGGTCGTAGGGTGGCGTGAGATGGGTGAGCGCCGTCAGCTGTCATCCGGTGGCAGTTAGTCGGTATCGGTCGTTAGCAGTTAGTAGTGATTAGTAGCAGTTAGTAGAAGCAGGATGCCGAGTTGTGCAGTTTCAAAATGGGGTTGTGTGTCGAGGAGGAAGGTGGGTAGCGAGGGAGGGAGCGATCGTGACCGAAGGCTCCATGCTGCCCCACTTGATGTTTGCAGGTGGAGGATCCGCGTCACCTCCCTCCTTCCTCTGTCGTACATTTCACCTTCAACCATGGCAGACATGGCAGCCCGCGCGCGCACCGTCATCGTCATTGGAGCAGGCATGTCCGGCCTCTCGTGCGCCCGCACACTTGTGGAAGCCGGCGTAGATGTGCTCGTTCTCGAAGCGCGCGATCGCATCGGTGGGCGGACTTGGACATGCGAGGTGTCTCCCAAAAGCAAAGACAAGCCGCTGCACTTTGACCTGGGCGCGTCGTTCATTCATGGTATTGTGGGCAATCCGATGTACGCGCTGGCCAAGAAGCTCAAGCTGCCGCTGCACGTCATGTTCGACGGCGACGGCACACCAGCGTCAACATTCTCATCGTCTTTCTCACCTTCCTCCTCTTCCACTTCTACCGATGACTCGTGCACCTCTTCCTGTTCCTGTCCGACCACAGCCTCTTCTTCTTCCTCTTCTGGTTCCTCCTCCTCTGCCAGTTCCACCTCATCCACCATCGAGCGCAACGAGGGTGTTTACGGACCAGACGGCCCGCCGCTCGAGCACAAGTTGGCGGAGCGGCTCAACTTTAACGTCACACGCGCCTTCTTCTCTGATTCGGCGACGTATGCTCAGGACTCCCCGAAGGACGTGCCTCCGGCAGGCGAGTCGCTCGGAGCCTGGATGAAGGACGAGAAACGGACATCGCTCTTCGCGGGACTTGACCACGAGCGGGATAAGGAGTATGCTCTTGCGCTGGCCGAATCTTGGGAAGGCTATACCGGTGCAGCGCTCGACGAAGTCTCTCTTCGCTACTGGCATAGCGAGGTCACATTCCGCGGGCCAGACGCTACGTTCATCCATGGGTATGTCGGCATCTACTCAGCGCTGCACGCCGATGTTGTCAAGAACAAACACGGCGAAGTGCGACTCGGCGAGGTTGTGACTTCTATCGCGCTGTCTGAGGACGAGGAGAGTGTGCACGTCACCACGGGCGATGGCGACAAGGAGAGGACGTACGAGGCTCAGCATGTGGTGTGCACGCTTCCGCTTGGCGTGTTGCAGAATACGCCGCCCCGCTTTACACCTCCGCTTCCGAGGCGGCGACTCGATGCAACCCACCGCCTCGGGCACGGCCTTTTGAACAAGATCATTGTCGCGTACCCTCGGGCCTTCTGGCCGAAAACTGAGTACTTCGGGCTTCTCCCTTCGGCGCCCAGCATTGCATTCCTGCCCCTCCTTAAGACACGCGCGCTGCTTGTCCAGAACTTGCAGGTTGTTAGCGGCCAGCCGGCACTATTGTTCTTCATGGGCGGGGCGGCGGGTGCGACGCTTGAGAATGTTTCAGATGAGCATGTTCGCGAGCACATCCACAAGATCGTAACGCATCACTTCGCCTGCCACACCTCCTCCGTCCCGGAGCCTGACGCAGTCGTAGTGACGCGCTGGAAGGCCGACCCCTTCGCCTGCGGCAGCTACTCTTTCCTTCCTCCCGGGGGCGACCCACAAGACTTCCGCGAACTCGCCCGCCCGCTTTGGGGAGACAGGCTTCTGTTTGCTGGGGAGGCAACAGATCCGGACCACTATGTAAGTGACAGAAGGCAACGCTGACATACAGGCGACGGCGCATGGGCCATACATCACTGGGCAGAGGCAGGCGCAGATGGTCCTAAACGCACTCCAGCTAGAAGCAATGGACGCGGACGGTGAGGCGGCATAATGTCAAGTCCACCTCCCCTCGATGCCCGACATTGGCGCTGTCATTTCGGCCAACCGCGACGCACGTGGCGCCAGGCCGAAGCGCGCCGTCGCCCGTACTGATTTCGTGCCCGAGGTCATCTTGACAAAGGGCGTCGCACCATAATCATCTGCCACAACTGCGCGTTACACTGTACGCTCAAAGCGAGTAGAAGCAGTTCTCACGTTTCCTCGTGAACGTCAGGAGATTCATTCCTTTCTCTAGATGCTTCTGATATGCCTTTTGCTTCTCGTATTTCTTAGAACAGCGCCGGCCCCATACCGGTACGCTCGCCAACTTGCTTCTTCGCCTTGTGAGGCTGGACGTCGGCGTGGGCCTCGCCGCCCTTCCAGTCCGTGTCCTCCGTGGTGTCGCCAGCATCCTCTGAAGCCGGCTCCATGATAGGCTTAGCACGCGCAGGCTCTGATATCAGCTCCAGACCCAAGGGTGACTGACCCGGCATGCCACCGTCAGCACTAAGGCTCGCGATGCCCGGCTGCGCGCCAGACACGTCAGCGCCGACGAACAGTGCGTCCTTGGGAGTGTCGGTGCGGTTCATTCTGTGGAATAGTGTGTGATGCGTGTGTTGCGAGTGGCGAGGCGCAGGCTCTCACGACAGCCCATGACCTTGACCCCTACATGTGATGACTTCACCGGTGGAGGCAGAGGGAGCCATATTTGGTCCGCCTGACTTCGATCTTCCATGGCTTCAAACTACTTCTGTGGTGCCTAAAGTCTCAGGTTCGGATAAGCATAGATCCGCGCTCGCGCAACGTCATGCCGATGACTTCTACTGCTTACAGGACACAAGTCCTGCTCCCATGGTCCCGACTGACAGACCCAGCTCCGAAGACCCCAATATCTTCGCAAACCATTGCCTCAACATGTCTTGAACGAAGGCAATCTTGAGGTTGCCGGCAGCGACAAGGCGCGCTTCACGTTGAATAACCATCATCTCTGCGATGGCATCATCTCACGCCTGCATTGGCCACGCTCGCAAGACATATGACTCTTGCGTTAGCCGTCTAAACCCCAGCGCCCTTCACCCTCTTCCCAAATGGGGCTGAAGTCCCTCTAGATCTTGCAGAGCCATAAGCGAATCCGCACAAACGACGTCAGTCCGTTGCCCTTCTTCTGACTGGTATTTCTGCTCACAAATGCCAAGTCTAAAGTGTCACAGTCAAGTATTCGGTCCTATCCCACATTCGCACCCCTCCAAACTTACCCGCCATGTCAGCCACTCCCGTCTCGAGCGATCCGAACTGGACCGACGGAAACTTCGTGATCACCAGCAGCGACGGTGTCAAGTTCAAGGTCAAGGAGTACAACCTGTATTGGGCAAGGTGAGCCCAGGCTGTCCAAGACCTCCCTAACGCTGAGCCCGGTGTTCGCAGAGGCACACTCCCGCAACTTCTCCGGCAAGGAGATCGAGCTGACCGATCCCGAGCTCGAGACAGCTGCCATCCTGCGCCTCTTCCTGACGGTCATCACGACCCTCCATCTGCCCATGGACCAGTTCAAGGACGGCGACCTGACGACGCTGACCAACTTCCTCTTCTTCCTACGCAAGTGGGACGCCAAGCAGCTCTTCCCTTTCGTGCTGGAGTATATCCACGCGGCGGTCAAGGGGGCCAAGCTGTCGCCGCTGCACGTCTTCCAGCTCGGGGCGCAGATTGACGACGTCGATACATGCCTGGTAGCGTTGCGCCACACCGCCGGCTATGATCCATGGTGGGGGCCCTGGTGGACGGCTGAGGACGACTACCGCCCGTTTAACGCCTGCGGGTGGTCGCTCCGGTTCTACAAGGAGCACAAGATTCCTGCCGTCTACCTCCTTGCGCTCAACCAGTCGATGGGACATTCGCCGACGCACCCCGACGGGTGGTTCAAGGAGTATCTGGAGAGGGCAAAGAAGGAGGAGAGGGAGTGGGCCAATAGGGCTTGGTAGAGGCTGGTCGTGCTCTGCAGTATCGCTTAGTCGTGAGATCGTCCTGTTCATCCAGAAATTTCGTCATTATCAACAACTCCATGAATCAGACAGGTGGCAGAGAAAACCTCACCTCAGTCGACAGTGCGCCGACTCAAAACTACCGCACATCAACATGCTCGGCTACCACAGTAACCATGAACATGCTCGGCTGAGTCAGTCGACAGACCACAGTTGGGCTTCAGAAGGGGTCGGATTGTGGAGCGAAGAAAAGGAAGGGAAGATAATAGCAAAAGGAATGCCTCCGGACGGGATTGAACCGCCGACCTCACCCTCGCATGATGTCCGCATCGGAGCATACGAAAGGCGCGCTCTGCCACTGAGCTACAAAGGCCGATGAAGTAGCTGACCGCCCTATCTGCCCCTCACACATAAGCCACCCCAACAGGCATCATAGGATTGAACTTTCGGTTGTTGAGGCGTTGGCTTCCACCACGATGGGGTTAAGACTGTCTCTCGAATGATAGTAAGCCGCCATCCTGGACCTACAAGATTGCTCAGCCCACCTCGGCCGCCGGCATGCCCTACGGCGCGTGCGGTGTCCTAATGCGGCAGACCCGGTAACTTAATCCTCCGATTAGGCAGATCGACCGGCCCGAGATCCAGCACACATTCCTCTTTCGGACACTCGCTATCAACCGCCACATGCTGCAGCTCCAGGAACATATCAGCCTTCTACGACTGACAACGACGACGGTATCGCTGGTATCGCGTGACCTCTCTCGCCTAGGCACCCGGTGATACGCGAGATGGCCGTTGGGGCGAGGCGGGGCGGCCGGGAAGGGGACGATGGAGATATGGAAGGGATGGAGGGGAAGAGGAAAGATGGATAAGTAGTCAGGCCCGCCAGACACCTCCTCACAAGACACTATTTTGCCACCATGGACACAGTCGAGAAGACTATCTCTCCTGAGGTGCACGAAGTCAAGGCGTATCACGAGGGCGAAAGACCGCGCCACAACCCGGCCCTCGAGCGCAACTTTAGCTTCTGGAGTTGTTTGGGGCTGGCATTCGCAATCCTCAACTCGTGGAATGGTGAGGCATAGCCCAGCAGTGCTAACGAAAGCCATGTTGGTGACCCTCCACTCGGCGCACTAACAACAGGGCCGCGTCCATGTCCGTCGCGCTGCCGAGCGGCGGCTCCATCGCCATGGTGTGGGGCCTCCCGGTTTCGGCAGTGGGCACGCTGCTTATGGCTGTCTCGCTGTAAGACCTGCTAGCACAGGACACTCTCCAGACTCCTCCTGACGCCAGTGCTGAGGCCGCCCACGCATTCCCGACCACCGGCGGCCAGTATGACTGGACGTACTGCGTTGCGCCTGCACGCGTGCGCGTCGGCCTTTCGTTCGTGGCGGGCTGGACGGCGACGACAGGCTGGATCGCGCTCGTCGCCGCGAACGCGATCATGACCTCCAACTTCGTCATGGGCATCATCTACCTCCTGCACCCGGCGTTCGAGAGCGCGCCGTACCAAATCTTCCTCCTGTATCTCGCCATGACGTTGCTCGCGTACCTGCTGAACACGTTTGCGGTGCGCCTGCTCCCGTGGATCGACACAAGCGCGATGGTATGGAGCATGCTCGGCATCGTGACTGTCATGATCACGCTTTTGGCGTGTGCGTCCGGCACGTACCAGCCCGCGAAAGCCGTATTCGCGACGTGGACCAACACGACGGGGTGGCCGGACGGGATGGCGTTCATGCTCGCCCTGCTGCAGAGCGTGTTAGGGTTCACGGCGTTCGACGCTGTGAGCCACTTGAGCGAGGAGATGCCTCGCCCCGCGATCAACGCACCCAAGGCCATGGTCATCGCAGTTCTCATCGGCAGCGTGACCGGCTGGCTCTTCCTCGTTATCCTCCTCCTGTGCCTCAAAGACCTGGACGCCGCGACGGGCGCGCCCACCGGCCCCCTCATCGCAATCTACCGCCAAGTCACGGGCTCGGACGCCGGCGTGAGTTCCCCTCCCGTTAACGCCTGACGACAGACAACTTGCCTCGTCATGTTCAATCTCCTCGCGATGTTCTTCGCATGCCAAGGCGCATGCACCGTCGCCTCGCGCCTCCTCATGACCTTTGGGCGCGACAACGGCATGGCGGGCCTCTCGCGCTTCCTCGGCGCCGTCCACCCCCGCCTCCTCGTCCCGCAGTGGTCCGTGCTCTTCGTCTCCGTCGTCGTCGTCATCTTCGGCCTCATCAACCTCGGCTCCTCCGTCGCCCTCAACGCCATCATCTCGTCCGCCATAGTCTTCCTCCAAGTCTCGTACTTTATCCCCAGTCAGTTTTTCCGCTTCACATCTCACCCAGTTTGCTGCATGTTCCTCCGCGGCGACGCGGCGTTCGCCGACGCCCCCCGCTCTTGGTCGCTCGGCCGCTGGCGCCGCCCCGTCAACGGCCTCGCGCTCGTCTTCCTCCTCGCCACAACAGTGTGCTTCTTCTTCCCCCCCGGCGTCCCCGTCACCGGCAGCAGCATGTCGTACGTCGTCGTCGTCTTCGCCATCGGCATGCTCCTCGCCCTCGGCGTGTGGCTTACGAGCGCGCGGAAAGTGTTCCACGGCCCCAGCGAGATGGAGGCCCGCTTGATCGAGGGCCGCAGGATGTAGGGCGTGAGAATGTACATTGTCTCACATGTTGCTCTGTGCCCAAGAGGCTTCATGTTGTCTGTCATGACCGCTCAGAATTCTGCGCAACTCGCAGAAGGGGATCGACAGGTCACTGGGTCGCGAATGCGACTTCACAGGTTGTCGCTTTCATACGAGGCCAGGTTGTCCATGTCGGTATAATGATCGGCAGCTCACCTCGCGCCCGGCTGTGAGCGAGCGTACCGACAAAGGAGGGTGCACGGTCGAACTGCTCGGGGCAGTGACCCGTGAAAGAACAACAGAAAGGGGTGCGAACCGTGACAACGGCGCTAGTCCTCCCCGAAGTGTCTCACCGACTCAGCATTGCTCACACCAGACCGAATAGTAAGTATGCCTTTTGAGGATCATTACGACAACAGCTCAAATGATTTGAATCACGATGCGGCCCGATCATGCTGCGGACCAAGTTTGACGACTCCTGTGCTCAGACATAGGCCACTTAGCTCAGCTGGTTAGAGCGCATGCTTAACACGTGTATCTCCGGATAGCGGATTACGCATGAGGTCGGCGGTTCGATCCCGCCAGAGGTCATTCTTTTGCGTTTTCAGCACCCCGAGCGCTTTTATGGATTGCGAGACCTGGGAGATGACCAGGCTAGGTCAGTGTGGTACGCAAATGCGCGCCAAATAAGCATACATGTCAGATAACACACATAGATGCGATACAACATCAACCGTTGACACCGAGCCGGTCCGCGCGGCGACGCCACTCGTCGAGCCTGCGCTCACACTGCTGCACATAGTCTAGGAGGACAGGGAGGTTTTCCGGCGTGAGCGCGATGACGTCGGGCCCGCGCGGCCCGTGGTCTGAGCGGCAGCGTGGTGTCTCGTCGCCCACGGGCGGGAGCATTTCGCTCGCCCGCGCAGGCGACGACGTCGCGCGCGACGGCGAGCACTCGGACGGATGTCCGAGGCCGCGCACGCGATTCTTAAGACGCAGCGTCGCGTCCGAGTCAGCAGGCGGGGGAGAAGGCACGACGGCCGCATCGCCCAGTGTCGGCGTGGAAGGCTGCGCGGGGAACACCGTGCCGCCGTTCTGCACGCTGCCCCTTCGTCGCGTCGAGCCGTCGTCGACGTTGACGCCGACACCGTACGGCTTGCTGTTCGACTTGAGTCTCGTCAGCGCCGGAATGCTCGGTGGGCGTTGCAAGGCATGTGTGGGCCTGCCGTTCTCGGGCGAGAGCCGTGCCGGTGTCGGCGGGGCGCTGTCGCGCAAGCTCGGCTGCGAGCCGTTCTCGCCGACGAATGGCGAAGTGGGCGGCGTCGCGCGCACCAAGTCCGACCAGTTGCCCGAGCCTGGGCGGAACATGTTGCGCAAGCTTGGTCGGCGGCGCTTCGGCGTGGTGGTAAACTCCTTGCGAGGGCTAAGCCCACCAGATGCCGCGCTCCGCTGCGTGTGGAACTCGTCACTCGGGCCGCTGGTGATCGGCGGTGATGCTGGCGGGGACGTATACTTCTCAGCGGCCAGGAGGTTGATGGGCGCAGGTCTCCTGCGCGGCGGCTTGCCTCTCGGCGCTTTAGTGGGTGTACCAGTGCTCGGGGTGTTGGATTTCTTGAGGCCGCGAAGGAACTCGCGGAGACCCGCCAAGCCGGTCTTCTTTGGCTGGGCCAACACCGCAGCCGTGTTCGGTGACGGGTACCCAGGCGAAGGGAATATGTATGTCCCCTCAGGTGAGGGTGTCCCATGCGCGCCACGGGGTGCAACAAGAGTTCTTGGCGGCGTTGGCAAAGGGGGAGGGGCGGCGGAGACCGGGACAGCAGGCATCGACATGTGCTTGGCTCTGCGCGCTGTCATGGTAGTAGCATGACGTTGGTCGACAGACGGCACAACCGACTCGCTGCGGTCCACCGGTGTCCTCAACATCGTGCGCAGCACCTCGAGCTGCCGCTTGGACAGGTCGTGACGGCCTGTTGATGCCCGGCCAAATTCGGGTGGAGGCGACGCTCGCGGTGGTCCATTGCTGGTAACAAGGAACACGTCCCGCGACTCGCCCGACGCTGTGGACGCGAACGAGGACATGCTCGCCCCAGATACCTGGCGCAAAGCTTCGCCTGCGACCCGGGCGTCCTCCGTTGCCAGCGTTACTCTTCGGGGATTCGGCACGGCGCTTGCAGACGCGCCGTCCGTGCGTGTTGAGCCAACCTCAATGAGTACTGTCGCCATCTCCCACCACTGCGCATACTCGTCCTCGAGCGCGGCAAAAAGTCGTGTCTCAGACTGTGACCCGTTCGCAAGGATGTAGTCGCACACTCGATCATGAGACTCAATGAGTGACTTGAGCGCTGGCGTTAATAGCATGTAAACGCTTGCGACTCACCCTCGACGCCCCCCGCAAACTTCTTGACTGCGCCGATCCCGCGCTTCAGCTCTTTCTGCTTAGCAAGCACACTGTCTGGAATGACAAAGTCACCAAATGACATCCTTCGACGCTCCCTCGGGCGCTTCCGCGCCGTGGTCGTCGGCTCGTCCCAGTCATCCCAGACCTCAGCCTCGACGTTCTTTGCCTTCGCCTTTACGGGTGACGCCTGGGGCTTCGCAGATGGTGATAATGTTACCTTGGCCTCTGGGAGTGGTACTGCTACCTGCGCCGGGGCTGCAGGTGGCACTGTGACTGGTGCCCCAGGCGGGTGCTCCACAGTCGTGGGGCTCCCAATATCAATCGAGCTAGCGGAGCTTGCAGAGAGCGCGCTTGGAACACCTTTGTCCATCGTGGGCAGCTTGGACGGTGAACCTGCCACTGGTTCGAGTCTGTGCACAACTTGGGCTTGCTGTATGACGGCGATCTCCGACTCTATTGACGACGTCGAGGAGGTAGAGCCAAACTTCCAGCCTCCCGAAAGCCGTCGTCCATGCTTTTTGGAGAAGGATGTGATGCGCTTGAGTGTCGTGTGCCCAAATCCGTTGCTGCTCATACTAGTTTGCGACAAAGAAGTTGCAGGTGAAGTGGGGTCGGTGTGGGGGACAACAGATTGCGACAAGATCGACGAAGAAGGGATTCTCACTGGCTCGGGGCGTTGGTGCTGATCAGTCCCCAACACTGGGACGCTGGCGTTCACCTCTCTGAACCGTGCGTTGGATATTTCGCGCGGGGGCGGCTGCACCGAAACCGGACGGACGCGCCGCCTCCGTCTGGGCGTGGTAGACCCATTCTCCTCCGTCTCCGTGTCGCTGCCAGTCGGGCCACTCCGCGAGGTGGAAGCTACAGGGCTGAGTTGTTGGGCCATTACGCGGTATGGTGACCCGGCCGCAGTGTTTGGCAGGTGGAAACCGGGCGAGAATGTCCTTGGAGCCGGCACGTCACTCTGGGCAACTTTAATCGGGCTAGGACGTCGGGGTGTGGTCGCTCCGCTTGCCGATGCCGTACTTGGTACGAGACTCTGTCGTGACGCCGAGTGATGCAGGCCGCCGCCGAATACCTTGCTCGGGGCCGCACCCATAGTCACATTGACTGACGAGGTGGACGCGCCCATGGGTGAGACAACAGACGCAACGCTCCCGTGGCCATTGCGCATAGCGTATATTGATGCTGAGCTCTCTTGCGCGTGGCGCATCGCGTACATGGATGCTGAGCTTTCCTGTGCGGCGCGCATCGCGTACATGGGCGATGGACCCTCGTGCGCGTGACGCATTGCGTGCATCGATGGCGAACTCTCTTGCGCTTGACGGAGCGCGTAGACAGCTGGCGAGCTCTCCCTAGTACTGCGTGATGCGTACACAGACGTAGAGCTCTCCTGTCCGGTGCGGAGGGCGTACGGGTGAGGAGGATGGGGCAATGGGGGCGGCGAAGGGGTACTGTGTTTGAGCGCGGCAGACAGATTGCTCGAGGAGCGCCGGAGCATGGCGGTTAGTCGATGTACTGGCGACTTGGAGGTGGAGGACGGCGAAGAGGACATGGCTGAAATCGCGGACGATGACCCCACGCTGGGCGTTCGCATGTTTGGGGGCAAGGGCGGGACTGGTGGCGCATCGTCCAGCGTCACTTGCGTTGAGAGATTACCAGTAGACGAGGAGCGTGGACGCCGGGGCGGGGTGGCGGCTGATTTATGAGCTGAGGAATAGGGTGCCGAGGGGTTACGTTCATGCGAATACCTACCGTCGATGTTGGTGCTTGTGCTGGTTGCGGCGCCGGACAGGCGTTTCCAGAATTTTGGCTTCTTGAGTTGCTCCGATGAGGGCGAAGTGTGCAGCTCTTTGGCTAGTGACTTTGCAGGAGACTTGAGCACACCCTTGGTGGGACTTTGTGGTCGCAACGGAAGCATGGAGGTGCGCCGCAGCCGACCTGTTCCTCGGTGAGAGTCAGCGAGGTTGGGTGAGCTCTTGTGTGCCGGCGACGCGCCATGCAAACTCAAGTCGCCGCTGTCGCTCTTGGTAAACGATGTGGACGACCGCTTGCTGAGTGTACGGGCGGGCGACGCGGAAAGGTCGGCGCGGAGATTGCTAGACGAGCTCGAGTTTAATGTGAGTGGCATGCGTCGCGCTGGTGCCGAGGGCAATGTCGGGGACTGGGAGGGTGAGGAGCGCGGGAGCTGGAGTAGTGCAGCGGGACGCTTGTGTGAGTTTGGGCGTGAGGGGAATGCCGATGATGATGTCGACGCGAACCCCGTCGCGCTCCGTGATGGTCCTGGGTCGTCCCAGTCCTCATCGAGACTATCGGAACTGTCGAGGGGGCGAGGGAAGCCATTGTCGCGCGAGCAGCTGGCCAGCGCCAGCCCCTTGAGCGCGGGGCCAGGAGCGGGGGATCGTTTGGGCTTGACTGGGAGAGAGAACTCGAAGTCATCGTCCCAATTCTCGGTCACGACCTTGCGCCGGACAGGAGGTGTTGGTGTCGCGGGCACGACGGTGGCAGTGAGGGTGCCGCCCGACGACATGGGCGGCGATGGATGTGGGGCGGCGGGGATGATGGATGTGAGCCTGTGAGAATGAGGATGAGGAGGGAGGTGGGTCGGGGACTTTGTTTATAGAAGAAGTACGCGTCGGAAGATGCGGTTGAGGGCGAGTGAACGACTGAGACAAACACAATGGACGTGGTGGAAGAGGGTGCGGCGAGAGGTACGTGTTGATGAAAGATAGGTAGTATGGGTAGAGTAGAGTGAGAGTGAGAGGGAGTGAGAGTGATGGAGATGGCGATGGAGATGTTGTGGATGTCGAGGATCAGAGGACGAGGACGACGACGAGGACGAGGGGGGGAGGGAAGCAAGGAGCAAGGGGGGGTGCGGATGATGGGATTGTGGTTTCACCTTGGGCTGTTGTGTTCCTGTTTAGCACTAATACAAGTTGTTATTAGAGAATTGTAATAATCTATCCATCATCAAATGAGTATCCCCTCACCCCTCTGCTCTAACGGGTGCGACGCGTTCTCCTCATTCTTGTCATCAGAGGCACTCGCCGTTACTCCTCCCCACCCCCCCCGCCAACTCTACTCGCTCCCTCATTTTATCATCTCATCACTTGGTCCTCCCCATCATTTCTCTCGGCTCTCTTGTAATCTCATGCATATCCCCATCTTCCCACCCATCGTTACATGCCACGGAGCATGGCGGCGTGGCGCGCGGCGGCCACTTCTCTTCTTCGGGAGCAAATGTCCTTGACGCCACCCCCTCATGTTGACCAGCCTCATCCAAGCGAGCTGCGGCTTGACAGAAGCGTGTTGCGTCTAATTCCTGCAAGCACAACAAGTCGGTTGCGATCAAGTGGACGCATGGGGAACAAGCTGGGCGGTCCAAATGGTGATCGCTTCGCGAAAGTTGTCGATTTCTAATGCATTTTCGCCATTTGACAAGAGTTCCAGAAGAGGGCGCAGACGATGCCCCCAGGTGGCCTGCTGCCAGGTAGGTCGAGCGCGGCGAGATTGGCGCCAATTCGCTCAGTCATGTCCGACTGGTTGGGTCGACGCGAGAGCTGGCTTCCCTCTGGCCTCGGGACTCTGAGACTTTACGGCGGGTCAGGCTGGCTGTTGTATGTTGTACGCTCTTGCTATCTGCCAGCGATCTCTACCGAATGTCGCGACGATTATGGCCGATCACAAACGCTTCGGCGGCATCAGCTAAACCGTGTCGACCAACTTACTCGGGGGTATCAACGACCCTCAAATCTCATCGTGCGTCGCGCCGGTGTCGATCCGCGCCGCGAGGCTTCCAACCCATCGCGCAGCCTGCTGGCGCGCTGCGGCCACGACAGCGCCCCACCCGCCCTTGGTCCCGACGCGGCGGTTGATGCGCTGCAGCCAAGCCGTGTTTAAGGCGAGAAGGAGGATGAGCGCAACAGCGCCTACCGTTAGTGCTCTAGGGGGGGAGGAAGGCAAGGAGGATGCAACGTACCGAGCACCCATGGGCGGTAGAGCGCCCAACGCGACGGCTTGAGGCCACGTCGCTTCATGCTGTTCACCATGTCGCCGCCGACACTGTGCGCGCCCGCGTCACCCGGCCGGGGGACGGCGCGGCGGTGGTTGATGGGCCGGCGCGATGTTCGGATCGGCAGGCCGTCCATATCACACTGAGGAATAGGGCTCCGTGAGACTGCTCTACTGCGTCGCGCCGTGTGGCTACGAGCTGCGAGAGTGAACTACAACTGTCCACGAGTAGACGGCAGCGCAGTTGTAGAGAAAGAGGGAGAATGCCAGACATCAACTGTAGAGAGCTAGACCTTTGGGTGGAGGAAAGAGACGGAAGCAACGGTGCGGGGCCACTTTTGAGTTGAGCGCGATGACGCCAAGTCATCACCGCCGCTTTCATCCACCGCTGTCCAATCTACACCCCTCCATCATCCATCTCCAGCCATGTCGTCGCTCGACGCCACGCGCGACTGGCTCAAGAACGTCCTCCGCCCATATCCGAGTCACGAGCGTATCCTCTCCGAGGTACTCGGCGTGCTCAGCTCGTATCGCACCCTCCAAGTCAAGACGGATGCCTTCAGTGAGTCCGCCACCACCACCTTTCGCCTTCCCCCCGTCTCCTCCGCGCACTAACGCACAGCGTTCGACTCGGGGCAGACTGCCCTCCTCCTCCTTCTGCACGGTACACTGCCCATCAACTATCGTGGTGCGACGTACCAGATTCCGGTCCACGTTTGGGTGCCCCATGAGTATCCCCGCCGACCACCTATGGCCTTCGTTGTGCCCACGAAGGAGATGGGAGTGCGCAAAAGCCGCGAGGTGGACCCAGGAGGCCGCGTGCGCGAGGAGGTTGTCGAACATTGGTGGGCGAGCTGGCCAGTGAGTTGTGGTTCGGGTATCTTCCTCTGTCTTGCACCTCAGGCGACAAAGCATCGTGCGACGAGGCATAGCAGGCTCGGCTCTCAGTGCAACGGGCGGCTAACGTCAGTCCCCTAATCGCGACATTCCCACTCTCCTCAACAAGCTCGCCGAGATCTTCTCCGCCACGCCGCCCGTATACGCCAAACCGCCTGAAAGGCCTTCCTCCCAGCCCCGTTCCCCTGCCCAGTTATCCGCGCCGCAGCCCGTTCCTCCCCCAAGACCATACTCAAACGGCGAAGCGCTACCAACATATGCGCGCCGACAGGGCTCTTTGCCGGGCTCAAGCGACCGCGCTTCGCCCACGCCGATGCCTGGCTCGCCTCCCGTCCCTCTCCGACCTGGACAAGTGCCACCCGTACCACATCGCCCGCAGTTTCCACCCCCACGCGCGGGGACGCAAAGTCCGCAGCCATTCTCGCCCGTGTCGTCGGCCGGCGGGGGGTCATGGCATGGCCCACCGGTGCTGCCTGCACCATTCCTGCCAGGCCAGCATGGCCCCCTAGGTCAGCAGCCGCCTCCCCCACCACCTCCTCCCCCGCAGATGCCGATGCCGCCATATCCCCCGCAGCCGCCTCCTCAGCAGATGTGGAGTCCAGTGCCAGGGCTGGCGCCGCAGCAGCAGCAGCCTCAACCTCCTCAGCCTCCGCCCCTTCCTCCCCATCTCCAATCTCCTCGGCAACCTGAGCAGCCTCAGCACCCTCGGGAACCTCAGCATCCTCAGCCTCCCTACGGTCAACCGGGCCCAGGCTATCCCCAGTATGCCCCGCAGGCCTTCCAGCAACCCCCGCCTCCCACCCTACCCCCGCAACGCCCACCAGACCTCATGTCGTCGTCTCCTGAGACAACAACCGCTGCTCTCCCGGACCCCGCCGACGCGCCACCCATCCCCCCTTCCAAGCCGCCCCCACCCTCGGTGCTGCATCTGCACGCCGTCCTCTTGCCTCACCTCGCCGCCTCCCTCCCGCCACTCATGCACTCGCTGCAATCGCAGAAGGCGCAACTCGTCGAGCGACGCGAGGATCTCGCGACCGGCGAGCCGGCAATCCGAGACGAGATGGCGCGCCTCGAAGCTGTCAAGAAGGTGTGCGATGCCGTCGGTGGGCGCATGCAGGAGGTCGTAAACAAGGGGGAGGCGCGCGTCGCGGAGCTCGAGCAGCGCGGCGACGTGAGCGTCGACGAGGTCGTGTGCAGCATCTCGATCGTGCATAATCAGTGAGCCAAGGTTTGTACAGGCTGACACCAGACTCGTGGATCTCGTGGCGGAAGACAACGCGCTCAGCGACACGATGTATCATCTTACGCGAGCGCTCGACGCCGAGCGCATCGACCTCGACCGATATCTCAAGGCCGTGCGGTCGCTTGCGCGCGAGCAGTACATGAAGCGCGCGCTCATCGAGCGCATTCAAGAGGGCATGGGACAGGCGTCGTGGTCCTCGTAAGGCCATGCGCTGCCTAGTTTTAATAGAGTGTCATTAGCATGTCATACGCAGGTAGGACTAAGATGCATAGCCTAATCCAACAGTCTCACCGCGACGCGCCACGCGCATGATGTGCGTGATCGCGATCTCGCTCATGGTGGTGGCGCGCATGCTCAAGCACCTCCCTGACGAGTTCGACCGTCTCGCGGTCCTCGTCGTCCTGCCCGACGCCCGGCGTGGACGCGACGGCGACCTGGTCGTCGACGGCCTTCTCAAGCAAATCCCACTGCTCGTGCTCCTCCTCGTGCTTCTGCACCCACAAAACATACTCCGCCTCGCTCCACCCATGCACTTCGTGCGGCAAGCGCAGCGGCGAGCGCACAATGATGTGGTGCAGCACGATGAGGGGCGGGAGATGCACGGTCTCGACGGGATTTGTGAGGCCCGCGCGGTCCGCGAACAGCAGGGTCCGGAAAGTGCGCAGCGCGAGATACTCCCCTCCGATGTCGGCGACGCGCATGCCCCCGCGCGCACCCTGCACTCTGCCCGTGTTGAGGAAGTTCTGGAGGCCCATCTCGAACTCGGTCATGTTGCCCGTGAGCTTGAGGCGGCCGCTCTCGCCCATCGGGCGCGCGATCGACGCGTGCAGCAAGAACGTCGTGATGAGGTACTTGCTCAGCGAGAGAACCCTGGTGTCAGCTGTGGAGCGGGGTGACGCACCATTGCCGCATAAAGTCGCCGAGCGACGAGCGGCCGAGCACCTCGAGACGCAGGAAGGTGAGCTTGTCCAGCAGGTCTTGCATGTACGGGCTGCTGCTGCCCATGGCCATGGGGTCCATGGGCTTGCTGAAGTCGACGCGGTGGATGCGGGCGAGGATGGCCGAGAACTCGCGCTTGATCGCCACGTCGAGCGCGTCCGTCACGCGCACATACGTCTCCTCCAGCGCCCGGACGGGCGGCGCGATGATGTCGGCCACCTTGGACCCGAAGCGGGGCTCAAGTGCGGAGAGGTTTAGCGTGCAGTGGTACAGGCAGCTGATGAGTTGGGCGTTGAGGATCTCGGCGGGCGTCGCGGTCGGCCCGATGAGAGACGTGGCGGTGAAGTCGCGGACGAGCTGCATGTCAGTTGCACACACTTGCGTTCAATCAAGCGAGGAAATACGCACCGCTCCGTCAACCCTTGTCTTCAATGTCGTGAGTACTTTGACGGCGTTGCGCGCAACAGTGCGGACAAGAAGGGGGTCGAAGCGCGCCGAGTCGAGTTCGTTGATGATGGCGCGTGCGATGTTGACGCCTTCGGTTGCACTCGGTGCTGTTGTCCTCGGGACGCTGTAATGCGACATGGCAGACGAAACGGCGTCAGACATGCGCGAGGTGGAGCGCGAGAGGTACAGCGATTCGAAGGTCGACACAGAGCGCAGGGCCAGGACTGCTTCGGGGCTTTGTGTCTCGCGCGTGTAGACTGTGTCGGTGTGCACGGCGATCTTGGCGAAGAAGTCATGGAAGAGGCGTAACAAACGAGGATATCCGGTGCTGAGGGCCTGCTGAAGCCACCCATTGGCTGACGTTAGCTGCGACACGAGCCTCAGAGCGTACCTCGGGCCGCGTCTTTGCACTGTGACTCGAAGGCGGTTGCCAACGTCGTCCAGAAAGTGAAGCTCGGTTTCTCGTCCAGTTTCTGTCGTGAGCTCCTGGTCAGCAACCCAGCCTACCTGCATCACCTCCTCGAGGAACTCCGCGTTCGTCACCGCGTCGCGCTTGATGCGCAACACCTTCTCGAGCGTGTACACCTTGATGCAGCACGCCGCCACGTCCTCGATGACGCGTTCGAGGCGGGTCCACAGCACAGCGGTCCACTGCGCAGCTTGCGAGCTCGCGGGCTCCGTCTGCTGGCGCGAGCGCGTCGTGAAGCGGATCGCATGCGATGTTTCTGGCGTCAGCTCAATCTCAAAGTCTCATCCGCGAAGCTTACCCTTGCCGGCCACTTCACGGCCAATGGCCGCAGAATCGAATGCGCGCTGCACACGCAGCGTGACCGTGTCATTAAGGTCGGCGACGAGGTTGGCCACGAGGTCTGGAAGGAGGCGGAGGTTATGTGCTGTCTGGAGCGACGACGAGATGAGAGGCTGGTTGAGATTCGCGAGGCCGGAGCGCACCATGCTCTCCATCTCAGTGATGATCGTGTCGCGCGCCTTGTCCACGACAGGCTCATACGCTTCGACAAACTCGAGGCTCTGCAGCGGAAGAGGGGCGGTCGAGTTCTCGCCCTCGTCTCCTTCACCTTCCCCCTCGGGCGGGGCGAGGAGTGCGTCGAGCTCGGCGACGCTCAGCGCCGCCTTTGCCAGCTCGATCTCCTTCTCGCCCTCGCCCGGCGCCGGCGTGTTCGTCCCGCTGCCCGACGCGGGCGCCGGCGCGGCCTTCAGCCGCTCCATCTGCCCCTCGAGACGGCGGGCGACGAGGACGAAGCGCGCCGCCCGTCTCGAGAGGTCGGACGCGAGCGCGAGGAGCCGCAGCCGCCGCACGAGGAGCGCGAGCTGCGCATGCGGGGTGTGGATCTTCGTGTGCAGGCGGTCTATGCTGGACGAGAGCGAGTTGAGCGACGAGCGGATGGGCGAGAGCTGCGAGCTGAGCGCGAGCGACGTCGTGAGGTGCGTCAGGAGCAGGGGGTAGGAAGTGGTGATCTGGGATTAGTTGAGAATGGGCGGAAAAAGCTGCTCACCTCTTGCCGCAACTGCTTAGTGACGTCTTCCTGGAAGATTAGCTGCGCGCCGGCCGGGGGCACCCACAATTCCGTAGTTGAGTCGGGCAACCTCGAGCCCAAGATCGCCCTTCTCCTCCTGCCGTCGGCTGAGCCCGGCGTCGCCCTCCTTCGCCGTCGATCCTGATCGTGGCCTCCCAGCGTCCGGGTCATACGCCTTGCCCTGCAGTACGGCGTTGGCGTAGTCGTGGACGTCGAAGCGGTCTGAGAGGAACGCTTTGGTGTCTGAGGTCAGGGGCACGCCGTTGGAAACACGCACCGATGAACGACTCGGCTACTGTCGAGCGCCGGCGTGGTGTGCGCTCGACATGCAATTCAGACATGCCGGGCGCGTGAGGATCGTGAGGTGAGTGCAAGTTCTGAGAGATGAAGATGAAGTGGTCACGCTTCAAGCCGATACCGTGTCTGGGTCGTCGTACCACGTGGAGGTCCGGGGTACCCCGCATTCCACTTCGCTGACGATCACTCAATCTATGCAAAAACAGTACATGCCTGATCAATTCTCCCCATCTAAGTACGCTTCCGCTTGCCCCGCCCGCCCGACTCAGCCATCGCCTCCTGGTGCTTGCGCTTGATCGCCTCGGTGCGGAGGTGTGCCTTGCGCTCGGCGCGGATTTTCTCCGCGCGCCGCTCCTCGCTCTCGTCGACCTTCTTGCGGTGCGCCTTCCGGTCCTCCTCCTTCTTGGCGTGCCGCCGCGCCTTCTTGTCCTTCTCGAGGCTCTGGATCTGCTGCAGCAGCGCGACGGCCTTCTTCTCCTCGTCGCCAAGCACGACCGCCCGCGACTGCATGTATGTGGGCTTGTTCTGCGCCTTCATCATCTTGGGCTTGGACGCGTACGGCAGGTCGGCCTGGAGCTTGCGCGGAATCTTGAGGGGGTTGAACTTGCGCGCGCTGCGCTCGATCGTGCGGTATGCCGAGTTGGGGTCAAGCGGCGTGTCGACCTGCTCGTCCCGGCGGATCTGGCCCGTGAGGCGCATTGCCTGCCACGACTTCTTGTCGGCGAGCAGCAGCGATGTCACGGGGTTGTACAGCTTCTTCGGCTCGATCGAGTACCATGCGCGCAGGAAGACGATGTCCGACATGAGGATCTTGTCCTCGAAGGTCGCGCGGAACGCGCCGTCCGGCTTGGCCAGCGCGCGCTTGACTTGGCCGCGGATGCCGGAGACCGTACGGATGTTGGCACCCTCAAACTTGGCCACCTCGAGCGCCGAGTTAAACATGTCCTTGATGAAGGCCGTGTTCTTGAAGATCTTGTATGGCGTGCCCGTGAGCTTGAGCTTCTTGACAATCTTGGTGCTGCGGTCAATGTCGAGCACGACACCCGTCGCCGAGATGCGGAAACCAGGGACATCGTCCGCAAGCGAGTTGAATGCGGCGAAACCTGTGTTTGGCGCGCTGACCGGCCCATAGAATGTCGCGAAGCAGTGCATGTGCTCTGGCGTGTACTTGAGCATGCGGTTGCGGATCGAGTGGTCGTCCAGGTGATACAGCGGAAGTGTCTGGAAGCGCCGCCAGCCCAGCGAGAAGATGAGCGGGTCGTTCGTCTTGAGCGTCTTGGTGAACCAACGGTGACGCTTGATGCGGACGGTGATGAACCCAAACGCCTCTTCGGCCTGGAGCAAGCCGCCGACGATGATCGGGAACTTGGGGTCAAAGTTCTCGACAAGCTCGCACGGCACGTTGTCGATCTCGAGGCGGACGTAAGAGCCCGAGCGGAAACCCTCGATCTGCGCTCGCGCGTTCGAGTCCATTCCCTCGAACTCGGCCTCATTCATCTCGCGCTGCTTGGCCATCTCGGCCTTCTGCTGGTCGTAGAAGTCCATTTTGCCGCCCTCGCCGTCCGAGTCGTCGTCATACTGCTCGTCAAACTTGGCTGCGAGCGCCTTCTTCTTCTTGTCGAGCGCATCTTGGCGAACAGCCTCCATTTCCTCGGCCGACTTGGGCGCCCCAGCCGGCTTGACACCGACGTAGGGGACGTTGTCGCCGTCCTCATCGCCCTCCAGGTCCTCAAAGTCACCGCCCTCCTCTTCGTACGGCAAGCCCTCAGCCGTCTCCTCGCCCATCTTGCCGGAGATGAACATGCTCTGCAGCGAGTCCAGCAGCGCCCCATCGGACCAGCGCGCCTCGAGCGCTGCAGCATCGACTGACACCTTGAGTTGGTCGTCGTCGCCCGAGTTGTCGTCGCCCGATACCCGGAAAAAGCCCTCGTTCTCAAGGGCCATCTTGCTCGACTCGGCGTCGGCAGACGACGGCCGCGTTTTGCCGGCGGCAATCTCCTCGGGTGACAGCTCGTCGCCGTAGATCATCGACATGAGGTCCCGCCGCCGCTGCATGCGCTCCGCAAATCCAGCGGCCGCACGCTGCGCAAGGTTCTGCTTCCACCGCGGCACGTCCTCCATGTCGCTGTCGACCTCGGCCTCGTCGCCCTCATACTCTTCGTCCGACAGATCGACGCGCTTGCCGTCCTGCTGGAACCCAGTGGCCATGGAGAGGTCGTTGTCCGAGTCCGAGTCAGCGTACATGGCACCATCTCCGTCTTCCTCGTCGTCCACGTTCATCTCCTCAATACGCGCGCCGCCATCTTCGTCGTCGAACCCGTCGTCAAAGTCACTCTCGTCCTCGTCCGCGGCACCGAGGATAGGACCGCCGGAGCGGGGATCAGCGCGACGACGTACGCGCCGGTCTCTTCGCTCATCGACGCGCAGTGCGCCGGACGAGTTGCCGAACAAGCGGATCTCCGAGTTATTGATGCCGTCGGCGAGAGTCGCGTTGGCGTCCTGCATCTCCATGACCATGCGCTCGCCCTCGCCCTTGGGCGCATCGCTGTCCTTGGAAAACGAGCCGAGGACGTTAATGTACACCGCATCTTTGTCGTACATGACGCCGCCGACATCGCTCATTGGCGCGTGGATGAGCTTGGCCTTCTCGCCCATCTTTCGGCGACGCTCCGACTCTAGCGTTGGCAGCGGGCACGGGTCGGTCAGGCGCTCGACTTCGCGCACCTCGAGGTCTCCGGCGCCAGGAATGTGGATCTTGGCGTTGCGCGCCGGCAGGTTGGGTCCACGGAGGTAGCCGTAGAGCGTGATGGTGCGGTCCATCTTGGGGTTCTTGCGGACAGCCTCAGGCGGCGTCATGTCCTGAATACGGTCTGCGAGGAGGTGCGGGTGCTGGTTGCGGAAGACGAGGGGACGGAACTTCATGGTCGACATGCAGCGCGTGAGCAGGTTGATCTCGGCGTCGGGGTAGCGGCCGTTAATGACGCCCGACATGCTGAAGAGCTTGGCGCCCTGGTAGATCTCGGTCCAGAAACGGTGCTTGATGCGCTTCTTGGTGTCCTTGAGCGTCGACTGCTTCTTAATGAGGTCGATATGCGAAAGAATGCCGATGACCTTGGGGAAACCGTGCGCCTGGAGAATGTTGAGAAACTCGAACGTCTCCATTTCGAAGCCGAAGCTGCCGTCGATCATGAGGAGCACGAGGTCAACGACTTTGCCCAGGTCGATCATCGAGTTGAGGTCGTTCCCGCACTCGACGAACGTGATGCGGCGCGTCTTACCGCTCACAACGGTGATGGGACCCTGTGGCTGCGAGGTGTTGTGCTTAGTGTAGCGGCGGACAAGGGAACGGATGAGAGTGGTCTTTCCCACTCCGGGTGGGCCGACAATGCCAACGACGATGGGCGGCGGAGGAACGCGACCTTCGTCCATCCCCTGCCCCTTCTGAGCTGTGACCTTGCGTTCCTCGGGGTTACGGTTCACAAGAGGGACGTGGAGACGCTTCTGGTCTTTCTCGGCGGTTCGCCGCGCGGCGATGTTAGCTGATCGCCATGACTGACTTGTGAAGGCCTGGAGTCAGCTCTGTGGGTCCTGGCAGCTACCTTTGGGTTGTAGCCTTTAGCAGAGGAGCGGTCGATGCCGGCGGCCTTGTCCTTCTTTTCGGCCTTTCCTCCCGCTGAGGGCTTGCGATGAGCCCGATGGGATTGCTCTGCCATGGCTGAGATGGTGAAGGATAGATGCAAGTGACGGCTGCGAGGTGAGCTGCTTCATCAGGCGTTCCAAAATCTCAATTGAGCGGTGGAGGTCAACCACGTGGTTAAGGTGGAGGTGCTAATAGTACAGGGCTGTAGATCTGGATGCAAGCTTCCGAGGTGCACGAGATTACCCTCCACGCCCAAAGGACGATGAGCGTCATGCAGCCTAACACAATGATGCATTGACCTCTCCGTCTCCTCACTTCTCCTCGACGGTCTACTGTCAACAATACCTACAACAATCAACTTTTGTAACCAACCCTGTCCAGAGTCGCGGGTGTGTCGAGGTTGACCGCGACGTACCTCTCTTTCTCATGCTGTCTTCACCTCTATTATAACCGGAAGCTGCTCGAGGTGCTGAGCCGCGGTTCGCTGAGGACCTGCGGATGCTGTTTGACGAAAGGATGGTCCGCAAGAGTGTATGGTGCGTCGACCATGCGGAGGCGCACTGGTGCTGGGGAGAGTGAAATGGACTCGAGCACTTCTTGGTTGGCTGGCGTCAGTTGCCTAGTGCTAAAGGTAATAGACCAGAACCTCACGTTCAGTGGCCTCGAGTGTGGACTGGGGGGCGCCCTCGGCTTTCCTAAACGGCTTTGTGATTTTGACGATGATGCGGGCGAAGACTCCGAGGCGCTGCTCGGCGGGCTCAGTGCTTCCTTCGGCGGCGGCGCTTTGCATGGTGCTCGCTAGTGGCGCGGTGAAGGTTGCGAGGCGCGATGTCGCACGGGGCTGAGTAACTGCGTCTTCCTGTTGTTGAAAGGTGGTTGTGAAAGAGATCGGAGGAAGGAGAGATTGAGAGATGAGACGATTGTTATTGCAGCTCGCCGAGGATACGACATGCGTGCGGATCGGATCCGGCACGGTTCGCGGCGCGTATATTGTGGTGGCGTCTCCGGAGCCGGCTGGGGGGGTGGTTCAATCCTTGGTGCGCGACCTAGATGCATGCTGCGGTGATCTGGATACCATAAGTCGACGCCGCGGTGAGCTAAGTTGCGCCATCCTGCACCACTTTGGCGGCGGGGCCGCCGGATCGGGGACGCGATCTCGCCTGTTGGACGCGTATTTGTCTTGCCCTGTTGAACATTGGACGTCGTGCGGAATGCACGGTGTCCTGCACTTGGCGTGGCCGGCGCGTTCTGGCAGCTGGCGCGCGTGGCGGGGTGGCCATGGGCCATGGAGGATCTTGTGGATGTTGATAATGGAGTTTATGCGTTTCACGATGTTCAGATGATGACCAGCTGACCAGATCAGCAGATCATATCCAGGCACGCCTTCCCATGTCGCTCCGTTCCGTCGCTTGACATCACCACTCATGCCAGTCTCAACACACCCTCGCCGTTGCCCTCTTCACTCGGACTAGGCGCGACGCATACAACCTACTCAGCTACTCACGCACGGCTTAGCGCCCTCGTCTCGTCAGAGTGCGTGGCCTCGACGCCCCGCTGATTCCAGCTCGACTATCATGGCACTCTCCTCTGACATCGCCGCCCGCGCTGCCGCGGGGAAGACGCCCATCCCGCCCAAGAAGATGCGAGGACCGTACGCCGCGTTCAACATCGCCGCACTCGGTATCGTCGTCGTTGCGGGCGCATATATCGGTTCCGAGCATATGCCAAGTATTCCCGACATCAACAAGTATTGGAGCAGGCTGCGGAAAGGCGGAGGTGGCGAAGGCGGTGGGCCGGCATGAGGGGGGTCTAGTAGCAAAAACAAAGGTGAGCATGCTTGGTCGAGTCAGAGCTGACGACGAGCAGCAGGCAATGCATTTGCGGCAACGCACGACTGCCTAATTGGGGGTGAACGACCAACTCACGCCGAGCGTCTAGAGATCTAGAGAGATGTCGGCCACCCAAGTGGCATGTGTCTCGGAGCGGGCTCGACGATCGACGAAGAGAAGAAAGGGTCAAAGCAGAGCAGGAGAAGAGGCTCAGTGTGCGTGTGGCCTGCTGATGGCGCTTGAAGAATGCTGCGCTCGCTACGTTCGTACGTTCACAAACTGAATCGCCAAGCCATCATGGATCATGGAAATGTGGTGATGGCATGATGGCACACGGTAGGGCGAGCGCATGAGCGAGCCACCTTCCTCGCCGCCCTATATTCTTAAACTTGCGCATCTGGCATTGTTGCTCTTACCACTTGTCCTTCTCTCTTGTTCTCACTACTCATTATAACTCACCTCTCCCTTTGCACTCGTCGCTACTCCCTCTTTCCCACTCCGCAGTAGCGCACCTCTCCTCTTCTTCTCATCCACCGTTTTGCCCCATCACCTCCCGTAGCCTGCCAGCTCACCAGCACTCGCCGTACACGCCGTTACCTCCCACCGCCATGCTCTGGTCCGAGTTCGAGAACGCATGGAAGTCGGCGTGGGATGACATCTACGAAAGCCAGGACTATGCCCGCTTCGCCGTGGACCGAGTCTCCATCGCGACACTCCGGGATTGCCATGAGAAGACCATCGGTCACTATCCTTTCCCATTTCAGATCATCATCGAGGACAGCCTCAGCGCGACACTGGAACGCTGGCCAGAGCTCAAGACCACGACTAGGAGGATCTATCCGAATCTCAGCCATTACACCTTCCCTCAGCTTCTTCATTTCTTGTACGGCCTCGTGAGCGCGCACAACTGGCGCGATCAGCTGCAAGCGCCCATCTCCTACTACTATGCCCCTCACTACGCGCTTTTGGTGCTCCCAGTCCGTCACCCGGTGGCACAGGGGACTCCAGCTCCGCTTGCCTTTCCCGTCCGACTTCCTCGCCACACTGGCAATGTGACTGCACCAGGCGCCCCGCATCCCCCTGCCGCGCTCGAGATTGTCCGCCCTGCACCGTGGACATCGCCAGCCATCAACAAGGACGCGTACTTCGGACCCACGCTCGCGCCCGCCACGCCTGATGACCCAAAGAGCCCCACCTCTGCTCCCTTCCCCGATCGACCTCCGCGTTTTTGCGTTTTCTGTCACGCGAAGCCATCTGATCAAGCGCCCTATCAGTGCATGCACGTCGCGCTGTGCGGTGGTAAGCAATCCCCCCCAAACTTTGTAGAGGAGGCTGACAAACACCAGATTGCCTCAGCCGCATCGTCAGGCGGCGGGGGATGTGCCCGGTGTGCAGTAATGACAGCTTGAGGCCGTGAGTACCCTCTCGGACCACCGACGAGAGATGCAGCTGACGTGTGGCAGGAGCGAGCGTTGGCGTGTGTACTTTCCTTGATGCACCTGGCGCTGGTCTATGTTCCGATCGCCAGGTGAGTGCACCCAGTTGCGCAGTCTGACAGCAGATCAAAGTGGCGAGCCAGGGATGATGGCCCCCTTATACTATCAACCTGTAAACTAGCGTTACTGTTACTCGACTGCTTGTGCTTGTGATGCCATTGGCTTTTACACGTATCTGTTACTAAGTAACGCTGATGGTCACCAGACGTCTACGCAGTCTGATCAACAAAAGCTTGATGTTCTGCATCGGCATCAGTGCCGCAGCTGATAAAGTCCACTTTGTCGGGGGTCCTCGACGGACTTTCCGCCTGCCTCATCATTCCGCACCAAGCGCGTGTCGTCAGTGCCATCGCCAAACCATGCTCCAAACAATTACACTATTATGTGGCATAGATCGCAGCACGCCGTCTCATCGCGAGACACCGGGAACTAGGCCCCGGGCGTGGCGGTAAAAAGAGGGAAGTGGGAGGAGGGGATACGAAGTAGGGGATCGACGAGGGCGACGACAAGGCTGCCGCCGGGTCGTCGATGGAGGGAATGGGCACAGGATGTCCACAGGGGGGAGGCAAGACCAGGCAAATGCAGCTTGGCTTACATCATCTCCTCCTCGCCCTCGAGCGGGAGCTCCTCGTCGTCGTAGAGGTCGTCGTCGGCCGACGCCTCCTGGTACTGCATGTACTCGGCGACGAGGTCGGAGAGGTTGGACTCGGCCTCGGAGAACTCGAGCTCGTCCATGCCCTCGCCAGTGTACCAGTGCACGAAGGCCTTGCGGCGGTACATGGCCGAGAACTGCTCGCCGATACGCTTGAAGAGGGACTGGATCGAGGTCGAGTTGCAGATGAAAGTCGACGACATCTTGAGACCGCGGGGCGGGATGTCGCACTGCGCGGCGGCCACGTTTCCGGGGATCCACTCGACGAAGTAGGCCGAGTTCTTCTGCTGCACGGTCTGGAGCTGGTCCTCGACCTCCTTCATCGAGACCTTGCCGCGGTAGATGCACATGACGGTGAGGTAGCGGCCGTGACGGGGGTCCGAGGCGGCCATCATGTTCTTGGCGTCGAACATCTGCGCCGTGAGCTCTGGAACCGAGACGGCGCGGTACGACGCCGAGCCGCGCGAGGTGAGGGGCGCGAAGCCGACCATGAAGAAGTGGAGACGGGGGAAGGGCACCATGTTGACGGCGAGCTTGCGCAGGTCCGAGTTGAGCTGACCGGGGAAGCGCAGGCAGGTGGTGACGCCCGACATGACGACGGAAACGAGGTGGTTGAGGTCACCGTAGGTGGGGGTGGTGAGCTTGAGAGTGCGGAAGCAGATGTCGTACAGCGCCTCGTTGTCAATGCAGAAGGTCTCGTCCGAGTTCTCGACGAGCTGGTGAACCGAGAGGGTGGCGTTGTAGGGCTCGACGACGGTGTCCGAAACCTTGGGCGAAGGCACGACCGAGAACGTGCACATCATGCGGTCGGGGTACTCCTCGCGGATCTTGGAGATGAGGAGGGTGCCCATACCGGCACCGGTGCCACCACCAAGCGAGTGGGTAATCTGGAAGCCCTGGAGGCAGTCACACCCCTCAGCCTCGCGACGCACGACGTCAAGAACCGAGTCCACGAGCTCGGCACCCTCGGTGTAGTGACCCTTGGCCCAGTTGTTACCGGCACCGCTCTGTCCGAAAACGAAGTTGTCGGGGCGGAAGAGGCTGCCCAGAGGGCCGCCGCGGATCGAGTCCATGGTTCCCGGCTCAAGGTCAATCAAGACTGCGCGCGGGACGTATTTGCCAGCAGCCGCCTCATTGTAGTAGACGTTGATGCGCTCGAGCTGGATGTCCGACGTGCCCTTGTACGAGCCGTCGGCCTGGATGCCGTGCTCGTCGGACACGACCTCCCTGTAGGTGTGAGTTGGTTGTCGTGATGCGGTGGTGGTGGGTGTGGCGGGAGGCGGTCGCGTGTGGTGTAGGCCCACGCGCGGGTAACTCACCAGAACTTGGCACCGATCTGGTTACCGCACTGGCCGGTCTGGAGGTGGACGATCTCGCGCACTGAGCGACCCATAATGGAGGAGAGAAGATGGGTAGTGGAAGTGATGGAAGAGGGAGGAGGAGTAGGAGGTTGGAGGGTGAAGAGGAGGTGAAGTGACGAGGCGGGATGGAGGACGGCGGGAGTGATGTGGAAGGTGAGGCGTGGAGAGTGGTGCGAGTGGTGGGAGGGGCGTCATGGGGGGTGAGGGGATAGTCAAGGAAGGCACATGATCGCAGCGTCCAGCAAGAGCAAGAGAGAGAGAGAGAGTGAATCAATCAGATCGACAGGCGTGCAGGCAAGAGGGGGGACAGTCGCCAAGGAACACCAAAGTCAACGATACGGAGGGCGTCAGCGCTGGCAGCGAGAGGGGGGAAAGCAGCGAGCTCGACGTACTGTTGAATGAGTGACTGGTGACTGATGGAGTTGGACTTGAACACGAAGAGAAGAGAAGAGAAGAGAAATCACGACGACGACGGGGCGGGGGGTGGTCGGGCGTCGCCCAGGGTCACCCTTCCTCCCGCCCGCGCCGCCGCCGCCCACGGGATGTGAAGCACTGAGAGGTCTGTGTGTTGATCTCCCCAACGGGACCAAATCATCCCTGAACCTGAAAAACAAGACGCGGAGCGCGGCGCGTCTCAGGACTCAGGAACAAGGCGCGCTCCAGGCTACCAAGCAAAAAGCGAGCAGAGCTCGCAGTGAATGCTCTCTGTCGGAGAATTGAACTCCGGTCTCCCGCGGTCACTGCTAATGACAAGCGAGCATACTAGCCACTATACGAACAGAGATGTTTGTTCTGTGAGCATAAGAGACACAGTGCTATATCCCCATGTATAGACATTTGGAACCTCCAGCAGGCCGATCTTGCACATTGTCAGCGGCGCAGTCCTCATAACAAGTGCATAATACTAGTGGACTGCTGTACATAGAGCGCCGTTTACAAGTGACACCGACCTACCACCCCCGCATAACTCCGCGCGTGCGCGGCTTCTTGGCGCTCCGCGATCCACCCGCGAACCGCGACCGCAGACGCTCGGGCACCACGTCCTCGTCCGAGCTGTCGTCGCCGTCGCTACTCTCGTCGCTGCTGACCTCGCGTGCCGGCCCCTCCTTGCCCGTCACGCGGTTCCACACACTCTGCACGCCGTCCACACCCTGTCTAAGCAGATCTTTCGGCAACGAGCTCAGCGTGGGAAAGCTGCTCGTGATCGCTGCCGGCTGCGAGCTTGGCCGCAGCTTGGGGATAATGGGGAACCCGTCGCCGGAGGCGTCTGATTGCGAGGCCTCAGAGTGGTCAGAATGGCCTGAGTGATGCGACTCGACGTCGGAATCGGCATCCGAGTCGGACCGCGCGTTCTTGGCCATGGCAGTCTCGCTCTCCTCAGACATCAAGGCTGCAGGGATGGAGTGGTATGCCTGAGTGGCCGGCATCTGGCTCGGCTGCGTCATAAAGAGGGGTGTCTCGGGATCACCGCGCGTGCGACGGCGCAACGGCGACGACTGCGTCGCGGGAACAGGGACGCTTTGTGACGCGTTCACCGACGACGACGGTGAAGCCGAGCGCGCTGGCGAAGGCGTAGGCGATGGCGAGGGAGAAAGGACAGGAGGCCCTCGTGTGCGGGAGGAGGGGAAGCCTCTCCGCGCCTGCTGTCAGCATTAGTCATCATCGTTCCTCTTACCTGGCTCGGGCGGGGGGTGGGTGCTTCGTCGTCGCTTTCCTCGTCACCCTCCTCCTCGCTGTCTGGCAGAATTCGATTCACCTTTGTCAGAGGCGAGGAGCTCAACCGCGCCGAAGACCGAGTTGCACGCTGCGATGAAGACCGAGCAGCATTGCTTGAAGCCGAACGCGTTACACGCTGCGGCGAAAGGTCGCGCGATGACGACGAGCGAGTAACGCGCATAGGTTGACTCGCGGGCGCCTTCGGTTCACGAGTGACTTGACGCTTTGAACGAAGGGTAGGCTGTGACGCCGGCAGCGCGTCCCTATTCTTAGGCGGACGACCGCGACGCTTGGGAGGGGGCGGCGTTGGGGATCTCTCCTCTTCGTAGTCACCATCTCTCTCGTCGCTAGCGTCTCCAGCGTCTTCGTCGCCTGCGCCACCACGCCTGTGGGCGGGCTGGGAGGAGGGCGCCAAAGACGACTTGGGGGACTGCAGCACCTTCTGCGTTCCTGGCTGGGAGCTCGATGGAAGTGGCGCACGCATACTGACCTGAGTCGCCGCCAGATCATGACTACCCGGGCCGTCAAGCATTGGTGCCGCGTCCTCATGGATCGCCTCGCGAAGCGCTATGTCTCCTGGAAGGTCTCCTAGGATAGGGCTGGACGCGGCGAGCCTAGCGAAAGAACGAGCGGAGCTGAAAGACGGTGGCGAGGCCGGACGATTCGGCGTGGCTTGCACCGCTGCTGGAATGTCGTCCTCGCTGTAGTGCTCCTCCTCATCCTCTCCGCCGTCATGGGCCTCGTCGCTCTTATCGTCATCCACATCCACAGCGTCAGGCGCATTGGTAGCCACGCTTGCCTTGGCTTGCGTGGCGGCAACAACGTGGTTCAACAGTCGGCTCCGAGTCTCCGCTTCGCTGTCCTCGTCGTCCAGGTGCGCACTGTTGGCGCTCCCATCCTCGCCCTCAACAAAGTCACCAATAGAGCTGTCCGATCCGCGCCGCTGCGTTGGACGCGGCAATGTGATTTCTTCCTCGCTGTCCGTCGCATCCGACGCCTCGGCGATGTCCTCCTGTGACACAGCGTGCATCGAGGCCGCAGTGCGGGCTGCCTCGGCACGCTGCCTCTGGCTCAGAGGTTGCGTCATGATCTGGCGGAGCAGAGCCTCCGAGTCGAGGTTATCGGGCACGGCTGAGGAGTCCGAGTCGGAGCTGGAGTCCTCAGAATCGGAGTCAATCGAGGATCCGGCCTCCGAGTTCGAGTCTGACGTCGCTTCCGACGAGTCTGAATCCGATGAGTCGCCCGTCTCGATCACTGCATCCGACACACTCAAGCGCGACGAGCCAGGTCTGCGAGCTGCGCGCGCCGCCGCCATCATGTGTAGCGACTGTGGATAGAAGGGCGTATCGGGTGTTGCCGGAGCCCCAGTAGCTTGAGCCGATGGCGTCGCCTCGTCGTCGGACGACTCGCTGTCGGAATTGTCCTTCGGAGTGTTGGGAGACTTCCCGCCGTTGGCCGCAGCGAAACGCTGCGCAGCCGTGAGGGGCCTAGGCGTACGGTCCGTTTTAGCGGGTGTGGATGCTGGGGTGGCCTCTTCCGCGACCGAAATAGCGTTGAGTGATGGACCATTGGGCGCAGGGTTGGCCTCGAGTTTGGCTGAGGAGGTCTCAGCGGGTGCTGGTTTAGTGGGAGAAGACTTTGTAGTTGCCGATCTCGGCGTAGTCCCATTCACGACCACGGACGCCACCTTCGTCAGCCTGGTGATCCATTGCCGGCAGGTGTCGAGGGTCGCATCAGACTTGATTATAGGCTTGATGCCAGCCTTGATGAGTTGCTGGCGCCGCTCTTCAAAACGCTCACGGACGCGGTCAACGCCCGCAAGCACTACAGGGCAGTCCTTGGGCGAGTGGTCGGCAACCTGTTCGCACAGGGGGCACGTCTCGGGCTCCTGGAGGGCATCAGAAGTCCCTCTCTCTCTCACTGGCGGGGCCTCCAAGTCGCTTACAGAACCGTCGTCGTCCCCTGTTCTAGACGACGAGGCAGAGGCTGGTGCTGCAGCTTCAATCGCGTCCTCGTCCACAGCGTGACCATTTGCAGCGGGGCCAGGAGCCCCATCTACTTCCATGGGTTCGTGCTCGGAAGACAAGGTCGCGTCGGCAGTCTCCTTAGCGGGTGCATTTGCCGCGGATGTCGCAGTGCCGGACACCGAAGCGCGCGACGGTTGCTTCCTGCGTGAGACGGGCTCGGGGGAGGATGTCTGAACTGAAGGCGCAGGAGCTGTCTCAGAGCGTTTGACGCCACGCTTCGCGGCGACCGCGGGTACAGCCGCTGGGGCTTCAATGGAGACTTCCGCGGACGGTCCTCCAGAAAGTGGGCGCTCCGCCGAGGAAGAGGTCGCGTCGCTGTTTGTTTCAGTGCCCTCCGCCTGCGCATCGGATGATCGTCCAGGCGCAATCTCGACAGACTTCGCTTTGGTTGCGCGACCGCGTGTTGCTTGGGCCTTGCTCGCCTCGTCAACCACATTCGCCTTTGGTGCCCGCCCACGGCGCTTAGGTGGGGCCTCAGAGTCAGTGGGAGCCTGTACGTCCTCCTCTGTGGCCGCGGTCTTCGAAGACTTTCCGCTCGCTTCGTGGAGAGCTTTCTCAGCAGCCAGGGCTTCCTGGGCAGCCTTGGCTGCCAGAGCCTCTCTCTCCGCTATCATGGCTTTAGTCGGGCGTCCACGCTTTTTCGGCGCTGGCGGGATGTCGACTACCGCCTTGGCCTTGCCCAATTTGCGCTTCGGGAGCACAGCTGGAGCGCCTGGCTGGAGGTCGGGTTCAGCCGCAGGTTCGACGGCTGGCTCAGCCAGGGGCGCAGGTGCGGGGCCGACAATCTTCTTCGGTCTCCCTACTTTCCGTTTTGGAGGCTCAACGGGTGCAGTGGGCTGCGCATGTGGCTCACCAGCAGGCTGTCCAGCCACTGGCTCAGGTGCGAGGTCGACAACCTTCTTCGATCTCTCGTCGTGCACGACGGATGCGGCAGCGGGCTCAGAGGCGGGTCCAGCTGCGGGTCCAGCGGACGGCTCGGCAGCAGGTTCAGTGGAGAGCTGTTGAGGAGGCGGGGGAGGTGGCGATGCTGGGACTGGAAGGACTTGCCCTGATCCAGCAGCCTTGCTCTTGGGCTTGGGCCCTCGCCTGGCTGGCGCTTTCGGCTGCCCAGGTGCGACCAGCACATTGGTCAACGGCTTCGAAGCTGTTCCAACCACCGGCTCATCAATGAGTTGTGAGGTGGATGGAGATGGAGAGGGCTGGGCTGGGTCCGATGGCGTTGCAGCAGTCGCTTGTATCGGAGCAGGAGCAGGAGCTGTCGGCTCAGTAGGGACCTGTGACGATGACGGCTGAGCGGAGTCGTGGGCAGATTCCGTCTCAGACGATCTCTTCGATTGCGCTGCCAATCTGGCCTTCTCCTCTAGGTCTTGACGGGAGCGCTTGAGCAAACTCGTCATGTAGTCCTCAGGCGAGGAGGTCGATGTTGACACAGATGGTTCCCCTTCTTCATCAGAGATTACTGATGGCGGGAGGGTGCCAACCACAGGGGGAAAACGAGCAGGCGGCGGGTTCGGCTTGACGCGCTTCGACTTCAGTTGGGTGGGAGCCTTATCCTTGCCGTTACCCACGGCGATGCTCTGCGGCGAACTCGCAGGTGATTGACCAAGCGGACTGGGACGCGCAGGTTTGTGCTTCGCCGCGAGAGTCTCAATTCGTGAGAGGCTCGCGGGCTGAGTCGGCGAAGTGGTGGCGCCCTGGGAAGATCGCTTCTTGTTGCGTCGGCGGGCCCTGGCTGAGAGGACAGGTGAGGGAGTAGCTGGCGGCGTGTCGGAGGGAACTGAGAGCACCACGCGCTTCTGTGGCCGGGGTGTCCCGTCATCTGAGGACCGGAGAGCGGATCGAGGAGAAGGCACATTTTCGGATCTGGACTGCGCGACAGTAGCTGGCGCTGACTCAGTGGCGCGTGGGTCATGCCTCACCGCCGTAAGTGGACTGAACGATGCCGCACGCGATGGCGCGGGTGTCTGCCCCCACGCGTCAGAATACACGCGAATGATCTCGGAAGTAGAGCCCTGCGCAACGGCACGCTCGCGGATGGTGCGAAAATCAAAGTCTTGGGTCAGGATGTCCGTGCGCGCGACTCACCGTCCCAAACATCTGTCTCAACACCCGGTGTGCGGACGTGCATGAAGCGCAGGCCAAGAAATGGGACACCGAGACCGCGCGCAACGCCGAGCACCGCATCGTCCAGTGACGGATCTGCTGCGAGTAAGCATGGTCACAGATGGGGAGAGGCGGACGGTCGAAGGAGCGGTGTGATCATTACAGCGACACTCGCTGCAACACAACTGTTGGAGGCAAAGAAGGGGGAGGGGGGGGGCGGGCAAAACAACGCCATGGCAGGCAGTTCGGTGCCGCTAGTGGCTGACTGGTGTGAGGCATACGCTGCCACCCCACCAAGGACGCGGTCGCTCACGACATCGCGCACTTGCGACAAGCCACGAGCTCACCACCAACTCACCGAGTGTGCGCTTGTGCGTCTTGTCAGTGCCGACAAGCTGATACACCACCTCGACCTTTGCGCCCGCGTCCTGCGCCGTGCCGTCATTCATGCGCGACCGTTTCGAAGTTGACGCGGATGGCGTCGCCGGCGCGGCCGGCGCATCGCCCGCGACAGGCGACACAGAGCGCTTCCTTTTATTGCCTTTTGCGGGCACCGGCATTGAGGGCGCCGAGATAAGGGGGGGAAGCGATTGATGGTAATGAGTTGAGAAGGAGGTTGGAGTGGAGGAGGAGGAGGGTCGAGCGCGACAGGCAAAATCGACCCAGTCAGCCCAAATAGCTTAATCCAGGCACAGGTATTAGTGTTTCCACCACGGTGTATTAAGGGTGCCTGGCAATGCTCACGTGACTCCTCCACTCGGGCAGACCAGAATTTCGAAACCTCCACTCTCACGACTTGACAACATCACATCCAGCCATGCCGAAGGAACAGATCCGCAAGCGCGGCAAGCGCAAGCCCAAGACAGAGCAGGAGTCTGCTCCGGTGACTGCTTCAGTGCCGACCTTCGCTGCTCCAGTTCCTGCTGCCGAGCCAGCGCAGGAGGCGGCGCATGGCGGCATTCACCCTTCTCGTCTTCAGTTCCTCAAAACTGGCCAGCGACCAGCGCCTCCACCCCGGCCTGAAGGGGAAGCCGAGGGCGAGCCAGCCGGAGAAGAAGAGGGCGTGGCGGACTGGACGCGTGGACCGCGACACGACTCCGAGTTCCCATTCGGCGTGCTTGACCCCGATGTCAAGGCGTACTTCCGCAATGTTGAGGATCAGATCAAGGATTGGGAGGGCGTGGGGAGCGTGGGAGAGGAGCGAGAAGGTGAGTTATATTCCTGATATGGCTGACGCAGATCGCCAGCTGTTCCTAACGTCGGTGCTGTCTGAATTGCGAGGGCACGAGCTGCAAGTCTCGACCGATCCCGACGTCGCGGTCGTGTTCGAGCGCCTTCTGCCATCCCTCAACGACTGGGGGCGGCGAGTTGTTGGAGACGCAGTTGGGGAGAACTGGGAGACGCTCATTCGGCATCGCTTCGGGAGCCACGTTGCGCAGACGTGGCTCACGCTTGCCGCGGGCACACTGGACCGCGAGGTGAGTTGGCAACAGTACGACGATTGACAACAGGCGCGTAACATCTACCCCCCACAACATATCAAGCAACAGAAGGAGAGGGACACCGTTGAGGGTGTTCTCCCTACCATGGCCGAGCTCACCGCCACCGTCGTCCGGTGCCTACAGCCGACGCTTCCCGCGCTGTTGACGCAGGCGCACGCATCGCCAAACGTCCGCCTGCTCTTGCTCGTGTTGACGCCGGACCGCGCACTGCCATCTCTTGACGCGCGCGAGGGCGGTGCCGATCTTGTCCGCTCCAAGCGCTCCGGGAAGTGGCGTAAGGGGCAGGGCGTGCAGGGCAAGAGCATCCTGGGCGACGAGCCTGCGACTGCTGAGAAGCGTGCCGTTCCCGAGCCGGTAGTTGCGCTGCGCCGGGAAATCCGTGAGGGGCTCATGGAGCGGATCGCCCCGGTCGAGTGGCAGGGCATGGGCGTGAGCGCGGTGGGCGGTCCCGCTGTGCAGCTCCTCCTGCACTGCGAGGTCGAGGATGGCGCGGTGGCCGAGGGCTCGCTCTTCGATATTCTCACTGAGGGACTAGTGGGCGCCGTCGAGCGCAAAAAGGAAGCCAAGAAGGACAAGGACGGCAAGAAGGAGAAGATCAAGCCCCAGCCTTACCTCTCCGCGCAGGTCGTCAGCCAAACGGGCACACGCCTGCTGGAAGCCCTGCTGACGCTGGCGCCGAAGCGCGTTTTCAAGGCTATCTGGAAGACATACTTCACCGGGAAGCTCGGCAAGCTCGCCGCGCACCCGTACGCAAACTATGCTGTGGCGGCGGGCATCGGGCGCCTGGACGCCGCGGGCATGCAGGAGGCCATCTCAGAGATCCAAGGCAGTTCGGGTGGGCGCGGCCTCGTAAAGACTGGCCGCACGGCGGCGCTGCTGGCGCTCGCCCGCCGCGCCGCCTCGCTTCCCGACACCATCCCGGCCGTCGAGGGCCTCGTGATCAGCGCCCTGGACCTCGGGTCGGAAACTGCCATGCTCGTGCCGTGCATGCTGGCGATGAAGACCAGACCAGTATATGTCGCGCTGCTCGCAGGCGAGGACGCACCCGACTCGGACTCGGAGGACATCGAGAAGGACGAGGACGCGGAAGCGCTCGCGGCGGCCAAGGCGCGCCGCTCGGCATGGGAGAACCGCCGCGAGCGGCGCGGCGGCAAGCTCGACCCCTCCCTCCCCGGCTGCTTGGTACTGCAGGCCCTCGTCGCCCTGCCGTCGACGGCCACGCTCGACAGCCTCCTCTCCCAGTCGGCCGACACGCTGCTCGCGTACGCGTCGTCCCCCATCGCCTCGCACCTTCTAGACAGGGTCCTCACCGCACCCGCCGTGCAGGCCAAGTACCGCCGCAAGCTCATGCTCGCGCTTATGGGGCAGTACGAGGTGCTCGCGCAGGACCGGTTGGGGTCGCGCGTCGCGGACACGGTGTGGGCCACCGCGGACGGGTTTATGCGTGAGAAGATCGCCAAGTCGCTCATTCCGCATGCGACCGCCCTCGGGAATAGCCAGTACGGGCGCTTCTTCGCGCGCAAGCTCGACCTGCATCTCCTCCAGCGGCGGCCGGATGAGTGGCGCGAAAGCGTGCTGGGTGTGAGGCACCACTTCGCCCACCAGAAGGACGAGGTGCCGCCCCCAGCCCCACAGCCCCAGGAAGAGAGTGAGGAAAGGAAAAAGCGCAAGGAGAAGAAGCGCGAGCGCGACGAGATCGACGACGTGTTTGCCGCCGTTGAGAAGAAGCGCAAGCACAAGAGCAAGTAGACTGGTACCGGGGCTTCATAGACTATGCACTGTATAACAGCATGAGAATTGGTGGCGGGAGATGAATGTGAATATTACGTGCTAAGCCATACTTGCAAACGAGTACCAGGCAAGATCTTGTAGCATGCTTACATATGCATTGGTGTACAACCTTACTCCAACCCTGCGGGTTACTCTGGATCCTGCTGCATCGCCGCCAACATCTGCTCCTGCAACGCCCTCATGCGCGCGCCCATCTCCTCCTCCAATGCTTGCATCTGCGCACGGATCTCGAGCAGAGCGTCCGGCGGCACAGAGCTCCTTGCCCGTGTCGCCTCGGGAGGCACTGAACTCCCTGGCTGCCGGCGATCGGGCGGGACTGATCCTCCGGGATGCCTATCAGGCGGCACCGAGCTTCCAGGCTGCCGATCAGGCGGCACCGAACTTCCCGGTTGCCGATCAGGCGGCACCGAGCTCCCGGGCTGCCGCGCCAAGTCTGGCTGTCGCGCCCCAGGTGGAGCACTGCCCGCATGGTGCGCATACGGATCCGCGGTCACGTAGCGTGCCTCCGGCAGCGCCGAGTTGGAGGCTGCAGGGGAAGAGGATACGAGCTTGCCATGGTCGCCCCCGTCGAGCCAGCCGCCGGCAGTGGACTGCCACTCGGGCGGCTCGTACACCCTCAAGCGCTTGGCCACAGGCGGTGAGTACGGCGACCAGCGTTTGCCCTCGCCGGTGGAACTCGACGACGGCGGCGGCCGCGGCTCGGGCTCAGGAGAGTCCTCGAGCACGAAAGTTGGTATTGGAGCGGGCGGCGGGTTCTCGAGCACCTGAATCTCCTCGTCGTCGTACGATGCGCGCCGCGCGACAGGCGCAACGCGCACCCAGTCGATCGCCAGCCCGTCGTCCCGCCACCGGTACCGCGTCGCCCTCTTGCCTTCTCGCTGCAGCTGTTTCCTCGCTGTGATTTGGAAGGCTTTGCGAGCGGCGACTTTCGATTCCAGCGGGTATCGCCAGCATTCCTTCGGAGTGTCTTTGATAAAGAAAGCGGCAACGCCGGACATGGCTGGTGGAGCGGGAGCGGCGGGGGCGACGGGAGCAGGCGGAGGAGAACTGACTCGGGGGAGGACCTCACGCTCCATCTTGATGTCCTCCTCCGAATCAATCTCGTCCTCCATAGGCTTCTCCTCTGGTACGGGCATCGCTACCGGGACTGGTGATGGCGGCCGCACAGACCACGAGGGTGCAGAGCGTGTAGGGGCCTGAACGGTCTGGGGAGCTGCAGGCGCGACGGGCTGACGAGGAGCCGGGACAGAAGGGAGCGATGGCGCCGGCGCTGCAGATGGCCGCGAAGCCGCAGGTGGTGAGCGTGGCAACTGTGGCTTTGCGGGTGGAGGAGGGCTTGGAGGCGGCGGCGGCGGCGGCGTGGGTCGCTTCGGCTGATTAGGCCTCGCGTTGTAGTTGCGAGGATTGAACCGTGGCTTCGGGGGTTCAGCTGGTGGCTCAGTGGAAATAAGTGGTTCTGCGAGCTGCTTCGCTGTCGCGGGTGCAGTATTTCGTGCTACTGTCACGGGGATAGCGTCTACTTTCCCGAGCGCGTGCTTAGGGCCAGTCGACCTCTCCCGTTCCGCTACACTGCGTAATGGGACTGCGCTCCCGGATGCAGAGACGGGTCGATCCCTCGTATCTGCGGTAGCACGGGTGTTAGACGAGGAGGCGACGGGTGGGGCGGGATTGCGAGTGCCAGTGCCAGCGTGAGGGGCATCCTGGCTAGCCATATGCGCGCCTGCTTGAGAGGCGGCGGGCGATGCCTCACGAGGATAAACATTAGGGCCTGTAGGCCGCTGTGGGAGGGACGCATGCGGTCGCGAAGGTCCGGGGGCATGGAGCGTGTCTCGTGAGGACGACGCCTGAGCATTCTCAAAGCCGGTTTGAGACGGCGCCATAGACCACTTGCCCTTGCGAGGTCCCAGTGGCTGAGCGTTGCCGCTTGACGGCGGCGGCGGTGGCTTAGACCAAGTCGTGTTCTGTATGTACTCAGAGTTCTGTCGCTGCTCGCGCGACATCTTGCGCGGACCCTTATCGATTGAACCGACCGTGGGTGGCAGACCATCGTCCACGAACCGCTTCCGAGGCCTTGGTGCTCCGCGATACCCTCCGCGCCCGCTGCCACTCCCGCGGCCGCCTCCCCCGCCTCGCCCCGTGCCACCTCGCCCGCTTGAGGGGCTGGTTCCTCCGCGTCCACCTCCGCGTCCACCTCCGCGACCGCCTCCTCGTGCCAAGCTCTCGGGGCGGTCAGTCCCACTACCTAATGGTGGAGGGCCGCCTCGCCCCCTTCCTGCACCACCTCGTGTTGGGGCGCCTCCACGGCCGCCCACCTCAGCGGACATGGGACCAACGTAGAGGAAACTGCGTAAGCTGGTTACACGGCGGAAGGATGATGTTGAGGTGTGAAGGAGATAGTGGCCAGGAGTGACAGGGGAGCGGACGATGGGGAACGAAATACGGAGGATGGGAGGTCGAGAAGGACAGAAAAGGTAGCGCGGGTCCGGAGAGATGTGACCTTGAGAGTAGTGTACATGTTGTGGATCAGGTTGATGCAAAGTGCGCCGAGATTGAGTGTAAGTGGGGGTGATGTATAATTAGATAATTGATTAGACTGTAGATCGGGTGGCGATTCGCTGAAACGTGCCAGTCCGATCACGGGTGTGGCGGTAGCGCGTTGTGATCAAGATTTGGATTTTGGAGACGAAGGTCGCGCGTTCGATTCTCGACGGGGTTAGGGATGAGGCGGGCGTCGGGGGTGGGAGTCGCCTCAGTGGAATGACGATAAAGGTCCCCAATTACTCTTTTGATGCAACGATTCGCGTTGCATTTGGTAATGTCCAAGCAGAAGGCATGAGGGGTAGCGGACCAGTCACTCATCGAACACGGGGCCTTGGTTACACTGTGGAGTGGTGGCTTGAACCGCCCTTTCCATCCAGTGTCTAGCCGGCGAGAGGGCCGTTCGGTGCCAAACATTAGATCACTCGAGCCCAACAACGATCGCGGTTGAGTCAAGGAACCGGAAGTAGGTACTCCGAGCAGTCCATGAGGTACTCCGAGCAGTTCATGGTTTCTTGGAATGTTTGTACAAGTGAAGAGATCAGCCAACTTCAGGGCGGCTTTTCTCTCCCCTTGCGCCGCCGGTGCGAGATGGTGCGGCCCCACGGCGTGCTTGGAGCTCCATGCAGTGCGAACGGGGGCACGCGACAGTGACAGTGCGTAAGTTCAGTCAGTAAAATCCAGTGGCGGCAGCCTCGCCAGAGCATGCATAAAAGCCGAGCGAGATATGTCGTCAGCCAGTTCGGAGCGACACTTGAGGGAGCACCGTTGCGTAGGCCATCACAGTGCTTGCAATAGAAGGCCATTGTGAAGAAGATGTCGGCTACAGAAGCTCCACGGAAGAAATTAGAGGAGATGAAGAATTGGTAGGCTACCCAAATCGTGTGTCGACAATCACCCACTCAAGACACATTGCGATTCACAAGACGGGACCTGACCGGAGGTTGGGCGGCGAAGACAACGTTCTAGAAGAACGTATTTTCGCGAGCCGCTCGCCGAGAGGCGAAGTAGTTCCAACCTGCAAACACGTCCTATGCCAATGCCTGCATTGTGTGTGAATGATGTCTATGCAATCTAATGATGAGGTCTATATATACAACTGGGGCTTATTCCTCGGCAGCGAGCTCGCGCACCTTGGTGGCGTTACCAGCGAGGGCGCGCTTGAACGCCTCAAGAGTGACGTGAGCAGCAGCGCCCGTGGATGTGCGGCGCTCGGCGCCGGTCTTCTCAGTGGGAATCCCTGGAGAAGATGGGCGCGAGGTGGCGGGTGACCCGACGACCGAGTCGTTGCCGGTGAGTTCGCCGGTGGGGGCCAAGGCGGCGGCCATGCGCTGGCGGTCGCCCGAGAAGGACTGGGCGCGGGACACGGCGGGGGTGACGAGCGGCGTCGAGTCGGGCGTTGGGCGGGGGTCGACGCGGCCGACAGGCTGCTCGATCACCATCTTGAACGTCTTGGTCTCGTCGTCCCACGCGACCTGGACCTTTGAGAGGTCCTCGACGAGGAAGTCGGGGCGCTCCTTCTCGAGCTCCTCGGCCGTGTGCGACGTGCAGGTTGCGAGGACGCGGCAGCCCGCAGCCTTGCCCGAGCGGATACCGGTTGGGGCGTCCTCGACGACGAGGGACTCGAAGGGCGAGGCGTTGCAACCCTTGGCGCCGAGAAGGTAGGGATCGGGGAAGGGCTTGCCGCGCTGCACCGAGTCGGCAGTGACGAAGATCTTGGGCGTCTCGAGGCCGGCGATGGGGATGGCCTGTCCGGCGTAGAAGTGGGTGGAGGAAGTGCAGATGGCCCACTTGAGCTCGCCGTCGCGCAGGTGCTTGTGCTCGCTCAGGTCGGCGAGGAGCTTCTGGACACCGGGAAGAACCTCGATGCCGCTCTTGCCAGTCTGGCGGCCGATCTCCTCGGCATTTTCGAGGATGGCGGTCTCGAAGCGGACGACCTCAGCCTCAATGTGCTCGTCGGTGACCTTGCACCACTTGCGAAGGACGTCGATGGTGCGCATACCGTGGGCCGAGCGGAGGATCTCCTCGAGGTCGAGGGGGTACTTCTCTGCGAAGAGCTCCCAGGCCTTGACAACGGCAGGCGACGAGTTGATCAGAGTGCCGTCCATGTCGAAGAGGACGGACTCGACGTTGATCTCAACGATGTGCGAGTCAACGGGAGTGTCGGCGCCAGAGCCGGCGAACGAGCCACGACGCGAGGGGGCGACCGAGGCGGGCGCCGAGTTGATGGGAGTCGGCATAGCCGACATCTGGAAGGCCTCCTTGGTAAAGACAGACATGGTTGGTGGGTGGGGTTGTGGTAAGGAGCGGTGGGGTAGATCTAGAGTAGTGTAAAGATTTGGTGTGACAACAGCTCAGCTGTGTTTTTTTGGAGTTGAAGAGGAGAGGGGGTGGCGAATGGAGATGATGGAGATAAGTTGGCCAACGAGGCTGGTGTTATATCTGCTGTTGATCCGGAAGTGCGGCACTCAGCTGCCGGGCAGACCTGCGCTCCAACTCGCAAGCTCCAAGCTCCCATGCCCCACCAAACATGCGAGGCGGAGGTCGGACCCCGAGATCGGGAGGTCCGGTGCAACTCCTCGGGTGACAGAAGAGGCGACTGCGTTGTACGCCCGCGGATCGTTGATCTCTTGGAGCTGATGGCTGATGTGTGAGAGGATGGAAAGATCGAGGGGGTATGACGAGTCCCCCGAAATGCCACGGACGAGTGCGGTCGACATGACCCCTGTTTCGGCCCGAGCAGTGGAGGGGAGGGGGGGACGGGGTACGTCCGACGGCATTAGCTGTGCACGTGAGAGCAGGCACGCCAAGGGGGAGATTGATGCGGTGATACCAGGTAAAAGGAAACGAGGCCTACCCTGGATGTGCTGATGCAAACGGTGGACTGCAATGAGGTGGTATGGTGGGCAGATAACTTGGCTTGGGTGGTGCGGGTGGAGCGATGTGGAGTTAGTGGAGTGGGTGGCTGATCAAGATGATCCGAGAGCAGGGAAGCTGCTGATGGGAGTGCCCGTCTACACGCCACTTTCGTCACAACGTGTCAATTGATCCCAGCTGATGGGATAATGCGTGGTTTATGGTGGAAACTACGGCGGATCTTGGGTTGCAACAGATTATCAGAGAATATAATTTTGATTGCGATTGAGACAGGCGAAATGGCCAAGGAGTGGCTAGAAATTCCACCAAAATGACGTAAATTCAACAGCCACGTCTCTCTGTGTCGGACAATCCCTGAACTGATAAGCCCGCTCGGATGCTGTTTGTGCACGTGTCTATTCGTCCAGAATTGTAATCACAGTCACCGGTGGCCGGTCGACGTCGCGTCCTACGTGCCGTACGTGTCGCTTGGCGCGTTTTACATTTCTGGTGCCTCGATCTTGCGCCGTATCACAGCGTTCCAGTGTCTTGAAGAGCTACGTGGAATATTTTGGGGGTTGCGACAAGTGGGAATCGCCATCACCAGATCCAGGGCAGACACATGTCTATCCCTGAATGTCACCTGCCGCCGGCAATCCTTGCGCGCATCACGTCGGCCGCATACATCATCTCATCTCAGCAGATCCTACCTCATCCTGCCTCATCGCCTCCAATCTCCACGGCGCACAGCAGAGGTCACCAGTTGCCTCGTCGACAACCCTTCCAAGAGCACGCTTAGCCTCGAGGATCGCGTTCGCCCGCGGCTCCTGCACCACTCCGATAGTCCATTGCATCTCCACCCTCTCTCCACTTCTCCACCTCTCCACCTCCTCCCCGCTCCGCCGCCGGACCTTGCCGCCACCCCTCCCGAAAGGCTGAGTGAGGGATGCGTCCACAATCGCTCGTATTCTGCCGCCCTCAATGGTGCGCAGTGTTTGATTCATAAGAACCGGGGCGCGCGCTGTCTCATCATCTCTGCCATCGCCACCACTCCCTCCACATAGATAAAAGACTGCCTCAGCGAGCGCAGCTATCCTCATTCCCCGCTCACTCCCCCCTCTACGCACATCCACACTTGCCACCCGAAAATAGCCCAGGCGGCAAATACACTCTTTACCACACACACACCACAAACACCACAAACCCAGCAATCATGTCTTCCGCCACCTCGCGTGTGTCGACCGCGCCCTCGTCGCCGGATCTCCACCCTGTTCTGGGCTTCTCCCAGCTCAATATGGCTTCGGGTGCTACCACCCCAGAGCGTCCCTCTTCGCCCATTAGCTTTCCGGCCTCCCCACTGCCCTCTGGCAAGCACAAGATCGCAGTCATTGGCTCGGGCTCGTGGGGTACGGCTCTCGCCAAGATTGCCGCTGAGAACGCTCTCCGCCACCCCTCGCGCTTCCACTCCGAGGTCCGCCTCTGGGTTCGCGAGAGGCAGGTCAACGGCAAGAAGCTCACCGACGTCATCAACAAGACGCACATGAACCAGCGCTATCTTCCGGATGTCCCTCTTCCTGAGAACCTTGTGGCGACTCCCAAGCTTACCGACGTCGTCAAGGACGCGACCGTCATCATCATGGTGACTCCTCACCAGTTCCTCCACACCGTCATCTCCGAGCTCCAGCGCGTTCCTGGCACCATCACTCCCGGGGCACGCTGCGTGTCGGCGATCAAGGGTGTTGAGGTTGAGGGCACCAACATCTCGACCTTCGCGTCCCTCATCGAGAAGGAGCTCGGGACCCCGTGCTCGGCTCTTTCGGGCGCTAACATTGCGCTCGAGGTTGCCCAGGGCCAGTTCTGCGAGACCACCATTGGCTGCCCCTCCGCGGAGGACGCCAAGATTTGGCACGCCGTCTTCGACGCTCCCTCCTTCCGCGTCAACACGGTCGAGGACGTCAACGGCGTCTCACTCTCCGGTGCGCTGAAGAACGTCGTCGCCCTCGCGGCCGGCATGGTCGACGGCCTCCGCCTCGGCGGCAACACCAAGGCTGCCATCCTCCGCATCGGTCTGCAGGAGATGACCAACTTTACGCTCGAGTTCTTCGACGGCGTGCAGCCTGGCACGTTCTCCAACGAGTCGGCGGGCATCGCCGACCTCATCACGACGTGCTACGGCGGCCGCAACCGCAAGTGTGCCGAGGAGTTCGTAAAGTCCGGCCACTCGTTTGAGGAGATTGAGCGCCGCCTGCTCAACGGGCAGAAGCTCCAGGGCACCGCCACCGCCGAGGAGGTTAACCGCTTCCTCACGGCGCGCGGGTGCGCCGACCGGTACCCGCTCTTTGAGAAGGTCTTCAAGATCTCGTTCGAGGGCCTGCCCCCCGCTGAGCTCGTCAAGGGGTTGTAAACCCCCTCGGCTCCTGTGTACATTTACGGCTCCATTTCTCGCATTTTCCCCGCACACACCACATTCAACGCATCGGGCGGCCACCCGCCCAACATTGTAGCTCTAGTATAGCGGTGCCGGACACCAATGCATAGAGGATAGACGGAACTGAGCTGGGCTGCGGGTGATCTGGAAGACTAATGTGCGGCCGTCTTAGGCGCTGCAACTGCGCCGGGAAAGTCTGGAATGCCACAGCCATTCCAACATTGGAACAAGACACAGCCCCATACGTGCCAATTGTGCCAACATGACTGCACCGGGAACACTGTCCGTCTCCATCGGACAGCCTGCGCACGCAAACACCAGTTGTATATTCCGGTGACATGCCTCTGCGGCGTCACCGCAATCGACGGCTTATCACCCCTGAGCAGGGCCATCAAACGGAGGGGTGCGGCGACAGGGCAGTAAGGGGCAGCAGGGGAAGATTGGCGGATGTGTCGTCCTATCGCACTTGGTGTACCCGAACCGGGCCGGAGATACCGACGGACTGCGGCGGTGAGATAGCGGTGGGGCATGAGCGATGCGCACTGTAGGCTAGGCGTTGGAGGTGGGCAGTTCTCAGCCGATGGCTGGAGGGTACGCCGATGATGAGTCCGACGAGCGCTTCATGTCAGTATCTTGGAGCACACGTCATGATTGAGATCAGATGAGATCAGACCTCTGCTACACATCAGCGATGACGGGTTGGCGGAGGTTACACTACAAGAGGAGTGGGCTGACGGGGCATGGCGATCCGGCGCCTTCACCCCGCCGCAGCCCGCAACCGGGGGAGTGGAGCCCGCCGGCAGGTTAGGCCCTGCGCACCCCGATTAAGTGTCCGCGGGCTAGGACGGACAGGACTCGCCAAGGCTCAGCTAGCCCTTGGACTTGCCCACTCTCCAAGCAGCAGGGACGGAGGTGGGAGCCGGGGGTGTGGGGTGGGGCGGAGTGGGCGATCAGGAGATCCGTGACGTGGTCCGTGGGGGCGCCAGGTGGGTCGACCGGGGTGGTGGGAGTCGCTGTCTACGGAGTCTCCCCTTGATTTCCGGAGTGTTGCTGCCGCATGCCGCAGCGCCGCAGAATGCCACAGCAACAGCGATGCGAAGCCCATGGCGGTCCCAAAATCGTGAGAGGGACACGAGTGTGGAACATTACTGACCCTGAGAAGAGATATTTTCAAGACGCTTTAGCTCAGTGGGAGAGCGAGCGAGTGAAGCTCTTGCAGCCCAATTCGTTCGGTCGTGTGTTCAATCCACACAAGCGTCATGGCGTGTGCCAACATATCTCTTTTTGCCCTTTCTCTCATCTCAAGCGATATCATCAACGCCGCCTGTTGCTCCGTCCACCCATCCCTTTTTTTCTGTTTGCTCACGCCTGATCGTCTGTCGTCCGAGTGGAGGAAAGTAAACACCATCGAAAACCAGGGAGTGTATGGCCATCCTCTTCCCCTGCCTTTGGCTTTTGGCGCCGAAGATCAGAAGCATGGCGACCGCCACCCGCCACCCGCCACAGTGCCTACTGACACAGACATACACAGATCCGCACAGTCCACAACGCCACTCCGCCTCGCACACAACATTCCTATTGTGCCTTTGCTGCTCTTACCATGCAGCCTTTATTCCCCATGATCCCCATGACTGACGGCCACTCACCACGCACTCACTCGTTTGTCTAACCATCTTGACTCCCCACCGCCTCCATGCGCATCTTCGCCTCCCTCGCGTTCGCCGTCACCCTGGCGCTCACGCTCGCCGTCGCCGCGCCGCCGCAGCCGCCGCAGGCGCCGATGCGCGCGTCCGAGCAGTTCGGGCTCGACCTCGTCGACCATGCGTCCTGTACGTCCCCGTCTCGTGCGCTGACCCAGCCTGTCTCCGCTCGTGCCACGGCGCCGCGACGCAAGTCCTCATCCTCAAGAACCTCGGCATCAACAGCGCCGTCTTCATCACGCGCAACTGCCAAGAGAAGGTGTGTCGGACAACGGGCTGAGCTCACCCAGCGCTGGGCCGAGCTCATCGGCGCGTGCCTGCCCATGGTGTGCAAGTCTGCGCCCGACGTCGCGTACGCCGTCGAGTACGCGCACGCGTGGTGTGCGCGCGCCGGTGTGCGCAACGTCTCCATCACCCTGCCCGAGTGGTACATGGACTCCCCGGGCGGCGAGTACTACCGGTGCGTGAACGATCGGGTGCGCTGACGGCAGCAACACGCTCTCTGGCGCGGGGCGTCTCCGTCCCAGCCCTCTCCTCGGGCTCGGCGTCGGGCTCGGCGTCGTGCTCCTCGCCGTGCCCGCCCTTTCTATGTAATGCATGCTACCGCCTACTGTCTACCGTTCTGCCCGCGCGGCCTTGCACGTGCTGTCGTGGTGCACATACCATGAGCCGTCGTCGCGCCGACGCTTGCGCAGATGGCACCCGGCGGGCGCGCAGTCGCCCGCCTCAGCGTCCGCGCCGCCCACGTCCCAAGCGTACGCGCCGCGGCCGCGCACGCGGTCCTCAACGAGCGCGCCGTTATGGTTCGAGATGAAGGGCACGTGGGCACGCAGCGCATCGAGGATGTCGACGGCCATGGCGTTGCACTGGTCCACGCAGATCCAGGTGATGGGGGTGCGTGGCCGGGCCGGCTCGGGCTGGGCCTGGGGCTCGGGCTTGGGCTGTGGAGCTCTGCGCTTTGGCGCAAAGGCCGACTTGGGGCGCGCAGCGGGCCGCGCTGGCGCAGGCTCGATGCCGAGCCGGGAGAAGACCAGCCGCCGGAGCGGGCCGGCGGAGAGGCTGTCGTGTCCCGCGAGACTTAGGGCCATGAGGGTGGGCAGGAGGCCGGTCACGAGCGCTTCGAGGAGCGTGTTGTCGACGCCGCAGAAGGAGAGGTTGAGGAAGCGGAGCGCCGTAAAGTCGGGGAGGAGGGCGAGGAGCGCGGCCTGGTCGAGCGCGCAGCGCCCGATGTCGAGCGTCGTGAGTGTGCGCGGGAGGCTGCGGAGGACGTCGAGCACAGGCAACGGGGGGCCGGGGGCCGAGCGTGCGTGCCAGTTCCATGCGGAGTACGAGGCGAGGTTGGGCGTGAGGAGCGTCTCGCCCGGCTGATGCAAGGCGAGGCGGTCGCACACGTCCAAGTGTGTGAGGTGCTCGAGCGTGAGGGGGTCCGGGTCGTCTGCGTCTGCGTCGGCGGGGGTGCACTGGGTCGTGCAGCGCACTTCGAGGTGTTCGAGGCGCGGCGCGGCGGCCGCGAGCGCAAGCACCCACGGCTGTTGCGCGGTCAGCGTCCCCTGCCCGATTACGAGGTGGCGGAGGGACGCGAGGTGCGCCGGCGCGAGCGGGAACGGCGGGCCGATGCCGAACGGGTGTGCAGTCAGCGCGCCGGGGTGTGGACCCGTCATCTCGACGCGCTCGAGCGTCCCGCAGTCGGGATGGAGGAGGGTAAACATCGACAGACGCGCCGCCATCGTGTGCGCGCGCACACGCAGCTCACGGAGGGCGCGGCACTGCCCGCGCCACGCGGCAGCGTACTTGCCCGCGGCGGGGTCGGAGAGGTCGGCGAACGTGATGCTCTCGACGTGCGCGAGCGCGGGCGCCAGCTCGGCCGCGACGGCGGCCGCGTCCGCGTCCGGCACGGCGCGCGTGATTTCCACGCGGCGCAGCCGGCCGCCCGCGCGCTGCATCCACAGCGCGGCTTTCGCGGCGGGGCGGCGCCGCGCGAGGCGCAAGTCGCGCCACAGCGAGGTGTGCGCCAGCATCGCGGCGCGCCAGTCGCGACACACGCCTGCGAGGCGGAGGGGCGCGTCGGCGCCGCCGGAGCGCGCGACGAGATACAAAATGTCGGGGGAGAGGAGGTGGGTGAAGCACATGGCGGCTTTGCGGGCGGCCGCGGCTTGGACGGCGCACGCGTCGCGCCGTGCAGCAACGAGCGCGCGTTTGCGGCGCACCGCCGCGCGCAAGTCCTGCAGCGGCGGGCGCGCGTCCGGCGCCGCGAGCGCCAGGCCGCGCGTAATGCTCCGCTCGGCGGCGTCCAGCAGGTCCAGGTCCAGCAGGATGCTCGCGACGCGATACCATGGCTGAGGTTAGTGGTCACTTGGCGCGAGACTCACGCGCGCGCTCTTGTCGCCGTACTTTTTGCAGAGGGAGGAGGAGAGTTCGAACGCCGAGTTCCGCCATGCGCCGCCCATCTTGTTCATCGCGGCCGCTTTCGCGTCCTGCACCTTCCAGCTGCGGTCGCCGAGGGCTATGGCCTGGCGTCAATGCCGTGGTGTCACGGAGACGCACCCGGTCGAACGCGCTCAGCGCTTCTTCATACGCTTTGCGCCCGTATGCTTCCATGCCGGCGCGGTAGAGGCGCTGGGCCTGCGGCGCGTCGCCGGATGCCATTGTGTTGGGGGAGGGTGTTGTTGTGACATCGAGGTGATTTCAACGCGGTGGAGGTGAAGTGCATGCACGTGCGGCTCACGTGTCCGGCCGACGGGATGCCGGCGGTGATGACGCGTGAGTCATCTGCCCACCTCCACCTTCCTTCTTCTCGCTACTTCTCATCCTCTCCACTCCATCTCTCAATGTCGCCGTCGACCACGCCCCCTGCAGCCGCCGCCCCAGCATCCGCCGCTGCCCCCGCGGCCAACGCCGACGCCAACGGCGCGTCCGGCCCCCACCCCGCCCTCCCCCCCGAAGCCCTCGACCTCGCCGCCAAGCTCTTTGACCTCGCGCGCGCCGGCGACGCCTCCCTCCTGCCCTACGTCGACGCGGGCATCCCCGCAAACCTGACGAACAGCGCGGGCGACACACTCCTCATGCTCGCCGCATACCACGGGCACGTGGAGCTCGTGCGCGGCCTCCTCGCGCGCGGCGCGGACCCCGACGCCGTGAACGGCAAGGGGCAGGCGCCGATCGCGGGCGCCGTGTTCAAGGGCCACGAGGGGGTGGTGCGTGCGCTCTTTGACGCCGGCGCGGACGTCACGGCCGGACATCCGAATGCGCGCGATTGCGCGGTCATGTTCAGGAGGGAGGATTATGTGCAGCTCTTCGCGTCGCGGTCGTGATTGTAGGTGGAAGGATGGAGAGGGCTGATGGCAGAGAGTACAAGTCGGAGAATGGATCAGTAGGACTTTAGGTGGATGGATGCCACAACGAGTGGCGCTTGTGTCACATGGGACGGAGGAGCAGATGCACATGCACAACTCGACCATAGTACTCGCAGAACTTTCGCTGTCGTCAGGAGTTTCCGTCTCCGTCACATTGTGCGCCGACTGACGGTTATCTTGCCCGCCGCTGCCTATCCACGCACCAGCGCCAAGGCACCGGCACCCAACCTTATCAGCACCAACCCCCGATTCTAACAATGGCCAGACCTCGCGCCGTCAGGCCGTCAGGCACCTCCGTCGTCTAGCACACTCGCAGACATCGACGCGGACGTGTATCGGTGCATATGCAGTGTATTGACAGGGTACAGGGCGCCGCGAGGGCGTGTGAATGTGAAGCGCCAGACGGCGAAATAGTGGATGGAGCATGTGGATGGGAGCTGGGAGGGAGTTTGAGGCAGAATGCGCGGTGAGAAATTAACCGGTATGCACACGAGGGAATCCATGGGGGGGGCTGCGCGGCAGCGACCGGGGTATCGTTACGTCTACTTGTCGTTCTTGAGCGACTCGGCGACGCCCTGCGCCCATGTCTGCAGGGCTGCTTGGGTGACTGTCAACGAAGTGATCCACTCGGACTGAAGAAGCTCCTGTGGGCTCTTGCGGGCGGCCGGGTCCTTGTCGAGACACCAGTCAACAAACTGAACAGCGCTCTCCGCAAAGGTCTGATTTCCGCGCCCAATCAGGCGTGGCGCAGGCTCGTTAACAATGTGCTGAAGCAAGTCAAGGATCGACATTGTCATGCCTCCGCCGCCAAGAGATACGCCACGCTTCCTGTGGCGTCTGGGCGAGAGGTTTGGTCTGCGCGACGAGACCGGTAGCGTCGCCTCTGGGTCGAAGCGCTCCTCAACGGGCGTGGCCTGGTCATCCTCTTCGTCGCCCGACTGGGGGGGATCAGCGAACGGGAAGCGGCCTTGCGCCAGCTCGACAAGCGAAATGCCCAACGACCATACGTCAGACTTGATCGTGTACGGCGCACCCTTGATGCGTTCCGGCTGCTGTCAGCTGGTTCAACCCGCGTAATGTTTGAGTACTCACGCTCATGTAGGTGCTGGTGCCCACAAATGTGTTGGCGATAGAATTGATGAGCTCGCCAGACACACCAAAGTCACAGATCTTGATTTCACCTTTCGAGTTGAGAAGGATGTTGGATGGCTTGATGTCTGATGTGATGTCAGCGCTGGCAACGTGTGCGCCTCCTTGTCAGTGGCCTCGCGCCCTACTCACCACGGTGAATGATGCGATGCACATCGTAAAGATACACAAGACCTCTCAAGACGGACTCGGCGACCTTGCCAACAATTTCGAGAGCGATGGCACCGGTGTGACGGTAGATGTAGTCGAGAGATCTGGAATCAGCTTCACTCTCCATGGCCTACCAATCGCACTCACCCTACATCCATAAATTCCATGACCAGGCCGACATGCACATCGACGGGGAAGCATCCGTAATAGCTGACAATGTATGGCGACGCGCAATCGTTCATGATGTGTAGTTCGCGGACGATCTGCTTGCGCACTGTGGGCTTGGCGTCGACGAGGATGAGCTGCGAGGTGTCAGCGCTGGGTCGATGTTCGAGTTGGGCGAAACGTGGCAGCTCAAACGCGCTGCCTAACCCATCATTGCTTACCTTCTTGGCCATGACGCAGTTTCGCTTCTTGTTCCACACCTTGGTCACAGTACCACCATTGCCTGCGCCCAGGTCGGCCAGTACAGTGAGGTCCTCTTCCTTGACGAGGTTGTCGTCATCTTCCTTCCTCTTACTTCGCTTGCGCTCGCCATTCGAGTGGTGATGCTTCTTCCTACCAGAGCTGGACGTTGACGCGTGAAGTGACGCCGAGGAGGTTGTCTGCAGTTCAGGGGCAGTGTGCTGGCGGCGTGGAGGTCTGGGAGGGGTGGGAGTGTCGACGGAGGCGGATTCGGCGGTGGCGAGCGGAGAGAGGGAAGTGGGAGAGTCTGGCCCCGAATTGTAGGATGAGCAGCTGGAGCGCGAGGAAAGCTGAAGACGGGCGATCTCGTCACGGAGACGGTCGGCCTCGGGGACCCAAGACACGGAAGCACCGTCTTTGGCGGCCGAGTCCGGACCCGAGACAACAGTGGAGACGGTGCGGGAAGGTTTGGGGATGGACTTTGAAATGTCTAGGCCGATGGGTTTCTTGCGGGAGATGGACTTTATGGCGCCAAAGGGGGAGGCGGGACTTGACGAGGCGCGTGCCGTCGGCGGGGCGCTGAGAGGGCTGGGGGCACCCGGACTGGGGTTGAGAGGGTTGAGGGTGGGGCGCGGACGCGCGGCGGCGAAAGGATGGTCGGACATGTTTACCGCGGGAGAGGTGTAGAGGGGTGAGGGGGGAGGAAGAGGGGGAAGAGGGGGGAGAGGAGACGCGTTGCTGGAGGATTGCGTCAATGGTAGGGGGTGAGAGGGGGAGGGGGACGGGGGGACGGAGGGGGGAGGGGGTAAGTGGGATGCGCGAGGAGGAGGAGGTGAAGAGGGGAGGATTGGAAAGAGATGAGATGGAGAGGAGAGCGAGAGAGACAGAGAGAGGGAGGGAGATGACGAGGAGAGGAGGATGGATGAAGAGAGGGATGACGAGGATGGGGGGAGGGAAGGGATGCGAGATGGTGCCGAGGCAAGGTTGCTAATTCTATCTAGTTAATGAGGTAATGCTGGTAATTGCATTATAAGACCGAGTATGGAAGGGCCGGAATGCATTTCTCTTGCTGCACTCGTATTGTATTGTCCTCTCCACTCTCGGCTTGGCACTTCTTGGACCACTGTCCTCGCTCGGCTCCGCAACCCGCAAGGCCCCAGACTACAAGCCTGGCAGCTGGTAGCCGGCAGTCACCTCTGCTGTTCCTTGCAGCATGCACCGAGCACCTGTGCATCTCACGCAAGGTTTTTTGTGCCGTAGCCAGTTGTCCGTTTCTGCCGTGCTGGTCGCCTGTTGCCCGTGTCCGTGGCGTTGCGGTCGGTGGCGCGTGGCGTTCCGCGTGTGGCGTTAGGACTCGGTTTACTCGGCGGCGTGCGGGACGTGTGTAGCGCGTTTGCATGCAGGAGGAGCGGCGGGCTATCTCGGCGCGGGAGGCGGCGAGGCGCGTGCGTGGGTATCACCCAGAGGTCTCCACCAGAACAGGCGGCGGGACAGCGGCACGCGATGGCCTCGTGTGCTCGTGTGCCTCCCCGCCCGCAGTCGCCGCAGCAGCCCCCGCAGGCGCCCTAGTCCGCGCGTAGTCCGGACAGTCCGGGCAATCTGGCTCACCTGGTCCCTTTGCTGGCCCCGTCGTGCTCCGGCGCTCGGCCTGTGATGAGCTTATTAGGCCCTCTTGGGTGGGATTAGAGTCGCCATTTCGGCAAGGCTCCGGCATACACAGGCATTAAAAGTTGCGCTAAAATTCTAATACCCTAACATCCTGGGTGGCCTGGGCGCATTTGACGCGCTCGCCTGGGACCCAAAGAGGACGCGTCGAGGGGGATCAGGCCGATGATAGCGTGTCACTCCCGTGGATCTCGCGTGTGAGACAGCGGCCATGACCGCTTGTGCCACTTGTGCCGCTTGCATGCTGCATGTGCTTTATGAGCTACAGTATGCAAGGATGCATGGAGAAAAGAGAGTGGCTGGAGTGGGGGATGTCATGTTTCGGTTGCATGTTTCAAGAGGTCAAGAGGTCAAGAGCTGCAGAGGCGAGATGATTGCAAGACCAGAACCAGGGAGTTGGGAGCAAGGAGCTTCCCGTGTCGTCTGCGAGTCCTGAACACTGGTCGAGGCCATGTGCATGCAGCATGTGCCAGTGACGAGGATGACGAGAGAGGGAGAGTACAGTAGTGAGGGAGAGTAGAGCGGAGGATTGCGCGGAAGCAGGGGTCGTGAGGAGAAGAGTGCGTATGAGAGGCCAGAGCAACGTCGCGAGGCCGCCAGGCCGGCGATCCGGCGAGAGATGACCCCTCGGCTGCTGCCCAACATGGTGCGTTCGCTGTGTATGCTAGCTCATGGATGCATGGATGCATGGATGCATGCAGATGCTGAGAAACTGCTACTGTTGCGCATGCATGCAGAAAGAGAGAAAGAGATAGGACGAGAAAGTGATCATTACTGTACATGTAGAGCAGGACTGCTGTTCCATGTCGCGTCGCGCGTTGCTTGCTCACCGCTCACCACGATCACCACAGGACAGCGTCCTCATCTCCACTTTGCATTCCTCCTCCTCCTCATCTCCCCTCCCTCCATCGATCCATCCGTCCTCGTTCTGTTTCACTCTTCCACCCTCATCATCATCATCATCATCATCATCATCATCATCATCATCATTACCCATCCCCCCCCCCCCCCCCCCCCCCCCCCCCCCCCCCCTTCCCCCCCCCCCCCCCCCCCCCCCCCCCCCCCCAGTCCTTCCAACCTTTGCCTTTCTTCAGCCGAGTTGCCTGTAAGGCACTGGGTGCCCTGTAACTCAACTAGACCGTCGCCAAACAAACTCTACCACCCAACCACATCAGCTGACCAGGTTACTCTCCTTGTTCTCCTTCTCCTCCTTCTCCTCCTCTCTCTCAAGATCCGGCACCCGCCTCGCCTCACCTCGCCCTCACTCGCGCTCGCGCTCGCGCCTCGCTTCTCCCCACCCCCCTCCCCTCGCCTCCCCTCCCACTACCAACTACACTTGCTCCGCTGGCTTATCTACCCCCCGACGTCCCCATCACCGCTGCGCGCCAACTCGGCGACCTCGACGCGTCATGTCGGCGCCAGCCCGCCCACCTCCCATTCCACGCCGCCACCCATCACGTCCCTCTCTCTCCGCTGCATTCTCAAGCTCCTCATTGTCCTCTTCCAATGCGGGTCCGAGCCCAGAGCTCCCTCCACTCCCCTCCCACGCAAACAGACCGTCTCCGGCATTGCCCGCCGCCCATGCCGCCGCCGCTGCCGCCTCCTCCTCCTCCTCACCTTCTTCTTCCCAGGACCCTCCACCTTCCACCGCTTCGCACTACGCTCAACTCGACTCGCACTCGCAACTCTTGCATTCCCACAATACTCATCACCAACCTCACTCCAACTCGCACTCCTCCTCTTACTCCCACAATCATGACTCGCATCCCTCGCATCAGAATCACTTGAATCACAATTCCGATCATCAAAAGCGCACACCATCCAATGTCTGGATGTCATCCTCTCACTCTCACTCTCACTCTCTTCCTCACAACGACATAGGCGACCCATCCTCGCCTTTAAACAACATGCGTCACGCAGCTGCAGGTCTCGGCACTGCAAACATTGGTCTCGGACCCGTCCTCCTCGATTTTAAAGACTGGGTAAAGGCGGGCCAGTCCAGTCGAGACGCTGCCAGCACTGTTGTCGCTAGTGGGAGTGGGAACAGGCGCGAGTCCCACGTCCACTCGGACCCCCAGCCCCACCGCCATCATCAGCATCATCGTCACAACCACGATGCTCACGAACCTACACAGCCCCAACCTCGCAACTCTTACGGCTCTGCCTTCTCCAGCAGCAATCGCTCTGCAGAAGCAGACTACAGCGGTACAAGTGTGCGAGAGTCTTACTCGTCATATGGCGGGGGGTCATCCGAGGTATGTTACTCAATCACGACGCGCATGCTTGCGCCCTCTGCGCGCATGTGCGCATGCGCGCAAGCGAGCCCGCGAGCCAGCGAGCGAGTCGCGAAACTGACCAGCTATTTTCTGTATGCTGACACCCCTTTGCAGTACACACCTTCATCACCTCACGCGCCCTATCGCTCATCACCCATTCCCAGGTCCATCCCCACCCATTCTCTACCTTCCTCCAACTCGAGAGCATCAATCTCCTCGCTGAGCATAGACTCGTCGCACAGCCCCAAGATCCTCGGTCGAGCCGCGTCGCGTCTTTCCGATCGTCCACTGCAGTCCGCAGACACTCCCCTTAGGACGACCGCCGGGACGACACCAAGGAACACGTCCTATGAGTTCCAGCGCGAGATGAGCCGCCTCAGCTTGCAAAGCAGCGGGCATGCGTCACGCAGCTCGCACCATCCCAATCACCACCAGTCGCCGCTCGGCTCGCCTGCGCTCCTGTCAGAAGCTGAGTCACCCCTGGCAGCTGACCGCGCACATCGCCAGTCGGTTCCGGCGCAAAGCCCTCTGGAACGGCGGTTCTCTCGTCGGCTCATGTCCCGCCACGACAGCCAGAGTAGCAATCTGGTGGCAAGCGAACGTGACGAGGAAGAACCCATCGAAGAAATCAGTCCGGCGCGCGAATCGCTTGATGAGCGAATACGCGAAGCAGAGGAGCGATTGAGCCGCAGGTCGTCGCTACGCGAGTCTCCCCAGAGGCCGGTGTCTACCCCATACCGCAACAGGTTCAATACGACCTCGGCCGGGTTGCGCGACACCGTGTCGCCACCGCTTTCCAACGGCCATGGTACTCCACAAGACCAGGCTGGCGGCAGCGCATTGCAAAATGGCTCATCCACCCGGTCCGCACGAATGCGACCTTCGATCCCAGCAGAGTTTCAGCAGAATGGCCGCCTGGTGGGTTCGCACGGTCGTGCTGTAGCTGACCAGCAGCACCAGTACACCCCTTCCCCCGCTGACAGCCGCTTCAGCGGCCTTGTAGACATTGGGTCTCCGAGGTCCCCCCTTTTCCACCAACAGGAAGAGCGAGAGGAAATAGTGTCTCCGCGCCGCGCGACCATGGCCGCTTATAACCGCCCACAGACCTCGCTCGAACACCGGGATGGTCCTAACCCCTTCAACCCTCACCGGAGTCGGATGTCGACCTCACGGACATTCTCGCGCGATCTCGACGCCCAGCCCCTGACACCCGGCGGTCGTCGCGACCTGCCGACTCGCGCGCGTCCTGAAAGCGTATTAGAGACGTCTGCAGACCACCAAAGGTACCACACGCACGGCCACGGCCTTGGCGCATCTCGCCGACTGAGCCAGTATGGTGACGGAGGGGAGCGCTCCCAGCGGCTTAGCGCTCTGCTTAGCAGCGACAGAGACTATAACACACGCCATTCTCGGGACCTTGGCGCGCAATTTGGTCAGCGACGTGATTCCCTTTATTCCCGTGACTCGGTGCACTCCCCGCGCGATAGCCTGTACTCGCAGCGGGACTCGCCGCGCGACTCTTTGTCGTTGTCGAAGCGTCATTCCGTGTCGCAGCGCGACTCCTTATCAGGGCAGCGAGACTCGTACTACTCACAACGCGGCTCGCGCGACCTTACGCGGGAGTCACTGCGGTTGGGAGACTTCGGGCCGCGGCCACACACTCGTCAAGAGTCACGCGAGGTCCGCAGCATGGGTAACCGACAGTCAATGGACTTCCCACGTGAGTCGCGTGATGGTTCTCACCGCGCGCCACTTGCACCGAGCGACTCGGTATCTGCTGTTGGCTCGCACGGTGAGAGCAGCGCGCCTCGCGTCGAGAGTCGCGCCTCGGTTGAAACACCCCGGCGTGACCCTCTCGAAATCATACGTAGGCTCGAGGAGACTCGATCAAAATCAAATCGGCAATGGGAGGAGGACCGCTCGGCGTCAGCGATGGGCAAGTACGGGGAGCGCGAAATGTTGGCACGTGTCCCGTCCCGTCTCGACGATGCGCCGCAGTCTGCGCGCCCGGGGTCGAGAATGAGCGCGTCGCGCTTAGGACCTCGCCCTGCGTCTTCCATGTCCTCCGTGCGTGATTCGAATCATAGCGGGCCCACTGCGCCGCGCACGGCGCCGAACCTCCGTCGACGCTTGGATTCTGGGAACTCTTCCAATCTCGACAGCCCGCTGGCGGGCAGGACTAGCCGCGCATCGGGGTCTATGACTGGCCCCAGCAGCGAGCCTCGCGTCGTGCGCCGCAGCATGACCAGTCAAGGCGGACGGATATCTGCAGGTGGCCGTTCAGGCGCCAGCAGCGATCAAGCATCAACGGACCATGGCCGCAACCTTGTTGATGCTGCGCGCGTACTCGAGCAACGTGGCGAGATCCCCGCAGAGGTTATCACCAAATTGTCGGCGGCCGCAGCTTTGGCGGAGAGAGCGAATGGTGGTGTGCGCGCGGCAAACCAGATGGCTACGGAACTCGCGCTTGAGATTGAGCTAGATGAGCCCGATCACATTGAAAGCGTGCGCAAACGGTTCCCTCGTTTGGCTGTGACACTCAAGGAGGCGAGTCGCGCTTCGGACCAAGCAGTGCGCGATCTCACCCAGGCACTGCTTGCCGCGCGGGGATCGTCGTCGGCCTCCAATACTCCAGCCCGACCTGGTTCCAAGATGGAGCGACCTCGTGCACAGGCCGAGGCAACCCATCGCCGTGCGATGACACTTGACTCGCCTGGTCCAGCCGCGCAGACCCGTCACAGCCCGTCAATGTCGCACTCTGCTATCATGTCCTCGCCACTCATGCAGAGCAGCAAGCCGTACCAGCCCTCGGATCGGTCTGAGCCATGGACTCCGCAGACATCTCTAAGCAGGCTTGACCCCCCGCTGTCGAGTACATCGTCGCGCTTCGAGACACACCACCTGGACCCGATCGAGCAGAGCCCGCCTCGTCCAGCTCGTGAGCATGGCTCGCAGCACAGCTCGCCCGCCGTTGGGCTGGGCATCTCGACGCCGTCTGCGGCTTGGGAGGACCGCCCGCCGACTCCGGAGCGCCCGGCGCCGCCCGTGCTCCGCAAGCAGGCGAGCACACTGAGCACGCACACGGTGCGTGGCAACTCGTTCCTGCCGTCGCACCCTCCCGAGCCTACCACGGCGCTCAGCAACTTGCCAGCTTACAGCACTTTGGTGCCGCAGCTTCCTGAACACCCGGAGGCTGATGGCGCCGACGAGCCAACACAGGATAAGCAGGAGCGGCCGAGCTTGCGGCTCAAGGAGCTGCCGCAGCGCGAAAGCGTGTCGAGCATTACGAGCGTCTACTCGAACCCGGAGGATGTGAACTGGGGCAGCGGCAGCGACATTGCGCGCATGGGCACGTTTGGGGCTGCGCAGGGTGCGCAGATCCGTGCCAGCGTGAGCGAGCGTTTCCGGAAGCATCTGAACGGGGAGTGACGGGTGTTGTTAGAATCATCGGTTGATCATCTACAAGCATAGCATAGCGTGTCATTGTCCATGCATGGTGTGTACCTCGGAACAGTGGTGTAGTGGGCAGGTGGCTGGCTCTGCATTAAGTGCGTACAAATACTAGTATAACATGGGTCTAAGCTCTCCTATCCGTCGCCGAGCGCTTCGAGTCGACGCTGTGCGGGCGGGGCGACTTGGCGGCCGCCGCGGCCTTGCGCACGAGCGCGATACCCCCACTATCGCGCTTGGGTATGGGCGGGCGTGGCTCGCGATTCCGCGCATCCCGCACCGGCGTCTCCCGCACCGCCGTGCGCGGCATGCTGGCGGGCGTGCTCTCCGGCGCAGCCGGCAGCGGCGTGCCGTTTGCGTCGCGCCACACCCCATCGTGGCCTACAAGCCCGCGCGCCCGCGTATCCTGGTTCGCGTCGAGCGCCGCTCGCCATTCGCGGCACAGCTGTGGCGAGTCTACGAGCACATTGATCTCCTGTGCGTGCAGCCAGGAATTCACGTCCGCGTTCCCGTTGCCCTGCACGGCGATCTGTTCGTCGACGACTGATGTCAGCTCCGCCCTGCTCCGTCACACCGCTCTGTCGCCCAACTCACTCATAAGCTTGATATGACACGTATGCGCGCTCCCGCGCGTACTCAGCGGCCCTGTATCTCCCTTTGCCGTATACCAGTACACTCTGAGGCGGGCGCGCTCCGCCTCGCCGAGCTGCGAGTACATGTATGCCGCGACGAGCTGGTTCGCGCGCCCGTCTGCGCTCGGCGTGCCGCCCTCGAACTCGAGGTCGGCGTAGATCTCGACGACCACGCCGCGGCGCACGGCGTCGAGCGCCGCGCCGACGATGGGCTTGGCGCTAAACGTCGGCGTTTGGAGGAACACGCTGCGCTGCGCAAACTTGAAGGCTGCGAGCCACGCCTGGTTCTGGGGCACGAATGCGTCCCCGCACCCGCGGCCTTGCGTCAGCATTGATAGCGGGGGGGACTCACGCCCGCGCGGCGTCCGGTTCACCATCGCGACGGGGAAGGGCGCGTGCGGCGCATGCACGATCACAGGGGAGAAGGGGGGCGAGGCGTCGTCCGTGCCCCGCGCTGGGAGGAGGCGGTGGCGCGTTCGCTCGGCCATCGCGGCGCGGTCGCCCATGCCCGCCACGTCGGGGTGTGCTTCGCCGAACACAAAGTCGGACAGCGTGAGCGTGTCGGCGTAGGCGGGGGCGCGCGCGACGAGCGGCAGCGGGTCATTGAAGCTCATCCACCACGAGAGGATCGCCGAGTCGTATATGCTCTGCACGATCGGGCCTTCGAGCTGGACCATGAACCCGACGTCGTCCTGGCGTAAGTGTTGTCTGAAGGGCGTAGCTACACCTCGGTCGGCGCACCAGAGGGCGGCCAACGCCACCACTTACCCGATTCTGCACGTTGTTGCTGCTGAGAAGCGCGACTTCGCGGTCGACTATCACAGTCTTTTGGTGGAACGAGCCGACGGGCGGAATGTGGTAGTTCTGCACCTCGAGACTGCATCCCGGCACCTCTTCGGGGCTAGGTAACCCGACGGCGGGGGAGGAGAATATCTTGGCGTCGACGCGTTGGTGCGCGCCCCCGTCCGCGACGCCGCGGTCATACACTGCATCAGCGCCGCGGCGGGATCACGCACTGATCTTGACGACGACACGTGCGCCGCCGCGCTCCAGCACGGCCTTGGAGAGCGCTCTCAACGCGTCTGCGACGACGGTGGCGGCCTCGCTCGCCTCCCACACATTCGTCGTGAAGAAGATCTCGTGGCGCGCGCGCGCGATCAGCGCTGCGTAGTGCCGCACAATATCCAGCGAGTGCGAGACGATAGTGAGCGGCGCGACGCCGCACACGCCCATGAGCGCGGGCGACACGAGGCCGTTCAGCGCATTCTTCTCGAGCGCAAGCAGTGCTTGCGCATAGATCTGATTAGCGCGGCCCGCTGCAGACGTACGTTTAAGAAGAGGTCGCTGGGCTCGGCGCCGCGCCACTGCCCACAGCGCCGGACTTCGTCGAGCTCGGCAGGCGAGAGGCGGCGCATCGCGCTATACAGCCCGTCTTCGGGGTCGCTCTCGTCGCTGCGCTCGCTTGGCGCAGCGCCACTCGCGCCCGCCCCCGCCCCCGCGCCGGCGCCGGCGCCCGCACGCGCGCTCCGCCCAGGTTTAGGCTTGCCCGTCAGCCGGCCCAGCCATCCCTTGACGCCCTTGGGCGGCTGCTCCTCGCGCTCGCGCCGTCCGGGGCTCTCGCCCGTCCAGAGCCCGAACGAGCCGTACCCGAGCCCGAAGAGGTGTTCTGCGATGATCCGCACAGGCATATCCACCGTCGCGTTGCCCATGCACGCCGTGACGGTGTGCTCGGGCGACGTGAGGAACGCGTACAGCTGCGCGGGCACGAAGAGGGTCTCGTCGGCGGCGGCGACGAGGTCGCGCCCGCTGCGGACGCTCGCGAGCGACGGCGCGCGCGAGTCCCGCATCGCGCGGAGCGCGAGTTCCGGCGCACCGTGCGCGGGCAACTGCAGCGGCTGCGGGGGTATTGCCATGGTAGGATGGGAGATGGAGAGGCCAAGAAGAGGTTATTTACGCTTGGGAATGGCATAGCGGCCTTGGCAGAAATCGTCATACCACAGGGTGGAGTGGCTGCGGTGGTCGGCATTAGGATTTGGGCGCGGAGGGATTAGCATTATTATAATTGATTCCTGATCGGGATGGGGGCCTGGACCGGCTGTGTTTCTAACACCCTGGCATTCCGCAGCGGATGCTGATCGACACGTGGGCGGCTGTGTGCGATGGTATTTTTTTTTGCTTTGAGAAAGTAGCTTCACTGCTCCGTCGCCGTCGTACGCCGTCGCGCGCGTCGTGGAAAGTGGCGTGCGCAGGAACTTTCTCCGATCTCCAATCTCATAAACGCTGAAGCCCCCTGTGTCACGCTGACATGTGGAGCCCTGTCTGAGAGCTCGAGGTCATAGCTCTTACCATCTCCCCCGCAGCAGAGCAATGAGGTGTGCATGTACAACATTCTATGCGGGTCTAGCAGCGAGCGGCAAGCAATCGCAGGGCGTGGTGGGCGTGGCAGTCTACAAGGCTGGTCTAAGGCTCCTCGGATGGCGTCCTCCGGATCCACAAGTCAATGACGGCTGAGAACGCCGCAAAGCCCATCCCACCCAGCAGGCACCCCCACGGCCCCGAGTTGCGCGCGAGCGTCGCACCCGCACAGAACCCTCCCGCGATACCGTTCCAGTGGTCGTTCTTGGCCCGGTACTAGCTGTCAGCCAAGGTGTCGAGATGTAGAAAAAGATGGGAGGAGAGTGAAGGAGGGAGGGGAGGAGCGATCAGAGGGTGGTGCATGAAGTCATAGCCCACGTTAGGCCGTCGTCTGCGTGCCCGAAGACAACGCAGAACCAGGCCGTCGCGACTTCAGTGTATCGTCATTTCGCTTAGAAGAAGAGAAGAAGAGAGAGCGGGAAATTTATAGCCTGCGAGGGCGAGGGAGGGAGGGGCGAAGCCAGGGAAAAGACAGGCGCGCCATGTGGCGCCGAAGCGCCGATGTGGCAGTTCAGCGGACGCCGCTTGCCTTCTCCTACAGGCTGCTGATACTCTGACGCATGAAGCGGAGGGCGACATTGAGGACAAATCCCCATCGCTGAGCCGCCGCCGCGGCATCGGAGCATTGCGCGAGCCTGCATGCAACCGCGTTTCGCCGCCAGCCCGAATCCGTGCACTGATCACGAGCCAACTCACCCCTTCAATCACACACTCATAGCCGGAATACAGCGCGCCGACCTTGGCGAATCCTCGTCCTTGAGACCACATGTTGCGCCCCATGTCCTTGACAACGGCCATCGTCTTACCGCCGGCAGTGAGCTGCTGGTTTGCGCGAGAGAGAGGATCATCCAGGGCGAACGTTGCGCCCATGAGGGAGACGAAACCACCCAGTGCGAAGCCTGGCGTTAGACTGTGCGTCCATGTTGGATCTCGCGAGCTCGCGAGTGTGTGGCGGGCATGCTCGGCTGGGGTAGCAACGACAGTGACCCTGCCGACCTTCCTCTTGTCACAGCGTCGCTGTACGCGCAGTACTCACCCATGCCACCAGCCATCCCGACCTTGACGGGGCAGAAGTGCATAAAGTCGCCGGCCATCTTGGACCACTTCTGCATCTGGCGATATCCCTCCTTGTCCTCCTCGCTTGTTCCGGGTGGGAAGGGCTCGCTGCCCGCGGGATACAATGGTGCGAGGAGGGGGTGGTTGGGCTGCGACATGGCGGGGATGGATTACGGAGGATGATGTAGAGGGAGGGGGAGGATGCGAGGCGGCGACTGATGTGAGGTGTTTTGTGTGATGATGAGTCGTGCGAACAAGACACAGGTGGCGATGATGGATGGCGGCGAGGGTGAGGATGGAGGAGGCAGGCCGGAATGCGGCGATGCGGAGGGAGAGAAAAAGTTGGCCCCGGGAAGGCACTATGGGTATTGGGTGGAGGTATGTCGCGTGGGATGCACGTGGGGATGTCAAAGTGGACACACCACGTGACTTTGCCAAGCCGGAGGATTGTGGCCCCGCATCCCCCATTTACCCCAAGAGATAAGTGAGAGCTGTGGGGAGGAGGAGGAGGAGAGGGGGGAAGGAAGGCGGTCTCTTGACGCCGAGCCATTCATTCATTTCATTCTCCTGCTCATCTCCTCGTCATCTCTGTCTCACTCGTCGCCATCCGATCGTCCTGCATCCGAAAGACTACTCGCTTGCGCGTTGCTCATAGCGCCCGCAACACGGTCATCTCACCCCCCTCAGCCCATGTCTCGCGGAATTTATCACCACCATCACCATCCCGCACAGGCTGCCCTCGGACTAGACTAGGTTACACCCAATTCAAATAGAACGGCCGGTTAATATTGGCCGTGCCGGTTGAATCTCTCCCTCCGCCCACACTCAGTGACGCAAAGTCGCGCCTACTGTTGTCCTGCATCATCTCTCTTCATCTCTTCTCATCTCCCCATCTCCCCATCTCTCTATCTCTCTCTGTCTCCTCATTCACATCTCCTCCTCTCCATCTCTCCATCTCCCACACTCATTCGCCCTTCGTTCTACAATTCAGCTCCCCCTCGTCATCTGAACCCACCCCCACACCCATTCCCCCGGGGAGCTTGCCATCATGGCCTCCGGTCTATTCTGTGAGCCCCACCCGCACCACTTCTCCTGGGACAGCTGTCTGACCTTGACTCCAGTCGACTTGTTCATCGTGTTCTGGCGGCTTGTCGTCCTCAACATCTTCTTTCGCGAGATTCGGTACGTAGTCAACACCGCACCTGCTGCAGACCACAATAGGCAGCAGCCGCGGTTCCCACATCCCGCACCTCCACTGACGTCGCAGTCCTCGCGGCGCATGGAATATCCCGAAGAAGGGCCCCCTCCTCTTCATCGCTGCCCCCCATGCCAACCAGTTCCTCGACCCCCTAGTCCTCTTCAGTGAGGTTAGGAAAGAGTCTGGTCGTCGCGTGTCCATGTTGACTGCCGCCAAGGTGAGCCCAAGCCAGTCCAAGCAGTTGGCCTAACACTAGTCTATGGACCGCAAGTTCATCGGCACTGTCGCTCGTGCATTCAACTCCAGTGAGTTGGACTAGCCTCTGCCCACGTCCCACAACTCACATCAGTCCCTGTCTCGCGCGCTGCCGACTACGCCAAGAGTGGCGCGGGCAAGATCACTCTCGATGAGACCAACGGCCTCATTGTTCGCGGCGTCGGCACAAAGTTCACGGAACAGGTCAAGCCCCGCTCGCAGATCCTTCTGCCCAAGTCGATCGGCTTTGCCCAGGCGCCCATCGACGAGGTCATCTCAGACACAGAGGTCAGACTCAAGAGCGAGTTTACCGTGCCCTCAAAGGATGGCAACTCGAACGTGAAGGCTACCAACCGCGTCCGCACTTACTGTGCCAACAAGAATGGCTCCGAGTACAAGATCCTTCCTCACGTTGACCAGGACCAGACATACGGCGCAGTCTTTGACACGCTCAATAAGGGTAACTGCATCGGCATCTTCCCGGAGGGTGGCTCCCACGACCGCACCGACTTCCTCCCTCTCAAGGCTGGCTTCTCCATCATGGCTCTGGGCGCCATGGCTGCCAATCCCGACCTTGACGTCAAGCTCGTTCCCGTCGGCCTCTCATACTTCCACGCCCACAAGTTCCGCTCTCGTGCCGTCATCGAGTTTGGTGCGCCCATCAGCTGCCCCAAGGAACTCGTCGACATGTACAAGGAGGGCGGCGCGAAGAAGCGTGAGGCATGTGGCAAGCTCCTGGAGCAGGTTCATGACGCCCTTCGCACCGTCACTCTCCGTGCCCCCGACTGGGAGACTCTCCAGGTGGGTTGATGCCACCATTCACCTGGCTGACGTTAGGTTGTCCAGGCCGCCCGTCGCCTTTACCGTGTCCCCGGTCAGCACCTCACCCTCGGCCAGGTTGTTCAGCTTAGCAAGCACTTCATGGAAGGCTACCTCCAGTACCAGCATGACCCTCGCGTTGTCGAGCTCCGCGAGCGTACTCTTGTGTACAATCGCAAGCTCCGCGACATGGGAATCGCCGATCACCAGGTGGAACGTGCTTCCAATACCTCGATCCGCTCTCTTCTGCTTCTTATCTACCGAACTGGTCTGCTTCTCTGGTGGGGACTGCTGTCCCTCCCCGGTGTCCTTCTCCACGCCCCTGTCTTCACGCTTGCCAAGGTCATTTCCCACCAGAAGGCGAAGGGTAAGTCCACGCCTCTCTGAAAGCCAGCTGACGAGTGCAGAGGCCCTCGCTGCGTCCACTGTCAAAATCCAGGCTCGCGACGTGCTCGCCACCTGGAAGGTGCTCGTGTCTCTTGCAATCACCCCACTCCTTTACCTCGTCTATGCTCTCATTGCTCAAGTTATCGCATACAAGTACGACTTGATTCCGACCTACCGTCGCTACCTTCCCCTAATCATGTTCGCCCTTCTTCCCTCGCTCGGTTACAGCGCCCTCAAGTTTGGAGAGGCAGGCATGGACGTCTTCAAGTCTCTTCGACCCCTCTTCCTGTCGATCTGGCCCTGGAACCACCACGAGGTCGACAAGCTCCGCGTCATGCGAGAGGAACTGTCCGAGGACATCAACGAGGTCATCGCTGAGTTTGGCCCCAAGCTGTATGAGAACTTTGAGAAGTCTCGCTACATGCCGGCAGCAAAGTCGCCCCGCGCCCGTGTCAACAATGACTCTGTCCTCTCGCACCCCATTAACTGGCTCGACGACCGCATCTTTGGCTGGAACCGCCGCGGCTCGGCCGTGCAGGCCTGGGAGAACGCATCCAGCGGTGCCCGTTCCGAGCCGGGGACAGCCCCTGGATCGCCCCGCATTCCTGGAAGTCCGCGCGACTCTGATGATGAGGAGGAGGCTGATGTCGACTACGATGACATCCTGGCCGTTGTCGACTTGAGTGGCGGGCGCGGCGCGTCGTCGCCCCGCCGCCGCGCCGGCCGCTCGTACTCAGACTTGACGCAAATGCGCAAGAAGGAGGAGGAGCTGAGCAACACTCAGTCCATGCAGTCCGAATACCTTGCTCCTGACGCCGTCCCCGAGCATGTGATTAAGTCGGACCTCGCCGACGCTGTCAGCGAGGAGGCGCCAGGCCTTCACCAGCGCAAGGCGTATCCCTCGAACGGCAGCAATCCAACAGGCAGCGCCCTCGGTCTCGACAGAGGCGAGTGAGCCGCGCCATCTCACACCACTCAGCTCCTCCGAGCTCAATGGTCACCATTTTTTAGCTGCACGATTGTGAATAGATGCATCGCATGGGTAAGGAGAATGCTGGGGCGCTGGCTGTGAGCGAGATTGGCCTCCAGCAATCAAAGCACTTGCGCTCCGTTATGCTCAGGACTACGCACTCCCGCTCTCCACTCTCACCCCGGGCACCCCGGGAACAAGATTTGCGACGTATCACACAGGCGAGGTCGCCTTGTGAGAGCCGACGTCGGGCGGGCTGTTGACGCTGACTTCCGAGGCGCGACTCCACGCAGGGCCTTGATCGGGGTCACAGATGCTCTCGTTGTCCTCCCTGAGGCTCATGAAGCTCTCGCTGATAGAGCCTGCTTTGCCGGCTTTACCAACCTTGCCGGACACGTTGAGGTTTGCGTCCTCGGCGGTCTTCGTGGACGCCACCTCGAGGGTCAGAGACGAGCTCGTGTTGTGCATGGGGAGCGTGGGGCGGGCGGCCGGGGTCTCGCGGCGGCTGCTCTCGTCCACTGACGTATCGGCAGTGGAGAAGAGCTTGGCGGGGTCAAAGCCCATCAGGCGCTCCATGAGCATGCCGATCGGGATGGTGATGCCGTGCACGATGATCGAGGTCATGATCAAGAAGTAGACGACGGGGAGTACCGTGTCGTGCAGCTGCGTGCGGCTGTGGGGGACCCAGTGGAGGGCGACTTGGGCGTAGAAGAGTGCGCCGACGCCGATAGGCCCGAAGTAGCCGGCGAAAAGGGCCTCGCGCCACGTCGGGAGCGCGGGGATGATGGGCGACTGCGGTGAGCCGATGGTGGGCGGGACATGGGGCACGAAAACTTACGAGCATCCAGACCCAGGGGAGGCGGCGGAACAGCATCACACAGATGCCGAGGGCGACGAGGCGCCAGGGCGTGATGCTCCAGAAGCTGCCGAAGTGGTCCCATGGCATGACGGCGCCGATGAAAAGGAAAGCACCCTGGAGTTAGCTTTGACGGCAAGGTGATACTTACGCTGGTGAGAAGGCTGTCGATGACTTCTTGGAAGGCTTGGCCGTCGCTGCCCTCGCGATAGCTGTCGTCCCAGTTGATCACGTTGCCGACGACAAAGCAGGCTAGGATGTCGTCCGAGCCGAGGATGCCGACCACGCCGAGGGTGAGAAAGGTTATGGCGACGCTGAAGGCGAGGTACGACTCGTGTTCGATCAGGCTGGGAAAGAGGTCAGGGCAGCAAGTGGGTTGGACTTACCTGTGCTTCTCGGCGTGGTGGAGCGCTTTGCGTGCGATGAAACCGATCACCATCCCCAGCACACACGACAGGATGATCTGGTAAACGACGATGTCGTAGAACCTGCGAGGTTAAACAGGTGGAGCACGGGGCAACGGCAGATAAGCGACTCACCACTGACCGACGGCACCACCAACCGTGCTGACCACGTTGCCTGGCTCATAGCGTAGAATCAGAAGCAGAGGAACGAAAAGAAAGGGGAATCCCAGACCATCATTCGCGCCAGCCTCGGCAAGGATGATGTTGCGGACGCCGAGCGGGACATACTTCTCGGCGAAGTGGCCTGGATGCGTCAGAGGGTGAAGCGGTCGGGGCAAATGCAAGAATAGACATACCTTTGCAGATGGAGTTGGCCAAGACGGGGTCCGTGGGAGTGACGCAAGAGCCGATAACAAGTGCCTCGCAGAAGGTCATACCGGGAATGAGGCCCCAAACCAAGAGACCGACCGTGAACCAGGCGGCAGTCATGATGGGAAACAGGAGGACTGCGAGGCTGGTTTTCTCGCGCCAACAATACTGTTTCGGCAGGTTGAGACCGGTGAACAAGACTTGGATGCCCAAAACGATGCGCGAAATCTGGTAAGTGATGTAGTCGAGATGATGTACGTCTCCGTGCACCCAGTCGATGGGCGAGAAGATACCAGCGCCAATGGGCCCAAAGGCGACACCGATTAGGAATGCCATCAGTGTTTCGGCTGGCAGGTAAGCTTCCGCCACAACGCCACGTCGGCAGAGACGTACACATGAAGAGGCGGTCCTTCAAGAAGAAAGATACGAGACCAAAGAAAATGAGATACCCGCCGAAGACGGCGAGCGCCTGCGATGTCTCATTGATGTCAAGCTTGACCATGATTGCTGACGGCACTTAGCAGGCGCGAGGGCTCGAGGGAAGGTCTAGAAAAATTGGAGGCTTGAGCACCGGGCGTCGGGGCGGGTCGTGGAACGGACCGGGGTAGGACGCGAAGATAACCAAGCACAAGTAAGGTGTTGAGATGTTTCTGCTAACAAGCGTAGGGGAGGCCTAGCGCATAGGTAGAAAGTCGCTAGTCCCGCGAGTTGCGAGCGAGTTGAAGGTGACAAGCTTGTATGGGATGACCATTCAGGCTCCGGAAGGAGTCGGAGGTTTGGAGAGGTGAGTTCTTGGAGCAAGGCTTCCTCCGGGGGCGCGCAGAGGCGCTAGGCGAGTGATACGGGCTGGATTGAGTGTGTCGAGCGGAGATGTGCAGTGTCGAGGACCGATAATCGAAGGCCGAGTGCGGTCGAGCGTAGTGTGAGCGATCAGTGAAAGATCTTTGAGAAGATACGAAGAATCGAGTCACCAACGCGGTGATGGTAAATATAGAGTCAGAGGGTGCGGTCCGAGTGCTGTCAGTCAGGGAACGTTATGCGCCGCGCGGCATGCATGGATCTCTGCCATGCCGCCGCCGGCTTTTGATGTTCCGGACCTATCCCGTTCTTCGGGGGGCGGCAGCAGCCGTGCCCCAGAGTGCGCAGCAGCTGGCATATTTCTTGTGTGCGAGAAGGGCACGTAGAGCAGAGCGGATCGGCCTCCTCTGTATTGCTTGCGTGGGTGGTGAACGGCATGGACGGAGCGATGAGCGGAGACCAAGGTCGGATATCTGAGGATGTCGGGCTGATCCCAATTTCCCACGGGACTATATGGCTTCACGTGTGAGCCACGTTGACCACGTCCGCCATGCTCCTCAGCGGGATCAAATGTGTCGGCCGGTTGCACAGCTGAGGCGTCATTGCCGCCCTGGCGCTCGCTGTCGTTGCAGTCGTCTGGCGTCGTCGTTGGGTCGTGCTTACTCGCGATCCACAGTCTTCTTCAATCCATTACAACACCAGACCTACCCACTCCTACACCTGCACCGCGGTCAGCGAGTCAACCCGGCGCATTATTAAACATGTCGGTCTCAGAGGATCCAAAGATCCTCGCCGACGCTCTCAATGTCGTCAAAGTACAGACTGTCCAGCTCAGGCGATGTCTTGAGGCAGAGGAGATCATGGAGGCCCTCAAGGCCGCTTCGACCATGCTATCCGAGCTCCGAACATCGTCCCTCTCACCAAAGCAGTACTACGAGCTCTACATGGCTGTCTTTGATAGCCTCCGTCACCTCAGCACGTATCTGTATGAAGCGCACGTCGATGGAAGGCATCACCTCGCCGACCTTTACGAGCTTGTACAGTGAGTTCATTGTCCACGGCCAAACTGACATGCAGGTATGCTGGCAACATTGTGCCCCGCCTCTACCTTATGATTACGGTCGGCTCGGTATACATGTCTATTCCAGATGCGCCGGTGCGCGAGATCATGAAGGATATGCTCGAGATGTCCCGCGGCGTTCAACACCCCACCCGAGGACTCTTCCTTCGCCACTACCTTTCGGGTCAGACGCGCGACTTCCTCCCAGTAGGAAGCGAGGACGGGTGAGCCACCTAGCAATGCCTACCTAACCGCAGACCTCTGGGTAATCTGCAGGACTCGATCGGCTTTGTGCTCACCAACTTCATCGAGATGAACAAGTTGTGGGTCCGGCTTCAGCACCAGGGACACTCGCGAGAGCGTGAGAAGCGCGAGATGGAGCGGCGCGACCTGCGCATCCTCGTCGGCACCAACCTTGTTCGTCTCTCCCAGTTGGAAGGCGTCGAGGTCGACATGTACCAGAAGATGATTTTGCCGGCGATCCTCGAGCAAGTGGTCAACTGCAAAGACGTTATTGCGCAAGAGTACCTCATGGAGGTCGTCATCCAGGTGTTCACCGATGAGTTCCACCTGCACACACTCCCGCAGTTCCTCGGCGCGACGGCGCAGCTCCACCCTCGCGTAAATGTCAAGCAGATCGTCATCGCCCTCATTGACAGATTGGCAGCGTTCGCCGCGCGCGAAGCCGAGAACGAGGATCCCGAGGAGAAGAAGCGCGGGGAAGAGGAGGCCGCGCGTCGCTTAGCCGACAAGGTCAAGGACATGCGCGTCAAGGGCTCGGCGCCGTCCTCGCCAACAGAGGCCAAGTCACCTTCGCCGCGGCCAGCAGAGGCAGACGAGTGGGCGAACACATCAGTTGCAGACGGTGCCGAGGAGCAGGACAAGGAAGATGAGGGAGAGAAACCGGACGAGGAGACTGAGTCCAAGGAGAACGGTGACGCGGACGCGGAGAAGAAAAAGCCGGAGCTCGAGGCAGAGCAGCCGGCGCCGCATAGATTGCGGACATTCCGTGGCATCCCAGAGGATGCGCATCTGTTCGAAGTATTCTGGCAGCAGATTGTGGAGCTGATTAAGGTGAGTTGTCCGCGGCGCGGTTCTCAAGAATTCGCTTACCCTCAGGCTCGCCCAGATCTGTCCATCCAGGATATCACTGCACTCTTCGTGTCACTTGCCAACCTCTCACTCAGCTGTTACCCAGACCGGCTCGAGTACATCGATCAGATCCTGTCATACGCCACCACCAAGGTACACGACTACCAGAACTCACCCGACTTGCGTGCCCCTCAAACCACCGCCAATCTCCTGGCCCTCCTTCTTGCCCCTATTCTTTCCTACGTCTCCGTCCTTACCCTCCTCGCCATACCCAGCTACATCCCCCTACTCTCCGTCCAGCCCTACACGACACGCGCATCTATCGGACAGGCGGTTGTTTCCAGCGTTCTCAAAAACGACACGCTCATCGAGTCGACATCTGATGTTGACGGTGTTCTCGGTCTGTGTGCAGTCCTCGTCCGTGACCAGAAGGATTCAGCAAGTGGGGCACCACGGCATGCACGTCAGCCAATTGATCTGCGCGAGATGGCAGAGGAGCAGGGCTGGGTCGCGCGCATGGTCCATCTATTCCGCTCCGAAGATCTCCGTGTCCAGTTCGACCTGTTGCAGACAGCCAACAAGCTGTTGGCCGAGGGCGGCGAGCGGATCCGCTGGACATTCCCGCCCCTGATCGCGAGCAGCATTCAGCTAGCGCGGAGATTCAAGGCGAGGCAGTCGGACGAGAAGGACTGGGAGCCACGCGTCACTTCGTTGTTCAAGTTTATCCACCGCCTCATCTCGATCCTGTATACCAAGGTTGAAGCGCCCGAAACGTGTCTCCAACTCTTCCTTCTGGCGGGACAGGTGGCGGACGACTGCGGGCTGGAGGAGCTGGCGTACGAGTTCTTTGTGCAGGCATTTGTCATCTACGAGGAGAGCATTTCCGAGTCGCGCGCGCAGTTGCAAGCCATCACGGGGATCATCTCCGCGCTGCAGAGCTCGCGCGTATTCGGGCCTGACAACTACGACACTCTCATCACGAAGGCCGCGCTGCATGGGTCCAAGCTGCTCAAGAAGAGCCACCAGGCGACGGCAGTCCTGTACGCGTCGCACATGTGGTGGCAGACGGACGAGCCTGGCCGCGAGCGGCACGAGGTCAACAAGCCGCTGCGCGACGGCAAGCGCGTGCTCGAGTGCCTGCAGAAGAGCCTGCGTATTGCGACCGGCTGCATCGACGAGCTGACAAGCGTGCAGCTGTACGTTGATGCGCTGGATCGCTACATCTACTACTTTGAGCAGGGTGTCGAGGCCGTGACGCCCAAGTACATTAATTCCCTGGTTGAGCTCATCACCTCCAACATCGACGCAGTGCACTCGACAGACGTGCACCCGGCATCGGCGAGTCCGCCAGGCCTCGTCGACGGCATCAACACGCCCGACATGATCGTCAAGGTGGGTCTGGGTGCATACACTAGCTGACAGCAGCACTTTACTAATACGCTGCGGTGCATCCGCAACAAACAGACGTTGCACGCACAGCGGCGCGAGCCTGAGGACGATGGGGAAGGTGACGAGCGCCCCCTCGTCGTTGATTGGAGTGCGGTAGACGTCGTCGGCGGATGCCTCAAGATGGGCATTGCGTAGTGGTTTCAGGTCGTATTTGTATAGAGGATGTCGTGGCGCTTGAAATGTGGGTGTGGCGAAGACAGGCATTCAGTCGGTTCGTTTGTGTTTATCCGAGGGGAACGAGGGATGAAGATCAGATTGGGAGAGTAAGGGCGAGCGTTCAGTGAGGGGAGGAGCCTGGTGTAGAATCAAGTGTCCGTTCATCGATGTAGGATTGGGCTGATGCGGTAAACCGGGGTGCCCGCTTGGTCTTTTTTATATGGCTCCCAATGCAAACTGTCATCACAACACTGTTGGTGAAACGGTATCATGCGTCGTTGCCATCGACGCGGCAGGGGTTCGACTCCCTTACAGTGTATGACTTTTTGGCGGCTGGAGAACCCCAACGTCTACCTTTGCAATGGCCTGCACTGCTGGGGTCAGGCCCCCGAAAGCTCGAACGTGTCTGCACCGCCTATTGTAGTCGTCGTATCCCGTCCATCGTGTTAGCAGCCCTGACGCAGAGGCAGCTTAGCAGACGCTAGTGATAACCACGCACCCTTCCGCCGGCCGAGTCGACAATGGCTGCGAGATACAACGCCCACTTACTTGGAATAGTCTACACTCACACGTTAATCTGCAATGCCCTCTCCCGAGCAGAATTGCAGCCTGCTTCGTGAGGGCTTGTCACAGATTGGCACCTGCGACACCATGACGCATTACTCAGTATCCCAGCATTGCCTCATGTCAGTCGCTTGTTTTGTAATGGCCCGCACCCGAGATCTAGCTAAGTAGAACTGCTATTAGGACTGACAACCCTAATATTGTACCTTTTGGTGTTACGGTCTAAAGCGTTCGACTCCGGCCATCACATGTATAACTCACGTATCCACATCGGTTCCAATAACTGGCATTGCTCCAAACAACAATGTCAGCTATGGGTCACTGTCACAGCCTGGCACCTGCAACACCATACACACTGCCTAGGATGTTGGTATCTCCAAGTGTCAAGATGTGCACTGTGATCAAGACAAGCCATAATTGCGCGGCTGGTACTGCATACGACTCCTGTGATGATGTTATGCAACAGAAAGAAGTCACCCGGAGCGGTGTCCCTGAAGGCACCCTAGCGTCACAGCCCTCTGCTAGAAAGGGGTGGACCCAAACACGCAAATTGGCACCCTCGGGATCGACAAGAGCAAACTAAACTCGTCGCTGCCAAGGCTATGGCTGTAGTGTTGGTGCATGCGCCATCGCTCGTTGGATACCAGCACAGCGGCATGCATCTGGATCTCGGTGCGAGAGATCTACGTTCTTCTCTCTTCTCTCTTCTTTCACTGTTCGCTCCTCCTCGCTCGCTCCGCTCTTCGCTCCTCGCTTCACCGCCACTTCTGAGATCTCACGCCCGTCAGTGCGCCCGTCGCCAATCTCAGTCTCGTCTGCAGGCGACTACTTCTCACCTCTCATTTCTCATCCTCACGTCCATCTCTTCCCATCTTCAACATGCTCTACCTCGCCTTCGCCCTCGCGCTCCTCACCCCCGCTCTCGCCGCCACAATCGAGTCCGTCAGCGTGCCCGGCGTGTGTCTCGAACACCTCCTCGTCAACGACCAACACACCCTCGTAGTGTGAGCTTTTCCCACTCTGGGACGAACTAACGCCAGCGAGGGCTGCTACGACCGGCCCGAGTACCAGTTCGAGCTGGTGCGCGGCGCGACCCGCGTCAAGTGGCAGGGCGGCGACCTCTGTCTCGACGCCGGCAATGGTACGCCCCCCGTCCTCCGCGCTGACACCAGCTCCTGCGAACGGCCAGCTCCTGACTTTCCAGCCATGCAACCGCCGCGCGCCCGGACAGGCGTGGTGGCTCACGGACGACGGCCGCATCGCGCTCCAGGACCAGGGGTTCTGCGTCGACCTGCCCGCCGGCACGGGGGAGAACCAGGACGCCGTGCAGATCTGGCGGTGTGGCGACGGGAACATCAACCAGGCGTGGGTTGTTGGGGGCGCCGGCGCGAGCGCGTGAGTGGGGAGGTGGGGACACAAGCTCTATATTGTTGTGTGTATTTTAGGCTGTGCATTGGCTGCTGGCGGGACGCGTGTGAGGAGGAGGGGCTCAGATCGCTCCAGGTGTTGGCCGGTGATAGCGAGTACACGCGGACCGGTCTCCGACCTCTGAAGGGATGTGTCCCACGTGTGGCCATAATCGTCCATCTCCGCCGTGTGCAACGATCTTGTCGCAATGGTGTTGCTCGAGGCTGCACATGCCATTGCTCGGCCGCAACAAAACCCCCCCGTTCTCACCATGAACCACCGCGTCTACACCTCCACCGGTGCCTGAGCGGCGAGGAATAATTTCGAAATCCAGCCGGCGATGCGGACCCACAACAACAACACCCACCATGTCGGACGCCAACGCCAACGCACCACCGAGCAAGAGGGCGCGACCGAACGGTCCGAAGGGGACGGGGAAATCCGGCACCGCGGGCGCGGCGGAACCGGCGAAGACCAAGGGCAAGGGGAGGCCGGCGCCAAAGTCTGCACCGAAGGCGGCAGCCAAGGGGGACGCGCCAAAGACTGCACCCAAGCCTGCACCCAAGCCTGCACCCAAGGCGACACAGCCTGCGTCCAAGGCGAACAACAAGCTGCAGTCTAAACCTGCGTCCAAGGCCAAACCCAAGGCCAAACCCAAACCCAAGGCCAAGGCCAAATCGACACCAGCCGAAGCCGCGAAGGCGCCATCGCCGCGGAATAAGAACCGGCGTGCGGCGCAGAAGGCGCGGCGCCGGGCGTCGCGCTCCTCGAGCGGCGAGGGGGAGGGAGAAGGCGGCGAGGAGGAGGCATCGCCCGCAGCCTCTGCGGCGGCGGAGGGCGACACGCCCGCGGCTGCGGCGGGCAGGAAGCGGAGGCGGGGCAAGAAGGGCAAGGTGTTCCTCGAGGACAAGGTGAGCTGCGCGCTCGACACCGCTGACGCCAGGCTGGGCTGCTCGACCTCGTGGCGGGCGTCACGGAGAGCAAGGACGCGGTGGTGACGGACAAGCTTGCGCGCGAGGCGGCGCGGACTGCGGCGGCGGAGAAGCGCGCGGGGGAGAAGGACAAGGGGAAGAAGGGGCGCAAGGCCGAGGAGCGCAAGAAGGCTTTGGTGCGTGTGCGCGTGGGCGAGCTGACGGCAGGACGCGGCCAAGGAGGCAATCGTGGCGCGCGAGAAGCAGAAGAAGGCGCGGAGGCGGCAGCCGGCGGCCGAGGACGCGGCGGAGGCACCGGCGCCCAAGAAGCGTGTCGGTTTTGCGTGAGATGGCATGTACAGAATATGGCTACAGATCTCAGCGCAGCTTGACAATGCCGTGCGCGACCGTAAGACCCTCCTCTCTCGCCCATGCTTCGGCACCGCTGTCGGTGAGGCCGAGGAGACGCGCGGCCCATGGCAAGGGCACGCTCATGTAGCTCTGGCGCATGAGGGCACGTACACGCTCGCGGACAGTCGGCGCCGCCCAGGATAGGACCGTGAGCGCGAGGTCACCAGCGTCCCCGCCGGAGCCGGGGCGCGTGAGCGCCGCGAAGGACAACGGGTCGAACGTCTCGTGAGCGAGGGCGCGCGCGGCGGCCTCTGCGAAGCGGAGCGACGAGGGGGCGATGAATGCGGGCGTGGGCGCGGGTATGGTGCGATGGGTGGGGGTGGGGGAGAGGGAGGGAGGGGAAGGTGTGCGCAAGGAGAGATTTGCCAGCGATGGGATGTCATCTAGCCCTGGGGCGACGCGCAGCGGTGCCGGCGGCAGTGTGAGCACCTCGAACATGCGCTGGTATTCTTTCCTTTGGGAGTGGACGAGGTGGTACACCAGAAGAAGGGAGGCGAAGTGCGCGCGGTTGTCGGGCTCTAGTATTGTACCGGCGGCGTCGGCAGCGCGATACATGTCTGGCACGAGGCCGTGAAGGACTGCATTGAGCTGCGGCACGGCGCGCGTGAGCACGGCGTATCGCACGCTATCTTCGAACACTGGGTCAACTGGCACCCCCGCAAACGCACCTTGTACGGCAAAGGCATCGCAGCGGCCGGCGGCGACGACGCCCTCGCGCAGCTTGCGCAGCAGGCGGACGATGGTGCTGAGGGCCTCGGTATCGGCGTCGGCATTGGCGCCGCGCGCGGCGCGGTACCGCTCAATCTGGGTTAGAGCGGAGAGGCGCGACCCACCTTGTCCTCGATGTAGGCCCGGAAACGCGCCTGTGTTTCCGGGTCTTTAAGGCGATCGCCGTCCGCGTTCCCACCGGAGCGCGACACGCTCGCGAGCAGCTCCATCTCGTCCGGCGGCGGCGTGTCGCGCGCACGCCGTAGCCCGTCGGCGCGCATACCTGGCGGAGCACCGCGGGGCGGTCGGCCTGTCGCGCGCGAAACATCCCCTCGAGACAGTCCGCGCCCCGGGCTGCCGCTACCTCTAGCGCCGGGCGGTGGCCGGTCCGCTGTGCCGAGTGGGGGAAGGTGGGTTGCGGGCGCGCTCGCAGGTGGTGCGCGGTTGCGCATGTGCGGGGGCCGGTAGGCCATTGCAGACGCGTCGGCAGTGGGGAGGACAGGGAGAGAGCGGAGAGCGAGCGGGGAGCGAAGAGAAAAGTTTCGCGGTCGTAATCTGTATCTACATGCAAAGGTGATGAAAGAATGGAGAGGAAGATATGATTGAAGTGCAGCGATGGAATAGCAAGTTGACGTATTGTCGTTGTCGGACTTCTCCACACCCTCCACGGCCTCCACCGCAACAACGAAACGTCCATCGCCCACTCCTCGTTCACATTCACCATGCGCGTCCAAGGATGGGACCCGGTATTGTGAGTGTTGCATGAACATGCTGACGCCAGGATTGTGTCGCAGGTGGGTTTGTCTGCCGGGCGAGGGGAGGCGCTTGCTGCCTACCATCCGCTCATATCTCGCACGTCGCCGCTCCCTCTCCTCCTCCCTCCGCTCCATTCTCTCTCTTGTCTCGCTTGCTCACAGCCTGCATTCGCATTCGCCCCGCAGCACTAACCCCAGATCATCTGCCTCCAGTCAATCCACTACCTCACCCTCTCGCTCCTCCTCCCGCCGCTGCTCTCGGGCCTGACGGCGCCCGCGCTCCTCTCGTACTCCGGCGGCCCGCGCACCGTCGCGCACATCATGGACTGGCGCGAGATGGCTGCGCGGCCCGCCGTGCGTACCGGCGGCGTGTGGGAGCGCGTGCGCGGTGCATGGACGGGCGGGAAGAAGGTCGCGCAGCACGCTAGCGAGGGTGAGGGGGGCGTCGCGTGGGATTATGGCGTGGATGGGCGCCGCGGGTGGATTATTGGCGCGGCGTGGATCGTCGCGAGCGGTGTTGAGTGAGTTTGCGAGTGGGGAGGGAGAAGAACGGAGGGGCAGGAGGAGGGGCGAAGGGGACGAGGAAAGTCTAGTGGTCTGACGATCACCGCCGACGAGGGCTCCTTGATCGATTCTATGAGCTTGATCTGGACGGCGTATGCTCCAGTGCAGACCTCGCGGGACCGATGGTGGCTTGGCGTCGACCAGTCGATGTCCTCTGCTGCTCGAGAAGGCCACTCACTCAGACAGACCCGCTCACACCAGCATCGCACCCCTCTACTTCCTCATCCGGCGCCCGACGTACATCCTCGACTTCGCACTCACCCTCACCTTCAACCACATTCTCTTCACAACATACTACGCAAAGGCCTTCCCCACCAGCCTCTTCTTCTGGGTTGTGCAGGCCCTCGGCGCCATCCTCATGATCGTGTTTGGCGAGCAGCTGTGCGTCAAGCGTGAAATGTCCTCCGAGCTCGACATCGCATGGAACCCCGGCGCTGAAGAGATCGAGCTGGGCGACCGCCCGTAGAGCCAGTAGATACCATGCATGCCAGTAGTCTGACCATTATGTCTTTTCCGAGGCCAACGTCCCACGTCTATAGCCATAGTCACAAGCCTATCGTCTCCATGCGCGTTGCCTGAACGCGCTCAATAACGCACGCTACTGCACGTCATCGAGATTTGTGGCTGCGACGAGCTCCTCGGCCTCAGCGATAACGCGGTCGACAGTCCAGCGGTCGTTCCGGTACCACTTGAGGTCGAGGATGTCGCCGACCTCGTCGCAGGCGCGCAGCAGCAGGTCAATGTCCGTCTTGGTGTGAGATGCCGATAGGCAGAAGCGCACGCGCGACTGGATGAGGGGAGTGGCGCTGGGGTTAGAGCACACACGACAATCGTACTCACGGGTACGCCACAATGACTACTGCTATCGGCGTCTTCTCGGCACCCACACGCTCAAGCATCATACGCGAGAACATGCCCATCTTGCCGGGGTTGTAGAGTAGTAGTGGAATGATCGGCGAGTCGCGATGCCCATACACGATAAAGCCGAGCTTACGCAGGCCAGATGAGAGGTAACGCGAGTTGAAGGCAAGCCGGCGCAGGCGCTCACGGCCCTCAGTGCCATTCGAGAGTGCCACTGGCAGCTGCATCCACGTCGGCAGCGTGGACGCGGGGGCGGGCCCGAAGCTCTGGTGCCTGCTCCAGACCGACACAGCCGACGACGAGTCTTCCTCGAGGTCGGCGGGTGGCGCAAGAGGAGGGGCAACGCCCATGATGGCCGACATGGACGCGATGATTTGGGTGAGAATAGGAGGAGACATCGCCTCAGCGTAGCACATGGCGTGGCAGCGCACGCGCAAGCTATCGATGACCTCCTTGGAGCCTGCAATGTAGCCTCCGGCAGCCCCGAACGACTTCGTAAACGTGCCCATAAGAATGTCGACCTCGCGAGGGTCAATGCCAAAGTAGTCGCAAACGCCGCGACCGTTTGGGCCCATGGCGCCGATAGAGTGGGCCTCGTCGACGTACAGGTAGAATTTGTACCGACGCTTAAGCTCCATGAGGGCGGGAAGGTTTACCAGCGTGCCCTCCATTGAAAATAGACCCTCGACAATGACAAGGATCTTCTTCCAAGGGCGGTGGGTGCGCGGCTGACCCTCCGAAATAGAGTCACGGAGAAGCTTCTCAAGAGACTTCATGTCGTTGTGCTTGAAAGTGCGGATGGACGCGCCAGAGAGGCGCACACCGTTGCGAATCGAAGCGTGGTTGAGCTCGTCCGAGATGACAAGGCAGCCCTTCTGGACAAAGGCGGGAATAGTCGTCGAGTTGGTCGCAAAGCCCATCGAGATGATAAGGGCAGCCTCAGCACCGACAAAGCGCGCTGTGAGCTTCTCAGCCTGGTGGTGCAGGTCGAGGGTTCCGGCGTCGTGACGCGGAGCAGCACCAGCAACACCGTAGCGGCGGATGGAGTCGGCGACGGCATCCGCACAGCCGCCAGACGATGACGCGAAGCCGAGGTAGTTGTAAGACGAGACGTTGAGAGCACGCGTCTGAGTACCCGAAAGATTGAATGACTCGCGTGCGTCGTTCGAGTAGCGGTCGAGAAGCATGATCGAGCGACCGGGGACGCCAGTCACGGGGCGCGAGAAGCAGTCATCAAGACGGGTCTTCAGACGACGAGTGTAGAACGAGTCAAAGTCCGAGTTGAGAGCGGCATACCCGTTGGCCGGGAGGAGATGCGCGTAGTTCTGCGAGTAGAACTTCTTGCCAAAGAAGTCGCGGATGTGTCCGAGGGAGATGAGGAAGAGGTAGGAGAGGTATGTTGTGAGCAGGATGTAAAAGGGAGGCTCGAGCTCCTCCTCGGGGTGGACAGGCTCCGCTGGGTTGTACGACGAGGTCCAGCGGTGGTTTGGGTTGTTGCAGTGCCCAAACTCGCGGTGCTTGTAAGGAAGGTTGGTCTGGACGTGGGGCTTCTCGAGATACCCGCGATACATGCGCTCGACGGCAATGTCATCGTCGCTGCCCTGTCTGGAGAGGGTTCCGTTGCTCGACGCGTACGACGAAATCGTGCTCTGGTCCGACATGAGCTCGTCCTCGGGCGAGTGTGCAGAGGTCGCGTAAGTGACCTCTGCATTCGAGTGGCGGGGACGAGTTATAGCATTGATTAGGGCATCGCGAGCCGTGCCGGGGGTGTCGGGAGTTGGCGACTTGCCCTTATTGCTACGAATGGAACCGGCCTTCTTCGGCGACGCGGTGCCGTTGTGCTTTCCGCGAGCCATGGTGGGAAATGCTGTCTGGCGAGGTGAGTCGAGTCGAGATGGCGTCGTGTTGGATTGTATAGGGACAAGTGGCAGGGGGGGCCGAGCGCGAGGCGGGATGCGGGAGTTGCAGCAGCCAAAGGAATCTGGGTGGGATGACTACGCAGCTCGATATCAACCTCGGGAGCACGCGTCTGGGCGGTGTCGCGATCTAACGCGGCGGTGCCCAGGAGGCCGGGGTGTTGGGTGCTCGATGTGTTGAGCGGCGAGTGGAGGGGGAGAGCGGGAGGGAGTGGAGAAAAGGAGGAGGAGGAGGAGGATGATGAGGAGGATGGAGAGGACGAGGACGAGGACGAAGACGACGAGGACTGAGCTGAGCGAGCAGTTGGAGGGAAGGTCAGTGTCCGCGTCTGCCCCGAATTCTCCTGTCCTCCTGACTCTCCCCACCGTTTTAGATGGGTGGGCACTTTAATTACATCACGTGGTTGTGGCAGACTCTACTCTCCCCCGGACGCGTGGTTCTGACGCCGCGACGCGTCATGCGCCAATGACGTCGCGTCAACTCTCCCACGCGCGTCGCGTCGCCTGGCGCCTGGTCCCTTCCTCGCCTTGCTCGTCTTCCTCATCAACCATCCACGCATCCACGGCTAGTGTCACATCCCTCACCGCTTCATCTCGACAGACATCATCGCCTGATCGCCTGGCGTCCTCGCCTAGTTATAGCCTCAATGCGCCCACCCAGGTATCAGACAAGGCGGAGGCAGGGTGATGGCGCCAGCGCCACCACGGAATGGACGTGACACCCGGCGCCCGGCGCGGCCCATGCGTCCCGGCGCACCCCTGCCTGCACAACTGCATAATCATCCGGCCTGATGGCCTGTGTAGCCAGTGTAGCCTGACAGCAGCACTCTCACGTGTCGTGCGACAGCGTCCGAGGTAGCAGGGCGTGCATTCCGCCGGCCGCTTTGTTTCATCCAGGTGCAAGGCTGGCGGTGGGTGGCCAGGATGCAGGATGAAAGATGACACTGGCCCTCCCTCCCGGCCTCCCCTGCGATCCTCCGACACCGCCATGTCTCCGGCGCCAGGATGCCTGGATGCCAGGAGCATCGGAGTCCGGATCAACGGCAAGGGAGTGGCGCGTGTGGCCGTGTGGCAGCGGATGATCGGCGCTGGTCAGGATCAGCGGAATGAGCAACATGGTTGTGAGCGTGGATGGGTATGGCTTTGGCTTTGGGCGCATGTCATTGTCTCATCGTCCGAAGCAGAGTGACATGTATGACTCGCTTGAGTCGCATGTCGAAATCCTCGCTCCCGAGTAATTGCCGGCGAGCGCGTGTGCGTCCAGCTCGTCCAGCTGGCATGCATGCCCTGTACTTTGTTCCAGTGGAGCATTGATGAGAGGGGCGTGATGAGGATGTCTCCGGTGTCCTGTGAATCGTTGCATTAGCCCAGACAGAGGTCGAGGTGATGGGAGATGGTGGAGACGGCAGTTGGTGGTGGCGGTGGTTGAGTGGCCAAATGGCGATCTTGACCGACTCAGCATACCTGCCATGTCGGCTCCACCGCATCCAAATCTTTGCACTCCTCATTCTGCTCTTGACGGTGTCGCGTTTCTCTTGCTCAATGAGGAAAAGCGAAGAGCATTGTGCCCAGCAAGACGGACGGCAGTCCGGAAGATGAAACGAACCCGCGGACAGTGCCTGGCGTGCATGGCCTGCTTGCCAGAACAAGCGGTTCCTCTGCATGGCATGTGTTGTTGAACGGCTGACAAATGATCCTCAGCGGATTCGGTCACCGCGTGTGGAGCCGTTGACCGAGGGCTATATCTGACCTCCGGGCTACGGATCGGGTGCTCGGGGAGCGCTCATCGCCGCCTCTTGGGCGGCACTGGCCGCAAACCAGACTGGTTGCGGCAGTCACCCACAGCGGGGTGCCTAGTCTTCCGGCCGGCCACGGAGATGCCGCTGGCCGCTGGCCATGGCCACTGGGAGCGTCGGCGCGGTCGCCGCTTACTACAGTATACTTGGTTCGTGATCCCATGCTGCTCAGCTCCCCGGCGAGCCAACGACCAAGCTAGTCAAAAACTAGGCGTTTCGCGCCGTTTCAGGCCCGCCCTGGTGCGAGGTGCCGTGCCGTGCCAGGTCCGCTCAGGAGGGCTAGGACCGGCCGTCCCTGGACAGTAGGCCGGCTCCGGCGGCGATGAGATGGCGTAGGCGTACGCGGGCGGCACACATCACTGATCGCGCCGACGATCCCATACAGCACGCTGGGCTATAAGCAAGGCGAAGGTACTGTAGGATTGGTAGCACGAGTGACTTGGCTCGCGTCCGATCGAGAATCAGAGCAGACAGCGATGTGAGCATGCGAGAACACCTCGTTCGTGCCTAGGCAAGCCCTCCTGGCGTTTGCAGGCGCTCGCCGAGGGGCGGCTGATCCAAATGCGGCAAAGGCCGGCGCAATGCGAGATATAGAAGGCTGCGCCAAGGTTTGTATGGCGCATGTCCAAGCTCGCCTCGGGCCTCGGCGTACGGCGTAGGCGTTCCTTCCAGCTAAAACGATGCACGGTCGCACGGTCGCACGGTCGCTCCCGTCGCCTCATTTGGTGCGCCCTCGCTGCCCTCGGCTTTCGCATCCCTGCTGCATGTCATGTACATTGCAACGCTGTGACGTTGTGACAATATTGCAGTGGCATTGTGACGGTGGAGTGACGGCCTGTCGGATGCGGCGTCGTCGACATGCATGCTGTCGTGTCCTGTAATGGGGACGGGATGGTGATGGATATGAATACCCATATGAAGCCATGGGCAAGGGGTAGATTGCAGACGGGACGGGCTAGAAATTACAGGCACGCGACTTGATTTCATTTTTGGCGGGTTTTTACGCTCTTGACTAGCGTGGGCAGGTGGCAGGTGGAATAGCTGACATGCCAGGTACGCGTTACCGTCGAGTGCACTGCACATAGGACAAGATTATAGTACTATAGAAAGAGCACAAATGCTCGATCGAGGTAAGGAGAGGGAGGGGTGGCCGGGGGCGGCTGATGAGAGCGGGCTGTGCCTTGTCTTGTGAATTAAAAAGTGCCACCGAGAGGAAAAGCGCGTAAGAGTCCGGCACATGGGGAGAGATTAGGAAATACTAGTGCCTTGTGCCTTGAACCTTATTAAACTGCCCATGCTCATACCCATGCCCGCTTCATGCTCACCACATGACAACTTTCTCCTCCTCTCCTCCTCAGCCTCCTCCGCCTCCTCCTCAGCCACCTCTTGCACCTGCTCGCCGTCACTCTCGCTCTCTCTCTCTTTTTCTCTGTCTTTCTGACACTGACATACATGCACATGCCCTTTGACTCGTCCGGACTGTGGCGTGAAATACCGGACCTCCAAGGCTCAACCACGATGAGGGCTAGAGGGCTAGAGGGCTAGAGGGCCGAGCTGACACAGAGTAAATGTACAGTACTCGCAGGAGGGCCGCCCCTTGCCGCCCCGCCCGCCCGCCGTCTGTCATCCCCTGTTGCCGAGGCACCGACGGCACGACCCCGACAAGGCACCGCAACCACCCCCTCCGCCCCCCGCCCCCCGCCCACCGGCCCCCTCCGCCCCTCGGCCCCGTCCCCGCCGCTGATGCACCTCTCCTTTGCACTCATGCTCTCTCGTCTCTGTCTCTCCTCAGCCTCTCCTCCGCTTTCCTCTGCACATGTCCTTCCCCAAACTTTGAATGCCGGCGCGCGTCCCTCGTAC